ACCACCAGTAAGGACGAGGGCCTTGCTGGGGTTGACCCGAGTCTTTGTGATGGGTGTACGGAAGGCGTACACCACAGAGACCCGGGGTCCCTTGTGAGCACTGACGCTCGCGTTGGTGAAGTACAACGGTGGGTTGTCAGTAGTACACGTGAGTGTACGGGGGTAATGGTATCCCTAGACATGATTGAGTCTGGGACGTCGCGCGGATGTTCGCACGTCGCCAGATGTGTCGGTTGGAATAACGACACAAGTGCCAAGACTCTGCGAGAGAGTCGAAGCACAAGGCCAGATCTCATTGACTGAGGCTGGGCCGAAGAAGAACCTTGGGATCCGCTGTGACCCTGGCTGTTGCGCTCGAGGACGCTGACAGTAATGGAACCGCACATGGTCCCGGACATCGTGCCGAAGTCGGACCTGGGCATGGAACCGTATATGCCCTCGGATTGAGCAAGTATGACTAGTGCGCCGTGCAAGCTGCACAGGCTCTCGGTCGAGTAGCGCGACAACGCCTTGAGGCTAAGTCGGCCCTCTGTGTCTGACAGGGCATTGGTGAGTCATGTTCCCACCTCTGGACAGACACAAGGGCGTCCGATGGGACGCCAGGGCGCTGGATGCGTCCGACAAGACGAAGAAAAAGAAGGGAGGCATCACTGACATGATGATCTCCATGAAGAAGGTGCAGTGTATCTGCAACCGAGGGCTGTTATACCTGGCATGTGGAGCTGCCTCAACAAGCAACTCCAGTGCTGAGAGTCATTGCTCGGCATGATCATTGACAAGGGTGGTGTTCGATGACACCACCAGGGGGTAACCAAAGACCACTGACTAGCGGGTAACTTAGTTCCGCACAGAGCATGTAATGCTGAGGAGGCCGCTCAAGGCACCTCCGGCGTGGGTAACCAAGAACCACGGACGGTCGCCCAGACCTTAACTGAAGAGGAATGCGCTGCACGCGCTTCCTGTGTGGGTAACCAAATACCACACCCGGTCGCCCAGACCATAACCGAAGAGGAAGGCACTGCAGGCACTTCATGTGTGGGTAACATAGTTCCGCACGCGTCTAACTGATGGTGAAGTCGCCTGATGCGCTTCCTATGTGGGTAAGATAGTTCCACACGATGAAGTAAGGCTCCGCATGAGCCGGAAGGAATCGCTCGAAGCGACTTCAGCGTGGATAACTTAGTTCCAAGCGCGGTCTGTATGACCACGACTTGTGATCGGGTCACTTGGGTCTCCTCGCGTGTGGTGGATGGCCACACGGAGTTTAAGAGGCTCGTGACACCGCCACGATGTCATAGCCGCACGGTCCTCTTGGAAGAACCGCGCGGCTCTGATTTTAAGTGGGGGAGGAGTACTTCCTTCCTCCAAGGGTTCTGCACCTAGTCATCATGGATGACGTTCGACCGGGTGTCGACCAGCGAAGCTGTGGCCTTGCGCACAGAAGACGTGGCCTGGGTGCATGACGTACCTGCGGCGATGCATGTTGCGTCGCCGCCGACTCGGCGCACATGGTCGATCACGACTGGAGTGTGTCTGCCGGAGGGCGACACCTCACCTGACCACATACAGGAGCATGCTCGGTGTGACTGCGAAGGCTGCGGTCACTGCACGGCGTTGGGACAACAAGTGTCCATGACTCGGTGCCGAGATGGCTGAGTCTGAGTATGCGTGCATGCCATGCAGCTACTCTGAATGCAGGACAAGCTGTACGCTGTCATGGGTGCCATAGCCCGAAGACGTGGGTAACAGAGTAACACGTCAAGTCACGCAGACTCAGACTGCATCCAGGCTGGTAGATGCCAAGCCTTGGTCGACGATGTTGACCCGGAGCCCACGCAGGGTAGCTGCCCACGCCACCGGACTATGCTGGTATAGCGACTCGGCGCTGCAGGGCGGCGCGAGGTTAGGTGGCCGGCTAGCGCCTGGCCCGCCGGGGTTCGAATCGTAAGTGGGGGAGGGGATCGGAAGTGCCCTTCCTCCCGACGTCTCTGGCATGAGACTTGCTTCGTCATAGAAGCTGGTGTAGTGGCTGCATGGTGCATCCACTCACAAAGTATTGCAAGAAGGTGCTGGATCTGATGCATCGATGCTCAGGTCCCAAGGTCATGGTGACCGATGGCCAGCAACGTTGGCAGTGGTCACTGCCGCTGCTGGGCCGAAGCTGGCGCACGTAGACGCGCTACCGGAAGGCTGCCTCGGTCTGGCGAGGACATGGCAGCTAGTCTGCGGCTGGGTCCACAGACGAAGGCGTGTGCGTTTACGCGTCGCCATGCCGCAGCTCGATGCTGTTGCTACACTGGGTGCGGTACGTCTACCGACCAGGTAACCACCTGCACCATGCCATAGCTCAAGGCTGTTGCTACGCTGGACGTGGCACGTCTGCCGGCCAGGTAGCCATCAGTCCCGAGCATGGGTGTTGCCCACGAGGGGAGAACCCTACGTGTTGCCTTTGCAGGCATTCACAGTTGGCACGGCACATGCCGCACCTGTAAGGCGCGAAGTCATACGCGTGCACGTGGTACATACTACCTGTGAGATAGTCGCGATGCGTGACGCTCACTGTGCGCAAGGTACCCGCAGTGCACGCGACACTTCTTGTGCACGTGGCACTTGAGGTGCACGAGGCACTTATGACAGTCGTGGTCCGTGTCATACACGACATGCCTTTGGTGTATGAGGCGGTGCCCTCGTACACCTTGAGGTCCTGTATGGACCGTGTGCCATGCGGTCTTGCGCGCACACCGACCTGGTGTTGGTCGCCGCGACGCAGGATGCGATCGCCGGTGACGGAGGGCAATACATCCCACACCACGATGAAGTACCCTTGCGGCACCCTGGTGTCGATGGAAGACACCTTAGCGTCGGCGACGTGATGGCTGTGACGCGCTGCAGGGCTTTAGACAAGTCCACCGTGTTGCTCTGTATGATGAGCGGGTTGCTGGAAGCAGCCATGGTCGCTCAGGCAAACACGACGTTGAAGCATGACGCTTCATGGCTGTGGTCAGCGCTTGACCATAGCCCATGGGTCGCGCCGACGTATTCGGCCGACCGGCACACTGTGCTGTGACGAGCGGGGCCCTGTCGGGCCGCTGTCACGGCCGGAGATGAGCAATACAGCTCTCTCTATGGTTACGCTACGCGCTGACCGGAAAGGTGCCGTCCCTCGCGGGAGACACCGCCGCACGAACGTGCCAACAGGGCCCAAGGGTCATACGACGCCAACTGCTGGTGGTCTACGAGAGGCACCGCAAGTTTGGAGGCACATGCATCCCGTGCCGAGGCATTCTGCGCCTGCTAGCGCTGTGGATACAGCCACTAGAGGCGCCGGCTTTGCGGCCAACGTCGCTGAGGGCAGGGGAATGCCGCGCGGGGTGCCCGCTACGGGCACAAGTCACTGTGGGTATGACAATGAGGCGCGCCAGCATTGGGGCGGCGGTGCCCGAGAATCCGACTTTTGGGTGTTCGGATTCTTGAAGCTGATTGGAAAATCAGATGTGATTCTCAGATAAGTGGGGAAGGATGTAACGGGGTACAATCAAGTGTACCCATTACATGAACAGTGACGGGTGTCACTCTCCCGAGTACATGGTACATGGTACCAGTAGCTCCGCAAGCCAACCATTTGAGTTTGTGTGGGCTTTTGTATGGTTAACTTGTAGTTTGTATTACGACCGAGTTAACCTCTACCAAAATACAGTCAGTCTTATAACCTACTCCTTTGTAGCAAACCGTTCCCTTTGAGGCCGGGAACTGGTGAACTGCTGTTCACCTGGATAGTAATATCCACACGCACTTCCTCTGTGCATTGTGCTGTGTGACCCCGTCACATCAGATGAGTATTTGGAGCTGTTGGACGTTTAGAACAGTACAAATAAGTACTACTAGTATAGTATCTCTGAAACGAAACCAGACAGGTAGATAAGCTGTGGCACGTTGATGCGTTGGTTGTATTGCATTTTTGGTAGCCCTGACGTGAAACTACACAGTGATACTACGCATCCTCTTGTATCGAACCATCTTCTCGATAGGTTTTCATTTCTAGTTGATGGTGGTTTCAGATCCTGAAACCGTGATTGGATTGATGTTGCGCTCGCTCAACCTTGTGAGAGAGACTACTGAGTGGTAATGGCTTCGTCCATCATCCAGCCTCCGCGCGGCTCCCACTCTCTCACTTTCCAATTCGCCATCCCCACAGCACTCCACCACTAAACCGACCGAGCCCACACCCGAGCTGGCCTCCGCGTTTAACATGTATTCCAAGCTCCTCGCCGTGCTCAGCCTGTGCGTCGCCGCCTCCATGCTGCACGTAACCGACGCCGGTGCCGCTCCTGCAGGCTTTCCTCTATCAGCAGCTTCAACAACGACACTTGGTGGGGAAACACTTGATTAGTTTGTGAGGCTTGGCCTACACCCCTCTGAAGGCAGGATGGGATCATCGTGACTTTCCCAGGTCGAGAAACGAATCATGTGTTCCGCCACATCACGCAGCAATGCCGGTTGTAGACGTGTGTAGACGTAAAACACCAACTTGCCCAACGTCCCATCAGACGAATGACTAACTCGCTTTTCCCGGCAGCCATGCCCCACCAATCCGAAGGGAGTGCGTCGAGTAATCGTTTGGATTCAGGCCAGATTCGCAGCTGCAGCCTTGATCAGGTTCGCTACGGACGACTTCGACATTGTTCCAGACCCATTCACAGATGTGAGGTATCGACCCAATCGCTTTCCAGCTTGTATTTATTTTTGACGGATCGCGAGACAGGCCTCCGCGGCCGCCACCGGGCACAGGTGAGGCTGACCAGACCTGTAGTGACGAACTGTAGATCCTTGTCGAGTCTGGTCACCTTTGTGCGACCTGAAATGTATTTCCACGGAGTGTCCTTGGCCTCTGCTGGCCTGGATTGGAACACCATCCCGGTCTCGGACTGTCACGTCTTCAGCGCGGATACAATGTGTTCGCCCACCCGTAGAATAGTCTTGCACAATTGGCCCCGCAGCTCTGAGCTGCGGTCCAGAAAGAAGTAACCCAGTAGGATAGACCCCCACAACATGTCATTGGTGTCCGCATTGTCTACGAACCGGTCGGCTTCGAGTTGGCGATGCATCGCGAGCAGCATCGATGTGGTGACTGGTTGTTTCCTCTTCACGTGGCTGTTGAGGCGCTTATACCCTCGAGCAATGAGCTCATATTCCGGATTCTTATAATTGAGCCTTGCGTTACGCACGGACTTGTGAGCGAAGGCGACTGCCGCCATTTTCCCATCGAAAGTCTGGTATTTGTTTCCATTCTTGTCTCCCTCGAGGGAACAGATTCCGGCAAATAGTTCGACGATTCTGGTTTGCCTCTCTTGTGAGACCAGATCGGGAATCCAAACTCGCTGCAGAAGCTAACCCAGTGCTGAAACTTCTTTTCGTATGTCCGAAGCGAAGATGCACTGATGGCTGCTCGCTTGAGTTGCGTTGTCGCTTCAGTGGCGGCTCTGAGCCGGTCTGTTCAATATCACCATTCAAATTGTTAGTAACTGCGTGTACGTCACATGGACGTGTTCCGGAGGTTCGCCCCAAGATACGACTGGCCAACAGCTTAATTTTCCTTTTCGCTAGAAGGAGGGCCAGTTGACGCAACTGCTCTTGTCCTGCTGGAGACCGACAGTTCATTGTTTGATCGTAGTCAGTTCTGCTTCCGATCGAACATGAACCCGTACATGTTGCCACGATGTTGGAGTATCCCTGACGGAAGTCCACGTCTCGCATGTTGCTGTCAATACGTGGGCGAGGTTTTCTTCTGGGGTTGTTGCTTTGTTCGAGAAGTTCTTCTTTCTCATGGGTGTCATCCCGTGCACATCACAGCTCGACTCGGTCTGCAGGACTACCCAGCAGTCCTCTGCAGATGGCTCCGCGCCAAACATGCTCATGGGCACGCCCGCAAATTCGTTTTCGACCACGAGGTTTTGTCACCACTTGAGATCGCCGAGCAATGTCGTGCTCATGTGCACGCCGGACCAATCTGCATTGCTTAGCGCGCGTTGTACTGAGACCAGTCGCTGTGTAAGCGGCTTGGCCGTTGGGATAAACGTAACCACATGCCGGAGCACACCAATTAAGCTATCTAGGCGCTTCTTCGGTATATACTTGAGCTGCATCGTCTCCGCGACAATTTGTTTCACTTTGTCTACTTTACGCTGTGGAATAGTCACCGTCATGTCTGAGGTGTTCCAATCAATTCCGACAGCGTGAAAACATCGCGACCACGTGGTGAACTTGCCTTCATGCCACCCGTCAGAGCCAAAGACCAACTTTATCGCGTCACGCAAGCGCCGCTCTGCTTGTGCGAGACGGTCGCCTATGTCGACCTCGATAATGACTATATCGTTGACCCACTGAATTATCCAGAATGGCTCTGGATATCCGAGGATATACGAGGATCCTGTGCGCTGATAGTGTCGCGCAGCCTTCCCCATCACGGCGAAGAAACCTGGCGAAGCCGTCCAGCTGAAGACAGCCATCCCAGAGACCTACATGCGATCGAGGGATCCGCCCCCCAAAGGCTGATGCATGCTTGGCATGTATGGGTATGTGGTGGAATGCGTCAGCTATGTCAGCCCCCAGAGCATAAATGGCGTGACCAGGATATTGATGCTGCAGTTCAGTGATCCACTCCGCTGTAATGGGCCTACCTTGGCTCACTACTACGGCTTACACGTATGCGCACGTGTATGAGGAAGCGTAGCATAGTTTAAACTAGAGTTAATTATACTCGGACCTCCGAGTATAGATTAGTCTAAATAAACGATCCAAATAATGTTTTTGGATTAAAATGAGAACTGCTATTTTTGTTTTATGCTTTCTGACTTCCTCTAAATGTAATATTCTAAGATAGGAATCTGCTTGGCAGAATTCCAATGCTATGCATGTCGCTCATTGGCTAACAGATGCTGCTTTCAGCCAATAGGAATCCTAAGTCTCTATGGACAACCCGTCGTGGTGATCGTAAATGTATGTAGTATTTGGTGTGTGTCTACACCAAGGTCGAGAAAGTCTTTCGAACCTTTAACAGACGACGGCTGTTAGAGTTACAAGTGACTGTAACCACTTGTGCGTGTAACCCTGTTACATCCGCGCCGGCTCGGCTCGAGGAAAGATGGTGAAGCTCTTCTGTGCGATCGCTGCAGCGCGTTCGAGGTGGATATCGACGAGGGTGCGTCGGTTTCCGCGTTGAAGAAGGCGATCCAGTCGGAGAAGCCGAACAAGTTGAAGGACATCGATGCAGGTGACCTGCAGCTCTTCCTGGCGAAGACGGCGGACGGCGCGTGGCTGTCAGACGAAAGCGATGCTGCGCTGGAGCTGGAGGAAGGGAAGAGACACGCAGTCATTCAAACGTTGATTAATGGAGAGCCGATGAAAGCCACGAAGACTCTCCAGTACTGGTTGTTTGGCAAGACCAAGATGCTTCCACCCTCTACCGATCAGATCCACGTGCTGGTGGTGGTTACGACCGAAGATGCGGTTGTGCCGGCGTTATCGCAACCATCGTTCTTTTGGAAGGAGGCAAAGTCGTTGGTCGCAACGAATCTGAAGCGGCAGAAGACAAAACACAACAGTTCAGAAGGCAACAGTGCAGTTGCCGAGTGGGAGCTCGTGGATAGCGACTGCCCGACGCCATCTCTTGACGCAGAGAAGACGCTAGTCCACATTCCTTGGAAGCTACTGAAGATTTCAGGAACGACTATCCTTAAAGAAGGCCACGACCTACAGCTGTACTGCCGTCCGGAAACTGTGGATGAATGGCGCAAAATCCAACGCAACGCCGTTGACACCTACGCACAGGTGATCATTCGCGGGGCACCTGGAACAGGCAAGACATGCGCAGCTTTCGCCTTCGCGTTTGGTACCGTAGATCGCGATTTGTGGGACATCGTGTGGATCCACTTCGATCGAGCAGTGAGCAGGTTCCTCTGTTATTTGGTGAAGGGTAAGAAATTGTGGGCAGCAGAAGCTTGGAACGATCGTGACCTCAACAACTTGCTGTTTTCATCGAAGTTACAGGAGAAAAGGGCGATTGTATTTTACGACGGATACAACAAAAGTCACTTGGCGTGTGACTCGGTATTGCTTGAGTGCCGGAAGTGGTATTCTCGGAATGATCTCTCTCGGCGCCTTGTGATAGTGACGTCGATGGTCTCGCTGGGCAAAGAAGACCGGCCGGAAACTTACCAACCCATTAAGCCTCACGTTGAGATACCTGGCGAGAAGGTCAATCCCTGGCTCGATGCTTTGGATAAACTGGCCACTCCAGCCGACCACAATGTGCCTGACCAAGTGCTACTCGACAGGGAGATGCGTGATGTGGAAGGTCATTCTGAAGACAAAGGCTGCGCTATTCCAGAAGGTATGGAGGCAGACGCAGCAACGGAGGTGCTCAATGTTCACGTGTTCGAGTTGCTGTCGTGAACACTTGATGAGTACCGCACTGCCGTAAACGAAAACATATTTTTCGACAGTGTTGAACACGCCCTGCGTGATGGGGCCAAGGCGATTGGAGCGGCTAACACCCCGTATGAAGATCGAGTGGCGTTGGTGGAGAAAAAGTATTACGTCGCCGGCGGCAGAGCGCGAATGATGTTCGCTGTCAAGACGAGCAGGGCCATGGCCTCGCTTGACAGAGCCCTTATGGCCGTGGGCTCGCTAAAATCCTTCGCTGAATTTGATACCGGGGTGCTGTCTGGCGGTACAGTTAATCGACTTCTGGCTCTGTACCGTGGCGGGATGGACAAGACTCAACAGCGAATTGTAAGCTCGTACGCTGTTCGAGAACTCAGTATCAAACTCGGCCCTGATAAATTTCTGGAAGCAGTGAGCTTACTTCAGATGAACCCGTCAATGGATGGATTCATCTTTGAGGGATGGGTCATCGGGTGTCTGGCACATGGTCCGCTGACACTCAAGCAATTGGCTAGCGGGGGAAACGTTGAGTGGAAACAATATCCTCTGGTTCACTTCGACATCACGCAGCTGCAGCTGAAACTGCAAGCCTTATCCACGAAACAGTGGCTTGTGCCGTTTAAGTGGAACCAAAGTGGCTACGGCATCGTCTTCTTGGACAAGACGAGGGGTGTCGTTCGCTTTGTCCAGGTGACAAGAGCATTTCTTGTCACGACATGGAGCTACAGAGCCAGGAAATACATGGGTGAGAGGAATAAGCGAGCTGGAATTCACGACTGGTAGGCTTCTGTTTCAGCTACGATGGTACGAGGTTGCGCAGTAAGGCGTCAATCGTTGAAGCGGTGCAGAACTGAATATCCAAGTTACAGCTTCAAACATGCATCCTGCATTTGTTTTTTTGCCTACTTTTGGCAAGTTTGCTTATTGCTATTGGTTGCCTATTGCAAGCGCTCCCACATTCAGTACTGTACAGTAGTTCATCCGCTACATCTGGATGCGAACTTTGATCCCTCCGAACCTTGCTCCTCGTATTTCTCGACAAACAAATTAATAACAACAAGCTGCAAAATGTTTCGATGTTTGTTTGCCAAGCCTTCCTGGTGAGCTTAGTGCGCAGCATTCCGACGACAACTAATGAATGGAGAGCCCAGCTTACTGTCATATTATACGTAATGTTACTGTGGGGTTTCTTCACGGATCCGTGTGGTTCGCAGGCACGATGGTCTCGCGTCTTCTTGTGCTTGGTCGTCAACCCTCGGGTGTAAGTGCTGCATACTTTACCGAGACCAGTCTTGATCCTGATCTCACTGATTACGTGTGTGCAACCCTGTAGGTGAAGCGGGACGGCCACGCCGGCGAGGAGGGTAGCGTCGGCTTCTAGCAAGCGTGTCAAGCGTAAATGGAACGGATGGCGGTGAAGCGCGACAGCTTTTCGCCACGCTGCTTCTTGAGAATGCTAGGCACGACTAATAATTCTCTGTCAGTAAATAAATTGCCATACTGCACATTTCCTTCCTTACCTGCGAACCTTTTCGGACGCAGCTGTTCTCTTTCTCTTCCCTGTCTGCGCAAGCCGTGCATGGCGCGTTGCTACTGCAGACAACGCAGCTACAGGCCGGAAAAGCGCGAACCGAGAGGAGGGCCACCGGAAGCGCGATCGACCGACAATGCGTTCGATGCATGTTGACACGAGCTCTCCTGTCAAAGTGGCTATGTAGGACAACTTCAGACCTCAATGCAAAGAAGCACAGGACCATAAATGCCATAATTCCAGAGCTCACCCACCTGTGGAGCGAGATCAGCAAGCTCTACAGTAATGCCGGGGGTAAGTTACTACCGCATCGCCGAAGTCATAGTTCCTACCTGATACCGGTATACAAGGGGGGTTGTGGTTATAAGGGACCCTTCTGTTGGGAAGTGTTACATAAACATGCAACACGTTTTGACCTGATTGGTTAAAATGATTTTCATTGGGGGGGGGGGGGCCAACACCAACAGAAAGGACGGGCATCTCGCAACAAAAATATTGGATTTCTGAAAAGCCAGAAATGGCGCGGGCGCTGGGAACGAGAGCGAATGAGCGCATCGAGCGCGGTAAACACGTGGAACGGTAGCGGGGCGGCCTGTATGGGCTTCTGCGCAAGTGCTTGTGGTTATTTATGATCGGCGTTACGGCAACGTGATTACGAGAAGACGACAGCTCTTACGGCACCATAGCAAGGGTTTTTCCACATAGCAAACACTGCACCAAGCAACGTAGAGGCTGTATGGTATGGTGCTTGCTATGTAAAACTGGGTTTGCGGTCATCTATCTGCGATTAATTACGGGAACTGCAAAAGTTACCGAGCGCACTCCAGAATATCACAGTAGACATCTAGAATCAAAGCGGCTGTTGGTGCACACTAAGCGTGAAAGAAGATGGAACCAGGCGACCTTGACAGCGACGCTCTGCCGGCCTCACCGCTACCGCCCACGACCGACGCAGGCACGCGTCTATCGCGAGATCACAGGGCGAAGGTTTGCAAGGGTCTGTTGATGTCTAGGCTCAAGGCAATTGAGGCTATGGAAGACAGACTGGACAAGATCGCCAAGTACTCGCTCAAGCTTTTACACGAGCGCGACGAGCTGGCTACAATGCTCGCCAACGAGAAGGAGGTAGCTGTCCGTCTCGCAACGGTGCTTGGGGTGTCTGTGCGTGAAACCGGCTACGTGGTGCCGTACGGCGTAATGCTGCAACAGTGTTTCGAGGCTCTACTCGAGCAAGACTAGACCAATACTTCGCGCATGTTGTGAACACGAAGAAAACATCAAGCCGATAACAAATAAAACTGCTTTGAGGTCACAGTTGAGCTATATTCAAGTCTTTACGGTTGCCATCAACTCGAGGTCGGTTGCATATACGGTCTTGGCTATTTGGTTCGCTATCGTACTCACTTCAGGTTGCATAAGTACCATCCACATAATACGTAGTCGCATGACGGCAACGTCATCGGCTGAAACTGTGGCCTTGGTAAATCCTTCAGCATGCAATACACCTGGGCTATCACCATAACACCGCACGACGTTCCATCGGGATGTCTAGGCGCATCAAGCCACACACCATTCTACAACAGGATATTCCACTCCAATCATTGTCTTCTCGTGCCAGCCCAGTAGAAATGGCGCTACCGTCTCTTCGTAGGTATCTTCGATAGTCGCTCGATATTGCGGATCACACAGCGGCTCGTATAAGTAGGGTGTGATTGACGGTGGTTCAGCTTGGTAGGTGATACTGACAATGATGACACCCCATGTATGTTGCTCAGATAAACTGGCAAAACAACATAATGCATGCTCAAAATACGGGTCTGGGGCGGGTCAGGGCAGCAAAACGTAGCTGCATACGTATCCAACGCGTAGCAATCTCCGAGCGCGTCACAGATACATCTGACAGCGAAATCAATGATCATATCAGACAGCATCTCCTTGCGAGCAAGCATCCCAACCAATCTGTCCAGCTTTACAGTGCCTGCATCGCTTGCCAATCGGAACGTGGAGCTCAGAGAAGCTCCTTCAAGCTGCTCCAGCACTTCGTTTGCCAGGGCCGCGTGCTTGGCCCCTGTGGTGTCATCTGTGAGCTCGTCCGAGTCCGTTTCCACGTCGAAAAGCTCAGGATTGACCGTCATTGCGTCCCATTTAGTCGACAGTAGCCGCCAATGCACATCCTCCTTCCACGCATCAAGCTTGCGGACAACGTTGTAAAACTCGCTCATCGTGTACACTGCGGCGCTGAGCAGTACCAAACATCAACACAAAGCATAACAACATAACAAGCAACATTGTGAGCACCGCATAATACAACATAATGAGCAACTTGGTGACTACACACCTGGTGAACTGCGGGGTTCCACCGGGGAAGTAGGCGATGATCTCCTCGGTAGTGTCCTCCGGATGATTGTCGTCCGCGGTTTGGTTGAAGTACTTGGACTTTGATCGTTTCTTCTTCTCCGCTTTGACAACGGCTTCCAACTTGACGACGAGATTCTTTGGAATCACAAAGTCGTAGTCGCAGTCGTCAGCGTAGACGTGGTTGCGTTTGCTGTGAGCGACGCGCGAGTTCATGAAGTCGTCGTCCATGATGGTTGGGTAGTTTGCCAGCCGCTGACATGGTTGCGGTCAATAGTGTTGTTTGCCCACTCTAAAACACGCGCCAGCGACGGAACATTCTTGTCTGGGAGAATAATTGCAGCCAGCTGTCGAGGTTTCGCCCCCTTGGGCAGCTTGGTTTGCTTCAGTTTGGTTTGGGTAGTGTGGCGCACCTTAGGTTTCTTGGGAATACGTAGCACCTCCAGGATCCCTCCCTTATTTGCAACTTTTGCTGCCGTTTTAACACGTACGGCAGCTTTGGTAGGATAGTACTTTTTCTTCGAGGACAACACCGCTTTGGTTGGGTACAGCTTCGGCGTAGAGGGTGACGTTGCTTTGGGTAGAAGCGGAGTAGCAGTCTTGGGCATTGACGCCGACTTAGTTAGCATTGCCCCACTAGTCTTGCTCGATGTTGCCGCCAATGTTGCTTCATTGTTTTCTGCTGTAGCCTCTCGCTTAGAGGCTGAAGCCGTGCTGTCGGACCCCGCTTTATCTTGCTCCAACTCCTGGATGAAGTTCATGCTGTCAATTAAATCAGCCGGCGTGATGTCAGATGCGGTGTCAGACGTGTCTGGATCGTCGGATTCCTCACTTTCGTCAGGACTGGTAGTAGAATCTGCCTCAACGGTCTCCAAACCGCTTCGAACAATGTCCTTCCAGGACTTCAAGGCTGCGACGAAAGCTGGGGTAGCCAATCCTGCTAGGTGCTCCATCACAGGTTCGAACACAGCTTTAGCATAGCAATATTTCTCTTCTGATGAGAGAACCACAACGTTGGCACGTTCTCGTCGACGCATCTTGACGTAAATAACACCACGTTAATTTCGACGGCGGCGCCCGATCTTCTCTGCGACTTCTACATCATGTGCATGTTGGGGTGTTCCGTCTGCTGCACCTTGTGTTGCTTCGGACTCATCCAGGAAGCCGTCGTTTTGGGTCAGACCGTCACGCGCCCAGGAATCTCCAGCTTCTTTCATGGACGCTTGAACTACCTGTAGCGCTCCGACACCACCTCGAAGCTCTTTCTCCAGCTCGGACATTGCGACCATATCCCACCGCTGCGGGACGGCCGACTCAGGTAGACACTCGAATCGATGAACACGATCAGCGATGAACATCAAATGCTGGTATGGCAGGTGATGACTACAATAGAATAGGCATGTGCACGTCCATTCATAGTCGTTGCATACGTAGGTATTCCTCCGAGTACTGAGTTCCCACTCGCCCACAGCGTCCAGCTTCGTGCACTTAGTGTCCACCAGGTACACCATAAAGCGGTCCCATTGAGAGCGCACTTTAGACAACGGGTTGTCGCTAAGACGCGCCGAAACGCGTGTCAAGAAGTCAGGGATTGCGCCTGGGTGTCGAGATGTAGACACATGCTTCCTCATCGTCGCGAGTACTTGGCGAATAGTAGTCCCCTGGTGCGCTAACAGACCGCTAATAGTCGCATCCAGACGAGGTCGTTTGCCGAGAAGCAGCTTAACTTGGTTCTAATTCGATTCGATCCTGTTGGTTGTGGTGTTGCCAGCAGATAAGTACTTTTCCCGGATATAGTTAGCCCATATCGAGTCGCACTCCTTTCAGTTTGGCGTAAAATATTCCAGAAGTGCTGGACATTCCTTCTCACAGACTTTCGTAAACGAGTACAGCTCTGAATTGAAACTTCGCTCTGTGTTGCTGTTGGTAAACAACATACAGAGCAACCCAACGAGCAACACAGTCAGCAACACAATAACATAGAACAACATGGAATAAAACATAGCAGGTAACATTGAACATTCACTCCTTTCGTACCAGTAGATGAGCTTTCCGAATGCATGCTCCATCCGCTCGCGTTGAGACATCGTCAGGTTGTACTTCGGCCTTCTGCACACCTTCCTCCAGTACGTAAGGGCGTGAAATTGGCACAAGAGAACCTTGGCGTCAGGAAACACTCTCTCCAGCACTCGCGTCTCAATTGATGTCCATGACGGATTGTGACGCTTGAAGAACTCCAAAATGCGCTCCATGGTCCCGTCCTTCTGGTCCAGTGCGAGAAAGTCAACCACAGGGATGCCTCTTCCATTTGCTGACGTCACAACAAGACTTCCTACACGTTCAACAAATGATTGACAAGTAATAACATCTCATTAGTATCATAGCTAGTAACATAGACAAGAATAAGAGATAATTCAAACTAAGATGATAGCCTACGTTGTTGGTCCCGTGTGTCCAATCCATGACTAAACTGTCGCCCCATTGCTTGAAGCACGTCTTCTGCACTGCAGTTTGCATCGCAATGACGGAGGTGATGTCCATCTGATCCTGCAACAGCAGAACGTCATGATCATCGACACGGACAAATGTATCAAGCAGCAATCGGGTCCGTTCGATAGTCGTAGACCCTAGTACTTGTTGCAGCATGTTTTTCGTTTGCTGGGGGGATGACCATACCTGTAGATATTAATCAATCCAAATACAAAGATGTTAATACCAATCCAAATTAAAACCACTACAACACGAACAATGAAAAGCTCAACAACTGCATAGAGTTCACCAGGAACACCCACCAAGCTTGCCCGAGAGGTAGCGGTTGATCCCCGGCGTACTGGTTTGCACCTCGGCCATGAGACCGAGGTCCTTGTGCACGGCTGCTGGTAGCAGCAGGGATTTGCCGCGCGTGTAGGACTCGTAGATGGTCTTGGTGGTCCTGCGGTTGTGTATGTAGATCTACAAGGTGCATAGTTGTACAAGTTAGCATCTAAGCCCTCGAAAAAATATAGATACGAACAATACCTCCGTCTCTGGGTCGATGCACACCTTCCACTTTGGCACACCTTTCTCAACATACTTGACAGAGCGCACAGTGAAGCTCGCTTCGCAGCCTGTGTACCGCTGGCCACTCTCCCGAAGGCCTTCACCTCGCGAAGATTGTTTAGCGCCGTGGGTGCACCACATCGCCTTGAACTTGTGGGTGAAGTGATCGGGGAGCTTTTGAACCCCGGGTAGACTTAACAACACAGTTAACAACATAAGCAGCAACATTAGTATAAATAGAAGCACCATACTGTAACAGCAACATAACCCGTACCCGTCGTGGTTCGTTTTCGATTGCGAGCTCCGAACGCGGTAGAGCACCAAGTTCGCGTCTTGATAGGCATTGAGCGCTGCCTCGAACTCGCCCCAATAGGCGAACGACTTCCTGGCAAGAGGTGGCTTCAAATTGCCGACTGTGTTGTGCGCCTTGACCATCTTCTCCCGCTCCTCCCACGTTTCAGTGCGGCGGCGCTCACGATGACGTGGTGGCGGCTGGTCACTTGCTGACGTGATAACAGCCTGCTCCTTTTCCTTCCTCCCAACTTTCGCACGTTTGGGAGGTGAAGCACCAACTGCACTTCGACCCGGGGGCGGCTTGCGCTTTCGTGCTGTAGCTTTCTTCCTAGCCGTCGTGGAAGAAGCAGCAGCTGCCGCACGGCTGGCACTCGACGCTTGGACAGCGGCTTCAGCTGCGGCTTCTTCGCGCGTAAAAATTGCTGGATAGATTCTTCGAAACCTATCTCAATAATACACCAACACAACACCAATAAACATTAGTACAAAAATAACGCTCAACATTGCAAACAACACATAGTACAACATACCCGTCACTTGCCGCTTGCTGCCAGCGCCTTTGTCGTTGTCCTCCGCCACCACGTCCTTGTCCTCCACGGCGTTCGCCGTCTCTTCTTTGTCCTCACTGCCGAACAAGTCATCATCGTCGATTACGGCTGCAGCCATGCCACCGTCCCACTTGGCCTTCATGTGCGTGGCGGTGGTGTCGTCATGTTTCTCGTTCGGGCCGACCGCGGGTTCGACGGCGGACATGGCGCTGTTACCCGCCATCTCTTTGCCCTTCGCCGCCTCGTCGTCCTCCACGTCCCCCATGGCCTTCGCCTCCTCGTCGTCCTCCACGTCCTTCACCTCCCCCTCGCCCTCCACGTTCTCCGTACCCTCCTCGTCGTCGTCCACCTCCGTGTCCTTCGCCTCCTCGTTGTCCTTCTCCACTTCCTCCACGCCGATCTCTTCCTCTTCGTCCGGAGTCACCTCATCCTCCTCGACATAGTCTTCGTTGCCCTCGTCGTCTTGCGTGTAGCCTTGGGCGGCTTGGAGGTAGTCAACGGTCTTACGTGGCCGTGACGCCCTGCATCAAAACTTGTTAGCAAATGATATGGGTTGACGTAAGCTTTTGTGCCACACCTTGTTCTCCGGGGGCCCCTTGCTCTCCGAGCGGACGGCGCCCTACAGCACAACTTGTTAGCAACTACCATGGATGCGCGTAAGCTTCTGCGTCGCGCCTTGTTCTTCAGGAGCCTCCCCTTGCGCTCCGTGCGTCGCCATCCCCAACGCGATGGCGCTGCTGCTGTTTCGCGCTCTCCCCGTTGACGTAAAACAAAATGGGAGGCTACGGCACGTCGTACCTAAACGGAAATAAAGATATCACAAAAATCATGTTTACGGATATTGACAATTTTCACGAAAGATAAGTTGCGATAAATTTCCAGCAACACCTGTGTTGCTCCCAACGAGATATCGTCGAGTTGTAGGAGAGTTGCCGTAATGACTCCCGTTATTTGTAACATTTTGGCTTGTGTGGAGGAGCCCAGAAGTGCTGCCATCGCTTCGGAAAATATTACACCGAAATACTCAAATAGCCAGGATGTGCTAGTTTCCACAAGTTTCCACACGAACAAACAAACCAATCGGGTAGGGGTACACTGCACGACATAATCTTTCGGACACTCACATTTTTGTCCATATCTCAGCTTCTAAAAAGGGTTAGAGCTCGCTATTAAGATATGTTGTACATATCAGATCAATTTCTTCAGAGACACAAGGTATCCCCGATCGTCGATCAGTCGACGGGTCCACCCGATCCAACAAGCGAACCAGAGGCAATGAGCCCTGATCCGGGGGCGGCTGTCGTTGATACTCTCAGATCAGGTGGCGGACCGTTGCAGGAAGGTGATCGCGAGACAGAGGAGTCGGGGTCGTCTGCTTCGACTGTCCTCGTCAGAGACCCACCAAACCCACGGCCGGATCCTGCTGAGTCGGTGTGTGAATCTATTGGATCGGAGGACGAATGCTCTCCAGAACAGGAACAGGTGGTGTTGCCCCCCCCCGCCTACGCCGATCACGGACCAAGTGTGTACAGCGATGGATGACGCGAAACCGCAAGATGATCGTGCTGGTGACCCAGAGGGGAGGCCAGATCATGTGGATCCACGTGGTAAAGCAGCTGGGAAGGGTGGAACAGTGTTCCCTCACTTGCCATCGGCCGATCAGGTCGACGGTTGTGCCGTCGAACCAGATATTGGGGGCGGGGGTAACGATCGGACACACTCTGTGGTGGTCTTAGCTGTAGAAGAGTCGAGATCAAGTGACGATACAGCTGTCGACGGTGTTTCAGCATCTGAACGACTGCCGCAAGGGGCTGAAGACTCATCGATCGTTGGAGGTGATCAGCTGGAAATGGAGGCCAAACCCACTTCAAATTCAAATCGGGACGATCTCGTTGCGTCCGAACCAGATCGAGACGTTGGCGCTGATGATCAGGTTCATTACCACGAGGGCGGGAATCTGGCAGCAGAAGATGTCGAAGGTGAATTAGCTGTGCTTCCTGAAATTGTGATCTCGACGACGGATGAGGTGAAGATTGATGATATCAAGGTGGGTGATCTGGGGTTCAACACCCCGGAGGAGATCGATCGGCTGCGAAAGAAGATCTGGCACAGGAATCACCTGCTGATCGGCAAAGGCAATGCACTTCCCCCAGCAATCCGAGGCGTCACCTGCGACATCGACGTGGGCGACGCGAAGTCGATCGCTCAACGTGTCCGGAAAGTCGTCCCTCAGTTCGTGGAGAAGGTGTCCGAGCTGATCAAGGGATTATTGTCAGCCAAGATGATTCGGAAATCTCGATCCCCGTGGGTCTCGCCGATCGTCGTGATCATCAAGAAGAACGGCGTGGATATCCGACTCTGTATCGACTATCGGCTCGTCAACAGTCTAACCAGGATGATGGTATATCCGATGCCCTTGATCAACGATCTGCTGGAAGATCTGGACAAGGTACTCTGGTATTGCTCTTTGGACATGGCTAGTGGATTCTGGGTAGTGACAATGACCGATCGAGCTCGTGCGACCTCGGCCTTTATCACCCTCATGGGTCTGTTCGAGTGGAACCGGACGCCGTTCGGCTTAAAGAACGCTCCTCAGATCTGTCAGCGACTTCTGGACGACGCGTTGTATGGGTTCACCAGGATCCCGGGATCGTCGGACGGTAAAGTCACTACAGATTTGATCGAGTCAGGAGAACCAGAAGATCCGGGGCGTCCATCAGTGCTAGGTCGCAGATCGTACATTGTTGACATCCTGGTGACGGCCGGATCATGGGACGAGCTCTGTGATCGTGTGGACCATCTGCTGGATGCTTGTGATAAGTGGAACCTCTCGATCAGTGTGGAGAAGAGCTCTTGGGGAATGCGTAAGGTGGACTATCTGGGACATCATGTGTCGAACGACGGGCTGGAAGCCAATCCGAAGGACCTCACCGCTCGGACCGATCTGCCGTTCCCCGGATCGCTCAGATCGATGCAGTCGTTCTTGGGCAGTCTCAATTATTACAGCCGTTTCTTGGAAGATTACGCGATCTACGCGGCGATCCTGTACGAACTGCGCGAGGTGGACTTCGCCGAGCTGAAGAAACGCCCCGATCGGCGCCAGATCCTGAATCGTCAAGTGCCGAACTTGGTGGATACGGACCCAGTGGACCCCGATCGGACTCCATCAGTTCCTGAAGTCGGTGTTGCCGATGAACGCTGGATCCGTGCTCATCGTGCCTTTTCGACCTTCAAGATGAAGATCGCGACGACACCGATCCTGCGGCACTTCGATCGCTGGCGATAAGTTTCGATGGATCCGCCCGCGTCAAGCGAGGCGGGGGCGCGTACAGCGCGATCTTGTGGAAGTTACCCGAATGGAGTGTGGTGAAAGCACGATCAGGCTATGCTGAAGGGTTGACTGTTAACGAGGCGGAGTATCATGGTCTGTTGTTAGATTTCGACCTCCTTGACGGCGTAGATCGAGACAGGTTAGTGGTCTGCGGTGATTTCAACCTGGTAATCCGGCAAGTACGGGGCGAGATCGACTGTAAAACACCTCAGCTGGCATTGTTAAAGCAGAAGGTGCTGGACCAACTACGGAACTGGCCAGATCACGAGCTGTTACATGTGAAACGAGACTGGAACGGAAGTGCGGACAGCCTGGCCAGTGCAGCACTCCAACGTGAAGGGGGGCGTCGTCGTCGAGGATGAGGTCGATCATGGTGATCTAGTGACACTGAACCGACTTGATTATATCCTGGTTGTTCGATCGGATGAGTCGATCGCCCGACTATCGCCGATGACGACCCGATCGGGCGCCAGATCACGGCCGAACCCGACCGTCATGCAGGATGAGTTCGTGCGAAGGTTGCAGATCGATCGAATTCGTCAAGCTCAAGATGAAGAAACGTGGATTGCGGGTATGAAGAAGTACCTGATGGGAGATGTGGCTGATCTGACGCAGGATGAGGCTCGATCCTATGACAACATCGGAGCGGATTACGAGATCGACGGTGATACTCTGCTGTTCTATTGCCCACCATCCAAACGATCGGAGGCAGATCGAGATGGGCTGATGAGAATGGTTGCGCCGGGGACGCTGCATCAAGATATCCTGCATCACTACCACTCCACCCTGGAAGGCGGACACCAGTGGATCGGGCGTACCTATCAGCGGATCCGCGATCACTTTCACTGGAGAGGTCTCTTCAGGAGTGTGCAGAAGTACGTTGGTGAATGTGTCGACTGCGAGACCGGCAAAGGACGTCCCACGATCAGGGGCGAGTCGCCGGGAAACATCCAGGCGACATACCCGTTCCAGATCATAGCAATGGATCACATACCTTCGCTACCCAAGTACAAGGATAATACCGAACTGTTGATATGGGTAGATCTGTTCACAGGATACGTGATCGCGAAGGCCAGTTCGTCCCGAACTGCGCAGACGATCGCCGAAGCTTACGAAGAGTGCGTGTTCCGGCGATTTGGTGCTAGCGAGGTGATCAGGCATGATCGCGAACCGGGATTTATGGCCGACTTCTTCCGCGCCTTCAACAAGATACTGGGTATGCGTCAGCGAGCGACGATGGCATATCGACCGCAAGCTAACGGTACTGCAGAGCGAATGGTACAGACGGCGACGAGGGCCCTGAAAATGTTCGTGGAGGATCTGGATCAGAGAGATTGGGATGACTACGCAGAGCGATTGACCTTCGCGTTCAACACGGCTCAAGATCGAGTCCGCGGAGACCCCCCCTTTTTATCTGGTGCATGGTTGGGATCCCCGATCGACGCTCGAAGCGACGATACCTTTGGGTAGCACTCGGACTCGGGATCGAAATCCTCGACGGTGGCGTTATCGGATCCAGAGACACTACGATCAGGCTCGAAGTCAGGTGAATGCTCGCGTACGCGAGGCGATCGCGGATCAGGCCGACCGACACAATGAAGAAGTTCGACCGCACTCGATTGAGGCTGGATCCCAGGTGTGGCTGTACCTGGATCGCGTGAAAGAGGGGTATGCCCGAAAGCTGGCTCACCTGTGGCACGGCCCGTTCCATGTTGCGGAGAAAAGAAACGAGTACACAATGAAGCTTAAGATCGCTGGTAAGGACTATCACCTGTTCCCGATCGTGCATGTGTCGAAGCTGAAGTTGGTCAGAGACTTCCCCGATCGACCGCGGATCGCGCTCACGGTGGACGAAGCAGATCGACTTGATTTCGACGAAGTCTTACTTCCGGAGGACAGCTGGGCCCCAGATCGGGACTCGAACGAGTACGAAGTGGAGAAGATCACGCATATGCGGGCGGGTCGAAGGACGCGGTACGCCCGGACTTATCGAGAATTCCTGGTACATTGGAAGAGCTACGACGAGCCCGACTGGATTGACGAAGCGGATCTTAACTGCGGAGCCCTATTGTACGAGTTTCTTCGGGATCGTGTGAACCGGAACCGATTTGGCGCGATGCAGTCTCACGAGGAGGAGTGAGATCGGACCGCCAGGGTGAGCTGGTCACCTTGGTGAGCGAGCTGGATGACGGATCGACGGGGAGGTCGTTGATCGGAGGAAGGGGTTGTATATGAATGAATGTGTGTATGCGAGTGCAGATCGGATGGTTATGGAGCGAGCACAGGAAGGTATGAGGATAGATCTTGGCCGATCGAGTTAGCAACGAATGGATTGACGGGGAACAGCGGGAGATCGAGAAAGGATGTGAATTATTACGATGGAATGGATTAATGTGAATATTTCGCGTTACGCGTATGGAAGATCGGCCTCCGAGTCACTCCGATTCTGGGGGTGTAATGGTCGACTGGCTCGCTACTTACGGAAGTCGATCACAGAGACGGCGATCATGCCATGGCTGGTGCGGGGCGCGACGTTGGGGTTGAACTTGTTGCGGAGGCGCGGGATCCGTTGGGCTGGGTGGTCCTGGGGGTGGTCGCGATACTGGTTCCGCCAGGGGTCATGGGTGTCGGCCTCGATCAGGGCCGTTCGGAGGTCGGTCGGTTTACCTTGGTGCTGGGTGGGGTTGTCAGCAATCGCAGCGCGAGACACCACACCGAGTTACCAGGTCACAGCGTCCCGCTGTCGCACCGGGATCTGCAAGAAGAACGGGTCCAGCAGCAGATCGACGTCTGCCCACATCTCTCGCATCATGGGCAACATCGCGTCGAGGAGTCGGCGCCACCAATCACCGAGACGGATCCGTTGGGCTCTGCGATCGCGATGATATTGCTCAACGATCGGGTCCCGACGCTGCGCGGCCGTGATCGGGAGATAAAGAGTGGTTTCCCAGAAGGCCTGGCGATGCTGCGCCTCGAGTTGAAGGTAGGCGGTGGCGATCCGACCCGATCGAGTGCCGGCGCCTCAATGGAGTGCCAGATCGAAAGTCAACGGGTTGGCCGGGTTCTGCAGCACCTGCCAGGGGCGATCGGCCATCAACGCGGTAATGTTGGGTCCGGTGATCAGGTCGTCTCGATAGCCGATCCCGGCGGCACGCTGTGCAGTGCCCCGAACGGCGAGCGGGAAGAGCCACCCCTCGGGTAGGAGAAGATGGTGGGTCAGCGTCGACAGGATCATGGCTGTGATCTGTAGCTGCCTCAGCAAGATCGAAGGCCAGGGGTCCGTATCAGCCTGAACGAGTGCCCTGGGGGCGTTGAAACCCGGGATCATGGTGCCGATCGGGAACAACGGCGGGGTCAGAGGACGACGCCTCGGCGATTCAGGTGGAGAACCGGGCGGCGGCGATCCAGGTGGACCATGACGGGACTGATGCGTTCCGTGGGACGATTGGGAGTGAATTGACACGACGGAGGGCGATCGCGATCGCGAGCGAGCCGGCGAAGTGTGGGTACGGGCGGGCGAGGCGGATTGACGGCGACGGCCCTCCGATCGGGACCGAGCTAAGGCTGCGAGCGCCTCCTAATCAGATTCCTCCGACTCGTCTTCTTCTTCGTCAGTCTCTTGATCGGGCCCCTCCGATTCGGATCCTTCTTCGTCGGCCGTAGATCTAGCTGGAGACGACTTCGCATCTCCCGACTGATTTCCCTGCGAAGATCGAGGATTCGAGCCGGACCCGTCTTGGTCCGATCCCTCTTGCTTGTTTGGATCGGATGCAGGCTAATCTTCAGCAGGAAGTTCCTCACCGTTACCGTGTAACGAGAAGGACGGCGAGGGAGACCGGGCGGGCGACCGACTCTGAGATCGACTGCGGGGTGGAGGCACCGATCGGGCACGCTTGTGGATGTGCCCGGTAGAGTCCGGAGATCCTGAGCGACTGCGGCTGCGACGGCCAGGCGTGATCGGCGCGCACTGACGAAGCCCGATCCACCGAGCTACGCGAGACAACGTGTCAGCCACATTCTCGAGATCCTCGCTGGATCGATCGCTGGCGTGACGCAACATAGCGTAGGCATTCTGGACGTCGAGGAATTGGGCGTCTTGTGCCCGGATCACCTGTTGCGCACTTTCGAGACACGATCCTGTAGCACGGCGACAGCATGAGCAGCGATCGAGAACGGGATAGGTGGTATGGGAAGCTTACGTACGGAGGTCGGCGTTCTCTCGGAGTGCCACATCGCGGTCTTGATGAGCTTGATCGACGTTTCTCCCGGCAGCGGTGGCTTGGTCTCTCGCGGTATCTCGGGCGGTACGCATCAGGTCCAGCTCCTCGTTTACCCGGTGGAGGGCAGCTTGCGGTTGATCCGAGGCGGGCGTGGGTCCGGTGGGAGGCGTCGGGGTCGGGACGGCCGGAGTGGCCGCAGCCGCAACATGACCTCGCTGGGCCACGGCCGCTTCGGCCACCTGAAGGGCAGTCTGGACCCGATCGAGGCTGCCGCGCGTAAGATCTAGCTCGTGGTTCACCTCGTCTAGTTCGCGCTCTTGCCCACAAACCTGGGATCGGAGATCCGAAATATCCGCCGGGGGGAGATCGAGCTGGTGGTCCAGTCGATCACGATCGGCGTTAGCAGTCGCGAGATGGGCCTGAGCGCGTGTCAGTTAGCGACCCAGATCCTGGATCTCGGCGGCTTGCAGGGCTATCTGATCCTGGAGGCCTTGAATCAGCTGCGGACCCTGACCCTGGGCACTCTGTTGAAGTTCGCTGACTTCCGTCTGAAGGCGGCGGCGGATCTCTTCCTCTTGCGCCCAGCGGTGGCACTCCAAGTCGTGCGGTTTCGCAGTCAGCTCGCGCACGGTGTCATCCTGGCGCGCCCGGTCGCGGAGCATAGTCGATCGGGAAGCGTAGGCGCACGCCAGCTCATCTTCCAAGCGGGCGATTCGGCCGACGGCATCCAGGGAGGCCGCGGCACGGCGGGAGGCCGTCGATCGCGTCGATCGAGGTGTTGAATGAGTCGATCGGGGCGAGCCATGCGTCGAACCGTCGTCGTCCGGCGGACCGGACGGAGGCGCAAGCGGGTTGGGCGGCGGTGTGCTCATCTGTGAGTGGTCTGTGCTTGAGCCGGCGAACTGGAGAATGGCCAAGGTCGAACTGTCCGAAGTGAGCCGCCGTGCGACACAACTTGCGGCCAGGGGGCGGATGTGGAGAAGTGCTGAATAATAATTGATCTCCGAGAAAGGCGGCAGGGCCGATCAACTGGAAGTATGGGGGATCAGCGATCGAGAGACAGGCAGCGAGGATCTATGGATCAGAGGGAGTTCTTCGGGAGATCTCAAGTGGCCCGATGACGCCGGCGCGTAAGGCAGGACATGTGGCAAGCTGGATTGTGGATGATCGCGTTCGAACCGTGGCGTGATTCGAGGCCGACCCAAGTCGCGATCGACGACAGATCTCGCAGATCTAAGACGGCCGTGGACGGAAGATGATGGATCGGCGGCGTACGGCAACCGGCACAAGTCGTCGATCGAGAGGTGATCGCCGATCGGGATCGATCGCAGATCGGGAGTCGATTGTGGGATGATCGGGGATCGGGGATCGGCTGCGATGGGATGCACGTGGAGGACGAAGTCAGGACAAGAATCCAGTGGTTGTTTAGTTGTAGGATGGTAGATGAGATGGTAGCAGTAGAGAGACACCAGCTAAACATAAATCAGAACGCAATTTGCACAGAAGACCACAAGTGCCCTCAAGTCATCGAGTCCCAGGAACTACATTGGCCTCGGCAAGCGGTGACACTTCGGGTAGTGAACTAGTGGTACGGTTAAGACTGGATTAATACATTGGCCAGCTTGACCTACTCTAGTGATCTTTCTCTCGTGTGCAAGTCCTCGATCGACCGGATACTGCTTGGCCGACGATCGCTGCGTCTCTCAATCGACCTCGATCCCGCTATAGGAAGCGGCAAGTAACTCAGGAAAGGAAGGAACACACCCGGAAAGGCAACTACAGGCCGTGGATCGATTCCAGGCCGACCGATCGGAGCGAACAACCCTCGATCGGAGCGTATACTCGGACGCAGAGCGAAGATTCCCGCGCTGCTCCACAACCTATCTTCGCGTCACGCCAAGACATTCGATCTTCACCAAGTGCTGCATCTTCGGAGCCTCGAGAGAGCAGATCCAGCCCGCCGACGGGTACACAAGGTGAGAACAAGTTCAGCCGATCACGGATCGTTGGGGGACCCCCTCCGTTAGTCGGTGTCTGGGCGCTGGTGGGAAGATCGATCAGGCCTTAACCAGATTTTGGCCGATCCCGCTACACCAGAATATTGTGCTCGCAGATCGCTTGTCGGACTTCATCGAGGAACTTCACCTGGGCTGCTTCGGCGTCGGCGGGCGTGGTTTGGCCTTGTCGGGTTCGCGCGCGTATAGAGAGCTTGTGCCTGCGCAGAAAGCGACGTCTCCACGAGTAGGACGCGCTGAACACGTCGCGAGAAATTCCATCGTCTGCAGCTACCTCTAACGCCTTGAGCTCGAGCATCTTCGCCGATACAGGGCAGCCTTCTTTCCGCTTGGTGTTCAGCCACAAGACTATATATATATCAGCGTCCGCTGATATAATCGTTGCATCACCACTCCTGCGGAAGTTTTGTAGGTGCCCCTTACCATCGTCACACACCTTTTTACTGAAGCCGGCTTGTTTTCTTCCACTTGGAAATTTGCTTCTGCTTCTTGTTTCGTTCCGCCTTCGAGATCGATGGGTAGAGCTCGTCAATTACTGCGCCTACTTCGGCTCCTTTCGCCAGTTTGCCGAGGACTTTAAGCTTGTGCCTGTAATCGACTGGAATGGGAGTGTACGTCCTCTGCCCCCGGTCATTCCCAGTCGTACGAGGTCGAGTCATCGCCGACACTATTGAAGAGTGGGACGCGATAGCATCCTGCTACAGCAAGCCTATAATTAGTCGCTCGGGGCTCAGATTTCCCAAACATATGCTAAAAATAATGCGTCGCGATTGGCCAAAACAAAAGTTCGCTTTGGAAACGAGTTCGCTTAGGACAGGAGCAATACGGTAATCTAAGTATTGCGACCTGTGATATACATGTACTCTATCCGCGAGTCTCGCAGACTCACGTCATGGGTAACTGACCGACCAACCAACCGTTCTTCATTTCGCGATACGCTCCAAGAACGCACACCAACAAGCCAAGCGACCATGAGCAGCCAGAGTGTCCTCTACCCGCCGAACGCCAGCCACCTGACCAGCGAAGTCATTCGCAACGTGACGGAGCGCAGCACGCCCAGTTCGATGGCGTCGGCATGACAGCAAGTCACAGCGTACTGTACGTGCACGGCCTCTCCACAACAGTCAGCACCACGATCTCAAGCCCTCAGTATGTCCGGCTGACCGACTCCCACGCGCCAGTCAGGTCCACGCCCCAAGCAGTGGCGCTCGCGGGAGCCCCCTCAGCTCCTGGGGGGGTTCTCCCTGCTGTGGGTTGCACCACAACGATGGCCGGCCTTCCTACCACATCCACACGCCCGCAGGCCGCATCGGCGCAAGCAAAGGAAGAGGATGCCGCGACGATCGAAGCTCGACGACAACGCCACCGGGTGCACCAAGAGCGGTACCGGAGGAAGCTGCGCCTCAACCTCCAAGAACACCAACAGTGCATCCAAGATCTCCACGATGAGATTCAGCGGCTAGTGCTGCAGAGGCAGATCACGGCGCTCTACGCTTCCATGAGCTTGACCGTGTGGAGCCAGGGCCGCCGAAAATAGCATGGCCATAAAAATAATGGGCCATCATAACATAAATAAATTTGTTGTGGACTGAATACCTAGCACATATCATAATTGATGCAGCGAATCTACCCAATGTCATAATTTATGACTACAATTTATACCCTACTATATATCATATTTTTATCTGGAATCCTACGAAGTATCATCGTTTTTCCTTAAAAACGCCGGATCCATCGGCTGACAACGACTCTCAAGGCTCCTTCGTGGAGCGTTTGCAGAAACGCAGACGTCTCGCTCAGCACCAGCAGCAGTATAAACTGCTTCGCAGTATCCCTCCGACGTCCAGCAGTGTTGCCCGCATCACGCTTGGGCACGAGCGCAACTGTCGCGAGTCGCTTTGTCGGACCGGTTTGGGGCCGGCCGCCGCTGTATTGGAGTAGTAAGTGCTGCCTGTGCTTATAGGTTTATGGGGCACAAATAGCAAGGAGATCACTAAGCAAAATGCAATAAGTGTTCCTTACGACCTGTGTGGTCCTTTTAAGCAAAATTCACGACTGACCTTCCTTCTACTCCTAACTCTTCCTCTCTACCTCTGCAGATCCTTGCGTTTCAGTGCCTTCGGGTGACTCCGTTCCCGCTCACCCCTCCCAAAGACTTGATCCGTTCACCTTGACGGCCCTCAAAGCCGCCCAACATGCCATCCGTCCCCGAAGTCCCGCCACGACACTGCGAGGCACATCATCCCTCCAAGATACCTCTGCGTAGCGGCCCACGGGTCTCCACCTTCGAGACAACCCGGCCCACGGCCCACTACTTCTCGCCCGCGGCCACAGCAGGTGGACGACCTCAGGCACTCATCGTCGCCCACGCAGAGTTGGAACGGTCCAAGCCGATCCGACTCGGGACATCCTCCCCGACTGCATCTCGGCGTCCTCGCCGAGCGCACGCAGCTTGATCCACTTCTCTTCTTACTTGCCAGGCCCTCCGTTCGGCGTGCAATCCACTTCGCGTCCGCACCTGCACTCTCGGCGCATTGCCCCCGCCGTCCATCCTCCAAAATGCCTCACTTAGACGCTCAGCCTGCTCTTGCTCCTCGAGAGCCGCGCACCACGCAGCGTAGCCCTCCGTGGCCATAGTCAGCGGCGAACGCTGGCCCGCCGACGCCTCGTACAACCTCCACAACTTACTGGTTATGCATACCAGCGCAACCCAAACATTCACCACCAGCAACCAGTAGTTAGTCACTATTGCATGCTCGCCCTCCTCGGAGGCGAACCAGCAATCAAAGACCACGACTACAGCGAACACGCCGGCCACGCCCTGGCAGATCCACTCGACGACTTCGTAGGTGAACAGCACGGCGTAGAACGCCGAGAACAGGATCAGGGACGTCAGTGTCCATACCACCTTGGCGACAAGCTTGGCACGGGCGACCGAACGGCCAGACTCCAGACTCGCGCCCGTGCAGTACTTGGAGCACGCCTTCCGTCCCGACGCCCAAGTCTCAGGCAAGAAGACGCACCACCACTCGTGGGGGGCGTCAAGCCACTTGTAGAGCAACCTCCCCAGCCCGTCTTCATGCTCACCCTTGGGCTCCAGCACAACCAACGGGGTGGCCAGCGGGGCCTCGTAACACTTCCACACGCGAGTTCGGAGCGGCTGCATTTGTACGGCAGGCCCACGGACATACCTGCAGTAGCGCATGACGCATAACTTGGCCAGCACGCTCCACTTCAAGGCGAAGTCGACGAACGCAGCGGCGATCCGTGAGCCGATGCTTCGCAGGGGGCCCGTAACCGTCCACGACACTGCTCCAGCAGTGAGCCACGCCAGCTCCCAGCGACGCTCCACTGCAACTTAACAAGCTGCCTCAGCAGCGACCACCACTATTGCCGCCAGGTCGTTCACCACGTCCGTCGCCCACCCCATCGTTCCAGCAGCACTAATTCATAATGACGGCCACTTCGACGCCGTCCGAGCCGTCCGGACCGTCCGCGCGCGCCACTAGCGGCAGCCCTTGGCGGTCACCATCGACCTGCAGAGGCGCAGGGAAGCCAAGGCCCCGTTACTGCCAGTTGGTCACCTGCGTCGCTCGCGGGTTCTTCGAAAGTGGCCAGCCAGTTGAGCGTCCCTCTCAGACGGTCGCAGCCATCCACAAGGTGAGTCACGTTTCGTCAATTCACTTGAAGTCACGTGGTAATCAGAAGTTGCCGTAGCCGCCCCACTGAAAGTTGCCTCATTCCGCAATTTTCGCCGGGCCGCGCACTCCGCAGTCACCAAGCATCTCTCCGCTCTCTCCCAGGCCTCGCCTCGCCTCGCGTCCGTCATGGTCAAGAAGACCAACTTCGACGTCACCGACTTCGACAACCAGGTGGACAGCCTGGACATGGCCCTCGAGCTCGACGACGAGGGGAACGTCTTCATCGCGCAGCGCGAGTTTTGGGCGCGCCTCCGGACCCGTCTCTCCGTCAACAATGCGTCCCAGGGGCTAGACGTCCTGGACGCCATGGCCATGGACGTCCTGTCGGGTGGCGACGCACGCCGCCTGAACCAGATCCTCGTGATCCTGCCGCACCCCGACCAGATGCAGGCCGGCGAGCCTGCCGAGCACTCTGTCCTGTCGATCCCGATGCCGCCGTTGGTGCCCACGCCAGAGTCGACGTCACCGCCACCACGTCCATCGACAGGGACCAGATCGTCGCCACGGACGTCTTCCAAGACGAGACCGCCATCGAAGAAGAAACAGAAGGCCGCGGCCAAGAAGAAGGCCGAGGCCTACGACTTCCGGTTGCCGACGACGGCGCCCGCGCGACTGAAGATCGACCTGGCCGCACTTACGCAGCGTGCCTTCAGCAAGGGCCTCGCTCCGTTCCGCTTGGCGTACCCCTGGCGCAAACAGCGGTGCTGGTACCCGCCATCCGAGTATCCCGAGTTGCACCTCGTCCACTACCGTGCCAACATGCGCTTCCACGAGCTGTTTTTTCCTGTGGGCGCTGTACGCGCCTTGTCTGAATGCCGATCAGCGGCGCAAGGAGAAAATGAATGCGTGCCGAGCGCGGAACGAGCTCATTAGCTACAACATCGAGGAGCGAGGGTACTTCGGCTTTCTCGACGACTTCGAGAACGATGCTCATGACACGCTCATGTGGTTGGGAGGCAGAGCGGCCAAGCACTCTGCCGGCGCGGCTAAGAGCAAGGGCGCGGCGCACGAGGACCTCGGCGTTGTCTTCGCAATGGACAAGATTCTCTACGAGCGGGCCATCGAGCGAGCTCTCGACCCCAAGATCGTCGACGAACACGGCTACGCCTCGACTCCGGAGCTCCTCGAGGAGGCGGAGCTCATCGACCCCACGCGAGCGCCACACCTGCGACTTTCCGACAAGGCCCTCGCTCGCATCAAGCTCGACGTCACCAGCGGGCCACCCTCCGTGCCTTCTTGGGTGGGCAACCGAACCCGCGGCCCGTGCAAGGCCCTCTTGTCGGACGCGTCGCTCAAAGACACCATTGAGGAGGTGGTCGAGCTCCTGGTCTTGGGCATGAAGGTGGCCGTGTACGACCAGAAGCCTTTCAACCCCGACGAGCAGGGCGACGATGACTCGGACTTCGAGGACGAGGACGGAGCCTTCACGGCGTTGCCTCCGACGCCCCCCGTGCAGTACCGGGCTCCCGCCGTCAAACAGCGAGCTACCACTCCGTCCAAGCCAGGAGTTCCGGTTTCTCGCTCCAGCAAGTCAGGCGAGTCCGAAGACTCCAGCGACGACAAGAAGAAGCCGGCGGCCATAGACGACAGCGACAAGGACGACAAGGCCCAACCCAAGACCACCAAGGCCCCCGTCGCGGCCAAAGAGACGCTGCCGGGCGACGAAGCAGACGACGACGGCGAGGTAGCGAGCGAGCCTCCGACCAAGGAGCTCAAGTCGCGTTCCGCAAGCGTCCCAAGGCCAAGTGAGTCATGCGCACACCTCGGATCTCCGTTTATCTTCTTCATTTCGTTGTAGTCGAGTCTAGTGCTAATTTTGCAGGTAAAACCAAATAAATACATGAACTTGACATGCATATCCACCATTCTTGAGCTGCTCGTAAATCCATATCCACAATCACAGGTTCTTCGGCTCAAGAACATCACCAACTACGCCAGCAGCAAATAGTCATCATCGACTTGGGCGTTAGCGTCCGCCAAACGCGCACTTCGACGAAGCTCCGGCAACCCCTTCTTCCTCCTATCCGCTTGCTCAAAAGCGGTCACCAACGGCGCATACTCGGGCATCAAAGCCTCCCTGGGCAGCCAGAACACCTCATACGAGCTGGTCATCGTCAGGTACTTCACGCCCTGACCGTCCTTCATCTTCGCCACTATTTCCACGATGGGGGCTTCCAAGCCCACAATAACAGTGTTCTCATTTCCTAGTGTCAACCGTTCCGCATAGCTCGACGCAGGGAGGTCGGCCTCTTCCAACGGCCCCTCTTCTTCGTTTTCATCACTAGTGCCCAGACCCTCGGGCACTTCATCCATATAAGGCCGGGTCCACTTGCCACGATACCTTTTGAGCCTATTCACGTTCACGGTCACCGTTTTGTTAGGGTGAGTCGGGATGTCGACCCGATAAGCGTTCTCGCCGACCTTGGCTACGATCCGATAGGGACCGTGCCAAGCGAAGGCAAGCTTCTTCGTGCGCACTTCGCCGCGTTTCCCCCTGAACACCTGGTAGACCCACACCGGGTCTCTTATTTCATAATTCACTTCGGCTTCCCCTTCCAGGCGCTGCTCGTGCCGATCTTGTGCCTTCAACAACTGACGCTCAACCAAATGTCGCGAGGAACGGAGAGAGCTGTACAGCTCTCGCCTATACTGAGCCACTTCATTACTCCGCCACTTCTTGTCAAGATTGAGGAAGGCCACGTCCATCGAAAGCACTGGGTCGCGCCCGTACAGCGAGAAAAACAGCGAATCTCCCAGGGCCTCGTGGTAGGCCGTCCTGTAGACAAAAAAAAGCACTCTAGGAAGATAAATATCCCAATCATCTTGAGCCTCACTGACATGCATTCGTAGCATTACTATGAGCGTTCCGTTGAATCTCTCGACGAGTCCTTGAGTCAGAGGGTGGTAGGCAGCACCAAAGAGTTTCTTAATGCCCAACGTCTGATAGAAGGACTTGGCCACCTCAGACGTGAAGTTCGAGCCGTTGTCGCTCAGCAACCGCGACGGCACTCCGTGCCGAGACACCACTTCGTTCACCATCACCTCCACGAACGTCATGGAGTCCAAGCGTTCCACGGCGAACGCCTCGGCCCAGCGAGTGAAGTAATCAACGAAAACTAAAATATAGCGATTGCCACGCTCGGTTTCGGGCAGAGGCCCCACGGCGTCCACCACGAGCAACGAGAACGGCCCCGTCAGATCCACGATGGGCATTCTCTGCATTCGACCAGCGCGCCACGGACGCGCACCCTTGCCATTTCCGCACTTATCACATTCGCGCAAATACTCCTCGACGTCCTGTCGCCACCCTGGCCACTACGCGTGTCGCCTCACCTTCTCGAGCGTTTTCGTGAGGCCGAGGTGCGACGACAGTAGATCAGCGTGACAAAAATGTAAGACTGTTTCAACGAACGGAAGCGGTATCACGGGCACGGTCAGCGATCGAGCGGGCCCGACGCGCGCGGGGAGATTCACTCTGCGCATCAACAGCTCGTTCTCGACGGCGAACTTGGACCCAATCCTCACAACCTTCACTCGTAAGCTAGGGTCCAACGGCAGCGCCCCACCCGTCAGGAACGCGATCAGGGTCATCACCCACGGGATCTTCCGCTGCTCCACCTTCAACTGCTCTATATCGAGTCCGAACAAGTCCACGGACGACGGAGGGACGTCCGTCGGCGCGGACTCGTCCTCAGTAGCGTCTTCCGGCAACGGGACCGCGGTCTCCGTGCCCATCTCGCCGCCGCCGTCTGTAGTCATCGGTTCGGGCGCCACGTTGGACGGCTCCCCGACTGAGTCGGAAGCCACGGCTCGATCGGACAGCTCCCCGACTGAGTCGTTGGCCACGGTCTCGGGCGATTCGTCCGGATTCAGCAAGTCGGTCATGCCCACAGGCGAGCTCCCCGGGTTCAGCAGGTCCGCCATGGTCAGCGCGTTCACATTCGCGGTAGGGAGGCGCGACAAGCCGTCCACGTGCCCCATGCTCGTCCCGGGCTTGTGATGCACTCGGAATTGTAGATTGGATAGCTCGATCGCCCAGCGAGCGAGCTTAGCATTGGTCGTGCGGTTGCCAGGACGGAAGATCCAGGTAAGCGCCTGATGGTCAGTGTAGAGATCAAACTCTCGCTTATCTAGGTAGCAGCGGAACTTCCGCGTAGACCAGACAATGCCCCAGCATTCAATTTCAGAGATTCCGTCTTGGTTGTTGATCCAGTTCTTCTGAGAGCCTGTCAGTAACTTGCTAGCATAGGCGACAGCACGGTCTCGACCGTCCACCACCTGCATTAGACAAGCACCGACAGCATACCTCGACGAGTCGACGTAAAGCTTGAATCGTTTCTTCATGTCCAGGTAGACTAGGATAGGAGGAGTGACTAGAGCCCTTTCCAGCTGGCGGAACGCCACCTCACAGTCCTCGTTCCAGACACACGGAGTGTCTTTCATTTTCAGGCGTTCCAGCGGCGTAGAGATCAGAGCGTACCCCGGGATATACCGGCGGAAGTAGCTCGTCAGCCCCAAAAATGAACGGATATCATGCACATCGCGCGGCCTCTGCACGTTCATGACGGCCTTCACCTTCTCGGGGTTCGGGAGGATGCCCATGGGTGTCACAATGTGCCCGAGAAAGGCGACCTGACTCCTGCCCCAGTGGCATTTCTTCATCTTCAGTTTGAAGCCGGCCTGTTGAAAGCGGGTCAGCACTTGCCGAAGGCGAACGAGGTGCGACGGGAAGTCCTCGCTGAAGATGACGCAGTCGTCGAAGTACACCAAGCACACGCGCCACTTGAGGTCGACATGCACGGTCTCCATCAACCGTTCGAAAGCAGGTACAGCATTGCATAGGCCAAAGGGCATGACTAACCATTCGAATAGACCGTATTTGCATGTGAAAGCCGTATTAGCAATACTGTCTTCATGCATGGGCACGTTCCAGTAGCCTGAGGCGATGTCCATGGTCGAGAACAGTTTGGCTCCACTCAGCACGTCCAGGATGTCGTCAATCAGCGGCATAGGATAGCAATCTTTGACCGTTACAGCGTTCAACTTGCGATAATCGATGCAGAAACGGATGCCCCCTCGGGCTTCCTGATCATCAACACGGGGCTGGCCCAGGGGCCGTTCGAGGGCCGGACGAAGCCCAGCTTCTGGTACTGCTGGATCTCCGCCTCCATCACCTCGCCCTCGGCGAACGACACGCGGTAGGGCTGCTGCTTGATCGGTTTGCTGTCCCCAGTATCAATCTGTAACTTCAGCAAGTCGGTCCTGCCGGGCGAGTTGGACGACTCCACGAACATGTCTCGGAAGCGCTCCAGCTCGCTGCGGAACAGCGACTTCTGCTCATCCGACAGGGCTCGACTGGGAGAAGTCGGCCTCGAGGCCACCTCATTGTCGGGCGGCATATCGGGCCTCGACGCCCTCACAGTCTCGCCGAGATCCGGCCCCTTTGTCTCTTCTTCACGACTGGCAGCAACGGTGGCCGCCCCGCTAGTCTCGGGCGGACGGCAGGGCGTCTCTTCGGACTTCTCCGCCGACGGCTGCTCAAAGCCGAACACCGACTCGGGCACCACGGACGTCGAGGCCACCACCGTGTCCTTCTTGATCCAGAACTCTTGTGACCACCAGGGCCTGGCCCCTTGGCGGCAAGCGGACGGACACGGCCATCGTGGCCATGTACGATTCGAGGACCACCATCACGCCCAACAATAAGACTTCGCACGTGCTCTTCAGCATGAGCGTCCGCTCAGCCACGTCAATCACTGCTCCGAACGCGCCCAGCGCGTCGACGCCCACGATAGCGTCCACATCCAACTTGTCGGCCACGAGCATCCGCATGGTCACCCCGACCTTGCCCAGCATTAGGGGGAGAGTGATCCACCCCCGAATATGCAGACGGTGTCCAGACGAACTGCGTACATGCCCGTCGTAGGCCTCCAGAGATTCACCAGCTCGGCCCAGATGCTTCAGAACACGAAAGTCGACGAGACTGAGCGTTGCGCCCGTGTTCGCCAACATCTGCGAAGGCAGGCAGTCGATGTACCCGTACGACAGCGCCTCGAAGTTCCCCACAGTGCACACCACACGCCGACCACCGGCAACTACGCGTGGGAGCTCGGCTCCACACTCATCATCGTCCTCATCGGCACGGACGCCGAAGCCGTCCGGCAAGTTCACGGTTACCACCTCCACCATCCCGGTCTTCCGTCCACGCTCCGGCGGTGGACGCTCGGGACGGACCACTTGCACGTAGTGCGTCGCGTCGTCGTCTTCTTCAGGACGGAGCTCCCCGTCCAGCGCCTCGGCCGAATCGCGGTACAACGCCGTGAAGTCAAAGCATACGGGCCGCCGCGAGCGACGCCGCAGCCGACGCTTCGCACTCGCCGAGTGGGCTTCTCGAACTTTATCTAGTAGCTTATTCCAAATATACGTAGCGCTCTCATTGTAGTACTCGTTCGTCCATTTCTTCACAGGTTCTCGCCAGTCGATTTGGTCTTCATTTTCACCAGCAACTTGCTCAACATCGTGCACGAGGCGCACCCAGTCTAGATCAGGTGGCTTATCACGAATCGGGGGATCTCGACCGTGCCGCCTTCTCCGAGCGGGTCGACGACCGACTTCTTCGCACGCAACATCTCGTCCTTGGTCTCCTTCAGCAAGAAGTACACGGCCTTGCGAGCCTCCGACCTCTCGCTCGGAGAAGCGCTCGAACTCGGTTCAGGAGCGTCCACGGGCGGGTTCACGCTTACCGCAGTGACCATCGTCTCGCTGTTCTCCTCACAGACATCCACGGGGACCGCAATGTTCGCAGTCACGCTCTCCTCCATCACGGAGCCATCGACCGAGACGGTTGAGGCCTTCGGGCCCAGGTCGGACTCCGACAGGCCGAACGACTCATACGTTGTCTCCTCGGTCGAGCGTTCTAGAGAGACGCAGCTGGCCAGTGACTGTTTGAAGTCACGGTTGGCTCGCTTGGCCTCCACCGAGTTCTCCAGAGTGTTCCTGTACCAGTCCTCCCAGTACTCGGGCGAGGACGTGCCCTCGGGCGAGGCGTCCATCATCTTGGTCAGCGCCTCGACCGGGACGCCCAGAAACTTCGACATCTCTTCCATGGACGGGCCCTTGGCCCTCTCCGCATTCTCCTTCACCTTGCGCATCAACTCCACTTCATCGAGGGGGTGGAGCCTGTCCTCCAGCTCCTTGTCATACTCCTCGAGCTCCTCACTGATGCCTGGAACGGAGGGTTTCGGCGCCTCGCACTCCATGGCGTTCAGCTCCTCGTCCGTGAAAAGACGAGCGTGGCGGGGCGGCTCCTTAACGTCCTCGGCCGCCTCGACCACCTCGGAACTCTGGGGCACTTCCATGCTCTCGGCGGCAGCGCCTCGGTCCTCCTCGGCGACAGCCAACTCGGTGGCGGGCCCTGCCACCGGCTCGGGTCCTACGACTACGTTGACGTTCTCCTCGGCGATGTGCTCGCCGGCAGGCGATCCTCCGTCGTCGTTCCACTCGGCGAACAGTGTGTCCCCCACATCTACAGCGCCGCCCCACCCTTCGAAGGAGGGCTCCTCCGTCATCCAACGCAGACGGGGGCCTTCCTTCTTCAGGATGCTTCGCAAAGGGGCCGCAGTCACTGACCTCGGCACCGCTCTCAACTCCGTCGGCGGCGGCACCTCCTCCGTGGGCACCTTGTAGGGTATGTTCGCGCTCGGAGGCGCAGCACAGAATGCTATCGTCCGCACTGGCCGCATAGAACACATCACCGCCGACTTCCTCCTCCTCGGAGTACGCCGACTCCTCCGACCTCACGGACCGGTCCTCGTCGTACGCCGAGTCGACGGTCTCAGCCGCCGCCCCCTCTTCGTTGCCTACTCCACGCTCGGGGCTGCGGTCTGGGCCACTCGCGGGGTCTTCATCGCCCGCGGGGGCGTCCAGCTTGGCCGCCTCGGCCTCCTTAGTCTCTTCATCGTTACCATCGAGGGCGGCCCCATCATGGGCCCACGCCCCGTTCACCCTTACATTCGGCTCGTCCTGCTCGGCGCTCTCCTCATTCGCCGTCTTCCCCGCAGGGTGCATCTTCTCCTCCTCGTCACTCGCAACGGCCCACGCCGCTTCTTTCTCGTAGCAGTATGCAGGCTCTTCCGCCACGCTTTCCTCATTTTTGCCGTGCACAGACAACTCCGTCCAGCACTCAGCTTCACCTTCTTCCCGCACGGACAACACCGTCCGCCCCTGCTCTCGTTCATATTCTTCTTCGACGGAGACGCCGCTGGGTACAATCCACTCTTCCCGGGCCCCGTCAACCGTCTCAACTTCCACTTCCGCTCTTGGCGCCTCTACGCGTTCCTCTTCGCCGCTCCCTTCATTCACACTACTCTTCACAACCTTGTCCACCGTTTTCGTCGCCGTGACCGCAGAACGCCTTCGTCTCGCCTGCCTCCTACGATCACCCCCTGAGCCATCCTCTAGACTAGAGAAAGGAGTGGCTCCCTCCTCTCCTTCCTTCCGCCCCCGTCACTGTCGAGGGGTCGGATTGCTCTGGGCGGCCGCGTTCAGCAAACTCGGAGTCGCATCACGAAGCGCGGCCAACACTGCATCACGGAGTGGCTCGCGTCTTGGCAGAAAACACAACCAGACGGAGCTTGAGTACCCCCAGCGACTGCAGTCTGGCCTCCACCGTTCTTGGGCCTGTCACACTCGACCGCGATATGACCAAACGCGCCACAGCGCCTGCAGCTCATCGACGCGCGCTTGCATGTAGCGCGACCATGTCCCATGAAGTTACAGCGACCACACACAGGCGAACCGTCCTGCGTGCGACTATCATCGCCCATCCGAATGCCCCGGAATGGCTGAGCGTTCCCTGGCCCACGACCGTTTCCAGCGCGCTGAGTGGCAGGGGTGGCAGCCACTACCGGCGCTCGATTGCGAGGCGACCTAGGCGGCTGCCACTGGCGCTGCATAAGTTGCTGTTGCCACTGTTGTTCCTGCTCCATGAACGACTTCATCTGCTCAGCGAGGGCCTCGACCGCAGTCGTCGCGGGGGCCTCCTCCGACTTCTTGTTCTTCTTCTTGGACTCGCTGTCCGAGAACTCGTCGTCCTCCTCGATCGGACGGTGCATGTCCTTGAACATGAGCCACTCGCACGCCGCCGGAATGTCCGACGCGGGACTCGCGTCCAAGGTCGCCAGCATGCACTTGTACCGCAGTCCTCGGCGGAAGAGCTGGTACCGCATCTGCGGATTCGGGTAGTCGAGGGTCTCGCACAGGTCCGAGACTCGGTCACCCCACTCCTCCACGGACTCTCCGCGCTGCCTCTTCGTGTTCTCTAGCAGCTCCCACACGTCCGGCTGAGGAACTGGTTATGGAACCGCACCTTGAGCGTCCTGAACGACTTGATCCTCGAGTTGTTCCACCACCGGTCAGCCTCGCGGCCTCGCAGCTTCTGACGAAACACCAGCAATCTGGACCGGTCGGGGAAACCGTCCGTGTGGTCCTCGAAGAGCTCCCAGAAGTCCTGCGCCTTCTCCACCGTGGCCGTGTCCGAATGGAACATCGGCAGCACCTTCACGGCGTGCGAGACCATCGTAGACACTCGGCGAAAGTCCACTGGCACCGCGCCAACTCGTCGATGGTGCAGCCGTCGGAGCCGGCGGAGCCGTACCCGTTCCAGGCGTCCGACTTGCCGTAGGGCCCGTTGTAGGTTGCATGGGCATTCCGCCACCGAGCGGCTTCGAGAGCCCAGCCGGACCGCCGGCGAACTGCAACTTCTTCATCGGAGGGGGCGACTTGGTCGACGACTTCACCACGCTTCCGCTCCCACTCCATCCTCCGTACTCGGGGGCCTTCCCCGAACCATGTTGAGCGCTCCAGCTCCATCCAAAGGCAGGGCGATCCGTTCGGCGGGCCTCGGGACCCGTGTAGCGGGTGATGAACCCACTCGGGCCTCGCTGCGTCGGGACCGGCTCCTCCATCGCGTCGTGGTAGTCTTCCTCGTCGTCGGCGTACATCCCGTAGCCGTACCCATAGTCCGTCGGCTGAGCGTAGGGCTGCCCCACACTCGACCGTCCCATCGGACTCGAGACCGGTGGCTCCGGCTCGCCCTTCACGGCGGGCTCCGCCTTGGCCTCCGCCACGGTCCCCGTCTTCATTCCAGCCGAGGTCACCGGCTGGACTCCAGTCGCGGTCTCCGTCTTGACCGCCTCTTTCTCTTCATAGTCCTCGTCTTCTTCATCTTCCCGGAGCTCACGCATCACATCCGACACGGACGCTCCCTCTTCAGCATACTCAGCGGTCTTCCCCCACCGCTCCAGACCCCTCAATCCCTCTTCAACCGGGTCCGGCGCGCCCGCTCCAGCCTGGCTGGGCGGCGGCGGGGCCCTCGGTCGCTGGGACAGCGGCGGCGCTATCCCGATCATCGGCGTCCCGGAAGCCGGTGTCGAGGGCCTCTGCCGACGTCTTTCGGCACGCTCAGCTTCGGTTCGAGCGGCACGCTCTGCCTCGGCGCGCTCTGCACGCGCTCTTTCTTCTTGTTCAGCCCGACGGCGTGCTGCTTCCTCAGCGTTACCGCCTCTTCCTCCTTGTCCTCCTGGCATCTTCTCTTCTCAGTTTACCGTTCCTTGTCCACTCTCAGTTTACCGTTCCTTGTTCACTTGACCTCTTGCTCTTGACCGTGCACATTTGGCTCTTGTGTCTACTTTACCGTTCCCTTGTCCTACCGGCCTGGATCGCTCCTCTCACTGCTCCTCGACGCCGCTTTTCCCGCGCGGCGTGTACTCGTGTGCGGACTCCTGGGTCCTTCCCTGGCACACTTTAAACACGAGGAGGGGGGTCACACGTCCAGTCACCAGGTCCAGACGCTCGGCTCTTGACTCTGTTCACTTCCGGGCACAGGCTCTCAGCACTGTTCACTCCACAGTCGGCAACACTACCCTGCTTCTCCACCACGTGTCGCGAGTCGCTTTGTCGGACCGGTTTGGGGCCGGCCGCCGCTGTATTGGAGTAGTAAGTGCTGCCTGTGCTTATAGGTTTATGGGGCACAAATAGCAAGGAGATCACTAAGCAAAATGCAATAAGTGTTCCTTACGACCTGTGTGGTCCTTTTAAGCAAAATTCACGACTGACCTTCCTTCTACTCCTAACTCTTCTTCTCTACCTCTGCAGATCCTTACGTTTCAGTGCCTTCGGGTGACTCCGTTCCCGCTCACCCCTCCCAAAGACTTGATCCGTTCACCTTGACGGCCCTCAAAGCCGCCCAACATGCCATCCGTCCCCGAAGTGCCGCCACGACACTGCGAGGCACATCATCCCTCCAAGATACCTCTGCGTAGCGGCCCACGGGTCTCCACCTTCGAGACAACCCGACCCACGGCCCACTACTTCTCGCCCGCGGCCACAGCAGGTGGACGACCTCAGGCACTCATCGTCGCCCACGCAGAGTTGGAACGGTCCGAGCCGTTCCGACTCGGGACACAACGGACTGCACCCGATTACGCTGGAACAAATTTTGTTCCAGGTACTGGAGATGGTCTGCGTAACTAAGTTAATACAAAGTTGCGCACTTACACAACGCCATTATGTATGGATGGATGGTACTCATGTCATTATTTATGCAGTGGGTTTTTCTTGCAAGCGACATTATTTATTTGCCGATTCTGTCATCATAAATAAAAATGCCATAATCGGTGGCCCTGTGTGGAGCGTTACGGCGGAGTACTACCGTCCCTTCCGCGTCGGCTTGAAAGAGCCCGAGTTCATGACGTCCGACATGCGCTTCATCGGCTCCGAAGTTCAAGCACAACGAAGTTTCGTTCGCGCAGTCATAGCGCCAGACGTGCTCTACGGCACCGTGCAGGGCGTGGACGCCCTACTGGAGAACTGGCGGTACCTGAGTCTCGGGTTCAAAGGCGCCGTCGCAGTGATGAATGCAGTTCTGGACTGGCCGGCCGGGTTTCTCCCCGATAAAAAGTCTCCCAGCGTGAAGACGTAGTTGACCACGCAGGCGAGGATTCCAGTTGTGAGTCCATGTCTTGTCAGCATCAGCACTTGCCAAGCCGACGCGACAGCATGGCTTGTGGCCCGAGTGATATCGCCATGTAAGGACCAAGATCTGGAAACAAGGCGGATATTGGGGACTTTCGGCACAATCAACGCCATCTTGACGTCACCACTGGACTGACAATTGCGAACTTCCAGCACTAATTTTGATCAGCTATAGCTCACCTCGAGCGTTACTCGATGGTCGTCTTGATCCGTTTGACGCTTTTTGCGTCTTATCCAAGAATTTATGCATTCTTTTATTTTTCGATATACCGTGCTCTTCACATTCTCCCGAAGTCGACATCAGAAACCTAGATACCTAGAGCCTGTCGTCCACGATTCGGATCATGAAAATCCCGAGGATTTCCAATGCTCACTAGGTAGCAGGGAGGTCCTCTATAGTTTGTCACCTCCTGGCAACGAGTTGAATCATAGGACACCGCCTCCATTCGCGCGCGCCACGTAGTTCTCGACCAGACCCAGTTCCTCGAGCACCTCGCCTTTTCTTTTTTTCTGGCCTCTCGATAGTCCGGACGAGGCCTTGGTCGTTAGATCTTTCAACTCCGCCTCTAGTGCCGGCTTCTTGTGCTTCAGAAAGAGCTTAAAGTACTTGAAGTCGGTATTTATCTCGAGAGCTGGTCCGGAAAGCAGCACCACGTGCGGGTAAGTGGACTCCGACATCCCCAACGCCAATTTAGCGTACGCAGCGGACCTTCCAGCTTCGGCCAAAATCTCCGCTCTCGCCGTCATCTCCGCCTCCGACGCCCCCCTACTAATCATCTCGCGGGGAGGGTTATACCCCGCTTTCATCATCCGAAGCACATCGGTGTCGAAGAAGTTGACGTAGTCCTTGTACACTCTGAACTCGCGGGTGTTCTTGACCTTGTCCAGGTCGCTCGCTCTCGTTATTTTCCCGAGCCCGAGCTTCTGCCACGCATGGAACGAGGTGAGCTCGTCAATGGCCCACTTGTTGATCATGTACTTTTCCGATTTCTCGACGAAATACTCGAACGTCTTGTAGTTCTTGTGCTTGGCGAGGGCCTCTCCCTTCAGCCCTTCAGCTTGAGCGCCTTCATGACGTAGTCCTCCGACACCCCCCAATCCGCCCACCACAGCGCTTTGGCATATCCCCAGAAGCCCCTCAGCTCCGAGCTGTCGTTCTCCGTGCCAACAGCCCGCAGAGAACGCCCCTCAGCACCTCCATGACCGATGATCGGGTGGCTCGAAAGCAACGTTGAGTCCTTGGAGTGTGCAAGCTCCCTGGCCACCGAAAGAGATGCAGTGCTGACGAAGAAAGAGACCACCACCGCGAACAGAGCTCGACCTAGACGCATGGCTGAAATGGGGGAGAGAAGGATCGTAGTCTCTCTCTTCAGCGCAAAGTGTGAAGTGCTAACCACTCGCCGTGAAGTGGACGCCATTACAGCCGCTTGATGGTCGTCAACACTGAATCTTCATACGCATTATTGGCTCTTGTTGATCGTCAGCACAGGTCTTTATAAGCAGGTGTATGCAAAACTTACCATCACTTCCCGCCTTCCCCTATCGAAAGAGAACATGTATTCGTACGCCAATGAATACGTCCATGGAATCCTTGCAATGGTCCAGAGAGCAACTTGCTCGAGCTGAAGTGGCCAAGAACGAGCGAGCTATCAATGGAGACTTCGGCGCCGTAACGTTCGTCCTTGCGATTTGTTGTGCCCCTTGACAGGATGCGGGCGCTGTACAAGGGCGAGCTCGTCGACGGGATCCGGCAGGGCAAAGGCGAGCTGGCCTTCGTGAACGGGGACAAGTACGAAGGGGACTTCCTCCAGGGCTACAGACACGGGCGCGGAGTTTTCACTTCTCACCACGGCAAGCGCGTGTACGACGGCGAGTGGCATCGAAGTGAGAAGCACGGTGCGGGTAAAGAGAGGTGGCTCGATAGCGGCGACCGGTACGAAGGCGAGTACCAGCACGATCTCTTCCACGGCAAAGGCGTCCTCACGCGCGGCTCCAACAAGAGCAAGTACGACGGGGAGTTCCAGAAGGGGCGTCGCCATGGATACGGCCGAATGGAGTTCGCAGTCGCCATGAACTCCGTCGCCTCATCCGGTGCACTCAAGAAGCTCATCGGGGCTGCGATCGCCAGTGGAGCTGCAGGCCAGCAGCTCTCAGCAGGAGTCGCAGTCTACGTCGGGTCTTGGAAGGACGGCAGGATGAACGGCGAGGGCAAATACACGCGTCCGGACGGCAGCTTCTACGAAGGAACTTGGCGCGACGGACTGGCCCACGGCTTCGGCAAGGAGCTCGTCATGGGCACCATGGAGGTGTACGAGGGCACTTGGCACGCTGGACTTCGCCACGGAGACGGCGCCGTCACGCGCAACGGGACTCGCCGCAAAGGGATCTGGGAAATGGGGCAACGCGTGAAGTGGACTACAGCCGAAGTCGCCTTCCCAAAAAGTTGATCAATAGCCGAGTGCACACGAAAGTCAAGTACGTACTGTATCGGGAGCGAGTCGAGTAATTGATCGCGGTTCTAAATTCACCAGTCCATTCTACCGCTTACAACAACTATGGGTTAGTTCTGTGCCTTGATCACCTTCAGATCGTTCAAAAAGGCCACGACCTCCTGCGAAAACGTCGGGAGGTCCGTCTGACCGCTCCACTGCAAGCATTCGCCCTCCATCTTGGACGCTGCCTCGAGCTGCGGCTGTGTCAGAATCTCCTTGATGTAGCCGTGCAAAAATACCTGGTAGAAAGAAGCGAAGTCCACGGCTGCGACGCGGTGCAGCAGCTGGATGACCTCGTCCTGGAGCAGGTTCATCTCGCCACGGGTCAGGATATTCATGAGCGTCGATAGGAATCCCATGCGCAGCTCGCTCTGGAATCCGGTGAACGCAAACAGTCCCTGCGCCTTGTCGACACGGTCCAGCAGCCCCAGCACCTGCTTGCAAATACGCGGCGCCAAATTCGAGCCTTCGCGGCTCAGCACGCTCGCAAGACTCTGGAAAATTGACAGGAAGTATGTGTGGGCTTGGTCCGATGCGTAACCACGCTCGCGAGCGCCATCCGGGGTGAACTGGCCGGAGTACACAATGAAGAAGCGGTAGTGTTTCTCGAGCAGTTGCTCCACCAATGCCACGAAGTAGCCAAGAATGACGGAATCACTTTCGGGGTGGGAAAAGATCGACTACCAAAACAAAACAAAAACAACCATGAGCGCACGTTTAGATCAGGCAAACATGAGTGTGCTGTAGTAGGCCCATCGTACCTCTTTCAGCGGACCGAAGCACAGGTCCAGGATGTTTTGTAAGAACGAGGAGAAAACTGATGTCGGCTCCTCGACGACAATCTTCAGCAGCTGCAAAAAGCCGCAGAGAACCATCAAACCTGCATTTCCTTGGCTATTCAGTCTGTTGGAAGGCCAAAACACAATTCGGGTCAGCACAAGTCAGACGTCATATACAGAATAGAATAAGTACGTACACTGCTGAGAGCTGGTTGTCGTTGAAAATCTCCACGAACGTGCGCATGATTTCGGACACGGTGTCCTTCTGCATCTCCTTGCGAATCGACTTGAGCAACTGAGCGTACAGACGCACAATCTCGTTCACAACCTTGAGCGCGCTCTTGATCTGAGTTTTAGATTGGGGTGCATTACTCGCCGCCATTTTGCGAATCGTCGTGAAGTAGGTCGTCAGCAGCGCCATCAACGAAGGAAACGAAGGCTGGAATACCGAGAAAAACGCGTCCTTCGCCACCTTCGGCTTGGTTTCCACCGAGCGTGCGAGGCATCGAACCAAGTAGCAATCACGCCGCAGCTGCGCGATCATGGCGTGCTCAAGCACCCGCTGCTCGTTCTGATGGAGCGCCACAGCAGACTGATCAATGGATTCACGAATCGGGACAAGCAGCGATCCATAAGCGTTCTCCCATGACTGAGCTCCATTGGATGCATCGCTGTTTCCTCGGAGAGAGATCGCTGAATTCAAAATGGAGTTGGACATGGAAGTGTAGAGGTCGCCTTGAATCGCAAGCGGCAAGTGCAGGCTGAACTGGTGAATGTGCGCCTCCAGCTGGGTCATGGACTGAATCTGGAGCATTTCCTCGTACGATAGCACAAAGCCGAGGTTTGCAAGCAGCTGCATCGAGTTCTGCATCACAGCAAGCGGGGACGGCACGATGCTTGTATCCAGAGTGTGAAGAAGCACCTGAAGCACGCTTTCCGAAGCATTCAGGACGTCTTGCCTAGCTCCACTCTTAATCACAAATGGGATGCAGCTCAAGCAGAACCTGATGCTCGTGAGCGCTTCACACTGCAATTCAGCAAACGCATCGCCACGAGTGTGCAGTCTGTGCTGCACCATATACTCCGACATGGTGATAAACAAGTGCAGAATCTGCCAGCCAGCCATTTGCTGGTTCATGTCATCGCTGATGCTGTAGTAGTTGGCGCACACACTCGAGAGGATCGCGCTGTTCACCGTCAAGTCGCGAATCACAGAACGCTGCTGCTCCCACTGCTCCGAACCTTGAGCGATCACGGGCATTTCATGGATATGGAACAGCACATTCTGAGCAACGTCTTGCACCCGGGGAAGCATGATCTCCAGAAGTGGGGGTGCGCACGAAGGCAGAGCTGCGATACGTCGAATCAGCGCAATGCAGTCCACTACGAACTGCTTCCTCTCTGAGAGCTCCACCATCGTGGCTGCACCCCCAGAGCCATTCCCACTCGCAATGTCCGTCCTCACTTGCGCCAGATCCTGGAGCGAGCCTGTTCCATACGCACCGCCCGTGCTCTCCAAGTCGAACGCGGCGCTGTTGTCTGCATCCTCGTTATCTCCATGCGTTCCAGCGTCATCTCCATCGTCCAGCTCGTCCAGCTGGTTCCGGTTCGACCCGTACGTCACGCGCTCCACCAGGTGCAGCATCACCGAGACCAAGCCCTGCTCATACGCCGTCAGCACCGGTCGAATGCGCTCATTAGCAGCACCTTCGTTCTGCTCCACCTCCTCCACATACGACACGAACACCTCCCACACACTCAAGCAGTTCAAGAAGCCCTCGACATGGGGCTGCTTGGTCGTGAAAGCGTGCACCGACTGCAAGAACGTGGGCAGGATGTCGCCGTACTTGGGGTTCTCCAGCCGCTTCAAGTGCTGCGTCAAGAACAGCTCCACGAACTCGCTGAGCTTGTCCAGATACTGCTCCGTGGCTCTGCCGATCAGCTGGTCCTCCACCGTCTTCTGCAGCAGCGGACACAACCCAAACATGACTTGCCCCACCACTTCGTCCACCCTCGCAGGCACGAACCTCTTGCTCATGAGCTCCGCCAGACACTGCAGCGCCGTGGCGCTGGACACGCACATGTGCGACGTGAAGCCCCTGCCAAAGACGCCCACCCAGTTCCTGGCCAGCTCGAACAGCAGTGCAATCCACGCGTCGTTGACGTGGTCCGCCACGGGCGCCCACGTGATGAGGCTGTTGAGCGTCGTGAGCGCCACGTTAGCCACGCGGTCCTGCTCCACGACGCTCTGCGCGTCCGCCGACGTCTGCAGCACATGGCTGCACCCCTTCAGGATGTTGGCCAGCAGCGCCAGCACGCTCGGCAGCTGCGCCGTCAGGCGGTTCTTGGCCTGGCGCTTGACGGTGGCCAGCACCAGCGCGTCGTCGCGCCCGAACTCCTCCACGACGACGGACAGCAGCTCGAGGCCGCTCTCGCGCGTGCGCTCGTCGACCACGAGCGCCTCCACCTGGCCCAAAAAGTCGGGCCAGGGCGCGTCCGCCGCCGCCCACTGCACGCGCGCGATGTCCGCCAGCACCTTGCGCAGCTTGCGGCGCACGAAGGCGATCTGCGCGCGCCCCGCGGGGCTCGAGGCGGCCGCGAGCAGGTAGTCCCAGACGAACTGGCGCACGCGCAGCTGCTCCGCGACGGGGAAGTGCGCCCAGCGCTGCGCCACGTACTCCTCTAAGGCCGTGGCCGCGAACCACAGCGCGTACTCGCTCGCGGACGTCTGCAGCAGCTGGAAGAGCACGGGCAGGCAGGCCGCGGGCGTCTCCTTGAAGCGCGTGAGCTGCGCCTCCAGCTGCAGCTTGTCGCCCGCGGGCGTGGCCGGGTCCAGCAGGCGGCGCAGCGCGCCCTCCACCTCGGCGATCATGGCGGCGCCCTCGGCGCGCGGGCTCGTGCTCATGGGGTCGCGACGTCTGCACCTAAAGTATCAATGCGACAGGCGGCATTTTGTGTCGCTTGTGAGGCTTGACAGTGGTCTACGCCACAGACACTACATTACGCCCACTAATTTGACGTTTGCCAAAGTGGGTTCAGAAATGATTCCGCGCTCGTACGCCAGCGAGCAGGAGCAGGAGCAGGAGCAGGAGCAGGAGGCAGGCCGCCCCAAGTGGCTGCTGTTCGCGAGGGAGCAGAGCGGCAACGCGCTCGTCTTCACGGCGGTGGTGACGCTACAGACGCGCAGTTTCGTGGCCGAGCTCAGCGTGGATGACGACGCACTGAAGCAGCACGTGCGGCCTCCGACATAATATAACGCAGTCACAGCTCTAATGGCTATACTGCATGGTGCTACACTGTAGAGCGAGGAGCTGGGGCTCGAGATGGACGCGGACGCGCTCACGGCGCTGCTGCTGGTGCGGTGGTTCATTGGTTCATTGGCGGTAACTAACGTGATTCAGTACATTTGCTGCTAACTGCAGGTGGCCATTTGTTGTTGTGCTGCTGCAGAAAGCGTTGGGGCAGCGCGAGTGCGTGGACGTGGAGCTGGAGGCGGAGGGCGACGCAGTGACGGAGGTTTTCCTGTCGCTCACCTACAAGTTCAGCCCCACGATCTCCCGGCGGGGGCTCTTCCAGCTGCCCATTGTGGCGTCCGACGCGCCGCAGAGTCTGGTGACGCTGCTGACGAGTGTGCACGCTGCACCCCCGCAGTCCATGCTCTCTGAACTTCAGCAAAGGGAGAAGGAGGAGCAGAGGGAGGCAATGGTGGCTGCCAAGGTCAGGTCAGCCACTGGAGATCAGAAGACGAGCAGCGCAATAGCCACCCAGGAGACGAAGGAGGTGGCGACTACATCGCAGAGCTCAGATAGTGGAGCTGCCACCCCAGCGGTGAACCCGATGGTGCTCAAGAGGAGACACGTCCCCACGGGAACCACGTACGCTGTATGTATTTACTGTTGAAAGCTGTTGTCGAGGTGGCTAAAGGGAGCTTGTTATTGTGTTGTGGCTTTGTAGGAGACGGAAGGGTCCTCGAGGTGCCAAGTTGGCAAAGAAATAGAGTTGAGCACCATTTGCATGGGGTATACTACTGATCAACTTTTTGGCAAGGGAACTTCGGCTGTTGTCCACTTCACGCGTTGCCCCATTTCCCAGATCCCTTTGCGGCGAGTCCCGTTGCGCGTGACGGCGCCGTCTCCGTGGCGAAGTCCAGCGTGCCAAGTACCCTCGTACACCTCCATGGTGCCCATGACGAGCTCCTTGCCGAAGCCGTGGGCCAGTCCGTCGCGCCAAGTTCCTTCGTAGAAGCTGCCGTCCGGACGCGTGTATTTGCCCTCGCCGTTCATCCTGCCGTCCTTCCAAGACCCGACGTAGACTGCGACTCCTGCTGAGAGCTGCTGGCCTGCAGCTCCACTGGCGATCGCAGCCCCGATGAGCTTCTTGAGTGCACCGGATGAGGCGACGGAGTTCATGGCGACTGCGAACTCCATTCGGCCGTATCCATGGCGACGCCCCTTCTGGAACTCCCCGTCGTACTTGCTCTTGTTGGAGCCGCGCGTGAGGACGCCTTTGCCGTGGAAGAGATCGTGCTGGTACTCGCCTTCGTACCGGTCGCCGCTATCGAGCCACCTCTCTTTACCCGCACCGTGCTTCTCACTTCGATGCCACTCGCCGTCGTACACGCGCTTGCCGTGGTGAGAAGTGAAAACTCCGCGCCCGTGTCTGTAGCCCTGGAGGAAGTCCCCTTCGTACTTGTCCCCGTTCACGAAGGCCAGCTCGCCTTTGCCCTGCCGGATCCCGTCGACGAGCTCGCCCTTGTACAGCGCCCGCATCCTGTCAAGGGGCACAACAAATCGCAAGGACGAACGTTACGGCGCCGAAGTCTCCATTGATAGCTCGCTCGTTCTTGGCCACTTCAGCTCGAGCAAGTTGCTCTCTGGACCATTGCAAGGATTCCATGGACGTATTCATTGGCGTACGAATACATGTTCTCTTTCGATAGGGGAAGGCGGGAAGTGATGGTAAGTTTTGCATACACCTGCTTATAAAGACCTGTGCTGACGATCAACAAGAGCCAATAATGCGTATGAAGATTCAGTGTTGACGACCATCAAGCGGCTGTAATGGCGTCCACTTCACGGCGAGTGGTTAGCACTTCACACTTTGCGCTGAAGAGAGAGACTACGATCCTTCTCTCCCCCATTTCAGCCATGCGTCTAGGTCGAGCTCTGTTCGCGGTGGTGGTCTCTTTCTTCGTCAGCACTGCATCTCTTTCGGTGGCCAGGGAGCTTGCACACTCCAAGGACTCAACGTTGCTTTCGAGCCACCCGATCATCGGTCATGGAGGTGCTGAGGGGCGTTCTCTGCGGGCTGTTGGCACGGAGAACGACAGCTCGGAGCTGAGGGGCTTCTGGGGATATGCCAAAGCGCTGTGGTGGGCGGATTGGGGGGTGTCGGAGGACTACGTCATGAAGGCGCTCAAGCTGAAGGGCTGAAGGGAGAGGCCCTCGCCAAGCACAAGAACTACAAGACGTTCGAGTATTTCGTCGAGAAATCGGAAAAGTACATGATCAACAAGTGGGCCATTGACGAGCTCACCTCGTTCCATGCGTGGCAGAAGCTCGGGCTCGGGAAAATAACGAGAGCGAGCGACCTGGACAAGGTCAAGAACACCCGCGAGTTCAGAGTGTACAAGGACTACGTCAACTTCTTCGACACCGATGTGCTTCGGATGATGAAAGCGGGGTATAACCCTCCCCGCGAGATGATTAGTAGGGGGGCGTCGGAGGCGGAGATGACGGCGAGAGCGGAGATTTTGGCCGAAGCTGGAAGGTCCGCTGCGTACGCTAAATTGGCGTTGGGGATGTCGGAGTCCACTTACCCGCACGTGGTGCTGCTTTCCGGACCAGCTCTCGAGATAAATACCGACTTCAAGTACTTTAAGCTCTTTCTGAAGCACAAGAAGCCGGCACTAGAGGCGGAGTTGAAAGATCTAACGACCAAGGCCTCGTCCGGACTATCGAGAGGCCAGAAAAAAAGAAAAGGCGAGGTGCTCGAGGAACTGGGTCTGGTCGAGAACTACGTGGCGCGCGCGAATGGAGGCGGTGTCCTATGATTCAACTCGTTGCCAGGAGGTGACAAACTATAGAGGACCTCCCTGCTACCTAGTGAGCATTGGAAATCCTCGGGATTTTCATGATCCGAATCGTGGACGACAGGCTCTAGGTATCTAGGTTTCTGATGTCGACTTCGGGAGAATGTGAAGAGCACGGTATATCGAAAAATAAAAGAATGCATAAATTCTTGGATAAGACGCAAAAAGCGTCAAACGGATCAAGACGACCATCGAGTAACGCTCGAGGTGAGCTATAGCTGATCAAAATTAGTGCTGGAAGTTCGCAATTGTCAGTCCAGTGGTGACGTCAAGATGGCGTTGATTGTGCCGAAAGTCCCCAATATCCGCCTTGTTTCCAGATCTTGGTCCTTACATGGCGATATCACTCGGGCCACAAGCCATGCTGTCGCGTCGGCTTGGCAAGTGCTGATGCTGACAAGACATGGACTCACAACTGGAATCCTCGCCTGCGTGGTCAACTACGTCTTCACGCTGGGAGACTTTTTATCGGGGGGAAACCCGGCCGGCCAGTCCAGAACTGCATTCATCACTGCGACGATGGCGTCCGCAACGACGTGGCATTATGCCTCTATCTACCTTTTCTGCGCGTTCGCCATGAGGAAGCTGCACCGCAGGGATGACCCTGACAAGGTCTGGGGCTTCACAAAAATAGCGGGGCACTTGATGCGGCAAACGTTGGGCGTTTATACTGTTGCAAGTAGGAAAACCTTGCAAGCATTACTCAGCGGTGATATGTTACCAATGAGGTGATATGTGTCATTGCGAGTGCTCATTCTGTCCAGCAGTAGGACAGGCAACAAGTGTAGCTAGGTTAGAGATCTAGCCCCACGTCTCCAAGGGGAATTCCCCTATCCATGTTCGTACGGAGCCTCTGCTCCAAGTGTGTTCTCATTCTCAAATATACCTTCCTCAAAGGACTCGAGTCTCCGGCGCTGTCGACTCTTCTCAGTGGTCTTCCTTTTCTGACCTCCTTTATATACTGCGTAATTGCGCTTACAACGGGGACAACGTACGCGATAGTGGCCTACTCTACTCCAACAGTGACTTCCACCAAGATTTACCGCTATCTCGCCTGCGTTTTCAACACGCTCTACGCAGCTGGAGCCGATGAAGCGTGCAGAAGTATCTATCGCTTCAAGAGTGCAGAAGGCCAAGCTGGGGCAACGAGTGACAAGGCTTCATCTTCGTATTCGCACAGAATCCTCCGCACATTGCCTCGAGCTGTGAATTTCGCCGCAACAATTATGCTCTCTGCCGGTTTTGTTCACGTGTGCAGCAAACGTACGATCACTTCCGAGCTGGAATTGATTTTCTTCGGACTCGCCAGTATGGGCTTCAAAGGAATAGTGCTCGGAATCACCAAACGCATCGTGTTCAAGAAGAACAACATGCGACCAGAGTCCATTTACATCGCCACGGCGGTCCCCACAGTCATCATCAACACGCAGCTCTGGGTTTCCATGCTACGCTCCAGTTCGGAGACAGTGAAGCGGTCTCTGGTGTTGGGGCTGGTCAGCCCTGTTCTAAGGACGTCGAAAGTTTCGCTCATGTGACACAACATTCGAGCGCGAGACTCAACCCAGCGAAAAATCAAAAGGTTGCTGCGGATTCATCAAGCGAGACCGGGGAGCTACCACCTATCCGACTATCAAGATTATCCCGCTGAAGGGAAGCTCCTCAAGGCGCCGGCCATCGGCTCGCTTGCTGTCATTTGTTGGGTGGAAGCAGAAACTCGTCAGCTTCCACGCTGCGATCGCTCACGCCGACATGTGCTCCGAGCACGTTGCGATTGCGTGCTCGATGTTTTTGTACTATTTCTTCCAGAACCACCCGAAGCTTGGCTGGGATGAGACGACGACGATCTCCTCTTTAGCCTGAGGGCTCACAATGGGCCCCTATCAATTCGGAATTGATGTCATCGTGGACTGGGTGTGCTGGATGTGGGAGGTCAAACGCGGCGTGTCGTTCCGCCACGTCATCCACTTCAACGGGTTCCTCACAGCTCTCTTTTCGAGCTGTGCGTTGACTTCCATCTCGATTTCGGCGGTGTTGTACGTGCGTGGCTTCTAAATACTCATCAAGTTTCTTTGAGTATACCTTTTGGAACTACAATACAGTAACGGTACGTAGCGAGCACGATAGGAAGGGATTATCGCGTTCAACGGAAGCGCTTCAAGTTACAAGATGCAGCCAACAGCTAAAGTAAACACAGTGTCGTTGTTTTTTTACTGATCCTTAGCATACAGCTTTGCACTCGGAGGTCATGCGCGCCTTGCTAAACACGAACGCCACGTCCTCCAGGGCTCCCAGGATACGAAGCAGCGGCGTGAAAAAGTCGGGCGTCAACTGGATGCTGGACATTTGTCCTCGCTCGTCGTCCCACTGGAATTCCGCTGACGATTTTACCGAAAGCTGTTGGCCCAGTAGTTTCGTTGCGATAGGGTGCAGCCTCCCACCCTCATCGCACTCCAGCAAGTGGGGAAACACCATGCGTAGTGTGTTCTCCGTCACAGTGAATGTCGTCGAGCTCGTTGCGATTACAGATCCCCCAACTCCATTCTCTAGACATTCTAGCTGAATGTCAGCGCCTTTGAGCCCGAGACTCAGGTACCGCCAGTTCTCCAGTAGGGCGTCCACGCCCTGCACGGTGCCGTAGAGCACGTCTGGCGCTATGACTGCGCGAACGAAACTTCGTTGTGCTTAAACTTCGGAGCCGATGAAGCGCATGTCGGACGTCATGAACTCGGGCTCTTTCAAGCCGAAGCGGAAGAGACGGTAGTACTCCGCCGTAACGCTCCACACCATGGAAGCGTAGAGCGCCGTGATCTGCCTCTGCAGCTCTAGCCACTGAATCTCTTCGTGGAGATCTTGGATGCTCTGTTGGTGTTCTTGGAGGTTGAGGCGCAGCTTCCTCCGGTACCGCTCTTGGTGCACCCGGTGGCGTTGTCGTCGAGCTTCGATCGTCGCGGCATCCTCGTCCTTTGCTTGCGCCGATGCGGCCTGCGGGCGTGTGGATGTGGTAGGAAGGCCGGCCGTCGTTGTGGTGCAACCCACAGCAGGGAGAAACCCCCCAGGAGCTGAGGGGGCTCCCGCGAGCGCCACTGCTTGGGGCGTGGACCTGACTGGCGCGTGGGAGTCGGTCAGCCGGACATACTGAGGGCTTGAGATCGTGGTGCTGACTGTTGTGGAGAGGCCGTGCACGTGCAGTACGCTGTGACTTGCTGTCATGCCGACGCCATCGAACTTGGGCGTGCTGCGCTCCGTCACGTTGCGAATGACTTCGCTGGTCAGGTGGCTGGCGTTCGGCGGGTAGAGGACACTCTGGCTGCTCATGGTCGCTTGGCTTGTTGGTGTGCGTTCTTGGAGCGTATCGCGAAATGAAGAACGGTTGGTTGGTCGGTCAGTTACCCATGACGTGAGTCTGCGAGACTCGCGGATAGAGTACATGTATATCACAGGTCAGCAATACCTAGATTACCGTATTGCTCCTGTCCTATCAATATGACATATTGAGAGTCTCAATATCTATGAGTTAATCCAGAAGTTTCAAGAAATGCTAGTGTCCTAACTAGCGGCGAATTGTCGGTTGTTGCGCATTGCCACGGGCACAGTAGGAAGGTTGGAACGCTGGATGGCGCGGCCAAAGGCTCCGGGATCTTGGTTGCTGGAGCTTGGAGAGGAGAAGGAGATTCAGAAGTGGATGGTTCTTGAAGTGGAGTGTCCTCTTGGTGCTGCTCACGCAGAGATGGAAGCAACGACAACACTCAGCTGGGCGGCAAAAGCCACCGTGTTGGTCGTGTGTATATTCTCAACTGAGGCCTAGATTCTTCTCTTTCACCTTTTGTCTTACTCCAACTGCAAGTAGTATAGTGGGGATCAGTATAATCCGCATCAGCCCCACCTACGGATTCCAATCAACTTGCATCTCCAAATCTTGCCCTTGGCAATAATCCCATTGCAGCTCTGTGTTTTTCAAATGCCGGACGTGCCAATGGCTTTGTAAAAGCATCGGCCACGTTATCAACTCCTGGCACCCGAAGCACGTCAATTTCCTTCAAATCGATGCGCTCACGCACGAAGTGGTGGCGCACATCGATGTGCTTGGTCCGAGAATGAAACACAGGGTTGCTGGCAAGCTTCTTTGCACTTTCGTTGTCAACAAAGACTTGGGATGGCTGAATTTGCTGCACCTGCAGCTCCTTCAGCATTTGGCGCAAGTGCACCACCTCCTGCACCAGTAGACTAAGAGCCATATATTCGACCTCGGTCGTGTGCAGCGCGACGGTCTTCTCCGTCTGGCTGCTCCACGAAATGATCCTCCCACAAAATTGAGTCACGTAGCCTGCAACAGACTTTCGATCATCAACTTGATTTGCAAAATCCGCATCTGCGTATGCTCTCAGATGATCATCCAGCTTTTGATCTGACCACGCTAGGCCACCAAGCTGGACCCCCCAGTCAGCTGTGTCTTTCAGGTAGCGCAATCCACGTTTTGCAGCTCTCCAATGCAACAGACCTGGGTTTTCCAAGAACTGACTGCACTCTCTAACTAGGTAGGCCAGATCGGGCCGGGTACCGAGCATCAGGTACATCAGGCTGTCAACCACAGCACGATATGACTTCGATCTCATCAGTTGCCTTTCATCGTTTTCGGTCGGACACATGGCCTTGCTCAGCTTCAGATCCGCCGTGCTCGGCGTCTTGCATGTTGAACCGCTTGAGCACGGTCTCGGCATACTTCTGCTGACCAATGAACATCGTTCTCTCGGCCCGGTTCCGCGTGATCTCCCAGCCTAGAATGTAGTGTAACTCCCCGAGATCCTTCATCGCAAACCGGTCCTCGAACATCTTCTTCATCTTGTTGATGAGCTCCATCGACGGAGCAAACAAAATCAGATCATCAACATACAGAGGGATGAAGACCAACTGCCCATCAATTACTTTAACAGCCACGCAAGCCTCCGACTGCAGCATCGTGAAGCCCTGCTCCTCCAAGAACGACTTGAGCAGCTGAAACCACACTCTGGGCGCCTGCTTCAAGCCGTACAGGCTCTTCTTCAATCTGCACACCCAGTCCTCTTTGCCTTTCACTTTGTAGCCTTCAGGCTGCTCCATATAGACCTCCACGTCAATCGCCCCATTCAAGAAAGCAGTAGTGACATCCATCTGATGCACTTCATAATTCCAGACAGCCGCCAGTGTCAAGAGAACACGCAGTGTCTCCAGCCTCACAACAGGCGAGTACACCTCTAGGTAGTCGATACCATAAATCTGCATAAAGCCCTTGATCACGAGCCTCGCTTTGAATCTTTCGATCTCTCCGTTCGCTAGATACTTGACGCGAAAGATCCAGCGATTCTGCAGCACTTTCATGTGCTTCTCACGCGGCATCAACTCCCAGGTATCGTTCTTCATCAACGAATCAAACTCATCATCAGCTGCATTTTTCCATTGCAATGAGTGCTCACTCTCCATAGCGTCACCGAAAGTATCTGGCTCTTCAAACTCGCCAGTACTCATGCAGCAATAGTCCTCCCACCATGCAAGGATCAACTCGTTCGCCATAGCACGTTGCAACTCAGCTCGTGCTTTCCTCCATCCAGCAGGCAACGAGTTCACATCATCATCTGGATTTGTATTTTCGTAGGCAATGTAGACGTAGTCACCGAACCACGTGGGCGGTTTACTTACCCGACCGCTCCGTGTCACTGGAGGGTCTTTAGGGCGAGTGCCTCTCGGGCCTGTGTACTCACGAAGTGCTGTGCAAGGAGGCGTTGATACTCGCAGCATCACTCGACACTTGGCTGTCCGAGTCGGCCCGTCCAGCAGCCGATGACCTGCTGTCCACCTCTTCCACCTCTTGACTCCCTGGTACAGCCCTCGTCTCGTCAGCAGCCGGTCCCTTGTGCCGCCCACTGCTGCGTTTCCTCTTTCTCCTTCTTTTGGAATTGCCTGGCACGCACTCACCTCGCAGGTGGTCTGCCTCATGTCCATTGACACGTTCCTCATCACGTTCTGCCACCTTGCTAGAACGATCACATACAGATGCTGTAGAGCTCACTCCACGTCCTTCATCTCGTTCTGCCACCTTGCTAGAACGTCCACTTTCAAACACCGCAAACCGCACTCTCTTTGGTCGAGGCGCTGCGGCATCACCACCGGGGCCTCTCTTCTTGAACCCACATGCCCCATCTGACCGGACATCTTGCTCAACTGCCCCACCTGGTCGGTCATCACATCGAGTGTCATCCGCCCCACCAGTCCGATAATCACCTCCGTCTCTGGAGTCGCTGGCCCCACCAGTCCAGCAATCGCCATCGTCACGATAACGGAGGCTGCATTTGGCGTTGATGCCGAGTCCATGAGCAATCGACCAGCTTTATTCTCATAGAACACGACAGTATGGCTGTAGATGGCCTTGTTGGTCTTGCTATCGAGCAAGCGATAGCCTCGCTTCTCTCGCGAATATCCAACGAAGACCGCCTCCCGTGCTTTCGCCTGCATCTTCCGTCTCTCCACCTTGTCGATGTACGACAGGACGGCGCAGCCGAACGTCCGCAACTTCTCATATGCAGGAGTCTGACGGTGCCATACTGCATACGGTACCTCCATGCCTCGAACCGAGCTTGGCATAATGTTCACGGAGTATGCAGCTGTCATCGCTGCCTCACCCCACATCGCTTCAGGCAGGTCGAAGTGCACGAGCATGCATCGCATTCTCTCCGTAATGGTGCGGACCATTCTCTCCGCGACACCATTTTGCTCCAGAGTATGCTTGATGCTGCTGTCAAACTCCATACCATACTTCGTGTCACACGTACTTTGCAGCTTCTTGAACTCAATTGCATTGTCTGACCTTAGCGCTTTCATTCTGACATGCTGCTGCGTCTTGACGCGTTGATAGAACTCCTCAAACTTCTGGTACACTTCCGAACGATGCTCCAGAAGATACACGGTGACAAACCGACTCGCATCATCAACGAACACGGCAAAGTACCGTTTACCACCGTAGGAGTGCTCTGCATACGGACCCCAAGCGTCCACATGGACCTTTTCGCCAACTAACCACTCGCGGGTCTGTGTCCGAGACTTCTTCATGCTCTTCCTCGTAAGTTTCCCCGTCACACAGGTCTCGCAATTGAAACCCACCGGGATACGCAAGTTCACATGTGGCAACGGCCACTGATCATGGCTGAACAGCGCATTAAACGCGTTCTTGCCAGGGTGCCCCAATCTCGAATGCCACAGCTCCAAACTACTCACTCGAGCTGGTAGCGCCACCATGGCTACCTCTTGGGGTCTCTCCAACTTCAAGCGATAGAGATTGGTATAATCAACTTGAGCGGTAGTCACACCAGCCTGTAAGATAACATCAACGCGATCTGCCTCATCAAAGTGCACCTTCACACGATCACGTTCAGGCAGATATTGGTTCAGTTGCCGTCGCACAGAATAGAGACTGCACTGCAGCTCTGGAGCATAACGAACTCCTCGCAGCGTCAGTGAGCACCTCCCACCAGTAGTCTCCAGCTCTTTAACCAAAGTACCAATACCCTCAACACCCAGCGAGTTCTTTCCTCCAACTCGAATCCGAGCGCTAAGAGGCGTGAACTTCATGAAATCGGTGAGCTGGTTCGAAATATGACTCGATGCACCAGAGTCCAGGTACCAGTTATCATGGGCTTTGTCTGCGACCGGCTTTTTCATTTTCATCACTTGAAGAATAACATACGCGCTGTCATCACTTTCATTAGCGTAGCTACTCGTTTCAGCAGCCTTAGCACTCTTTCCTCCACTCATCTTCACGCGCTTCTGAGCTTGGGTGCTGCTGCGATCCTCGGCTGGAGGTCGCTTGCCAAGAAACGGGCAATCAACCACATGATGCCCTGCTTCATGGCAGTGATAACAAGCACCACCTGGCTTTTGTCCACTGCCGGCTTGGCCACGTCCAGTTCCACGTCCACCACCTTGGCTCCCGCGACCGCCAGAACCACGTCCACCACTGGAACCGCGCCCGTGTCCTCCAGATCGACCACCACGTCCACGGCCGCGACCACGTCCTCGACCTCTTCCTCCACCAGCAAAGAACGCCTTTTCTTTATCATCATTGTCCTTGGCGCCCTCTGCTTTCCGACCTTGGCGATGGTCGTAAGCCATCTCCAATGCGAGTTCAAGTTGTTCATAATTAGGGGGATCATCAGCATTTTGGGGCTTGTGACTGGCGAGAAACGTCTGTACAACATGATCATATTCGCGCGGCAGAGATCCAATCAATAGTGCTGGCTTTACATACTCGTCCACAGGACGCCCGACTCCAGCAATGGTCTCCATCAGCCGACGCATCTCGCTCAGGTGATCTGGCACATTGCCGTTGGGAGCGAGCCGTAGCCGACTGAGCTTGGCCCTCTCCTCAGCGTACTTCAGGTACGTCTTGCCCATAAATCTCTTTTTCAGGCGCTCCATGACACGAAACGGGGTGGGTTCATACTTCACAGTCTTCATTATGTGATTCGTCATTGCGTCGTAGATGATCTCCTTGGCGTGGGCCATCTCGCTCGTCCACGTCGCGTGCGCCTCTGCCTCCTTGCTCTCGTCCGGCTCGAGCAAGTCCTCCATGCAGTACTTCCACAGCTTCTTCCTCTCCAGCTTGAGCTTGACTCGCTCGTGCCAGACCTCGTAGTCCTTGCCGTCAAACGGCGGGATCGTCTTCTTCTCCTCGTGTGACTCCTTGGGCGTCTTCTTCTGCTCCGCCATGACGTCCTAGTTGCTGTGCTCCCCACGCGTGAGCCTTGGGCTCATAACCTGAAGTGAAGTGTCCTCTTGGTGCTGCTCACGCAGAGATGGAAGCAACGACAACACTCAGCTGGGCGGCAAAAGCCACCTTGTTGGTCGTGTGTATATTCTCAACTGAGGCCTAGATTCTTCTCTTTCACCTTTTGTCTTACTCCAACTGCAAGTAGTATAGTGGGGATCAGTATAATCCGCAACAGTTCTCTTCTCAGTGCCAAGCCCAGCGACCACATTGATCCTACATGCATTGTATAAATACACTAGCTACTTCAGCTTCTTATTCTACTAGGACACGAGCATAAGACACAGAGGTCCTCCGACACGAATCGCCTCGGCAAGGCCGTGATTCGGGATTTGGGCTGCGATAGCAGCACTAACGCTGCTTCCTATCCCAGTAAAATAACACCATTTTTTTTAAATAAAAAAGGGATAATCGTCTTAGTGACAGCATGTGGACAAAAAGAGTGGACGGGACCAAAATAATGTGATTTGGTCCCTCATATTGCCTTACATCTAATATTGTGATGAATGCTGACGAGGACTTATTGGCTGGCCTCTTGGACGACTACGAGACCCTGGAGCCGTCGATCGAGCTGCAACATGAAGAACCTACGCCAGATCTACCACTTCTGGGCATCCACCAGCTTCTAGTGGAAACGGAGGCCTTGCTCGCCTCTATCGAAGTCCCTGTCGCCAGTTCTGAATCTGAATCTGGGGCTCAGGAGGCCAAGGTGGCCAAGAGGAGACTCAAATATGCCAATAGGATCAAGAACGAGAGGAAGACGCTGGAAGAAGAAGCGAAAGCGCTGTCAGAGGAACTGCATCACTTGCAACATACCAGGAAGAAAGTCAAGTCGCTCTGGGATAAAAGTTCAGCAATGCCGCTGTGGAGGGCTATAGCTACTCGGCAGATGGAGGGCCGACTAGTCGCTGAAGAGCAGCAACACAAGCTGAAGCATGCCGTGGAAACTCGAGCAAAGGTGCTGGAGGAGATCGGGGCGATGGTCCGAACGAAATTGGATCATGCCGAGCGAGATGAAATGACTATTATTCCGCAGAATAATGAGCTCGACGCCGATGACTGCGTGCTTTACGAGGAATTTTTGCAAGATTTGGACGTGATTTACGCCGAGACAGACGCAGTTTTCCGAGCCTGTGGAGTTGAAGAAATGCCCCAAACATCCTACAGACTGGGGCCAGATTGGAAGAAAGATGGCGACCTGGAATACATCGACAAGCTGGACGTATTATTTGTCCCCTTCAGCATGAGGAGACGTGCAGCACGATGTGGCAGTCCATGCTCCACGTGAACCGACAGAAGGACAGGCATCACTACAATAACGTTGCTGATTCGGAGAACACAGTTGCAGCCAAGCTACGTATGCGGCCGATGCACGAATCCGGTGAGCGAGTGGACATGCTCGTTCACTTGGCAATGCGTCGATATATTGAGGCTGGAAGAATTGTTATGGTGTGGCGAGCGCTGTCTCATGGGGAAGGCGAATTCGATGGGATGCACTCGGACGAAACTGGATGGTGTCTGGTGCGTCCAAATGACGAAGAGTTAGACGAAAACTCATTGATGCGGACCGTCATTCAGACCTTCGTGCGCTTCATTCCTATGAGCGTTGCAAATACTGCTGGTCGCGTGGACGGGTTCCAGTTCACCAAGTTCGTCGTGACATCGGTGGAGAAGGATGCGGACGAAGTCGCGCGCTTGATGGATTCACTTCTTCTCGACGACCCCAAGGACGCAGCATCAAGCCTAAACACCCGATAAAAAAGTTTTTTTTTCACACTTTAGGGATGTTAGCTCGTGAAGATGTAGATACTTCAAGGTCAAGCACAATCGCCTCGAGATTATTGAGTTATTTCCCCAGTTTCGGGTTGCTTTGTGTGCTCGTGTGCATCAGGTGCTAGCTGTCCTGAAACTATTTTAAAAAAATAGCAGAATACAGCGTGACGTACATGGTCTCTATACTTTAACTAAGTCGTGCCTCCGACCCGAAGAAACTCTGGAATTTAAACGGTTCGTCATATTTGAACTAATGGCACACAAATACCGTAGAAGAAGAAGATCAAGAAAAAGAACAAAAAGAAAAAACAACAACAAGAAGAAGAAGTACTTAAGTACCGAGTAACTACACAAAATCCATGGGAATCGCTTCACTCTATTTACTGGAATAGATGAGACCTATCTTAGAATATATCTGTATAATTGCTCAAGACTTACAGGCGAAAAGCTAGACGCCTGATACAGATTGATACTTAGGCACCGTTGTAGTTCTGCTATCGCAACCCAAATCAGAGTCGGCTACGTTGTGGCGCTGGTGGAGCAACTGCTCGAGAAGCAAAAAAATGTTTCAAGCTCCGCTTTACTCGCTACAACCCAGCCATTTCTCCTCGGTCGGATCGCATTCTTGGCCGACCCCTCTCTTAATTTCAGTCCGTGGTAGTTCAATGTAGTCTTTGTCTGGCAGACAGGCAAGAACCTGGATTCGAGTGCTGTAGCAGATACCTGATGTGTTACCCGGGAGGTAACATTTACGATAAGGTTTACCATCGCATACCTCAATCGTCTCCTGCGTCGGGAATACTGACACACCGGCCGTATCGTAAAACGATTTCTGGCAAATACTGGAACTGAATGTCTCGAACGCTCTCTGTGTGGCAGCATCTCCATAGTATGGTGCCAAATTCACATTCCGATTTGTATCATTTTCAAGCATAATGCTGCAGGAGTCAACATCGCACTGCTAGCTCGACATGACACATGGTCCAAGTCGCACTGGTCAATGAAACCATTGCAACATAGATAGCTCGGCCGAACAATCACGAACTCCACGAGTTTGGACAATGGCGAGAGATCAGGCATCGTTTCGAGCCTTGGCATGATTGACAACAACAAGCGGCTGAGCTCTGGTACATTCTCAAATGCCGGTAGTTCTCTTATTAGCGTAATCCACGCGAGCGACATACTTTGAAGATGGGGGACGCCTGTTAAGGCTGGAAGCTTTCTAAGGTTGAATTGTACCCCAAAGTGAAGTGTCGATAGCCGAGGCAACAAATCGGCCGGCAGGTCCTGCAAGTTCTGACTGCCATATTTTCCTTCGATGTGGCTGAATTACATGCATACGAAACAGTGCAATACATCAGTGATAGATACACTGAGGCTAATACCCGTCGTTCATACATTGTCTCTAGATTTTTGAGTTCTCTGGCCCAGGGCGGAATTATTTGCGTGCTCGTGTACATCAGATAGCTGTCAAGAATGAAGCAGATAGTACTGTACAAGCGAAGTGAGTGAGTATTAGTAAATACGATGCAGAATGTATTAGCTCACGTACATGGTCTGAAGACTTTGACATAAGCGGAGCTCCTCAGGCCACGTGAGCAATTGACGATTAATCGCCTGCAATGATGTGAGCTTCCCAGACGCTGCCAATACCTTGACTTTCTGGTATGCGTCGATCGGATGAATCCACTCATCGTACGTCTTGGGTGCAAGATCGATGTCAATCAGGATGAGGCAGGGGCAATTATCCTCAGTGGTCCCCCATCGGTGAGCGTACACTACACACTCCGAGTGTACCGAGCACAACGCTGTTGAGTCCGAGACAGCCTTATTGGTAGCTAACAAAACACCCAGGCTCACGCCAAGGAATACAACGGCCACTCCTTTCGGAACAAAATTCTGATTAATAGGCAAGTATCTTGACGACTTCCGCCGCTGGAAACTTCGCTCTTGATGGCGGGTGTAAATTAGCGCAACTAGAACGCGTTCGAAGCGGTAGCAAAACGTCAGGTTCATGATCAACCGCACCACAAGATCGATCCCTGAGTTAATGCGAACCGAATCCAAGCATACGCGGAATAGCGCGATTTTGGAGGGATCAGCGAATGATCTCGCAAGATGCTCAAAACTCCCAGGCGGTAGCTTTTCCAGGTACGTCTCTCGGTTGAAGTCAAAATTGAAATAGCAATAGACGAGCGTAATAATCGGGAACAGAACGGCAGCGGACAAGTCGAAGCTGTAAAACAAGGTGACGATAGTAAGTGCACTGCTGCAGTGAAAGGAAATGAAATGGAAACAGATCTCACATGGAATCGATGAAAATGCCGAGAATCGGACCGTCAACACATTCACAACGCAGGGTAGTGAGTTTACGGCCAGAAAGCACGCATACCCGTACGTCAGCGGCGTTGGGCTCCCATTTTGCAGAAGTTGTCTAAGCATGGTTCCTTCCAAAGCCAAGTCTATCAGCTTCATACAGGCATTCTGTAAATTCATAAGAAAATAAAAACTGTAAAATACCAGGGACATGAACAAAGAAGATATCGTCATTCCTACCCATTTCTTGCGACTTTTTCCCTTGAACGACGTTAGTTCACTCCGCAGGACACGCAGTTGGCTGCAGTGTAGCACCTTTGAAGGTTTCCAAGTGGCCGTTTGCCTAGGAAAGGCCGAGTCGAGCAGCATATTGCGCCTTAACAGCATCCTTAGTGCCACATCCAAGTAGCACACATCCACGACCACAAGACCTACAGCTCCGATCAGAGTTACGTGCGGGTATGAATCCTTGATAAGCCAGAACTCTCCGTTATTGTATGCCTCAGTGTTCATGAGCCAATTTGCTGTTCTATTTGGTTCCAGTGCCAAGAAAACCAGCCACGCAGTCCAGACAATGCAAACCACTAGAACGCACAGCATCAGCACGCCAACAATACCAAACGCTTCACTGAATGTGAGGATTTCATCGCTCTCCAGACTCCGCCGTGTTTCAACCACTGTCAGCCCCTTGACTGATGGTCCACCAGGCAGAATCTGGTTGCTCTTCACCCTGCGTTCGCTGTCCGCAAACCTGTTTGTTGGAGCCAGCTCGGTCCTTCGCATCTCTCGTAATCGCACTGTTGTAGAGTGCTCGAACTCCAGTTTCGGAGCCCAAAATACATTGCTGTACTACATGTAGATAACATAGTTCCCACCAACTCGTTTTTTGTAACAAATAGTTTCAAATGCGAAACGTTTCCGAATCACTCGCGAAAAGCCCCGAGTACTTGTCCATCCTGCCGTCTTGCCAAAATCCGACCTAGGCTGCGACTCCTGTTGAGAGCTGTTGGCCTGTAGCTCCACTGGCGATTGCAGTCCGATTATTTTTTTTAGTGCACACAAGAGATGTTTCTTGCGTTGCCCCTGGAGATTGCGTAGCGATATCTCCTCGATCACTGAACATTTGGAACTGGTTGGTTGCTCAACATCGTACAACGCCGAAGCTGAAGTTGCCGTACATTTCGTATCGCTACCGAAATCACGACGCCATGTCGATGGTCCTTGTCGAGCGCTGGGAGTGGGATGCGAAGCTCAATATCAAAGCTGAGAATCATCAAAATGTTACAGTATACTTCGAAGTATATAGGTTCTCCAAATTCGTGAATTTAACTGCATTACATGTATCCACGAGTTTCCTGGGCCGAAGACGTGACCTTGACCTGCGACGAGTCCGCTTTGCACCCTGCTGGCTGCCCGGATCTGCTGCATCGGACCGTCGTGTTGCCAGCACAACACGGGGTTGGCCCTGGACCGATTGCAGCTCTGTCCCAGCAGGCTGTTGAACAGCAGCCATGTTAAATGCCCGGATCTGCTGCACCTGCGATCGTACGGGACCAGCGGATCGGCTTCCGAGTCTAAACCGCGCTTTGTCTAATGATTAGACTCGACTCGAGTTGACCGATCGAGACGGTTTTCCCCCCACCACGGGCAACTTCAATGACTGTGTTGGGCACAAACGCTGCGGAATCTCTGCGACGAGGCAAGTCGTTGAGGGCACAAAACTGGGCGCCAATAATTTAGTGTTACAAGGTGACGACACGCTTTGTTCAGAACCTCCATATGTGGCGGTGGAGTTGAAAGAGAGACGCCCCGACTAACGATACTGTACGGTTACATGATGCAGCACTCGCCTTCAGCCTCTTCCTCGGCTTCCTCGGCCTTGTCCTTGGCCGCAGCCTCGCGGCGCTTCTTGTGGCTGGACGCCTCCTTGCACGGGCACGGGAGACTGGCCGCCACGCCGGCGAAGTAGCAGCGTCCGCAGTCGTTGCAGTGCACGTCTCGGTGGTCGCAGCAGCGCTTGCAGATGGCGCAGTGGTTGCGCGGCGTGCGCTCGCTGTCCAGCAGCTTGTTCATGCACCACGAGAAGTCGTATCGGCGCTTGCACGGCGCGCACGTGTAGCCCTGCACGCAGTCGATGACCTTGATGGTCGAGTCGCAGCACGGCACGGCCACGGGCTCCTGTAGCCGCTGCACCATGTCCCTCGTCTTGGACACGTTGTGCATGAAGCAGTCGTCCTTGAGCAGCGCGTCGATGTCCGCGCCGGCGGCCTTGACCATCAGGAAGGGGTTCTTGCACGACGTGCAACGGCACGAGGCGCCGCACATGCCTCCTTCCTTGACGCAGGCGCAGCGGCCGTTCCTGCAACCTCCAGTGCATCGGCACGACACCACACGGGGGGCCACGGGCGCCGAGGCACGGGCTGCGTGAGGGTGGTGGTGGCTGTGAGTGTGCTGCGGGACCTGAGGCACCGGCACCTTGAACGCGGGCTCTGTTGTCCTCACTGTGGTGGCACCAGGTGATCTCACGCTCGTCGCGTCAGGCTTGGGCGCGATGTGGACCATCCTCTGGGGCGGGACAGCAGGGGCCGGCGGCATGATGGGTGGGGCCATGCCCTGGTTCAGTACGTTCCAGTAGTTCGGCATAGCTGACGCCGGTGGGAACTGCTGTGGCGCCACGGGGGCGAAGTTGTTCGCTGCTGCGTAGTTGGTCGGAGGCGGCAGCACCTCGGGTTTGCCCGCGTCTCCGCTGTCCACCAGCTCGTCCAGCTCCATGTCCATGGGCGCGGACGTCTCCTGCTTGAGGACGAGGTCGAAGCTCGTGGGCGTGTTGAGATCGTCCAGTGCCGCCAGCTCCATGTCCGTGTCAAAGTCCGACTCGAGGAACGACATCAACTGGTCCGAGTTGGCCAGCAGGGGGTCGTCCAGCGCCGCCACGTCGCCCGCGGGCGCGCGCGCGGGCATGAGCTGCAGCGACTCGTCGTCGATCTCGGCCATGATGGCCTCCAGCTCGTCCGCGGGCTGCGCGAGCGCCACCTTGTCCACGACGCCGCGGCAGAGCGGGCACGAGCGGTTGAGGCGGAACCAGCGCAGGAAGCAGTTGGGGTGGAACGTGTGGCCGCACGCCGTGATCTGCGCGTACGCGTTGGCGCTCAGACACACCGAGCAATCGCGGAACGAGGGCGGCAGCGCCTCCGCCTGCTTGCGGATGGCCGTGCAGGCCTTGGCCACCTCCGCCTCGAACAGGTCCACGCCGCGCACGCTGTCGGCCGCGTAGTCGCGCGGCCGCTTGCCGGCGAAGGTCATGGCGCTGGGCTTGCCGCTGTTGCTGTTGCTGTTGCTGTTGCTGCTGTTGTAGACCTGTGGCTTGGCGCCGGCGTAGGCCATGGACTGCGCCTGCTGCTGCTGCTGCTGGGGGGAGAGCGACCGCGCGTTGCTCTCGTAGATGTAGCGCAGACTCGAGTCGGCGCAGAAGACGCTGCCCGAGGTCTGCTGGCCCCAGCCGTCGGCCAGGACGCGCTGCTGCTGCATGCCGTCCATTGTGTAGGATGAAGTGGTGGGGGTCGACACCCTGGGGTTTATCTTGAGCTGACTATGGTCGCCAACGTTTCTCTGCCCTTCACGCCGCCACGGGAAGTTCTAAAATGAGGGCCAAAATGCGGCTGAAGAGGCGAGGGGAGGCGAGGGGGAGCTGTGATCTTATGCGGCCGCATACAGTTCGCCATATATTTTACTGACGCCAGCACCTACCCCTCGCGACGAGTTTCAGGATCCAGAACGGCTGGATCCGCCGCGCAGCTGCCCCGACGGCGACCCAAGCAGGGTGCAGCCCATCGATTGACGCCAAGCAGCGGAGCCCACGCTTCACGGCAGCGGAACAGCTTGCGCGAGTGGAGATGTCATTGCGGCGGCGGTTGTGGGCTGACGAACTCCTTTTGTGAGGTGTCGATTTGCCTGGTGCAATCATGCCAAGTGTTGGCGTGGCGTTCGTGCATATTCTATCTATCGCCAAGCACGCGAGCAGGCGACTTGAGTCGCAGAGGGACCGAGTTGAAGCACTGGCACCGCCGCGCAGAGCCTAGGCTGCAGAGTTAACAGCCAACCTGGCTCGAAGAGCGCGGGGTCTGCTGCTTTGGAGGCCGAGGAAGTCAAGCTCGATGGGTTGTACATGTATGTGTTGAGCCAGGGTGCTGTGTTGCAGTGGTTGTGGCTGTTAAACCGAATGTGCAGATCCGTGTCCCCCGAAAAGCGGGATGCGTTGAGCCGTGTTTGAGTCTGCTGGGAGTTCCTGCGCCAACCAAGCAACATATTCGGTGCGTCTGCTGCTATCGCGGCGCGGATTGCGGGTTGAACTCACATCTTGCTTTCATTTCCTGCAAACTCTGGAGCAGATACAGATCTGGTTAGTACTTAGTACCAATCGGCGTCAAAACTCTACTTGGAAGACAGGTTTCAGGGGTCCAGGTTCAACGACAAAGCCTCGCGGAAGGCATAACATTGTTAAATTGGCTACATGTACACTTTCAGTATAGCCAATTTTCAGGAAAGGCATGGTGGAGGATCGCGGTCTATTGTGCTCGAATGGGCCGAATCCCGCTCGTAAGTGCGCAGGCCGTTGACCGTGCAAAATGGCAGTCGTGGATCGCGGTGGTCATGTTGGCAAATTCGACCTGTCGCTGTCGGGTCACTCGTTGAAGCGCCAACTGCAACTTGCTTGTCTACAACCGTTGTTGCGTTGACAAGCGGAGCACGAAGCAGCAGCGTGGCATTTTCCCGCCGAGATTTTTTGCCGCCGCAGGCGAGAGAGCGTTAAAAATGGTTTCGGTGGTCGTCAAAAACTAAGTCTACAAAAATAATGGTACTTACCTAAGTACTGTATCAACGATGTTGAATCGGTGTTTATATTCATCAGGAGGTTTGTCCACCAGACTCGTGTGATCACAGAGGAATACGTGTGTTGGCCTTTAAGTCAGGCCTTCCGAAATAATCATTGTATTGCAGATCCAATGCAATATTTCTCAGTAAATAACTTATTTTTTGTAAAAAGCATTTCTTGGTCAATAAAGTATTTTTACAGGTAATTACGCCTATTGCTTTTTTAACGAAAAAACACTTGTTTACGAGACTGTAAAAAGTGTTTTGCTAAACTCTTCACGACAGCCACCAGATAGCTCATAATTACGCCACAGGGCATGCCTTCTAGAGAGCTGTTCATCTCATCCACTCTAGCGTACTACCAGCACCTTATCTACCATTTCTGAATTCATCATGCGCTCGCAAACATCCTTCACGACCAAGCAAGTCTGCACCTACTTCTTCACCCCGCTGCTCGACGAGCAAGATGAGCCCACTGAGCACTTTCGCTGCCAGTGTGGCACAGTGCGCAATCAAGACGTCAAGATGGGCTACTCGAACCTCTTTAGCCACGTGCTGAAGCAGCACCCCGACTACGTGATCATGCTGGCGAACAGCGGCTTCAACTCGGGGACGCTGGTCGTTTTTATCGACCAGAAGAGCCAGACCGTCTACTGCTGGCTGGACTTTGTCACTGAGTGCAACCTCCCTTTTTCGTTCTGCGAACACCCGACTGTGGACAAGTACGCGACGATGAAGCGGATTTGCACCGAGACGCTGTTGAAGTACGCGGTCTTGGTGACCAAGGAGGTCGAGATTGGCAGCAGTGCGTTCATACCTCTCGAATTCGGTATCATGCTGGACGGGTGGAGTTTCCACTCGGAGCATTACGTTGCCGTTTTTGCGGTTTTCGAGCACGACCAGCGCTCTGAGAAGGTTCTCCTGGCATTGGCTCCAATCGCGGATGACGGTGTTGAGGACCAGACGGCTGAGAGCCACGTCGCCTTCTTGACCGGTATTCTACCGTTTTTCAAGCGGGACATTTCCAGCATCATCTACCTCGTGGCTGACAATTGTTCTGTCAACACGAGGTTGGCTGATTTGCTTCAGGTGCCGCTCATCGGCTGCGCCAGCCATCGGCTGAATTTGGCGGTCAACGTGTACCTCTCCGACTACGAGCCACTGCTGGAGCAAATGCAGCAACTCATGCGAAAGCTGCGACGACTGAACAAGGCGAATCGACTGAGGTAATTTGCACTTTGTGCTTTTCTGAGATCGTGATATATTGTACCGATCTAAATTGTATTTTTTGCTTTTTTGCTCTTTTGCTTTTTTTCTCAGGCAAAATACCAATTTGCGCCCGGTACTTCGCCAGGCGACTCGATGGGGCTCCACGTTCAAGATGCTCGAGCGCTACTTTGACCTGCGCGACGCGCTGGACACGGACGACGACGACATCGTGTCGTTGATGCCGACTCGCCGCCAAGAGAATCGCCTGCGTGCCCTGCGCGACCAGCTCCGTGATTTTCAGAGCGCGACAATGAAGCTGCAGGAGGACAGCACCACGCTTCTCGACGTGCGCGACATCTTTGATGCGCTCGTCGAGAAGCATCCCGTTGTCGACAAGTACCATGCAGCCGATGCTGCCATCGTGAAGGACCCAGACTTCGAAGCGGCGTGCGTGCTTGCGCTGGCGGACAAGACCGAGGAGCTGACAGAGGACCAGCAGCTCATGCTGAGTCCGTTCGAGACCGTCTCCACCGCTACCGCAACTCCCAGCCCCGGCAGGCGCCCCCAAGGCTTCGCGGACCAGGTCCTGTCGGCGAGGAAGAAGCAGCGCACGGCGCAGAAGAAGTTTGGAGGGGTACGCCACATCCCTCCAACTTCTAACGCTGTCGAACGTTTGTTCAGTGTCGCGAAGCACACGCTGTCGAACCATCGACAGGGTATGCTACCGGTGCACCTTGAAACGGTGCTGTTCTTGAAGCTTAATCGGCGCTTCTGGAATGCGGGTACCGTCACCAAGGTGGTGAACGGACAGTAAGTCACTCGATAGTGATGAAGGTAATGATCAATACAATACTTCCCACTCCAATAATTTACTTTGCTGTTGCCGTTGTCAGTCATAATAGTTTATATCTTACCATTGTGCTAATACTATTGCAGTATAATTATCGGAAGGCCTGCTTTAAGTTAAGAGCTCAAAACAAAACCACCATTGAAAAAGGAGAAAGAAAAAAATTGTCGAATGGACGGACCGATCTACATACTACATGTAGAATACGACGTGTCCAGGCCGCTGTCATCGGACGACAAGGTTTGAAGGAAGCTCGATCGCTCCCCGGTGGATTCGTTCGCTTCAATGCGAGCACGTGCAACGTCCAGTGCACTCAAGCTGGTCACTTCACTGAGGCAGGCCGAGCAAAACACCACCTTGCGCTGCGTCAGTTCCAAGTCAGCTCCACGAAGCTCAGCTTGCAAGCAACCTTGCACGAGGTGCACACGAAGCCGAAGCAGAGCTTGCAAGTGCTGCTGCTTTTCCCGAAATCGCCGATGCGGTGGCCAGCGACCGGCAACGAGCAGGTGAGGCTTGACCGGTATTCGTGGGCCGCAAGGCCCGCCGGCCTCCGCAGCCCGCAGGGCTGCGGAGGCCGCCGCCGCGTTAGTTTCGAGTTTTTGTTAGCGTGGCCGAGAAATCGAGAAGTCTATCATGAGATTAACTTATGCCCTTATGAGTAAAGCTGCGGAGTAGTGAAAGTGAATGAGAGTATCGACGGGAAGTATCTAGCTAGACGTAGTATGCTGTGTCTAGGTTCATTTGAAGCGCGCGGGTTCGTTTTGGTTGGGCGTCTGCGGCTCGAGCGTGAACTCAATCAGCTGGTGACGATCCAACAGAAGATCCGCGAGGCTATACAGCGCGGTCCGGAAGTTGCGAAGCAGTGGATTGAGGAGTTATTGAAGCCGCAATTCGACTCGTATAGTGCGCGCCAAAATGATAGGACCACCTTGAAAAGTTCTCATAACTCGGTCAATATTGATTATTTTAACACGGGTCATCTCTTGCGATCAGGCGAGATTTCGGAGGATGCCCCTGAGTCGAGTATCGATGCACAGCCTATTTGGCTTTATGGGTACATGTAGGTGCATATGAATGCTTACTACCCTGAGTAGGAGTGAATAAGTCTGTAACATCGTCATCTAGCTTGGAATCGATTTGTGCCGTTTTGACCACTGTCATCTAGATGGAAAACATACGCCTGATTCACCGCTCAATTTCAAGGTGCTCGTGCCAAAACAATACTTCAAAAACGTTCATATATGTAGATATATGTAGAAGAAGGTAAGGTTTTCGCGATACAGTACTACTTGCACGCTGAAACACGTCCTTGCGCTCAGAAGGCTGGTTCACAAAGGCAACCTGTACATAATCGGGCTTTGTCGAGTTATCGTCCTGTTGTAACAAAAAAACTCGACAGCGAGGGTTACGCCAGGGATACCTATCGAGTGGATTCAAAACTTCCCCTTTGCGTTACGCGCGTTCGTGAGCAGCGGCAGTGGCCATGTGTGTGCTCAGAGAAGTGAGTTTAAGCGTCGAGCGCCGTCGCTAGTTGAGAAGTTATCGCTATTGCAGACCTGAGGGTTAGTAACCTTGGGTTTCGCTGAGGTCAGTCTAAGGTTATCGTCAACATATACTGAAGTGCAATTAAGCGAAATCGTTCGAAAGAACTTTGTGGAAGGACCTGTTGTCAAGTTGCATGGACATACTATGCTGCCCGCTGAACAAGAATTCCAACTTCGGCGACCCATAACTGAGCAACAACGCGGGTGTCAGGACCCGGACACCCCTCACTATGCTTAGATTTGTGTGCTCTAACCCCTCTTCGAATCTCGTGTCAGTACGGTAAAAGCAAATTTGTTGATCTTCGAATTTCGGTTGACCTCTGAAGATCGTCGATTTTTCGCCTGATCGCAATAGATGACCCGTGTTAAGGGGCTGGTTGTTTCTTTCGTGTCTGGTGTCGGTGTTTTGAAGGTGTGCCATAAACACGCAATTCCTCTTTTCTGATTGGCTCACATTATTTTTATTGGTGTTGGCCCCGACACGACTCCCGGCGTCGTGTCGGGGCCAACACCAAGGGAGGGGGGATTTTCATGAAGATTCAGAAGTTCTACCATGGAAGCTGATATGACCGAAGACCCCGCTGTCGTTGCCGCTATTGGGGCGTGCGCGTCAGCGGTCGCAGCAACGCTATGTGTAGTCGCCAAGAAGCTGCCGGTGCAGGGATACGAAAGTCGACATAGGGTCCTGCCACAGCGCAGTGGTGGTGAGGCTCCTGCGCCATCGTTGAGTTCGACGGGGTCATTGCTTAGAGAGATCTATGTAGTAGAGAAGTAGCGCTTCCATTTGCAAAATGAAGGGTTAGGTTAGATGAAGATACTTGTCTTTTGTATAGTTACCCTAACCCTGATCAGGCCGCTGTTGCCCGCGTGAATGTGAGGGAATTGAAGCTGCTTCCGGTTCACTTGGGTTTTGTATACATCTTAAGTCAGAAGCAACTTCCACCTCTAGAATCAGCAAAATATGCAAAGTCCGATTGCATGACTAATCATCGCGCAGTATCTTTTGAGTATTAACCAGTTATAACGTCCACTTTAGTACTAATATTGCAAGTATTTTTTATAAAACTAAGGACGACGGTAATAATATTTAGGAGGCTTCTGAGGACTTGAAGATAAGGTAACAAGACTAAAAATACTAGGTTTTCTAACAAGACCTTATGTACTACGACAAGACATACATACTAAACAAGACTGAAAACACTACGACAAGACCAACAATACTTGCATTAATCTCGTGCCTGGACTTCACTAGACGACGTTTACGGTCGAGGCGAATGTATCGGGCCAGTGTGCCAATCGTGAGTACATTGATGTCTGAGCTGGCAGCGTTCTGTAGCCAATTGTCGGTGTAATATGCTTGTCTAGTAGTTTTAGTCTTTTCTAGTATTTTGAGTCTTGTCCTAGTACTTTGGGTCTTGTTAAAAGTGAGACATATATTCCACTAGGCCTATACATTGTGTTTAGGCATCTTCGCTATCCGAATCAAATCCAAATGTCTTCCTAAACCGTCTCTCGTTCACCAGCTGGTCTGCCTTTGCCTTCATCTTGGCCTCGTATGCGTTATCCTTCTCGATGAATTCAGCCTTGTAAACTGCCTCAAACTCAGCTAGGGTCGCACAAGCTTTACCTTCTCCAAATCTGTCGATCTCCTCCTGGATTGGCGCTTCAAGTGCAATGTTTTTATTGCGTACCTTCTCGCAAAGCTTCATCCACTTCGCGATTTTCTCTTGGTACGTCGTCTGCAAGTAAGCCCGGTACTTTTGAAGGCGAACACGCTCGCCGAATATGGTGTTCGTACTTGCTTCAAGCATTTCCGTCTTGTAAAGACTGAACACCTTGCATGTTTCTTCAAGCGCGCTCCGGCCAGGCTGTACTTGGAACTCCGGAGGCATCCAATGGCGCTTGTCAGGTGTTAAACCATGCTTTTGACAGCAAGTCGACGCCCTCCATCTAAATGAACTTTTGTCGATACCAATGCATCACTATGCTTGTTGCCTACCTGGGAGAAAATCTACTCGAACAAATCCGCATTGCGGCTTAGTTCTTCGAGAGGGTGCTTTATTAGCCCCCCACTGGCTCGGGTTTAAAAGGAAGAGGCACCCTTTCCACCTCGCGGAGCTGCTGCCGAAGCGCTTCGGATACAATGGTAAGCTTGGGCCCTCCACATTAAATTAAAGAAACTTACGGTACCCTCAAGTCGTTGAAATGACTCGGACGCGCGCCGGCTGCGCTGGTCTCCTACGCGCTTGGCGCGGTGCTTGACCCATGAGCGCTTGCGAATCTCGCGCCGGGTGTCGCGCACTTTAATTCCCTTACATTTCTTTGCGTGCTTGGAAAAGTTCGTGCGCGATATCCCGTTGCCACACTTCTCGCATAGCTTCTTCGCCGCGCTGCCGTGCGGAGCCCTGGCCATTTCGGTTTATGGTGCAGCGACCAATCGTCGTGTGCTTACTGGCTGATATTATATTTTCGTAGATTTAAAATTTGATTGGCTAAAATATTTTTACATGGGATTGTTTTGGTGAAAGAAGCGAAGTTCCCCGCAGACTGCGTCAGTGTTCTCGAACACCGACGAACACCGACACGAGCGACCAGACCAACGGAGTAGGGGTAGGGGTATATGAAAGGCAAACACTCGACACCGGACACGATGGAAACAACTAGGCCCTAAGGTGCGGTTTCGAGGCTAGTTACAAAACACGCTGGGAAAGATCAGGTATGCGCTAACACTCGCGTTTTTGCACTCTATGCGATAGCTCACATACAAAAAACTGTTTCTGCCAAGTCGACACAAATTATGACCACCCCCATCCCAATACAAAATCCTATATAAAGGGAAAGCCTGGACAAAGCGATATGACTGGGGATTTGTATCGCGACAACTTCCACTTGGCAGAAACAGTCTTTTGTATGTGAGCTATCGCATAGAATGCAAAAACGCAAGTGTTAGCGCATACCTGATCTTTCCCAGCGTGTTTTGTAACTAGCCTCAAAACCGCACCTTAAAATAATCAATATTGACCGATTTATGAGAACTTTTCAAGGTGGTCCTATCATTTTGGTGCGCACTGTACGCGCGCTTCTTCTGCCTTCTGCAGGATCAGGTAGTTGGGATCGTTCTCAGTCTTGCCGTCATGTCCGGGTGATGCTCGACCAGCACGTGGTGCTAGGCCTTCTTGACATGCTCGTCCGCCACCTCAAAGCAGATGCCGCTCCCCAGTTTCTCGTACTGCAAGTCGCGGATGCTACGCCGGTACCAGCCCAGAATCGACTCCTCCTGCTTGTGTAGCGCGTCCGCACCTTGGATACGGCTCCGAGCCCGTGACCAGCGCCAGGAACAACAGCACCGACGTGAAGATGAACATGAATCGGCGGAAAATCAAGTACGACGCCGGAATGGCGCCGCGGTCGCGCTGCGAGTACTTGATCACGCGCGTGTGCACGCAGAGTAAGTGATGATGCAGCCCACGCTGGCCAGCGCCACGAGCACGAGCGCCAGGATGACCATGCTGTTACTTGTCGAATCAGCACCCAAAGACGCACTCACACCAGCGATTCTGAACACCGCGACGGCGTTGAAGATGCAGCCAAAGATCATGTAGCCCTTGCGCAGACTGCCGTACATCTCGTGGTTGTAGAACTGCTCGCCCGCCACGAAGCGCCCTCCTTGACCGACAACGGCGCACCGCTCGTGTTGAAGTCCATGAGCGACTCGAACGTGCTGAAGCCCTCGGTGGCTGCGGCACCATGTCGTTCAGCGACTTTGCATGTTGCTGGGAACGCTCATATCACCTCGTTATCACGACGCTAGATTGAAACACTCACTCATACGTAAGATACGTAAATTAACAGGATGAATGGCATTGTATGCGTACATTCAGCGAGGTGTCTTGAGAGTTTTTTTTTCGCTTTGCCAACTTTAGGTGCCACGGACTCGATGATCACCACCATCATGGGCACCGGGATCCTTCAACCATCATGCTATTCGGCATGCCGCGGTGTTGGCAGGCCATCGTCGCCTCTACTCCCTCGTGGTGGTGTTCTCCTGGTGCAGCTTGGCGTCCTGCAGCTCCGATCTCCATGGTGCTCTTCGTTTTTGTGGAAGCTTTAAGCAAAACATTTCACTACAAATTTCTATAGAAAAAGGGGGTGTCACCCCCATGACATCGTGGGCCAATCGGGACAAGTACCGGGACAGGCAGCTGGTCTAAACTGGTCCCACCTGGTCAAGTTGGTCTAATATGGTCCCGGGACAAGCCCACGAATTCCGGTCAAGCCCCCCCAAGGACTTCCATACGATAACCATTCGGCTTCTTCCATGAACCGACGAGTCACAATCCGCTGCTTCAGTGGTGCGTAGCCCCCTCCTGCGAGCCGACACATGACTAGGAACTTACGCGTGTGTCGTCTCGGGGTCCTCGAAGGCGAATTCTTCTCGCTCGAACTGGCGGTGAATGTGGTTCGATATCCTCCACATGGACTGCGAGGTCTGCTCGAAGCTGTACATCATATGCTGCTTCCGCGCGAATAGCACTGCTACTCCGCCGCCGTCGGCTGTTACTAGGCGCTGGAGATCCTTCGTCTCGGTCGACAGATCCAGTCCGCAGTCGCTGAAGACGAGGTCAGTCTGCGCGTAGAGCGTGTTGATGTCCTGGATGTCCATAGCGTAGAGCAGCTCGTCGGTCGGTTGGATGAACAGCTCGTCTCGGCCCTCAGACGAAGCGTCCGCCGCAATGAGACTGGCGATCTTCAGGTGCTGGCGAACGACTTTCTTCAGGTCGTCGATGAGCAAAGTTTTGCCCTTGATGACGGTAGATTTTATTTTGGTTCGTATACGGAACTGATCTGGTTCATGATCAGGACTGCTGATCGGATGCGTGAACTGATAAATGTCAATGTGCACTGAGTGTGTAGTGGTGAAGTTGCTGATTTATAGGAGTATGCTAGTAGCTACCTAACAATACCTAAAGTGCGGCACCGACTGAAGCAGTGGAGGTGTTGGAGGGAGCAATTTCTTCGGACATCTCCACGTCGCTCGTGATATCGGCTGGAATGTCAATAACCTCAGGAAGCTGGATTACTTCATGAGCAACGCGCCGAGCACGGCCACGAGGGACGTTGGCGACACGGCGCACATACTCATGCGAGACCGTCTTGATCACCGTGACGAATGTAGCCATGGAGGGGTGCGGCGTTGGGAACCTGCTATTTAACTCCCGGTTAAACCGTTCGAGAGGATTGTTAGTCCTCGCGATCAGTTCATTGTCCAGCCCAAACACATTCCAAACTTCGATGGAGTACTGGTCGAGTCATGTGCGTTCGAAATAGCCCCAAAATTCTCCCCATTTAGCTGCCGAATACGTCACATCCGCTACCGCGCATCGCTTCTTGATCTCACGCTTCACCCATTTAATTCCTCGTTCGACGTGGTCATGCTGAATCACAGTCAGTGTGTCTAACACACCATGCGTCTGGGCAATTAGACACTCAGCTTCCGGAATAGCGTAGCGCTTCATAGCCCGACGGAGTGTCTGCTTCATATGAAACAGGCACCCTAGCACAATTGCGTTAGGAAGCTGGGTTTGAAGGGAATCCATTAGAGCGGTTTCAAAGTCGCAGACAATCTCAGCAGGTTCAATCTGCTGATCGGTAGCTTGGACGATGAAGTGTATCATATCCCAGTAGCTGTCCGCCGTTCGAGAGGTGCTCAGAACGTAAAACACAGGGACGAACACGCCCGACGCCCGACCGTACACCATGAACACGACGCATTGCGCGTAGCCACTCGGAACACATCTGAACGTTCCATCGACGAATAGCGTCGTTCCATGGTAGCGTAAGAGCGCCACCAATGCAGGGTGCGCCCAACCAAGAAGGCGCGTAGGCTTGGTCAGGTCGTCTCGGTTGGGTGTAATGCAGTGAAACTGGAAAAATGTGACAGCCTCATTGAGCGCGAGCGAGAGCCGTGGGATCTCGATTGAGCCGTGCACGTTGCCGGAGTAGTGTTGGCTTCTTGCATGATGCACGCGGCGTATAATTTGCTGCTCCGACAGGCCGCGCACGACATCAGGGTTGTCCGCAGAGTAGAAATGTCGTTGCAGCTTCTCCCACACGCGACGTACAGGCCACGCAACGTGCTCAATCGCCAAGAGGCCCGATTGCGCTTTCATTTCAGCTTCAACGTTGGTGACGGAGCTAACTACAGCTGTATCGCTGCAACGGTGCGCCTTGACGCAGGTGTAGCCCATGGACGCAATCCGGAACTCCATCTTGCCGCCGCAACCCGCTCGAAACTTAGAACATCGGTATACAATCATGCGCGACGAAGCCGAGGCGCGAGTATACTTGTACCCCTTGAAGTAACACGTTGTGCGCTCAGCCCGTCTCGGGGCGTGGCCGCTCGTGCCTTCAACCGGCGGCTGACGGCCGCGATCACTCTCCAGCACATCAGCCCCCACTTGCACGTCCACCACGACTGCGTCGACGCCTTCCTGCATGCCACTTGAGCCCTTTGCTGCAACTTCACGACTGACCGAGCAGCCACCACTGCATCTCCGCATGCCATCAGCCTACCACTAGTTTCCTGATCACAGATCCGATCATCGATGTGACAACTACCCGATCATAGACCAGATCAGTTCCGGATACGATCCAATTTAGAGCCAACCTTGATGGCGGCGATAAGCCACGTTCGCTGAACTTCCGAAGCCAGGCGGTCCCCTAGTCGGCGCTTGGCAAGATGGCTCCACATCAGCGTCTGTAGTGACGGCGTGTTCGTCGTCTTTGGAGAGGGACTGGAAGAGGCTGAACTCCATCGCTTCGTCGTGTGTGAGAGAGAAGAAATATCGACGTCACTTGACGGCTAAAAGTGAGAATGAGTTATAGTGTGAGGGCGAACCTACTGCTGGTTTAATGTGCGGTAGAGGCTGCTTGATGACAGTAATCCAGGTGTGAGGCTGCTCGATGACAGTAATCCTTATGTGAGCGCTTATCAACGCCACGTAGTGGGGATAGTACACATGACTAGCCGGTGGTGTTATACAGTGACATGAAAGTGTTGATGCTCCCAGACCGTCGCGAGTGTTTTGTTGTTTCAGCTCGAGTGTTGCTGAAGCATGAACGACTGAGTTTATTTCTTAAGTATGTATAGTATGCATGCTTCTCCAGCTTCGTCATGTATCCACAGTGCGACCACAGCCATTGTCACGGATCTGGTCTAGAGCCCACAACCGCCGCATTTGTACAGTGTTTTATCATGCATGACAAAGGGTCAACGAATCGCAGCTGGCGCTTACACACCCCTGCGAGATTGCCAAAATATCTGATGATTACCAGTACCTTCGCTTCGGGTGAGCTTTGTCCGTACCGTAATATGAACACAGCATTGCGGAGACCTTGATGTGTGCATGTTAGTGTACTCAGCAAACATGTTAGTGAATTTCACAACACACTAACCCACTGTCAGTGGTGTTTGCAGACGCGTTTGTATGTTTGCGTTTATCACTCGTGTTCAAATTAGTGGCTCCTCAAGAGAATTGGTACCGGTTGTCGAAACCCATAGTCTGCGTATACGCACCACGGTGTTGCCAGAGTATTTCGTATAAGGATATCATTATGGGTGTAGAGAAGAAGAACTTCTCGTATCAGCCAGCTTTTGGCAAATAAACGAGCCTCAGGATGAATGACTAAATCCCATCCAACTCTTCAACCATGTTAGCCAGATTCAGATTCAAACAAACGGTTTCCAAACGCTAGTGTTAGCAATACAGTTAGTGTTCGGATAACTAAGTATTACTGCGTTTACCTCGAGGTATGTCACGAATTCGCAAGGAGGGCGTTTTTACCTCGCGGTACACTCAACCGTCCGAGCAGTCCACCCGCGTTCCTGGCCATTATTGTCGAATAGATGCATCGGACTCTGGCATCAAAATTTATAAAAGAAAGGGGAAATCCGGTTTGGGGTCCGTAATTTAAAACTAATTCGGTTTGGGGTCCGTTCAAATCAGAAGGCGTAATCTTTGGCGTAAAATTGAAAACCTACCGTGTTTTGAAAAATTCCAATGGGGTATGTGTACTTATGATTATAAAATGTACCTTATTCGTACCCTATGGCCTTACCGTACACAGTACCTTTCCGTAACTTGTGCCCCGTATGTACCCCATGACTAAAACGTAACGTATAGCCTAAGTGTACCCTACAGAATCGGACTTAGCTGAGACGTCTAATCTCACTTACCATACCTTGCTTTCGGCTTTTGATATTGCCCTGGTGTGCCGCTAGCGGTGTGCTGCATATGCGTAGAGTGCTTGGTGAGCTGGGCGGAGACACCACGGGAGTCGCAATCTATTCTTCCTAAAAAAAAAACCCTGCGACTCTCCATCTACTCACGCCTCCCTTATCGGTAGGGTGAAGATTTTCATCCTTTGACACTGTGTTTCTATTTCTATTTCTACTTCTATTACTAATTTGCAGGATTGGACGGCTGAGAGTTATCATAGTTTAGAATCTCCCCCTCGCAGAGACAACAAAAGAACTAGCCTCCGGCGCAAGTTCCTGTCCAAACAACGCTCGTCGGTGCTGTTGCCACCGACTCTTCTTTTGTAAGTACGCATCGCATTGCCCCCCTCTTCGTTTGTACATGCAGTTGCTCTGATGGCTGAGGTTTCAGGCGAAGTGGTTCTGCAGGTTCCAAGGAGGATTGCCTGCTGTACGACAGCTGTGTGGACGGCTGGGCAAGAAGGTGGTGTCAGAGGACTAAGGGCCCAAGTGCGGGAGAAAGGAGCACGGTGACATTCATATCTTCATGCATCACAGGAGCAGCAAGCATCGCTAGGTTCGGTAGACACGTCTAGATGTTCCATGCGGTGCGTTAATTGCAATAGTATACATGCTACCTTTAGGTCAAAGGGTACAGATTGGTGACAGAGTACATTCTAACATAACAATATAGTTCGCACATAGGGTGCATATCGGAAATAGGGTGCATTTAGGGTACACGATACAGTATTTTTGTGCACTAGCCGTATATGTTTTTCAAACACGGTAGGTTTTCAATTTTACGCCAAAGATTACGCCTTCTGATTTGAACGGACCCCAAACCGAATTAGTTTTAAATTACGGACCCCAAACCGGATTTCCCCTAAAAGAAAATGCCGCTCTACACATATCAACGGAAGATATGGCCTGCAGGCAGAGAAAGACGTATACACACCCATACAAAAACTCAGTGCTGTGTGCAAGCGATATGCGTCCGTACAGGCAAAAAATGCATACCCATAGTAAAATCCATATAGAATACGCGGGTCTGTCTGCAGACCATATCTTCCGTCGATATGTGTAGCTTAAGACAAAAAGATAAGCCACGCAGCATGGCTTATCTTTTTGTCCGGCAGTACAGCAAACTTGTGTAGCCATCACACAAAAACTTTACCTATGACCTCAAAATTAGTACCACCAAAAGTTATGTGACACTTCTACACGAACTGTGCACAGTCCGAGAATGGCGGGACACGAGGTATTGGCACCGGCGACCTTCTCCATGACGTCGCTCCAAGCGCCCCAGAGCTCCATTGAAGCTGCAACTTTGGCCGCTGCATCTGCACACACTGGCGTCCATCCCCACAATGTTTCATCCTCCGACACTCTCCCTGCACCTAGAAAACCCAAGAAGAAGCGGAGCCACACCACTCCGACGAGGGACCGCGAGCGTCGCGAGCTCCTGGCGCTGCGTGTCGAGTCCGTAGAGCTAGAGAAGCAACTGGAGCAGGCTCGGGACCGTCTTGCAACTCTCAGAAAGAAACAACAGCAGACAACCCCCTCTAGCCGCAGCAGAATCGTCAGTACAATTCCAGCTTGGCGACATATCGCCCGCCGCCACTTGAGAGCGCGACAAGAGGCAGAGAGCGAGAACCGGAGGCTACGGGAGCAGTTAGTAGACCACCTCAAGTGGGGCCATACACTACAGACCAAGATGACCGAGAGAGGGGGCGGACACGACCCGAATTCGACCCGTGCAGCGGCTACGGCGGCGGCTTTGGGGTCTGTGGCCAACCCGTTGCTGCTGGTTGAGGACGAGGAAGGGATCACGGACTTGGAGCTGGAGCTGGACGACGCCGACCGGGCGGAGCTGGAGATGCTGGCGAGTGGACTGGACGCGGCGTATGCGAGAGTGGACGATGTGTTCAAAGACTACAAAGTCACGGAAGTGCTGTTGGGCTCGGTCTCAGGCAGCAGGAAGACGCTGGATGGGGCCGAACAGAATGGGGGGATGGCTGTAGTGGAGCTGCGTGACACGCGCATGATCCCGTTCGAGTTTCGACTGGCCATCGACGCTGCGTGGAACGCGTGGGTGCTCTGGCATCTCGGAGGGAGCTGCCGGAAGAGCGTCTCGGCGCATCGAAGCTGCTCGTACCCCAACGTCTCCAGACCAGAACATACGTTCGCAGTCAAGTTTCGACTGCAGACTCCAGCGTCGCTACTTCCAGAAGGAGCTGGGCCGATGTTCCTTGATCTAAAGCTGGTGCTGAGGAGATACGTGGAGCAAAATCGCCTAGTGCTGGTCTGGCGAGGACTTTCCGCGGGCGAGAAGGACCTCGATGGGTTGTTTACGGATGAAACTGGATGGGTTGTCTTCGAGCAATTGGAGCCATTCCAAGAAGGCGAGGGGAGCGCTGTACCTGCAGCAAGGACGTCGATGCGTTCGTGCGTCCGCATGACGCCGAAGCGCGCTGACGACTGCACTGCCACGCCGACGCAAGGCCGTGTTTTGGCGAATTTGGTCGTGAATTCCTACGAGGAGGACGTCAGCTTCATTTACCGCGAAATGGAGGCGCAGCTTCTTCGAATGAGAAGGCATACGTGATGACAAAATTCAAGCGTATACTTAGACTACTGATGTAGTCTACATGTATTATCCCTTAGTAGCACTGCAGTTGTGGCACTAGTATTTCCTTTTGACTGACGGCCTGTGCACTTATTACATGTAGCCGTACACCATGAAAATCTTGATCATTTGAGTTAGCAGTCTACACACTGACGCCCTTGAGTTCGTTTTCAAGCAGCAATGCCTTCGCCATTTTCGTGGCCTCCTCACTATTTTCCCGCACCACGTTCTGAACAAAGTCGTTAAACCGCATTGCAGACGATGGAGAAGGTCCTCGCGCACTGTGAAGACGCAGCGGGACCTGTCGAACACAAACCTGTCCGAACGTCCCCTCTCCAGTGGCTGAAGGTCGGAAGACGCACCACCCCGTCTCCTCCATCTGCATGCCTCGGCACACTCCGTCCCCCACAGAGGACGATTTCCAGACGGAAACCTCTCGATCTCCGTCCACATAGCGCCCTTGAGCGAATCGATGCACTAACGCCCTGCCCTTGCCCCCAGCTAACTGATTGGTGACGCGAAACTTGGCGGCGATGGTGCGTTCTGGGTCTTTGATGTCGTCAGGAGCGTCCCTCCCATCCTGCCGGTTCAGTAGATGCGCCAGCAGCCACATGGCGTCGCAGGTGCGTCGGAGACGAAAGGGGAAGAGCTGTTTCCAGCCACACCGCATCGACGCAGTGTCTCCACTCGCTGTCAGCGTAGTGTGTTGGAATGAAGTCGTCTCTTCCTTCGGGTCCATGATGGACTCCATCCCACAAGACTCGAACACTGCGTCAGTCTGCGCGTAGATACCGTCAAGCTCGTGGATGTACATGGCGTAGAGCAGTTCGTCCGTTGGTTGTAGAGCAGTAGAATCGTACAGACCTCGAGACTGAGCTGCGAGTAGGCCCAGGGTTCGACACTGTTGGTGGACGAGGCTGATCAAGTCGTCGATGAGCAGCATCTTCCCCGCGATGGCAGCTTGTAGCCATTCTCTTTGGGCTTCCGAAGCTCGGCGGCGTCTTATGTGTCGAATGACGATCTTCTTCAAGGCGGAGCTCGTGGGCGACAACGCGGTCGCGGACTTTCGACATCGGGCCTTCTCACGCTCCAGAACCTCCAGTAGTTCGGCGATCTCACGCTGAAGAACATCCTTCTGTTGCTGCTGTCGCTGGTAGTGGGAGATTCTACCTCCTCGTGTACTGGTAGAGTTGGCTGAATTAGACCCGAGACTGTTGCTTGAGGCCAATGCTGTTGCTCTAAGTCAGAATGAATCAGAGGTAGATTACCGCATCGCTGAAGTCATTGTTCCCACATTTATCATAAAGCGCACTTGCTATTAGCCAATCACAATCGCTTTTACTATCAGCAATCACAAGAGATAGTATACACCATTTCAAGGCCAAATTGAGAGAAGTAGAGCTTACTCTGACTGAAATAACACCTCAATAGTAGCCCCTCGTAGTCACTATCAAGAAGTTTGTATGGAAATAGCCCGAACCCTATGAAATGATTTTCGGCCGCCTTGAGACGTTGTTTCGGTCCGAGGAAGTCGAATCTCTGTATTAGGAATTTGTATGGGCTCGTCATCGGAAGCAACTTCTTTTTGCTGAAACAACATTTGGCAGTTATTCTGTGTTAATTGGCCAATGATCGACCACCTTGGGTAAAAAAAGGTAGTCGACAAATTTTCTGGAGAATTTTAGATTTGATTTTTTTCTGAGGACTATGGTGAATTTTGAAGTGGGATCATACCAAAAAGTACGAGTTCATACCAGAATCTACGAGTTAATACCGAACAGTACGAGTTCATACGAAAATGTACGAGTTCATACTAAAAAATACGACTTCATACCAAAAGGTACGATGCGTGTGTACAATAAAGTACGACCTAGTCGGCTTCTCGCCACGTGTTCACTTTCAAATCGGCGCGATGGAAGCACACTTTGCGGTGCTTGGCCATGTTCGACTTCGCCACGAGCTTAGGGCACGTAGGGCACTTGCCCTTCGGTGGACCGTCACCGCCCTCCATTTCCGACCAATTTCTACGACTGAGAGCCGGAACTCCCATTCAGGATTCCTCGATGCTTAGTGGTCAATATTATTTTTGGCTGATCTCGCATATGATTGGCTGAAACAAAATGTTATTTGGCGTTATTTCAGGGAAAGAAGTCAAAATCAAAACAAAAACGACCAAAATCAAAACAAGCGAGATCAAGAAAAAGGGCACTGTCCCGGCCAAAATTTTCTGGAGGGAATTTCCTGATCAACATAGAGTGGGCAAGTCAATTGCTCTGTACGATATATTCGGTCTTGAAGGTGATTAGATGATATGCATATTCGGGATTGGAGGTTTTCTCAATTTGCTTTTGGCGGTTCTCAATTTGAAGCACGGCTTCTCTCAATTTGGCCTTGAAATGGTGTACTAAAGGGGTCCCTTAAGAGCATCTCCAGCGGTTGGTCTCAAACACGGTTTTATCCTAAAAGTAACGCTGTTAAGACTTGGCCGAGACTTAAGGCTTCCACCAGAAGGTCCTATTGCAGGTTTTAACTTCACCGGGACCTATAGATTGGCTTTCGAGTCTTAAAATAAGACCACAATCTTAATGCCACCCATACAAAACTGAAGAGTCGCCGTATTTAAAAGATTGCACCAAAAGTGAATGCGATTTTCACATGCGGGAATGGACTTATAAGACTCGCTTTAGAACTCACCGCTGGAAGTAAGTCGGTCTGCGCGGGTCTCAACTGTAAAATTGTGGTCTCAAAGACATAGTACAAGGGGGTTGTCAGGTGGTGGGAACTATGACTTCGGTGATGCCTTGCAAGGGGGTTGCGGTACACTCTTTTAAGTTGGGGCGTGAACAAAGGTTGATTCACCGGCTTGTTCACGCCAAACTCGAGGTTGGTCGATGTCCACAAACGCAAGCCATGACGTGATTTGAGTGGAGGTAACGCAACATATGAGCTACGTTAGTACGATCTGCTCAACCGGCTATCTCATCTGTTCATGAATCATGAATCATGATGAACGACAATACTTTGTAAACCGATACTTAGACCTGTTTGTAATAGTGGGATATATAGAAATACAGAGTGTCGAATGTCTATTGGCTGACAGTGAGCTGTATCAGCCAATCGTGCTCGTATAAGATTGTAAGACGGTCATTCGTTACAGTTTGAAGTTCAATCTGTAAGTTCAAACTTTGAACTTACGTTTTGTCATTTTGAACTAGCAATTTGCCATTTTGAAGTTGAAAAGGTGTAGTATATTCAGTTAGAATTTCTAGCCACCGTCCCATTCACCCACTCACATGGACGCCTTCCAATGCAGCCCCTTGAGTGCGTCGTCAAGCAGCATATTCTCGGCAACGTCCTCCACCTCCTGCATGTTTTCTCGACTCATGGCCAGGACAAAGTTTTCAAACTGGTCCGCTAGAGACGCAGGAGGAGCTTGTGCGCTGTTGAGGTGGAGCGGGACTTGCCGAAAACAAATCTGCGAAAAGGTTCCTTCGCCACTGGCCGACGGCAGCACCATGCCCCAGCCCGTTTCGTCCATCTGCATGCCTCGGAACGCGCCGTCGCCTATGATCGACGCTCTCCAGACGAACACCATGCCATCGTTTCTTATGAAGCGCCGGTGGACGAAGCGTTGGACCACCGACGCGCGTTCCCCTTCGGACTCAGCGCTAGTCACTCGAAGCTTGACGGCGATGGTGTTGTCCGGGTCTTCGACCTCGTCGTACGTCTCCCTCTGCTCGTGGCGGTTGACGAGGCGCGCCAGCAGCCACATGGAGTCGCGAGTGCGATCAAAGCTGAACGGGAAGTGCCTTCTCCAGCCGAACTCCATAAACGCCGTCCCCTGGTCCGTCGTCATCCAATGGTGAAACTCGATGGGATCTTCCGTTGGGTCTCGGAAGACAACGTCCGTTTGTTGGTAGACTTTGCCGATCTCGCAGAGGGACATGGCGTAGCGGAGCTCGTCGTTTGGCTGGACGAAAAAGCCGTCGTATAGGCCTTGAGACTGAGCCGTAACCAGCGTTATGGTTCGAATCTGCTGCTGCACCAAAGTCACGAGGTCGTCGATCAACGCAGCTCTCCGTGCGACGGCAGCCTGCAGCCATCGCTGCTGTCCCTCGGCAGCCAGTCGACGGAGTCGGTGACGCTCGGCAGATTTTTTCCGGGTGCTGGTTGTTGTAGCGCTGGGGGCTTTCTGCTGCTTGTGACGAGTCTTCGCATGCTGAAGCACGTCTAGTAGTTGAGATAGCTGGCGCAGTAGCGCCTCCTTCTCGCGCTTCTACCGCTCGCAATGAGGCATGCGGCGCTTGGTTTTCTGTTGCGGCTTGTCACTTGCTATGTCGTTGCTCGCAGTGGCGATGCTCATGTCGTAGAGGGCTCCGAGGTGCGTTGGCGACTCGGACGTCATGGCAGTGTTGCTGTTGTAAGAGTGACGAGCAGAGATTGATAGTATAATGATTTTGGCCAAACTAATATAGTAATATTCAGAGACCAGCTATAAGACTAATAATCTGATAATATGCCCGGGTCCAGGAGCTAGTCTACTATATTAATAGTACTATATTAGTATATTATTACTACTGTCGATCACCAAATTGACGACCCCCAAGATGACGACCACCAAAATGACGGCCACAGCTTCTTCAAAGCGCCGGGTAGCAGTCCTCAACTCCATGCTTGCCACAGCCCGTCCACCTCGTGAGATGAGATCATGTGCGCCCTCGCGTTGGACGTGTTGGACCAGCGGTGCGAAGAACCCTCCCAAGCATTCGCCGATTTGACTCGGGGAAGCCACCGTCAAACTCTCCACCGCCGATGCTGCCGACGTCGTTGGCTGGCCGAGAAGAAGAAACGGAGCTTGAGACTCCAGCAGCTTTGACGCCTGACTTGTTTGCTCGGTTTCCAAAAAAAAGCAGAATGAGCGATACCCATCGGCTATGGGCCTTGGCGGTTCGCTCTGCTACAGGATCTAGGGCCTATGGGCCATAGCCTACGGTTCACGGAGCGGTCCCGTGCGACGAACCGCTTGCTTGCTTGCTAGTGATTGGAGCGAGCGCCACCGAGCGCCACTACCTTGTTGGGTGTACGCGCTGTGCTCTTGCGCAGGCCCCGCCCGAAGTCTACAGCGCGATTGAACCGTTGTAAGGAAAACCCACGGTGTGGTGTCCTGATATTAACCAGATATTAATATGGGGTCACCGTCTGAGTTAATACTCTCATATTAGTATCAGAAGAGGGCCTCGAGCAAAACTGATAATCTGATTATTAACACACTATTACATTTGTATTATTGTGCTTTGCAATGATTTTGGCAATATGATGCGAGATTTGCTGTATTTATCGAAGTGGGTCCTCCGACGTTAACTAGCCCTAACCCCAGCTCAATAACGTTGCAATAACAAGAATAACGTCGCCCAAAAAATAAATGACGCATAAAATACGTGACAACCAAATCCCTCATTCAGGCCGGATTTTCCCTCAGGATTAAAAAACAGTAATTTGCCTGAGTAAGGAACGCCTGATATATATAAAGACGTAGAATATATAAATTGATGTTAAGTTGAGTGTCCAATGTACTGATTTAGTTATTTCAAAATGAACTGAAGAGCAGCTTTACCTACGAGTCCGGAATGATTCCAACAGTGGCGTATGGTCGAAGCACTAACCTTTGACCAGGCATCCTCGCACCACAACAGCGCTGTCAACTGGTCGACCTCGTAGGGATTATCTAGCCCTTCACCAAGCCGGTCTAGAGCCTGCATCATCTTGCGGGATATAATGTGTCGCTTAATACAATGAATGATTCATTGGTCCTTCTCCAGCGACCGCCCCAGCAGGACTGCACTTGACTTGATTATGCGGCATGTCGTTGTCTTGCCTGGGGCGGCCGGGAGGCTGAACCCCGTCATATCCCACCCCTGTAGGAGAGAGCAGGTGTGCGGACTGCCTTGTCGAGGATGCCCACTTTCTCAGACCAAGTGAGGCGGAGACGCTTGGACGGTGTGGACTTCATGGGTGGAGTGGGGAAGGAGGTGGGCTTGTGGGGCGAGGTGCAAAAGCAAAAGTGCGAGTCTACCACTACGGTACATGTAGTTTGAAGTCTAGTAAGATCGCTAAATGCGCTCCATTTTTCAAACGAGGGTGGAGAGCTGATGATTGGCAGTGGATTTTTCACCTTAGTACCTCAGTACCTTGCAGTACCTTGCACATCCCCCTATCGCCACATCGACTGGAAAATAATATAAAATATGTGAGGCTATTAGTTGTACACCCGTTCCTTATTCGGGCAGAATTTTGTACTCATTTGAAGTGAGGGTTTACCTCGATTAATCTCGAACTTAAACGGAAAGAAGCTGTACTTTAGGAAAAGCGGGAGAATCTCAGCCCTCCATTTCAGAAAACCAGCTCGGACCGCGCAGCCACCTCCTGAAAACATTACGATAGCCCGCTGTTTAAGGGTGGGGCAAGCCAAGCGACTTCACGAATTACGTAAGTTTGACCTTGCTTCTTACAGGTGTCCATTAATGTTGCTTGTTATATGTGCATTAACTTTGGTAATTTGTTATTGTTTATGTGGTAATGTATTAAGGCTGTTATGGAGGCGGCAAAAGCGGCAGGATGCCTCGTACGGGTAAGCTGAACGCATTGGCATCGGAGATGGTCAAGCTGCGAGAGTCTGCCCCCCCCCCCTCCCGCGAATACTAAAGGTAACTTTGCTCTGCGCTTTATTGTCTGCTTATGTTGCTCGATGATTGATAACACTGCTTCATTAATATTTATGTCTCTATGTTGTTTTGACGATGGTATTCAGCTTCAAGCTGGACGACAAGGACGTGCGGGCCGAGAGGGAAGTCCACATCTAGCAGAGTACCGATGTAGATTAGACATATATGGTAGATTAATCATACTAGTGTTCTCTGAATTTATTTCAGAGTCTACCGGTGATACCACTTTCCGCGCTGTTTGAATATATTAGACTATAGCAAACGCCCTCTTTGCTTGAATGCTACATCTGCTGTACGGGTCACCCATTTCTCAAACTTCATAAATAGAGTTTTTTGTTAAAAAACACAGGCTTGGTAATTTAAAGGGTCTGATTGTCCGGGCATTTTATAGATAAGACTACACAACACGCAGTTATCGATGCAGAGCAGTTTGTAAAACCCGTTATATCGTATACATCTTGCCGTTATGAATCATCCACGTGAATGTTGACCCTGTCGGCGACGCGTCCATCTTCGCGCAACCCGCATCCGTAAGTAATTTATACGGTAATTTATGGCGTAGGTTTTTCTTGGTATAAATGCAACTTCCTATTTATCCCGTAGGGTCCGAGCCCTGAAAATTCCAGGCGCAAGCCCAACGGCGCCACGGTGGACACGAAGGAGAAACGCTGCCCGGGCAGCCCACGCGCGGTTGACCTTGTTGACCTCGGCCTTGGGTCTCCACGCGCCGTATCGGGCGCGTCGGCCTGGCGAGAACATGGTGGTCGAGGAAATGCTCGCGTTCTGCGAAGGTCTGAGCAACCCACAGCTGGGTGTTGGGGCCTATCATCGTAGCAGCTGCGAGGCTCATGCTCATGGCTCTCGCACGCAGATCAAAGGTGGGGTCACGCACTACGGCGCAGCCCGCTCGGTCAACTACGACTTCTGCTACGGGCTTTACCCGGAAAGGGGCGAGGAGTACGCGGACGGGTCCATCAAGAATATCCATCTCGTGGGCCACAGCGACGGCCAACATCCACACCCAAGAAAACCTCGAGGCGCTGTGCAAGAACCCCATCAATACTTACGTGGAGAACAATTGCGCCACGATGCTCAGCACCACGCTAGTGAATGACACTATCGCCACTGCCGCAGAGGCGACTACGACGGACAAACCCGAGAACTTAGTGCAGTATCACGAATCAGTAGTAAGTGAGTATAACTGGCTTTTGCTGTTCTGTTGCCCTCCTACACTATTCATCGTTGCTACCTCTCACGATGTAGCTTTCTAGCCATGCCAACGTCGCACTAGAAATTTCAGAGCTTCCTCGTGCTCAGCACGACTTTGTTATTAATAACGTTGTTCGTAATAACGTCGCGATTACTATCGTTGCTTGACATAACGTTGCTCTTGGTACATACCCCAATTTTCGTTCATAATTAGTACTACAAAACTCGTTGCATGTCTTCAACCTTACGTTTTTTTATATTATTACCAAACCACTATCATCGTCCAGGTCCCTGACATAATGGCTGCTGCTTCGCGTTGATTGTAATTATGTTCTGTAATTTCCGTACACCTATACGATTGTCTTCCTAAACGTTTGCGAAGCATTTGCGCCCAAGCGCTTAGGTTTAATCGAATGAGGTCGACACTATACGAAATATCGCCGAGTACTAACGTTGCTTCTCAATAACGTTGCATTATGATTAGCATTGCGCATTAGCGTTGCTCCAAGACAACGTTGCGTTATGTTTAGCGTTGCACGTTAACATTAATGTGACTTGTCCTACTTCCTCTGTTCTTATATAAAGCTAGTGTTCAAAGGGTACAATGCCTTCCCCAAGGCGTACTGTACTTATAGTTATCAACCGCCAAACTATTCAATTGCATTACCTGGGTCAGACGCATCCGCCATTTCATGATCGCTATAAAACTTAGCAAAGTACTTTACTATAATGAGAGAGGATAGCACTAGCCAGCGCGTAGTATAGGAAGCATATTAAATGGAGGCAGGATCACGCATCTGCATACTATGCCTATAGATATATTGAGTCCATTTTTAAGTAAACAGCGATGTATACCGTATGATTTAGAACAAGATCGCAATCTACTTTGATATCACTGCTATTAAATTACAGCACACAACTGATGAGGAATCTGTTTAACGCTTAGCATGGACATGTCGGCTAGAACCTGCGACCCTTCTGGTAGATTAACTGTGACGATACATTTATGCATCACTGCGATAATGTTACCCTAGATGAGTTTGATAATAGATTCTACGTCCATTTGTTGCATGTGTAGTTATTGCACACAGTAATACGTAAAATATAAGCATGAACAGCTATGGTTTATCGGCTAAGCAACAGGTAGCAATTCAAGTCTTACGCTGCTTAAGTTCCAAATTTTACAGCGACGTTAATAGTTCTTGCGCAACGTTAACGGGTTTTACCTAACAATTATGATGCGCGATTGACGGTAGCACCACTCGTACTAAGCCTTTTACACTTCATACTGTTAATATATTGAAGCCTATTTATTGTAGGTGAAGTACACGCAACCTGGCAATGTAGTCATTGATATTCTGGCGGATGTACTAAGACGGAGACAATGAGAGTATAACTGAATAGTAACCGAAGGTAATAGACGTGCACATAATAGTCTTATTTTATAGATTCTGGTATACAGTAGACGCGGAACTTCCGTAGTAGACGCGGAACTTCAGCGTCTACTATTATTCCAGATTTTCTGAGAAGAGGTCAACTAGTTTGTAAGAGAATAATTTTTAAACTAGTCCATGCACGATGGTACAGCATTGAACGCATAATGAAAGTGTCCGTACACTCACAATATCATAATGTTATAACAAGCGACGTGAACCTGGTATGCTACTTGATTTATCTGTAGGGTTTGCTGCCGTGCAATACTGTCACCAACAACTTACCTCGAAGAAAGTTAGTGGGCGATGTGATCGAAGGGCAACGTTAGCGGGCAACGTTACTGCGAGAGCAACGTTAATGGCTACGAAATAAATATAATGGTCACTTTTGAAACGCTTTTACGAGCGCTTGATTAGTTATATACTCTTACTAGAAGAACTATGTCTCGTTGTCGAAGAAGTACAGTCCAGAAAACCATTGGCATCCGCGATAAAACGTACCCATGCAGAGATAAATGAATCCGAACACCAGAGTATTCACATTTTGAGCCTCTGTTAGCATACTTTGCGCTCTCAAAAGTGTATTCGTGGTGTGTGTGCCACTTCAGAACTCTCCCACCCTCACATCTGAAGTCCTCAGTGAGCGGCTCGATAGATTTGCGCACCTCGTGAGCCTACTATGTACTCATTCAGCACAGATAATACCTCAGGAATAAATTACCTATGTGCAACACACGAGGAATTTATCCGATAAATTACAAGTCCGACCTTGTCCTACCATGTACCCATGTTGCTAATAACGACGCAATAAGGCCCTAACGTTGCCGTAAAAGCGTTGTGACGTTGTAAAATGATGACTGATAACGTTGCAGGAACGCCATCCATTTTATCTTTGAAGTAATAAGCTTTCGCGTTATTGAAAGCCAACAGGGGTTTCAGAGCTCAAAGTCAGTGTCCTTCAAGAGGAGCGTAGCAAGTCAACTGAGTTATTCACCCCGAAGTCCTGAATCCAGATCATATAGTTAGAAAATTTTCAAGTAGCTGATGCTCCGCATTGACAGGCATACAAATCATGTACTAAGTTCACTTAGCTCGCCACGTTAGCTAGAGTATCGTCGAGCAGCATCTTTTCCAGTGCCTTCATCACCGTTTGGTTCTCCTCCTCTCCTGTACTAACGATCATGTCGGTGAACTCGTTGACTACTGGGGTGCACGAAGCCGAACTACTGAAGTGCGTCGGCACGTGTCTGAAGCACGTGTCCAGAATTGTCCCCGTTGTCTCATTGCTCTAGGAAGGTCGAGCAATGCACCATCCATTCTCGTCAGAGTGCATCCCACGGAACAAGCCCTCTCCTTCAGCGAACACTTTCCACACAACCACGACGCGGTTGACTTTTTGGAAGCGACGCACGACAACACGCTGTAGTAGCGACACCTTTTCCCCCATGCGGCGGCTTGTTATCCTAAACTTGAGCGCAATTGTGTTCTCGGGGTCATCCAGGCCCTCGTAGATCACTCGATCTTCCTGGCGGTGTTTGAGCTGCGCGAGATACCACACCGAGTGGCACACTTGCTTGAATGGCAGAGTCTGGCGGTCGGCGTGCTGGTAGTACTCGGTATTCCCGTCCTTCTTCTTGGTTATTGACGGCGCGTCCGACGTCTCGAAATCGCAGGCAGCCGCGACTTCATCAGTCTGCAAGTAAACAGTGTGGAGTTCCTGCACAAACGTCTCGAACAGGGCCGAGTCGGTGGGTTCTAGCCGAATCCTCTTGTGACGAGGTGCGTCTGTCGAGTCGCCGTTCGCGATGACTCCGTCGTGGACGCGCTTCTTCAAGAACCCGGTCAGATCGTTGATCAGCGTGGCTCGGGAGCTGATGGCAGCTCGTAGATGCAGCTGCTCCTCCTCGGCAGCTTCTCGGTGCTCCTTCTGGCGACTCGCGATGGCTTTCCATAGACAGCTCGACAGTGCCAAGTCGGTGGACGGCGACAAACTCCCGTCTCTGGGAGAGTCCTGCAACTTGTCGAGCTTGGCCGACAGCTCGTCGATTTCGCGCCGAAGTGCCTCCTTCTCTGCCTTTTGCTTCTGGCGGTAGATACTGCGACGCTCCGCGTCTTCGAGGCTGCTCGGTCTTGACGACTGGAGCTTGGGCTTGGGTGGGGCTTGAACTGGTGGCGTTGGTTGGTGCTGCGGGAGCTGGAAGGATTGGCGGCAGCTCTGTGGACTCCAAGAAGCCCAGCAGCGAGTCGGTATCAGGCAGCAGAAGATCGTCGTCCAGACCGTCGCCCAACGTGAAGGCGGTGGGCAGCGTCAGCTCGTCCGGCGCGTGCAAGAAGTCCATGAGTTCGTCGAGCACCAAGTCGTCCATTTTTTCGAGGCTGGTCATTTGCAGCGTGAGAGAGAACTGGCGGCTGGCTTCATCCAACAACAGGAAGGACAGGAAGAATCCGAGCTGATGGGGACCTTGCAAAGCAGCCACAAGTTGCAACAGAGTGATGGTGCGCGGCACAATCAGCTGCTGTATGATGCCGAGTAATCGCTGCAGTTGAACCGCACCGACGCTTCTGTGTGGTGCTGGTCAACTTCGGCGCGCGGTGCACGCAGGTCTCTTAGCGACCTGTTGCTTTTTGTGAAAAGCTTACAAGCTAAATACCCGCGCCCCCCCCTTGGCTGAGCCCCCGGGTCTCGCTGTAATGATCTGCACATGCAAGCGCAGAGCAATACGACAACATCCGATGAGTCCGCGCACAGAGAGCAGGAGTTGCCGTCTGCATACTTACCGGTTGCGCAAGCGCTTGCTCCGGCGAGCCGCAACCAACCACTGCATGTTTAGGACTAGGGCGCCCTCCGGTAGATGGATTTTCCATTTTACCCGCAATACCACAAGTACAAGCCAGCACCTTACACTTGGTAGCACTTGCGCCTCCAGCGCGTGCTTCCGTCCAGTTCCAGTCTCCGTTCGAGTTCGAGTTCGAGATCCAGTCCAGTCCTGCCACGCGTCGCTAGTGTGCACGCCGTCCAGCCTAGTCCATCCCGCGTTGCCGTTGCGCACGCCGTCTTCCTCGCCTACGTTCTTCGGCGTGCCGCACCTGTACCGCTCGCCGTTCAGCTTCTCCGGGTGCGCCGCGTGTGTTACCTCGTCCGCAGCTTCGTTCCGCTCGTCGCCGACGGGACCTCCATTTTCGCCGGGCCCGCTCCTTTTCTTTCTGGGGGAGGAGTGGCGACGTGCATTGTCACACGTCACTTCGTGTCGACATCTCATTGGTGCATTTAGCCCAATCACTCCCGCGTGTCCATACGCGGCACCCATCTCGACCTTCCGCTGTCACTTGCAAACAGTGCGCAGCCGAGTGTAACATCCGCGTCGGTGGCCGTTACGAGTCTAGTAGTAGGAGTCTTTGTGCTCCGAGGCGGGCTCGAGCTAGCGCCGGACGGTATTGCACCAGTTGCTTCCTTCGGGACGCTGGAGCAAGTGGTTGGTACTTGTCGGAAACAGAGATCCAGGACGAGCTTCTGTGACTTCGTTGGGGCTTACAGACATTGTCGGAAGCAGCGCTCCTGGGAGTGCCTGCGACTTCAAACTTTGATTGATTTGGCTGAGGAGCTTGCGCGCCCCAGCTATCTATTGACGTCGTGTCTAGCGTAGGCGCAAACATGGATGAAGCAGCGATGCAGCACGCGGACAGCGTGCAGCAGATGTTCGCCTCGCTCGCGGCGATAATGCGCGAGCAGCAGCAGTTCATGGCACAGACAGCCGAGCTGCAGCGCCAGATGGCGGCGGCACTGCAATAGCAACAGCAGCAGCAATCCACCTCGCAGCAGCAGCAACCGTCGGTGGCCGACTCTTCGTCGCCAGACACGCGCGAGTACCGGGCCGAGGGCATGACCATGCCGAAGTTCTCCGGCACCAAGGACGACGACGTCGCGGACTACCTCTTCAGCGCCAAGCTCTACTTTGAGTCGAAGAACATCAAGTACGGCGCCGACTCGCCGCAGCAGCGCCCCTTGTCGCTCTTGGTGGCAAACTTGAAGGGACCAGCAGCGGCTTGGTACCGCGAGTACGTCTCCCACGACGGGAACTTCCTGCACTCGGTCACGCAGTTCGAGGAGCTGCTGACCAGCGCGTTCACGACACCCGATCGGCAAGAGCACCTGCGTGACCAGCTCCTACTCCTGCGCCAGAACAACTTCACCTGTCTCGAAGATTACGTGTCGGCCTTCCGGCACATCATCTGCAAGGTAGAGGAGATGAGCGACATCGACAAGGTCATGCATTTCCAGAAGGGGTTGGTCGTAGAGATCAAACAAGAGGTGAAGCTGCGCCAGTTCAGGAACACGACAGACGCAATTTCGTTTGCGCTCATGTACGACCGCACGCACGCTCTAGGATCGCGTCGAACCAACGTGAACCGCGGAGGCCAAGGTCCACAACGCCTTCAGCAGTCGTCACATCACGTCGAGGAGCCGACCCCACTGGAGATCGGGAGTTCGCGCTTCGTCTCTCGCGAAGAGTGTCTGCGAAGTAATCTTTGCTTTTACTGCAAGGAGCCCGGACACCGCCTGGCTACGTGTCCTAAGCGGCCAGCGCGTAACAACCCCCGAGGCTCATCTCGTCCTCCACAAGGGCGCGGTTCTTTCCGCGCAAACCAGGGCTCGTTTCGCCGCATTGTTGAAGACGACGACGCATCCGACGACGATGACGACGCCTACGCAGACAACCGCGACGACCACGTCGAGGTCATCAACAGTTTGCAGCTGAACATGGTGTCTCTCGACGCGAAGTTGTTGCCCAATCGTGAACTGTTGAGGTTCGAGGGAGCGATGAGCGGCCAGGCAGTGCAAGTCTTGATCGACAGTGGTGCAGAGCGCAACATTGTGCGTCCGGGCATCGCGCAGCACTACGTTGAGGCCACCAAGGTCACGGTCGAGCGCTTTGATGGCACGACAACCCCGGCGCGTACCGCACAGCAATGTTTGGAGACTGTCTGCTTTGATGGCAGAGTCTTCAACGATGTTTCTCTCATTGAATGGGAGGTATCTTCAAACCAAGACGTGATTCTCGGTCACCCGTGGTTAGTGCAGTTCAACCCGATCATCAATTGGCAAGCCGGAGTGATGCGCTTCCCCAACCACCGTGTAGTACATGACTTCGGTTCCGTGAACAGCAGTCTTGAGGTGGCGGGACCGACGGTGGCTTCAGTGGAAGTGAAACCGGAATTTCTTCAGCACCCGCTTCCCCCGAACCTGCGGCAGCAGCTCGATGACCATGTGCAGGCAGGCTACTTCAGTATGCCGTTGGGACCGAGCTCACTAGCAGCGCTGGGACACCAGACCTTACCACGCATCTTTGACGACGAAGGTGACGATGGTACAGACGCGTCGCCGCTGTGTGTTCTTGCGGCTGCGGAGTTCGAGAAGAAGGTGAAGGCTGACGAGTACGTCGAACTATATCATGTCACGGTGAAGACGTCGCCCAAGGTGAAGTCCGTGCCATTGCAGCTTCAAGCGGTTCTTGAAGAGTTCGCAGATGTCTTTCCAGCAGAGCTGCCACCTGGATTACCACCAAGCCGCTCCATCGAGCACGAAGCGGTCTTGAAACCAGGGGCGACGCCAAGCAACCGAGCTCCCTTCCGCCTCTCGAAGGTTGAGCAGGAAGCATTGGACATCTTTGTGGCAGAGCTGCTGAAGAAGAACTGGGTCGAAGTGTCGGACTCTCCCTGGGTATCGAACATCTTCGGCGTGCCGAAAAAGGATCCCGCGACGGGCAAGTTCCCATCCCGCTTGAGTGGTTGCACTCAAACAACCCGCACATGTCGATTCGATGGGTCATCGACTATCGCTTGGTGAATGCCGCCTCGGATGTGGCTAAGATCCCGCTACCGCACATCGAACAACTCTTCGATCGCATGGTGGGCGCAGTGGTCTTCTCTATTCTCGACCTCGCGAGTGGATACCACCAAATGCGCATGTCTCCGACGTCAAAACAGTGCACGGCATTCAGGATGAACCATGAGATCTATCATTGAAACGTGGCGCCCATGGGTCTGGCCGGCATGCCAGGCACGTGGACACGCCTGATGCGCAAGCTGCTGAGTCATCTACTGTTCGTGGTCGTTTATCTTGACGACATCTGCATCTTCTCGCGATCGATGGCTGACCACGTTGAGCACTTCCGACAAGTCTGCGAAGTCCTGCGCGCTAACAAGCTTTACGCCCGTCCTGACAAGTGCGACTTCGGGCAAGCCTCGGTGGACTTCCTTGGCCACACCATCTCTGCTGATGGTTTGCACGTGGACGCTCGCAAGACTCGAGCCATCGCAGAGTGGACCGAGCCATGCAACATCTAGGACCTCCAACGCTTCTTGGGCCTCGCCGGGTACTATCGTCGCTTCATCCACCAGTTTGCGACGTTGACACTGCCCCTGCGCTCTCTGGTCAAGAAGGATGTCGCTTGGGTATGGAACGAACACCAGCGCCAAGCTTTCAATGCCATTAAGCTCGCGCTCCAGCACGCTCCGGTGCTTCGTCTGCCGGACTTTGAAAAAAACATTCATCGTGACAACGGATGCCAGCCATGCGTGCATTGGTGGAGTGCTCTCTCAGATGCATGATGGCAACGATCGCCCCGTGGCTTTCTTCAGCAAGAAGCTGGGACCTCACGAGCTGAACTGGCCTGTTCACGAGAAGGAGCTCTTTGCGATCAAGCAGGCGCTTACACGTTGGCGTCATTACCTCCATGGAGTCTCGTTTGAAGTGTACACGGACAATTCGGCGTGCAAGTGGTTTTTGTAGCATCCACGCCTGTCGGGTCGCCTGGCCCGCTTGCTCGACTTCTTTGCGTCCTTCCAGTCCACTCTGCATCATCGTCCAGGAGCTTTGAATGTCGTTGCGGACGCGTTGTCGCACCCCCCTGATGCTTCATCGAGTCCGGGGGAGGGACAGGAGGATTGTGAGTCCAAGCCCGAGCCGGTTGTAGTGTGTACGGCGTGTTTGACGTCTACCACATGCACGAACATTCGAGACGTGGTCTCACGACGTACCATGGCTACGGCGAAGCTCCAAAGCATACCGTCCCGGGATCAAGCTGTGATGCTGGCCGTCAAACCGCCAGCCACAAAGGCACTCGGAGTTGGCACAGCACAGTGGTGCATGAGGTTGAACGCAGCGTCAATGGAGGACAGCACGGTGATCAGCTCACTTCAGCTGGATAACCAAACGAAGCGGGCGTTTCAGAAGGCATACGGCAGAGATCCAGTCTTCAAGCCACTGTGGAAGTCCAGACACTCGTCGGAAGAGTACGAAGTCATTCGCGGGCTGATCTACTTGAAGAGTGACGACAATCTACGCCGCCTTTGTGTACCAAACAACCGAAAACTTCGGCTCGATGTCATCCACAACGCGCACGATGCTGCCATCATGGCGCACCCTGGGATCCGCCGCACACAGCTAGCTGCAGCTCAGTGGTACTTCTGGCCGAGCATGGACCTGGATATCAAAGCCTACGTGCAGAGTTGCGAGTCTTGCATGAGGTACAAATCGAGCACGGGGCGGAAGTCAGACAAGCTTCAACCAATTCCGTTACCGGCAGCTTGTTGGGATGTTGTCTCGACTGACTTCATCACGCATTTGCCAGTGTCCGACGGCTTTGATGCGATCATGGTTGTGGTGGACAAGTTGTCAAAGCGTCCAGTCTACATCCCGACGCACACCACAGCGACCGCGGAAAACACTGCCAAGCTGTTCTTCAACAATGTCATCCGGTAATATGGAATCCCATCGACTATCATCTCCGACCGCGACCCGAAGTTCACGTCGAAGTTCTGGAAAGCTCTTGTGCAGCTGATGAAGATCAAGCCAGCGATGACGACTGCCCACCGAGCGCAGGCCGACGGCCAAACTGAGCGTCAGAATCGGACTCTCGAGGACTCGTTGCGATGCTCTATCTCGTACCATGGCAACGACTGGAATGAGCAACCGCCCATGATTGAGTATGCGCACGCAACACTGGTGTCCACCTCGTCAAAGCTGTCGCCCTTCTTCGTCGACACCGGCCGTCACCCTAAGAACCCATTGGGTAGTGCTGGGAGCGATCAGCCGGTGGCGAGGTCTCGCGTAGAGTACGCGTCTCGATTTCTTCAGCATCGTCAAGAGGTGATCGAACGTGCTCGGAAGAATCTGTTGGATGCGTAAGAGGCTAAAAAGAAGTTCTACGACCGGCGTCGTGCAGCAAATCCATTCAAGGTCGGCGATCTAGCCTTGCCGTCGACGCAAGACCTGAACATCTTGCACGCCACTGCCGAAACGACTCTTCGCTCACGGAAGCTTATCCCGCGATTCATCGGTCCGTACCCCATCCTGGAACTGCACGGCAACGTCGCACTGCTGGATCTACCGGCCAACTTGAAGCACATCAGTCCACGCTTTAACATCGACAAGCTCAAGGTATACAACAGCAACCCTGATCGCTTCGTCGGTCGTGTGATCCCGAAGTCGACCCCTGTGATCTTTGATGACGACAGTGAGCCGCTACATGTTGTCGAAGCCCTGATCAAGAAACGGATCTTCAACCGTCAACCTGAGTATTTGGTCAAGTGGCACGGGCTCCCTCACCATGAGAACACGTGGGAACGCGAGCGCGACATCAAACACGTCAGTCACTGGCAAGCGCTGCTCCAGCACGGGCCTAGTGAAATTCTCTTCAACAGAGTTTTCACGGTACTTTTCCTTACACCGAGGGTCTACGGTACTACCAACTTCAACTTCGGCAACTTCAACGTCCAAGGTGCCGGGACTCGCTCAAGTCGGGGGGGGGGAGTGTAATGATCTGCACATGCAAGCGCAGAGCAATACGACAACATCCGATGAGTCCGCGCACAGAGAACAGGAGTTGCCGTCTGCATACTTACCGGTTGCGCAAGCGCTTGCTCCGGCGAGCCGCAACCAACCACTGCATGTTTAGGACTGCGCGCCACGAGGGCGCCCTCCGGTAGATGGATACCAACAAACAGATAAAACAACAATTCAGTTTCCATTTTACCGCAATACCACAAGTACAAGCCAGTACCTTACACTCGCTCTGTCGAGCTCTCCCCGTGGTGTGGCTCAGCCGGTGGGCGCGGAACTAAAATGTTTTGCACTGCAAGCTTATAGCGAATTTCGCTTTCGATCTCGAGAAAGCGCCCAATACAACTAGGTTTAACTTCTTCAAAGCCAGCAACTTCCTGATTCCAGCTATGCGGGTGTTCTACAGCGCATTGGGTGCACTACACGCAAGTCTCTTTGGCATGCACACGGGGCCATACTGCTGATGTCAAGATAACACTATCCAGGCTGCACTGTGATCGATATCGTGGGCAATAGGTTCATAGCAAGTAGCGTACAGACAGCAGACTAGGACAGCCGTAGCCGCCGGGTACGTAGAGAGAAAGGTATCTAGTATGCGGGGCTGAAGCAGAGCTGGCCCTGAGTGCAATCGGCGTTAACCGCATAGAATAAAATAGAAATAAAACAAGATAATGTCCTATACATGTACTGCAGTGCTCACAGCACATCAATGCACACATCAATGCATTTGCCCCAATGAAGCGGACCATCGAGGCATCATCTACGGATCGCTCGCAATTCAAAGGCGCCCTACTACACTGCTACAACACTCTCCTTCAATACTAGCTTGCATCCAAGCCGACGCACAGCAACAATAGTAGCTGTAGCTGCCGACAATAATAGCCGATGCCTAAAAGTCGCGGCGCGATGCTGGGCGCTGTATAAAACAAACTTACATCATCATCCGAAGTGCCGGTAAAATGCAAGCATTAAACGCTCCGTTTTCACAGGTTTTGGCCAAAAGCTGACGCAATCTTTCGTTTAAAACAAAGGGTGTTACACCCCTGAGCGTTGTGCTCTTAGCATTCGCTAAGAGAACTTGAGTGTACTGTAGGCAGCTTTGGCGCCAAGTTCGGTCTCTCGTACTGCAGCCCCGCGTAATTGCTAGCACCCTATAATCAGCGAGAAAATTTCCAGCGTGCCTGTTACTGCGGCTATCCTCGGCGACGGAGAAGCAACGTGCAGAAGTTCGTTACGGCTGCCTTGGGATGAAGATAGTGTACCGGTATGGATCTACTGTACTTGTACTTACGTAGTATTGTTCTGGTCCATTCAATACACGCCCAGTGCGTCGTCCAGCAGCACCTCATCCAGCTTCTGTAAGCACGTCTGGCAGATATCTTCGCCGATCTTGACTATGGTGTCGGTGAACTGTTTCAAAACTGTACCGGAAGCTGGTGCCGTGCTGAAGTTGATCGGGACGAAGCGGATGACCGACTCCATCACTGTACTAGGCATTCCCTTCCCAGAGCTCGGGGAGGGCCGCACGATGGCCCACCCAGTTTCATCGAGGTGCATGGCAGTAAATGCGCCTTCACCCTCCGTGAACTTTCTCCAGACGATAACCTCGCGGTCGGCTTCGTGATATCACCGAGAAATGCTGTGCTGGACGAGCGTGTTGCCTCCTGGTCCGACGATGCGGCTTTTAGTAATCTCCGTGTCCTCGGGAATCCACGAGCCTTCGATCGCCTCATAGCCCGGGTAATTCGCCAAGCGGCAAGTCCCATCAAGAAGTGCACGCACTCGCTCGAATGCGAACGGCGTGGTCATCGTTCCCACTAACTCGTGGTAGCGTGCATTGGGCTTCACAGTCCGCGACGGGTTAAAGAAGACTTGAGCATCTTCGCAGCTGTCCACGTCCGTCTCCACTGCTGCCTCCTTGAAAATACTGTCCGTCCTCGCATAGACCTCGTCCAGCTCCTCAATAAAGGCTTCGTACAGCACCACGTCGGGCGATTCCGTGCGCGGTTTCTTGGCCGTAAAGCCAGCTTCTTCAGGCTGTTCTTCACTGATTCTCTTGCGTATCAGCACCGCCAGATCCCGGATCAACGCTGACCTCCTCTCCACCGTCTTACAGAGTCGTCGGCGCTGCTCCTCTGCATTAACTCGAGCCTGCAAATGTCTGTGCGCCAGAGCCTTCCACACTGCAGCATGACCCACTCCCGCTTCCTTACTGGTCTCGGTGGCTTCTCTTCTTTTCTGTAGCGCCGCTAACTGCGCTGACAGCTCCTCCGCTTGTCGGTACAGAGCGCGCTTCTGTTCCTTCTGCACCTCGAGCCACCGGAGGCTCTCAATCGACTGTTCCTCCACGCAAGCGGAAGAAGCGGGCGGATCGAAAGGAGGCGGCCTATAACCGCGCTGTTGAGCTCCTTGGTGAGGAGAAGGTTCAGGAAAATCGACGCGAGTGGGATTCTTGGGAAACGGAGTTTGCAGGGCGACAATGGGAGCAGTCAGAGGGAGTAATTCTGCAACTCCTCCAACAAGGATTGTCAGAGCGAGTTATTCGTGCCATTCTTCCTGTGGGTGGAAGTCGAGTCGCAAGATTAAGGAAAGTTCTAAAGGAGGGAATTGATACCTTGCACACCCGTCGCAGTCGCGCGGCGCCGGCGCATGCCTTTATTGACTCAGACTTGGCTACATTCAAGAACCACTGCTTGACATGGATACTGGAAGACGGCTTTCCCTGTCCACACAGACGACCTCGCCAGTTCTTCAACGAACCAGGCCTTACTTGGAAAGTGGTCCATGCTCGATACGAAGACGATGTCAAGCGTGAAGACCCCAACGCTCGCACGATGAGCTACTCTCGTTTCATACAGTATGTTCACAAGTTGTACCCCGCCGTCCATCTATCCAGAACTACTGAGGACGATTGCGATTGCTGCACTCGGCTCGATATTCAGCTTGGCCAAGATGGCATCAGCGACGAAGAACGGGAATGTCTCCTTCAGAAAAAAAAATGCATCTTAGTGAAGCTATCGCACAAAGACGTTTTGTTTCGACTTTCATCAGAAACTACTCGGCTCTTCATGTCCCGGAACAGTATCTACCGCGCGATATCATTCCAGATACAGCCGATGATAACGATGCTGGTGTCCGTTCAGTGGCTTTTACGGATGAATCACAACCAAACGAGCATGATATGAGCTGCAATAGCGATGACAATGGTGATGTTGATGCTCCTATCGCCGAGCCAGGTGGACCAACCTCGTACCAGAACTGTCGGGTGCAAATTCAAGTGGAAGACTACGGTGGTGGAATATCGATGCCTTACTTTGGTCATTCGCGTCCTTCAATCGACTATTACAACAGTAACCTCATACTGCAGAACTTCGTCGTGGCGGACATCAGCCACAATGTGAATCAGGTTTTCCTCTACGATGAGCGCGCTCAGGGCAAGGACGCTAACGCACTTTGCAGCTTGCGACTGTGTTATCATCTCACCAAAGTCCACGAGGCAGCAAGTAAAGGGTTTCTTGCTGCGGAAATCAGCTTCAGCTTGTTGGACAATTGTGTTGGGCAAAATAAGTCCAAAGCTGTTCTGATGTTTTTCGCAATGCTCTCGATTGTGTTCCCCTACAGAAAAGTTGTTTTATGCTTTCTGCTTCCGGGGCACTCTCATAACGTTGCTGATCGTGTCGTTGGCTGGTGTCGTAAGGCAACTCAAGATTAGAATTTGTACTCGCCGTCTGACCGTTTGAAGGAAGTGAACAACATGAAGGGGGTGAGCGGTGTGTTCTTTGATCACAATGACCCAAAGAGACCGTTTTTTTGTGGGATGGAACGATTTACTTAGCAAATATTTTCTACCGCCACCGTCGGGGTACACTGCTAACTATTTGTTTGAGATTGATCAAGGTATTTGTACTGCTCGCAAAACGGTTGACTCACCGGACTCTGAATCGATCTCGTTCGCAATGATGAGCACTGACAACGTCGACAGCATTCGGAAAGCGGTCTTGGCGGAACTGTTTGGGCCTGCAGTCACAAGCATCTTTCAGGCGTCGATTTCGTCAGTCCAGCTTCCGCGTCACCCGGTCAAAGAGCTGCCGGAGAAAAAAAATGAAGTCACTGGCGGCCGAATACTTCACAATACCACCGCAATACCTCAGCTACTACCCGTGTGGTGTAGCGGGATCGGCCAAAATCTGGTTAAGGCTTGATCGAGCTTCCCACCAGCGCCCAGACACCGACTAACGGAGGGGGTCCCCCAACGATCCGTGATCGGCTGAACTTGTTCTCACCTTGTGTACCCGTCGACAGGCTGGATCTGCTCTCTCGGGGCTCCGAAGATGCAGCACTTGGTGAAGATCGAGTGTCTTGGCGTGACGCGGGGATAACTTGTGGAGCAGCGCGGGAATCTTCGCTCTGCGTCCGAGTATACGTTCCGATCGAGGGTTGTTCGCTGCGATCGGTCGGCCTGGAGTCGATCCAAGGCCTGTAGTTGCCTTTCCGGGTGTGTCCCTTCCTTTCCTGGGTTGCTTACCGCTTCCTATAGCGGGATCGAGGTTGATCGAGAGGAGAAACGATCGCCGGCCAAGCAATATCCGGTCGATCGGGGGCTCGCACACAAGAAATAGATCGCTAGAGTAGGTCAAGCTGGCCAATGTATTAATCCAGTCTTAACCGTACCACTAGCTCACTGTCCAAAGTGTCGATGCTTGCCGAGGCCAATGTAGTTCCTGGGACGACTTGTGCTCTTTGGTGCAAATTCTCTTCTCGAGAAGGAATCGCAGGGACTCGGCAGTCTTGGATCACGGGTGGGGCCAATTAGATTCCCCACGACGTACGCTGGTCGAGGCCAATATGTGCTTCCTCGCCACGTTTCCAGGCCACTTGCGTTGTACCGCGCAAATTCTCTTCTGATTTATGTTTAGCTGGTCTCTCCCTACTGCTACCATCTTGCTTACCCTCCTACAACCCCACGATTACTGGATTCTTGCCCCGACTTCGTCCTCCATGTGCGTCCCATCCTGGTCGATCCACGATCGGCCCCGATCGGCGATCGACTCCGATCGGCCCTGATCGGCGATCGACCCCGATCGGCGACCCACGATCGGCTCCCGATCGGCGATCGGAGATCCACTCCCGATCGATGACTTATGCCGGTTGCCATGCGCCGCCGATCTATCCCCTTCTGTCCTCGGCCATCCCAGATCTGCGGGTTCTGTCGTCGATCTGGACTTGGGTCGGTCCCGAATCACGCCACGGTTCGGGCACGATCACCCACAATCCGGCTTGCCACATGTCCTGCCTTACGCGCCGGCGTCATCGGACCACCTGAGACCTCCCGAAGAACTCCTTCTGATCCGTAGATCCTTGCTGCCTGTCTCTCGATCGCCGATCTCCCACGCCTCCAGTCGATCGGCCCTGCCGCCTTTCTCGGAGAACAATTCTTATTCAGCACTTCTCCACACCCGAGTGTACCTGAAGCCATTCTCAATGCTCCTGTTCAAGATGGTACGACTCCGGGTGGACCCGACACTGATGATCAAGGAGCTCACAAGCAAAAACAAAAGAAGCGTAAACCAGGTCGACCCCGAAAAAGCCCCTCTCACCCCCGTAGCAACCAGCCTTCCATACTGCAGTTTTTCAGCGCAAAACCAGCTAGTAGTTAGGCCAAGTACATCCTAGTCCGTGCATTCATTACCCACATACATAATACATTAGTATTTAGGAGTGTGATATGGTTACCGGTTTGTGGTGAGAGCACCGGGGTCCGGATGGAACCCCGGGGTCCCGCCATTCGTTTCATATAAGGCGAGATTTGCTGTATTTATAGCGACCACCTGCTAGATTTACGATAAATCGAGGTGCATAAATGGGTGGAGACCTAGAATTACGCTAAAAGCGCCACAATTGCACTTTTGAAAGTGCAATTGTGGCTGTGCAGCTGCAATTCTGTCGGTTTTTATCCACAAACACCTACACGCACGGCAATTATGCATAAGAGGGTGGATGTGCTGGGCCAATGCATGGCTGCTTGCAGGCCCTCCCAAGTCGATATATATATGAGGAGGTGGATTTATGCATAATTTTAGCAGGTCGTGTATCTTCTTTCACACATATTTAGGAGCAGGCTTTGCCATATTTAGCGTCTAAAATGGTCGGCAAAATAACTGCAAAGCACAATACCACTTGCATATAAATTAACACAGATTATGGTCACTTCAAATTATGCTCGTTTCATCAAAATTAAATACGTAAATGGCTCAAACCACCCCAAACTTTGACGATGCCCTCGGAAGCATCTAAAACATGTCCTAGCACGTTTTCACGCTCTGGTTGCTGCTAGTTTAGGTAGTAGTAGCATTCCTATTTACCTACCCATGAGACCACCACTTAGCTGTCCATTGTTGATACTGAAGCTCAGTTGTTTGAAGGGTCGCATGAGCGCTATTTTTAGAATTGACCTGATGGCATGCATTTTCAGTCGAGTGGTTGCACTTCATAGCATGCTCTGCGTTTAATAATGCTCTTCCTCCCGAGTGCAATTGCTAATCATTTAGAGCACAGGCAGGGCTATCCGAAGAAGTACTTATCCCCATGTAGAATGACCTAACGGATTTAAAAGACTTTTGACCTAGCATAGCAAATGACGGCTTTTCGTGACCTTCCAGTAAATAATCTGTGTTAAATGTTTTGACTACATGAAAGGCACTCAACACACGCCAAGTGCATCGTCCAGAAGCATCTTCTCCAGCTGCTCAATGCACGACTGACATTCCTCTTCGCCCACCTTGATAATGGTGTCAGCAAACTGTTTCACTGTTACACCCGTAGAGGCGGCTGAGCTGAAGTTGATAGGGACGAAGCGAGTGACAGATTCCAGCACGGTTCCAGCGCCACCACCCACGCAGCTCGGCGAAGGACGAACGATATTCCAGCCTGTTTCATCCGAGTGCATGCCAGCGAACTCTGCCTTGCCTTCAGTGAACTTCCTCCAGACAACGACGACCCGGTCAGCCTCCTGGTACTTTCGCATAACCGTGTGCTGGACGAGCGATCCAGCGACGACAGGAATGTCCACCCGTGCCTTCACGATGGTCGTATTCTCCGGAACCCACGGGCCTTCAATCCTCTCGCGCCCCATTCGGTTCTCCATGCAGCAGACACGGCCAACCTGAGCATGTACTCGCTCGTAGGCGAACGGAGTGGTGGACTTGCCCACAAGTTCGTGGTAACGCGAATCCTTCACGACTGCCCGCGGCGCATTGTAGAAGCCAAACGAATCATCACACTCCAGCTCTTCCCTGTGCGCTGCTGTCTCCTTGAAAATGCTGTCCGTCCGCGCGTAGGCCTCGTCCAGTTCATTGATGTACGCTTGGTACAGTGCCATGTCAGGCGACTCTGTGCGGGGTCTTTTTGTAGCAGATCCAGCTTCTTCCGGTTGCTCTTCACTGAACCTCTTCCTTATAATCACTCCAAGGTCTCGTATTAACGCCGACCTCCTATGGACAGCTTCACAGAGTCGTCGCCGCTGCTCTTCCGCGATCATCCTGCCCTGCAAGTGTCTGTTGGCCAGTGCCTTCCACACTGCCGTCTGTGCGAAGCCCATGCCTTGGCTCGCATCGGCATCTTTCTTCTTCTGCTGCAACATTGCCAACTGGCTCGAGAGCTGCTCCACTTGTCTGTAGAGCTCCTCCTTCTGCGCCTTCTGCTTCTGCCTGTACGTGCTGCGTCTGATGGCGTCTCGGGATCGAACGTTCTCCACCACGGGAGGAGGAGACGAGGCCGAGGCGACGCTCTCGCTCTCGGCCGACGTGCAGTCGCTGTCTGTGTGGTTTTGGTCGCTGTTGCTGTCGAAGAGCGGGTCTTCCAGTAGCCCGTCGACGGGCGAGACGTCGAGCATCTGCAGGGCGATCTCGGTGCCTTGGAGCGAGAGCAGCGACTCGTCCTTGTCCAGCGACTGCAGCAGCTCATGGCCGGAGATCGAGGGGTCGTCCAGCGTGCACAGGAAGCCCGCGACTTCGTCCAGACAGAGTGAGTCGGTCATTCTACTATAACTTAATGTATTGCACGCGTCTTGCGCTCTAGCAGAGACGATTCGAGAATGCGACGGTAGACACAGCATGGGCAACGTTTGGGCAGACCAGCTGATCGCGTAATCTGACTGCCGTAATCCGAGTGGGGGTAGGGCGGTAAAGCAATCTTCGAGAGCCAATCAAATCGGCGCTAGGAATGATGGTTGTGTGGTGCACACGGTTATATTAACCAATCAGAAGCGTCTGTCGACAGCAACGGCAACTTACCACCTTGGCACCGCACTGCTCATGCAATGACTCTGTGGGCGTAGCGCGGCTCGGCAGCTCGCAAGCAGGCTTATTACCGAAGGTGCTGCAGTGTGCAGTGCAGAACTACGTGCACACGCGCTTCGAGGACGCGCCAGGCCGCACCATGGCGAAGAGGGAGGTGCGCTTCAAAAACATGCCCATCACAGCCGACGTGGTGGAGGAAGAGAGTAACGAGAGTAAGATCGAGCTGCTGACAATCTAGAAAATGGTCAGGAGTCTGGCCGCTAGCTTTTACTCCAGTGGCGCTGGCGCCGGTGTTGCGCAAGCCCGGCGGGGCGAGATAACATACAACAGCGTACCACAGGCCGGCATCAGGCGCTGCCTACCGCAGTTCCTGCCGCGAACTACATAGCGTAAGTGACGCGGCCAAACCCGGCTGGCGCCCCGTCATTATTGGAGCCCATGCGCCCTATACAAATTTATAATTCTATATATATTAAATTTGAAAAATAATCAGGAGATCACGGCGTCGGAAGTGAGAGCGCCAATTGTACGTACAGTAGTTCGTAGTTGTACGTTTGGGGCACTCGGGGTGCGATATCTGGATTGGTGTTGTCGATCAGCTTTGAATAGCGGCAGGCACACAATACATCGTGTTGTGCAATGGCTTTCTTCTCTTGACTTACGCTGTCATGTTGATGTAGATGAACATTCATTCGTTCAATGCGAAAGGGCACTGGAGATGCGTGTGCGGAAGGGGTACAATCATTAACAACTTTCTTCGATCACCCTCAAAATGTCCATTGCGATGCTTCTGCGCTGGTCGTGTTGCTCCGAGTTGTGTCTTGTCCTTGACCATTGCCCGATGTGCCATCGAGGGCATCGATGTACCTGGTTTGCGCCTCCACCGCGGCGATAAGCGGCGACAGCCACCGTACACGACCACTGGCAAAAACCAAGGCGAGCAGATCCCAGATCTTGATCTTTTTTATGACGAATCGTCATATCCCAGATCTTGATCTTTTTATGACGAATCGTCATAAAAAAGATCAAGATCTGGGATCTGCTCGCCTTGGTTTTTACAATCATCATTCAGAATGATCCATTCGGTGTTTGTTGTACTGAAGTACGTAACTCTTTTTTAACTGGTTTTTACAATCATCATTCATTCGGTGTTTGTTGTACTGAAGTACGTAACTTTACTGTTGTTTACTGTAGCGTGAGAGCGATCACCGCAGGATGCTTCGGTTTGATGTGCCGGGGTACACGCTCCCGATCATTTATGAGCAGTCGCTGCTGAGCCTTCAAGGGGTTTCCACGTTTGTTGGGTAGATCACAAAAGTAAACATATGGATTATAGCACTTGGAATGTACTAACGAAGTTGTTCTCAACCGAGGAGCTGGCTGTGAAAATCGCGGCCAAGCACTTCTGATCACTACCTATGGTCAATGCATGTACAGATCATGATTAGTCACGCTGAACAGAAATCGTCATCATACAAGCACCAAGTACATGTAAGGTGGTTGTACGATATAGTACACGTTTTGTACATGATGGCAAGACCACTGGTCTTAGACCAGTCAAGTCGCAGCAGAGAACGTAAATCCGCGCGGGGGCTCTTCTCGATACTCTGGTTCATTCCAGAGGTCCGGATCCGTCCGTCTTACCAGCTCCTGGGGTTAACGTTGGACAAGCACTGCCGAATGGCCAGGTTGCTCTCTACCTTGAGCTCAGCTTCGCACGGGGACAAGGGACATTGGTCACAGTGGATACCACCGGCACCTAGTGAACCCTGATCTTCAGGATTCGCCAGCAGAACGAGACACCGTCAAGAACAAGAAAGAGGAAGCTGTAGAAGAAGAAAAAAAACAGTAAGACCACCACCAGGATTTTAATGGCCAAGGCCAAATAAAGTCACTTACTACTACACGTATTGTACATGTATTGGCAAGCATCAGTCGTGACACAACTATATTAAAATAACACACACTTGCACATTATGATAGAGGGACATAGCAGGTGACTCACTTTGCTCCAAGGCAACTGACCGGCTTAGCACGCAGGTTTTCCGCAGCATTCAAACACTCACGCCCGGCCGCGGACGAGCTCCGCCCTTCGATCGCAGAGGGGAGTTGAGCATGGAGCCGCCAGGCGCAACGGCGGAGTGGTCGCAACGATCACCAACCGTGACGCCCAGTACCAAACTTGAGTCGGTCGCACCGAGACCCGACTAAGTCCCATCAGCAGGGAAGTTGGCAACAGTCTGTTGCTCCCTATATATTAATACATGTAATGTACGTGCGTGCCTCTGGCTCTTGAGCATTCCGGTACATGCATTACTGTACACTCCACGACAAAAAGATATGGACACCACCAAAAGTGGCTGTAACTTCGTCATTTTTTATCGTTTTAAGTTGCGGTTTGGACTAGAGTTGCAGAACACGCTGATAAAGATCTGCACGCTACTAACACGCGCGTTTTTGCGCTTCTTCAGGTAGCTCACATACAAATCACTGGTTCTGCCCAGGTGACAAAACTTATGGACAGGTAATCCCCATACAAAATCCTATATAAACCAAAACCCCTTACAAATGATACGAATTGGACTTTTGTATGGGGTGACAAAGGAACCAGCCTCACGGGGATACTCGTGACGTTAGACAAAGATCTGATGGCATTATCGTGTACTAGAAGATGTGTTTAGTAACCTGTAATAAATTCATCCTTCATCGCACAAAACTGAGCAAGTAGTAAGCAATTGAAATTTCGAGTGGTGGCTGCCATGTATTATCTGATGATTTGCGAGGCACGTTCAGTTGCATCCTAGTTAGTGCCAATTTGTAGCTCTGTATGCTGCTATCTCTTGGATATACGATTGTCTTCTCCATTCTAAACTGTTGGTAGATGATATATGGCTCAGTACTAAGGTAGAGTGGAGAAATCATGGGTTCCTTTGTCACCCCATACAAAAGCCCAATTCGTATCATTTGTAAGGGGTTTTGGTTTATATAGGATTTTGTATGGGGATTACCTGTCCATAAGTTTTGTCACCTGGGCAGAACCAGTGATTTGTATGTGAGCTACCTGAAGAAGCGCAAAAACGCGCGTGTTAGTAGCGTGCAGATCTTTATCAGCGTGTTCTGCAACTCTAGTCCAAACCGCAACTTAAAACGATAAAAAATGACGAAGTTACAGCCACTTTTGGTGGTGTCCATACCTTTTTGTCGTGGAGTGTATTACTATCACAGCTGAGAGCAACACGGGCGACCTTTTCTGTGACATTGCAATACGGGTAGGTACCTAGATTTTCGCTCGGTATAACGTCGCGCAAAGACTTATGGTGGTGTGAGCATTGCTCAGTCAGCTTTTGATCACATCGGTGGCTGCAAACTTTTTAAAGCTTAAGACTACTATCACATACACATTACCAGAACGGTACCGGGCTCATTCGTCTCTGGCGAATGGCACGGCCAGGTCCAACCCGTGCCGTGCTGCTGCAGTTCCCTAAAAATCCCTTGGCATGACTATGATACGTTCGTCCCCAAAGAAGCGACGGAAAACCAGTCGCTGCCGCACTTCCACCGCCTCACCAGAATTCAACGCGATTTCGTCGGAAAAAGTAGCAGTGTAAGTGTTTTCTAAATAATGCAATTCAAAACTCGACTTCGTCCGCAATCGCGCTATAGACACATTCAACGCGATGCAATATTGCGAGTTTTCACGGCCAGGTCAGGGGGTCGGATACTTTTTTCTCCACGAGTCAAGGCGACTCGAGTACTAGTGGGGAAATTTACGAGACCATACTTGCGACTCACAAGTTGAGCGTAACGCCAACATTTACCTAGAGATCACGAACGTTCTAAAAAATTCAGAAGGTAGTGGGTAAGGTTGCAAATGGTGAGGTTTGTATAAGCCACGCTATCCTACAGCAGTAAGTTAATGATCTAGATACCACCGTCGCTTCCGAGCCTACACATCTCATCCGCCCGCCGCATAGCTGAAACGGTCCATGCAACTTCTGCTTAATTTTCCCGCGGGCAGCATCGCGGTCCCTGCGCCCCATCGTCGTCGCCTTCCCCCCGAAAACCGAAGTCCTCTCCACTGCACTTGTCCAAGCCGATCTGCATTCCTTGCTGCCGTATACGTTGCAGGCCATCGTGAAGCGCCCCTGCAGCGCTGTGGATTCCCCAAGGCGCTCCATATAGCTCCCTTAACACTGCAATTTCTGCCCCAAATTCGCCGGTATCACCCACCCACGTCGCAGGCCAGCTCCTTGTGTCGCAGGCTACGTTAACATACAACATGTCTCTGGTCGTTACTGCGGTACCTCCGTGGACCCCCCACAGGCCCCGCCTTCCGGCTGACGGTCAAAGACCGCCGCAATACGCCGCCGCACGTAGCGGCGCAGACATCCAGCTTGGTCTGCGGTGTCATCCCCGAGCTGCCCGGTCGTGGCATGCGAGCACACCGGCCAGGTGCACACGGTCCACCGGGGGCTTGACCGGAATTCGTGGGCTTGTCCCGGGACCAGATTTGACCAACTTGACCAGATGGGACCAGTTTAGACCAGCTGCCTGTCCCGGTACATATCCCGGTAGGCTCACGATACAATAAGAGCGACACCCCCTCTTTCAATACTAAACCTAAATGAATTTTGTGACCGAAGCAGCTGAAATTTGCTCTTTGCGCTCATTCAGCGAAACGACGGACGGAAGCCAAGGCAGGCGGCGTGCCACGACGGAGGAAGCTCCGTCCTCATGGTGAGTTATTAGAGCTGTTCTAGTGGTGCTTGACTATGCAATAACGTGCATCCGCGCTGTGCTTCTGGTTTGCTGCTGCTATAGGCCTCGCATCAAAGATATCATGCGAGCAGCGGGCTGAGTCATGGGGTGATCTTCTGCTTAGCAGCTGCCGTGCTCCTGCTTTTGTGCGCTCGCCGGAACGGTAAGTAGTGCTTCATCGTATTCAGGTCACTGTATTATGGCTCGACGCGTGCTTCATCACCGCTGCTTACGTTATTATGACCGCGTGTCAGGCTCCTTCGCTACGATCCCAGCTCCGATTGCATCTTAACGCTGGAGCTCTGCCTCGCTGTAGCAGCTCTATTGGTGGAATCTACTATTGCCAGGGCTGTTCCTGCTCCAGCGCGCATATCCATGAAGCCAGCGACTCTGTTGCAGCCCCAGTGCTGTGTAATTTCTACCGGTAAGGCTGCTATTGTCTGGCCTCAAACAATGAACGCGTTCTAACTCTAAGATGCAATGTGCTGCACCTTGAAACAGATATTATAGCGATGCTTATCAAGTAATATTTAAGTTCAACTTAAAAATGATGTGATGTTTTGCTGGCCTTCTCTTGCTTGACGTTGTTCGCAGTGCTGGTTGTCGCTGTTTGGTCCACATCTTCGTTTCGTTTTTCGACAGCTATCACACGACGGCCGAGGACGCTTGTTTGAAGCTGGAGCTGAGGATGTTGTTGCCTGCTCTTCTTGTCGTCCATCCGACGGGGCGATTGACGTTGGAGCTGCCGGGACTGTTTTGGCCGCTACTTGTTGATCACGAAGACGCATACGAACAGCATTTTGACCCAACTTGGAGCCAGGGTACCGTTTAAGGTACTCACTGTGGAATAATTTCCACTTCCCCTTGCACCCTTTGCCTAACGATACTGCAATTAGGCGAAACTGGGCTTCAGTGTCTAGGTCCCATTGAGCCAGTTGGTAAGTTGCTGCTGCAGATGATAGTGTGATCGCGACTGGAGTATTGATGCCCGCGTCGTTAACCTGTTCGGCACCGATAAGTTGACCTTGTTCACAGGTGAGCGGGTCATTGGAGGCAGCTGGTGCCGGTGTAGAGGAAGTTAATGTGGCTGCCGGTTGCTGTGGCTCTGACGGGATGCTAGTGAGGGACCCGGAGACCCTAGCTCTACGCTCGGTAGGTGCGCATAGTCTATCATCCAACGATCTGGTATCCTGATCAGCTTGTAAATCGGATGAAGACCTGGCTGACGCCTTTTCCTCGTCATCTCCATCGCCTTGGGCCTTCTTGACGCGATTTTTCGATCGCTTCGCCGACCCCCAGCGACGATGCAGGAACTCGGCGGATTTGGACTCAATCCCGTCACACATTGCCGCTGCGAAATTAAAAACCTCTACATATACCTGCCGTTTGTTCTTGAGCGACGACTTGCGAACCATTGCGAATAAATGTTTCATAAGCTTCATCATCCGGCGTGACCTTGTCGTCGTTAATGGGTTTGTCAGTCATGATCACCATACGTGAGTCCAGAACTGGTGGAAACGTCTTTAGCATGTCATCAATACCTGGTAGACGCTTGGAAATTGCATGAAAGCCACGCCTTCGGAGTTTTAACGGTCGATTATCGAGACGCTCCACTGCACAGTTGTATAGAACCGTTGTCACAGCTTCGCCGCTAGACCATTCGCGGCTGGCAGAAAGTTGTTCAGCGCGAACTTCCTTCAAGACAGCAAATTCGTGAGCTGAAAAATTTCTTGAGCTGTTGTACTCGGGCTCCAAGCGAAGAAACTCAATTAGTTTTTTTCGATTGAAGTGGTTGTCGCAGTTGAATGCATTTGATAGCAGCGCCCGAATATCTTCTGAAGGGACCGCACCAGACAGAAGCTTGGCTTCCATATTAGTCGTTCGAAGCTGGATCATCTCAAACAGTTGCTCCCAAGGCCTGTGTTCATCTGGCTTGGCTGCTGAACTACGATAACTGCTGCTCGGAGCAAGGTCACTGGACTTGATCGTCATCAGCTTCATGACGTACTCGAGCTGTGGAGTCTCTGGCAGCAAACCACTACAGGCAACAGCACTTTGACACAAACATCTAAAATCAGTGCCGTGAAACTCGGGGTTTCGGCGATATTTCGCCCCGACGCTAAGGTTGTGCTGCGCTAGATCAGTAAGTAGAGATATAGAGTTTAATTTTCAGGCAAGTATAGTACCTGTAGAATGAAGATGTCCAGAATGCGTAAGCCCACTTCAACTGAGAGAACACGATCAAGCAGCTTTCGTAGCTTGGAGTGAATGGCTTCAAGCTGACTTGTGGAGATAATACGCACTTCACCCCCTGCCTCTGTGTACTGATTTTCGCCCACGTACAGGTCCCCCCCCCCCCGCCGGATCTGGGCCAGGTTACTGGCAACGCATCTATCCCACTCAGAACGCTTCACGGAAATACCAGCAGGATCCAGCGACTCTAGTAGCGACTTGTCTCGACGCTCACACTCTTGTGGCGGGCGCAGATTACACTCCACATCGTAGATTGCAGCAGACAGTTGCTTGGAAAGCCAACGCTTTTTACTGCTATCACTTATTTTCTCAGTGATCCTTGTAATAACATGAAAAGGGTCTTGTTTGACTACCACCGCATCGCCGAACACTCTCTTAATGAGATTGCGGTTGGCATTGGCGTTGTTGCAAACCATATCCGAGGCCCATCGGAGTCACTTATCATTTTGGGCGTCATTGTTTTTAAGAGCGCCTCTGTTTCTGCATGATTCTCAGACTGGGTTAGCGTTCTCCCCAAAATTTGTCCTACCTCATTTTGAACAAGCAGCAGCATACGAATAGCTGCTGACTGCTCTTTGATGCCATTAGATGTGAATACCTTAAGCTTGCTACAGAAATTTTGTGAGTGATCCATTCGGAAAACACGATCACACTTCGTTTCCGTCATCTGTGCTGCGCACGCGAAAGCGACTTAAAATGTTAGTGTGCGTTACCCATAGTTCTTTTAGCATTTCGGCATCCAAGCACAAGTGTTTTGACATGTATTGCTCAGGGACGTAGGTTGCATCCCCAGCACGCAGCTGCTCTACCTTCGCTCCAACTCGAGACCGAAGCTGGTAAAACCTCTTTTGGCGTCGCCGGACGATGTTTGCAACTGCACCTGCAATTCCTTTCGTAGATAACATACCGTCATATACGATGTCAAACATATCTGAAGCGATTCCTGTCTTGTATGTTAGTAAGTAGGGGAAATCCAGCACCAACAGCTTAGACGAAGCGAGATATGAGTGGCTGATAGTAGAAAACAATTTCCTACTGGTGCCAGCGCACTGATATCGTGCATAGTAAATACCGTTCTGTGCTTAACATCTTCCACTATACGTTGTTTGTATGCTTTCACCTTGGGCACGCAAAGACACCCTTCATGCACACACTTCGGTTTCCTGTTGGGCTCCAGGAGCCCACGTAAGAGTAGGATAGGCAAACCATTCTGATAGTAGCACACCTGATACTCGCTCTGGGTACCTTAACGTCGGTGGGAATTGGCGCAATGCAATAGCCTCAGCCACCGCAACCTGCGCAGCGCTCTTCTTGCCCATGGCTGGCGACGCTTCCAGCAATGTAAAAAAAAACTTTTTCGAACCGGTGACCGCCTGTGTCCCGCAACCCTGTCCCGGATCCCCCATCATTGCGGTAAACGGCGCGTGCTGGTGTCGGCGGAACAAGCTTTCTTTTGCGTCGCTACCGACTTAGCTACCGCGCCCTCGAGTAGCACAAGCACCGGTGGGGTACGGTGTAGATCATGCGCTGAGTCTCGAGCGACGCGGTGCTCACGGGCATCCGGTCAAGCAACTGTCGGTGCAGCCAGTGCCTGTGTCCTGTGAAGTCCTACACTACCAAGGTGAAGAAAGCCAATGCATCGAGGTGTCGTGTCAAGCCCGTCTATTGAGATAAGGTACTGAAGAATGAATCTATCGATGAGCTAATTGGCTTCGATGCTCGTGCACACGACGGATTGACACTCATATCTCCGCATCTCTTTCGCTTCTTTTGACAGCTTGCACACGATGTCGCACGAGATCTCTTCCTTCCGACGGGTGTAGTCAACTGGACCGCGGCTTCCACAGTGCTCGGAGCACGCATACGACGATCTTTCAGTCTGCACCGTAGGGCATTTGCACTCAGCTGGGAATCAGGATGCTCCTTGAGGAAAACATTGTGCAGGTACCCCCATTTACCTGACACTTGAGGTATAGAGTTAGCTAGTGTTCTGAAGCGCTCAATATCATCTTCTGTCAGCATCGTAGGCGGTTGCTCCATTACGAAGGCAGGGTGGCTGGCGGCTGATGGTGTCGCGTTGTTTTCACCAACACTTCTGCTTAACACGCCTAGACTTGCACCTGACGCTGGCTCACGTGTACTGCTGCCACCTGTGAGGGAACTTTCGAGGCTGGTTTCACTGGATGCAGGCCTAGCTTCGTGATCGGGGACAGCGGCACAGCTGACCTGCTCTGTGTTGAAGTTGTCAATGCTGGAAGCGTCGTCGTCGCTGCTAGCAGCATCTATTAGCAAATCTGGATCCATGCTCACGCTGAGTGCCGTGTTGGTTGCATCGTTAGCAGCGGCATATTGCTGTTTCTTGAGCTGCTCGATCGTGCCGGGCGGCAGGCGAAGCTTAATTTTGAGGCTGGCTCCTCGATTCTCGGCTCGCTTCATCGCTCCCCACCTAAGCGTCAGGTTTGATTCGCTTTTCGGCCAGATGCCGTCGCACACGCACTTTGCGAAGCTGTAAATACGGATGAATAGCTTCTTCTTGCCGGTGAAAAGTTTTGAGGAGCGGAGTAACTTGAAGAGCTGGATCTGGATAGCTTGCTCGTTGGTATTGGTCTCGGGGATTTCGGGTCGAGTGTGATCATACGCGAAGAGCTTTCGCTGGCTTGGTTTTGCAGGTGATTCAGAGTTGGGCGAAGAGGTTCTGCTGCTGCTGTCTGGTAGACCGCTCGTTTTGACAGCACTATCGACGACGGGCTTGGTCTACTGCACCGTTGCTCTTCTCGTCGGCGATGACCTTCAATTTTGCAACGATGGTTGCGTAGCTGCGTTGCCGAAGTTTGAAACTGCTGTTGGAGTTTGCATCCACTGCAATGATAAACATGATGGTGGACACTAGCGGACACTGCGACCAGGTTCGCTCTGGCGCAGCAGCTCGTACTCCTCCAGCGAAAACCCCACCGACGATTCAGAGTCTTGTGGCTCCAAATGCAGCAAGGACATGAAGTGAGAGCGCGAGAGGCGGCGGTTCTTCATAGTGTTCGAGTTCAGGAGAAGTAACTCGCGAACGTTTGCCCAATATCGCCGTGGTCGGGCAAGAGCAGCTTCGACATTATCAGGTACAACGCGCGCGCTGTCAAACATTCTGAGCCACTCTGAAAATTCAAAATCGAATGACGATCCTGACCGGTACTGGGGGTGCGGCATCTGGCCCGAGAGACTGTGACTGACGAATGCGAGCTGAGGTGTATCCTGGACGGCGCCACGACTCAAAATTGCTGCATGTGCCAGAGACACAAAATCGAAGTCCCCAAAGGCAGCATTCCTACCAAACTTGGCGCCTATCCGGAGGTTGTGCTGCATGATAAAAAGATCTAGAATTCGCAGACCAACTTCAACAGAGAGAGCGCGGTTCAGAAGCTTTTTTAGCCCGGAGTGAAAACCTTCTAGCTGACTCGTAGCGATGACTCGTGTCGTAGTGTGGGCTTCTGCGTAGTCGTTATTCTCCACAAACAAATCTCCGTTCTTGATCTGCGCGGCGTTGCTGTCAATACAGCCCTGCCACGTCGCCTCCGAGCATGAGAGATCACTAGGCGACACGAGGCTCGCAACACGACGAAATTCTTTTTCCATTTCCTCAGGTGGACGAAGCCGTCGCTCCACCGTGTACATGGCGCTCATCAGCTCCTTCGAAATCCACTTCTTCTTCGCTGCGCTGGCTAGCTTCTCCTTGACTCGCATCATGACATGGAACGGATCCTGCTTCACATCTACTCTTCCGCCAAACGTGTGCTGCACCATCCCACGCACTCCATTGGCGTTGTCACTTACTAGGTAGATAGCTTCATCATCCTCTGGTTTCAGGGTTGGCTTGACAGCGTCAAGTAGCGCAGCAGTTTCCTAATTGTTCTCCGACCTTGTAAGTCGACGTCCCACAATCTGGCGAACTTCGTTTTGGATCAAAAGAAGTAACTTAGCGTCCGAGATGCTTGTACGCTGCCCCGACCCGTCCCAAACCTTCAACTTCTTACAGAACGTCGCAGAATGGTCCACGCGAAGCACGTTTCTTACCGACATCTTCTGCATCAAAAGCTCACAGAGCGGTCCATACATGGCTGTAGTCTCCATCCACACCGCAGTGAGAACCTTGGTGTCTACGACAGCATTTGAAGCGCAGTACTCCGCCACAGTAGGTGGTGTTGGCGCCACGTAGTCCGGATTAGACAGCAATAGTGTGTACAGCTTGTAGTAGCGGGCTTGGCGTCGACGACGGATGTTGGCGACGGTGCTACTCAGGCCGTTGGGGGACATCATCCCGTCGTGAATCATGTCTAGGAGCGGCTTGGAATAGCCGGACTTGGAGCCTAATATATACGAGAAGTGCACCATGGCTTCAACATTAGAATGGAGATATTCAGGCGAAATCGTAGAGAAGCATGTTCGCGCGCTGCCAGCGCACTGATACTTGATGTACAGCAAGACCTGCTTTCCCTCGATCTCCTCAACAACACGCTGCCGATACTCCTTCACCCGCGGTGTACAGCGACATCCCGACACCACGCACGCAGGTTTTTGGCCACGGCACGTAGCCTCGGGGACCCAAACTACGACAGGATGGTCGAATAAGCCTGCGAGAGGTGACAGTTCGTCCTAGCGGTTGCTGAGCTCCGGGTACGCCACGCGAGGGGGGAACGCTCTCTTCGCGAGGCCCTCTTGGATCAGCCGCTTCCTCTCTATCTCAAATGTGCCTGTGGTCCACTGGCTATTTATTCCCTCATTATTCAGATAAATGCATTGCTATCGGAGCTCGGAGGTTTTATCGGAGATATCGGATTTTATAGGAGATGTCGGGGCCTGGCGGCCCCAACATCACCGATAAGTCGTCCACCGGAGCTCTGGTCGCTGGCTCCACAAGGGAGTCGCCGTCGTCCAATCGTGGCCAATCAGAGCGCTCTCAACGCTCACCGGCGCGCTCTGATTGGCCGGACTGCCCGCTGATTGGCCTCCACGGCGCAGATTGACGAGTGAAGCAATCTCCAAACTCGGTTTCAGATATCTTGGCATGACCAAAACAACGAAAACGTAAAGACACTCAATTTCAAACACAGATAGATTTTTCAAAGAGAATCCGCTTGTCGTTACGAAACTAGTTGTCATCAATTTCCCTCTGCGTTACTTCACAGTACCAATTAAATATCGACACCGGCAAACGCGTTGTCCAGCACCAGCTTATCCAGTGAAGACACGACTTTGGCCCAAGCTTTCCGGTCGTTTTTTCGCAGCATCTTATCAAACTGATGCCGTACAGCCTCGTTCACAGACAAGAAGTGCAGCGGTGCACGTCGGTTGCACGACGCCAGAACGGTACCGGGTTGATTGGTCTCCGTCGAAGGGTATAACCAGCACCAACCCGTCTCGTCCTGGTGCAGCCCACTGAAACCCCCTTGACCCTCCGAAATTAATTTCCACGTGATGACGATGCGTTCGTCCTCAAAAATGCGACGGATCATCAGCCTCCCCAGTATTTCCACCTCCTCGCCAGTGCTCAGTATGAAGGTGTCGGTAAACGTAGCGGCGTAAGTGTTTTCGGGGTCCTTGACGTCTTCGTAACGCCTGAAATTGTCTTTTGCAGCGTGATAGTGATCCGTCACATCCCAAAGGGAGCAACCAGTGTCGTAGAGTGAGTAAGGCTGCACCTCTTTGGTCGCTCGTTGGAAGTACTCCAGCTCTCCATCGGATTCATGCCTTTGCTCCGATCGCACCGTTGAATCTGTTTCTAGCTCATTGATGATGCACGCTGCAAATATTTCCTGCGAGCGTGCGTAGTTGCCCTGAATAGTCAAAGTATGCCGCCTCTTCCGCATTTGGACTGCTGATTTTATGGCGAATCGAAGAGCCCTCACAGTCAACGCGAAGGCTCTTTTGTGCGATGCTGCTGAGAGTGCCGATGTAGGTAGCTTGAGTGTTGATAGCAGCCATGAGTTGCCTCTGCTCGGCTTCAGCGGGTTCCCGTTCTTCACGCTGGCGGAGAGCGCATGATTGCCACAGGAAAAAAGCTGGTGGGCAGGACGCTTCGAGTCGCGCCTTCTCGGCAGCTCGTGTCGGCTTGCGTCGCGCGAGCTCTTCGCTTAATTCGACCACCTGACGCCGCAATTCACCGCGACCAAGCTTTTGGTTTTCCCGGTAGAGTCGACGTCGTGCGGTAATTTGCCTGGCAGTCGGTTCGTCCTTGCTGCTGCTTCTGCTGGCGTCGGAGATGGCGCCATCGCTGGTAGAGTCTGGTGACGGGTGCATCACTGCAGGCAGTAGGCTGTCGGCGTTGGTGAGAGCATGGAGTATATCATCAAAGTTACCCAACGTGAGGTTGACGTCAGGCGAGGCCTTGTTAAGAGTGGACGATGGGGCTCGGCTTGCTGGTTTGAGGTGAGTGGCGATATGACGTACTCAGGTGAGTTTGCCGGTAAAAACGCAAGTGAGCACATCTGAGTAGTGAACCCACGTGCTCTCGTTGGTGTAACATCCGGGCCGTATCATGAGATTGCGTGAGGTCAGCGTGATCTGGGGGGGGGGGGGGGGGAGTGCAACACGTTACAGAGAGATAGATTCATCCACGTGATACCAGTACCGGTATGCATGCTTAATGCTCCCGGTTGAACAAGCTCCTCATCTGATACACTGCGTAGGTACCGTACTGTATTTACTGTACCTACTATTTCATTTGGACGCCCAACTTTTAAATTTTAACCCTTTAGACCGCTTGTTGGCGGATCAGCGTGACTAAACTTTTGGTCATTAGTAATGACCTAATGAGTCATTACACCAGCCATTTGCACATTGGACGTCGAAGTCAAGCAGCCCGACGATGTCGTCCATCAAGACCTGATCGTGGGGTGGGAAGCCCACAATGTTATTGAATTTGAAGTCTGGTGGGAGTGAGCAGTCCGTTCAAAGGCGTAAGATGCGAGGGTGAGGACGTGACCCCGCCCCCTTCTCCTCCGACGTGACCACGTAGGCAGGAGGCAATTCGCCATGACTTGAGCTCGTGGGCTGCCCAATGATCAGGGTGCGTCAGGTGTACCCCGCCGATGATTACTGCTCAAAACAGAGGTTTGCGCCGCTTTGGAGTAAACTCGTTCGTATGTTGAAGCACAGAAACTGCGAGGTTGTCTCTCTCTCGCAATGTGACACAGCGACTTTACACTTTAAGTGCGCATGCCATCTCGACGAAAGTGACACGACCGATCGCGGTCCATGACAAAGACACTCGCTCGTTTTTCGGGACAACACGACACTATTATATACCTGTACTCACCCTGATAAGCTGCAGCTTAAGACTGTAGCAAACAATGTGTTTGTTTAGTACAGATAGGATACTTGACACTTGGAAATTTGCAGTAAGCTACTGATTAAACCTCGATACCAGCCAACGCGTTGTCCAGCAACAGCGTATCTAACGAAGAGACCATTGTTGTCTAAGCTTCCTGATCATGGTTTTGGAGCGTTGATCAACTTCGCATCGCGTGGCCACGTTTACCGACGACGTATAGTGCATCGGTGCGCGTCTGCTACATATTACCATAACGGTACCAGGCTCAGCCGTCTCTGTCGAAGGGTACAGCCAGGTCCAGCCCGTGCAGTGCTGCTCCAATCCACTCAAACTCCCTGAGTCTCCGAAATGAATTTCCACGTCACTACGATGCGCCTCTCCTCGAAAAAGCGACAGGAAACCAGTCGCTGTCGCACTTCCACCACCTCACCAGAACCTAACGCGATTTTGTCGATAAACGTAGCCGCGAAAGTGTTTTCTGGGTCCGTGACGCCTTCATAACGCTTGAAACGAATTTTAGCAGCGCAATAGCGATCCGACACGTTCCAAAGGGAGCAACCAGTTTCATACAAGGAGTAAGGCTGCACCTGTTTGGTTGGTAGTTGGAGGTACTCCAGTCCCCCATCCGCCTTGTACCTCTGCTCCATCCGTTCCCAGCTCATCGATGCTGCAAGACCACAACACTTCGTCCGCGCGCTCATAGTTTGCATGTAGCTCCCGAATACACGAGTCAAAGATGGCCATCTCCTCCACGTCTGGACCGTTGATCTTGGAACGAACTGAGGAGCTCTCTTGGTCGCTGCGAAGGCGCTTGCGCGCGATACTACTTAGAGCGTCGATGTAAGTGGCCTGGGTGTTGACAGCAGCCATTAGCTGCCTCTGTTCCGCTTTAGCAAGTTACCGTTCTTCACGCTGGCGCAGAGCGAACGATTTCCATAAGTAATAGGCCGGCGGACGGGATGCCTTGAACCTCGCCTTCTCGTTAGCTTGGGCTTGCTTCATTCGCGCGTGTTGATCGACCAATTCGACCACCTGACGTCGAAGGTCATCGCGTTCCAGTTTTTGGTTTACCCGGTAGAGTTGGCGCTGCCTCGCCTCTTCGCTAGACGGAGTTTTTGCTTGAAAGTCACCTCCTCCTCGCTGCAGCTCCGGTCGCTGGCAGTGAGGAGTGATGACTCGTTCGTGACGTCTGGCGAGACCGGCATTCGTCCTTCCGGTTTGAGGTGAGTTGTGATATGACACACTCAGTTTGAGGGCAAAACGCAAGTGAGCACATCCGAGTAGTGAGCGATAGCGACTAGTCGGACAGAACGTTCTGTCCAATGTTCTGTCCGGTACAGAACATTTGGACAGAACATTAACTGTATAAAATAGTATAATACCTCGTATACATTATATTCCGTTTCGCTACTTGCTGACTCGGCACTCAGGCTTTTACGGCGTCAGCAATTTCCAGTGCGCAGAGCTGATCATCAGAAAGCCATTTTCCTTGGCGCAGCCTCTTTGGAGGCGGGTAGCTCGTGGCAACTGGCGCGTTGTATCTCCAAAACGTAACCACGTTAATGTTCGTCTGAGCGTGATAGCGCGTCTGACAAAACCGCGCTTAATCCAGAGATTTAGGCCCACACCAAAGTGTGCCACGCTGATAAATTACTAAACACCACCAGGACCGCGGCGGGCAATGGTGTCGCTTAGCGCGCTAGATTTTGCGACGACCGTGTTGCCATAACACGGTAGCGCGACCGTGTTACCGTAACACGGTACGGAGCCCGAGCTGCCGTATTGGGCAGCCTAGGCGCTCCATAAAACCATTGTTGGGCTTTGAATTCTACCAATCAATCGGTCATTCTGCACATGAGGTTCTACTGATGCCAAATACCTCATATCTCGTGTTTGGGCAAGTTTGGGGTAGTTGGGGGGTAATAGTTGCGAAGTGCGGTGGGGTTACAGCTTTCTGTAGCGCTATGGATCATGTTAGCTTATAAGGTATGCGGTTGCGTATCTACACCACAGTGAGTAAGTCGTTTAGGGTATTCATCACATATTCGAATAATGTGTTTACCGGCGTGGATCGTGCACGTGACTGCGTGGTCGTGTGGTTGCGACCTTCAAAACCACACTTTTAGCGTGTATGAACAGTGGCACCGGATAGCAGACACGACCAACCGCCAGACACAACCAACCGCCAGACACAACCAACCGCCTAACCTGATCTTGCTAGAGGCATTCCTATGCGGAAGAGTTTCTGTAGCGCAGCTAGATCTGGGAGCCGGTGCTATCGATCTAGTCGATCGTCTAGCGATCCAGATGCCACTTAGCACTACCAAATCGATTCGACAACGCATAGCGGCCTTGAACCTATCCGCGGCTACTATTACTATTACAATTGCTAAGGGGTTTTGCGACTCTGACCTTTTAAGATAAGAGTCGCAAGCTTAAAAGCTAAGGCGCTGTAGCACAACGAAGGCATTACTGTCGAGCGATCCTAATTTCGCTCTAGTACTGAAACTGGAGATATTTGCAGAGCTGCACCTTCATTGCGCGTAGATCGCTTAGGTATGCAAAGCACACAAACGAGGTGGGCATCTTGCTGGGCAGCTAGAGCCAGCTACCTCTGTGTAGATGCCTTGACAGCAACGTTCCCACTGTAGGTTGTGTACTGAGCGGTCGCCGACCGAGAGATAGCCTCGGATCTAAGTGCAGTACACAAAATACTATTTTTAAATTCAAAAATATTTAGCAGTCGTTTGGCAGAGAAACCAGAATTGCACGGTTCTTAGCAAGAGACCGAAATGCCTCAAGGCGTTAAGGACGAGCGCGCGTGCGGCGCTCGTAAGCGTGCATGCGAGTGGAACGACGGTGCGTCCGGAGCACGTTCGAAGAAGAGCAAGAACGAAGCGGCTGTCAGCGAGGCCGAAGATAAAGGGGGGGGACGCTGGTGTCTGTGTGGTCTCAAATGGAGATAACGATAGGACAGACTACGAAGAGAAATCTGAAGCAAACCTTGAAGCTGGTAATAGCCCGGTCGATAGACATGCGCTCAACTCGTACGACCATGCTGTTGTGGAGGAATCCAGCTCACGTCGATGTGATCTAAAAGGGAGGCATTTTCTGGATGGTTTTGCACGGAATTATTCTGACTGGGCCGCATTTGAGGAAGCTTTCAAGAGTTTTTGTGTGGGAACCTTTCAAATGCTGTCGAGGCGTTCGTCTACTTCGGTGAAGCAACGGAACAGGCAGATTAAGACCAGGCAGATGAAAAAAACCGGACCCTTGCCAAATTACGACAGTATTTTTCCAGATTCTATGGAGTCTGAGACCTACAGCGTATCATATTGGTGCACGCGTGGCCGGAATCGTGCATCCGAAAGCACTGGGCAGCGTATGCACAGCAAGTTACGTGGAACCGAGTGTCCGGTTCGAGTATCTGCGACTTTAAGAAAATGCCCAAGCGGGGGCTACTCTGTTGTCGTCTCTACAAAAGGGTCAGAGCACAACCATCGCGTCGACCAAGACGCTTTTGACCACTATCCTAAAAAATCGCGCTATCCGAGATCCCTCCGTGTTGGCAACAGTTGATGCTATGCGCAGGAGTGGCGCAATGGCGAGAGGTATTCTTATGTACCTTCACGATGCCTGTGGTAAGTCTACCAATTATATTCTTTTGATTAAAAGGTTTTTACAAGAGTGGTTTTTGTTGAACACTTTTTTCTTTTTTGTAGCAGGAAAGAAGATAATTTTGAAGGACATCCACAATTTGATGGCTCAACTCAAAGCTAAAAGCAAACCGGGCGCAACAGAGGACGATTGCGTCGAATCAGTCCTTCGTGATCTTTGTGAAACTGATCATGGATCGGTGGTGGCTTTGTATGTCGATGAGTCGAGTGTTTTGCAGACTGTGGCTTTCCAGTCGCGGAAGATGAGACGGCTTTTCGATGCCTTTCCTGAAGTTTTGCTTGTAGACACAACGTTCGGCACGAACACCAACAGGTACAAGCTCTTCAGTTTCGTCGTTCACGATATCAACGGAAATGTGCGAGGCTACTGTGTATCTGTATGGTTCGTTCCTCTCAAAGAGCACAACTTCCTTTTGCGCCGCATACAGGGTCAGTACGTGCAACACTCGCTTATGACGTCTGAAGCGAAATCGAATATGAGGGATGCAGTCAACAGCTACAAGAAAAACAACCCGAATTGGCGGGCTATAAAGGTAATCGTGACCGACAAAGACTAAAAGGAACGTGCCGTTCTGTCCTCTGCTTTTCCACAAGCACGGATGCTGTTATGCCAGTTTCATGTAATCTCCTACTTTGAAAAAAGTTAAGCCTTATATTGTTACAATTATCACACAGTCGGGTAAGTAAATAACCCCATTTCAATCATGGTTACAGCCCTGTGTACAGGATCCCAGGAACGAAAACAGGAGTTGAAAGACATTCTGGCATCTCTCGTATATGCCGATAGCGAACATCAATACAAGAGGTGCAAGCTTCTGCTGCTAAATCGATTGGATGATCGCAAGGATCACCCGCTCTACAAGTATTTCATAAAAAAATGGGATGGAATCACCGATGAGTGGGTATCTTATCTCAGAACCGACGTTCCTCACTTAGGGAATCACACAAACAACAGGTACTATTTCAGCTGTACGAGCTACTACTATTATCCGATCTTAGTTACAACACGTCTCATGTGTTTTAGAATCGAGGCTAAGTGGGCAAAGCTGAAAGATCTCATCCGTCCCAGCGCGAGTGTGGATGTATGTATTGCTACGTTGATCGGTTTGCAAGGTATTTGAGAAAATGAGTACGGGATGGAGCTGAACAAAGTGGGAACATTCCACATTCCACCTGACAAAGAACTGGACGTGATGAACGAACGAGCCTTAAACGACCTTAAGCGACTCGCTAACATCGTGAGCTCATACGCCTTTGAGCTCATCAGCGTAAGTACCCTTATCTCCAAGGCGCAAAACATTCGTACTCACTCTAGCTTAATGTCTTACAACTGGTTCAGGACGAGTTCAAAGTGGCGCTCCGCGGCTCGACACACTACAAATTGAGTCTCCGTGAAGACGCTGTGGCAGAACTGGTCAGCGCTGACGATAAAAACAAATTCTACTTATCTCTAACGGTAAGACGCGTACTATTTGTACTCTTACACTGTTTATTTATTCTTATTTCTAGGAGTTTTCATGAAGCTGCATGTTCGCTCGAACAAGATTGCTACCCTGCCGACACGCTTTCTATTATAGGTGATCCTCTCTACCAGCGTTGGAGCAGGAGTATGAGTCTATCATCCCGTTCAGCCACATCAACACACGATGGTGTATCCACCAAGAGCTCAATCACCTCAGCCGTCGTGTGGAAGACCAACGGGCAACGGTACAGTTCGATAAGTCATCCCTGAAAAAAAAGCCGAAGTATCCAGCTCAAAAATTCAACGAGGCAAAGCGGGTCATGTCCGATCTGACCGAGATTTTGCAGAGCATGGGCTCGGATCGGTTCGACAGGTGCTTAACAGCACTAAAACTGTTCCAAGACACGTGTGCCGAGGGGCAAGTACCTGGTATCATCGCTCAGAAGCAAGCTGTAGCGCCACCCGCTAGGACTACGTTGCTCCCAGCTGCGTATAATATCGATTCGGAGTCTGAAGTGCCGACAATCGGTGCATTTACGGCGCTGTTGTCCGAGCATTCACTATTTGCTGGCAATACTCGTGGTCTCGGTGTGATGGAATCAGTCCCCCAAACTAGCAACCTCGCACAACAGGAGGGATGCGGGTTCACCTTGTCAAAAGCGTCGAAAGCGCGTGGTAAAAGCAAAGCTAGCCAAAAGCGCGACGTCAAGCGCAGTGGACGAGTGACCGAAGCCAAGAAGGCAGCTGATATATTCGCAAGGGGGGTTACAACTAAATCATCACTCGCGGACCTACAAGTACTGATGCATCAGCAATACTCGTACATGTTGTGCTTTTCAGTGGTAAGTAGCATCATGGTATTGATTTAGCCGGCGTGTTTATTTACAAAAACTTGTTGGTTATCAATTAGTTTGAAGGCTTCAGACGAGTAGAGCTTCCAAAAGGGTTGGTAGAAGTTACATTCAAGGATCACGGGTTTGAATGTATCGATGTCGACTTTATTCTGGACCAAGATGGCGTCCATCGATGCAAGTCGGCGATAGAAGATTTTGTCGAAGAATTCAACTTAGCTCCGATAGACGACGACGAACTTGCCGAGCTTGTTGTGTACGCTGACGGCAGTGAAGTTTTTCAAGCGACCCAGATCTCAGTTAAGGACAAGTTCTACAAGGTTTCATCTCAGATGAAAAAAAGGTGGAGTTCGCAATGGATTGGGCCTCGAGTCTCTCGGAATCGATATTCAGGGGGGTCATGAAGGGCTTCGACGAGTTTACCACGAGCGGCAAGGTAACCTACCTAACCTGTTGACTCAAAAGCCTGTGCACTACATATATTATGTTTGTGTTAGAACGAACACAATCTTGCCCTCGGATACTGCAGACTGACAGAGTCCCGAATAGCCGGAGAACCATTCTTTGGGGTCAACGTGATGGAATTTTGCAGCAGCAAATGGCTGAATTCATCGTGCATGCTGGTGGCAGTGGAATACCTACGAAGACAATTTCCACAAGTTGGATTCGTTTGCCCAACCTTCACCCAACTGACACCTGAAAACCCTGCAGCCAGATTGGCGGATGCACTGCTTTCAGCACCTTACGAATGGCAACATCGTTGCCGGCGTCTTGTTTGCGACTCACAATCACTGGACATCCTTCATCTACTTCCCATTCGGCATTCCGATTTCGAAACACAGAATCCATAACGGAGGCGACCGATGTGGCAACAGGCCGACCTGTATCCTCTACGACTGTGGAAAGGATCACTACGCTGAGACAAAAGCACTGGTTGGCGGGTTGCTGAGCAACCAAGGTCATTCAGACATTCTTTTCGTTACTGATACGATGGCGAGGCACTTCGATGGATACAACTGCGGTCCTTTGTCTCTCCTATTCCTAGAAGTTCACCTCGGTGACTCTAGTTTGTGGACAGGTAATCTAAAAGCGTCACTCGAGTATTATAGACTGCGCTACCTTCGCCACTCGCTGGCCTTACTAAATGAATAAATTGGCTTTTGTATCTTGATTCAAGTACCCAAGAACGACACACCTTTTGCTGAGGGGCATTTGTACCAGTAGTTAATACATTTGAAGCAATCCTGGGTATGATAAGTGGTCATACACATATCGCTTCCGTGACAAGAATGCGTGGTGGATGCGTCTAGCATACCACAATACGGATTCGACTGACATAACATTACTTCCTAATAGTCGCCTTGGGCTCAGCGTGTGATAGAATTCACACGAAGAACACTAATAACCGTACCTACGTCCATATCATCCGTCTTCAGACAAAATGTTCTGTCCGTCTAGCCACAGCCGTAGTGAGCCCATGTGCTGTTGTTTGGGCAACATCCGGAGTGTACGAAGCGATTGCGTGAAAGCAGCGTGAGCACTAGATACTCTCTCCTTTACCAAAGCTGGGATATATCGCCGACCCCCTCCCCTTTAAGCGAATCGTTCTTTATGATATGGCGACATGTATTGTGGTTTTCAGCGATTTTGGCAATCCCGGGCTCTCCGATCCCGAGATAGGGTGTCCGGAATAGCGGACAGCTCCGATACAGCGAAGAGGATAGCCCCAAAATGATGTATGGGGCTAGGGCTATAGAGCCAGCCAGCTCCGGTTTAGCCAGCACCCTATACTTTTGCCGCTTTCCAGCGGCAGAAGTGAGAGGCGTTTCTCGTTCACCCAGCGTCGTATTTGCCTTGCTTGACCCCGTGATTCCGAGTTGCGGTCCATGCATGGTTCCGTCAAATATATAGCAATTTGGGCTGGTATTAGCACGTGTGTTCTTATGCGCCCTCAACAAGGACGGTGTAAATGCCATACACAGCGCCATGCACCAGCAAGCAAGCAACAATGGCCCCCTGACGTTTAGCCTCTTCTGAGTACCTTACAGCTAAATATGCAACTGATCGCAAGACCATTATTGACTTTGTTTGTCGAGGATGTTGCGTAAGTATATTGTGAGGGTTACCCAGCAACTAAAACGACTGCAACGACCGCAATGCATGCGTAGGTTGCACGAAGCCATCGCTACTAACTAGACGAGTTACCGCTGGGGCTCACGTCAGCAGTATCGCGCACTGCTCGTACACAGCGCACCAAATAACCAGAAACGTCAGAGATAAGCGATGCCAGCCTTACTGCCAGTACACACGTACCCTGAGCAAGTCCCCTCGACGAGAGGAGCGTACACACACAGCGACGGCGCACTGCATACCACCTTCGGTCACTTTGCTGACTGGCAGGGACCTGGGAGCTCCGATTTGGGCCTCAAGATAGAGTGCCCTAACACTTTAACGAGCTCGTTTTAGCAAAACGGGCCCCTCTAAGATGAGTAGCTAAAACGGGCGGCAAAAAAGTTGAAAACCACAATAGAAGAATTGCACTTTAGACGAGACTTCGCCCGCTGTCGCGCAATCCAGGACTCTGACAACTCCAACGGGGGATATGAGTTATTACATCAATGACTCGTTCCGAGCACTTGCCATAGCGTAATAGGTCCTAACTACCGGACAAGAGGCCACATATCGCGGTGGAAATGTGGTTTCAAAGGGTACCAATGGGCCAATGGTTAGTGGAAGACGAAGTTTATGACGCCTTACTTGCTTGGATTTATTAATACCAACTTATTCATAAGATAATTTGTTGAATCATCAAGAGTGTTGCAACGGCTTAGAAAAAAACCGTCCTGCACTTGTCAAGTGATGCCGTGTGTACTCAGTCTACTTTTTTCCTATTTCTCTAACCTGAAGATGCCACGTGTACTTTACAATGCTAGTACTGTACTGATTAAAAAGCAGCACTAGCCATCGCGCAGTCCAGCATCAACTTATCTAACGAGGTAACCATTTTCGCCCAAGCTTCCCGGTCATTTTCCTGTAACATCTCACCAAATTCACACCGTGTAGCCTCACTGACAGAAGATGCGTAGTACATCGGTGCTCGTCGACGACACGTTGCCACAACGGTACCGGGCTCTGCCGTCTCCGTCGAAGGGTACAACCACGTCCAGCCCGTCTCGTCTTGACGCATCCCGCTAAATAATCCTTGGCCCTCCGAAACAAGTTTCCACGTGAATGCAATGCGTTCTTCCTCGAAGAAGCGACAGAAGACCAGTCGCTGCCGCACTTGCACCACTTCGCCGGTACTGAGCTTGAACTTGTCGCTAAACGCTACGGCGTAAGTGCTTTCTGGGTCCTTGACGTCCTCATAACGCTTAAAATTGGTCTTCGCAGCGTGGTAAAGATCTGATACGTCCCAAAGGGAGGAAACCAGTTTCGTACAGCGAATAAGGCTGCACCTCTTTGGTCAATCGCTGGAGGTATTTGAGTTCTCCATCCGACTCGCGTCTCTGCTCTGATCTCAAGTTTGTGTTCGTCTCCACCTCATTGAAGCTGCAACTCTTCAGCACTTCCTCCGCGCGCGCATAGTTCGCCTGTAGCTCTCGAATGCACGCTTTAAAGAACGCAGGCTCATCCACTTTTGGACTGGTCCTGGTAAGAGGAAACCTCTTAGTCAACGCGAAGGCGCTTGCGCGCGATGCTAATCAGCGTGTCAATGTAAGTTGCTTGAGTGTTGACAGCAGCCACGCGTTGCCGCTGTTCTGCTTCCGCGAGTTGCCGTCCTGCACGCTAAACGATTTCCACTAGTAATAGACTGGTGTACGGGATGCTTCGAGCCTCGCCTCCCTCGCTAGACGGATTTGTTGTTGGGCGCTCCCTTCGTCCTTGTTGATGCTTCGAACACTGGTGTCGGACGCGGATTGAGCAGAGACTGGTGACTCGCCCGTGAGTTCTGGCAGAACGTGTAGGTCGTCGGCGTTGAAGACGGCATGGAGGATTTCATCAAAATTATCCAATGTGAGGTTGACGTCAGTGAAGCCGTGGTCTACTGGGGATGACGGGACCATTCGTCCTCCGGTCTTGAGGTGAGGTGCGATGTGACGTGCTCAACCGGCGTCTGCGAAAAAAAACGCAAGTGAGCACATCTCAGTAGTGAGCGGCTCACTGTGAGCCCATCTGCTCGACATCTGGACCGCACGGTAGAGGTTCAGCGTGAGCACATTGGGTTCGCTCTTCCGATCGCGGTTAAATTTTTATTTCGAGCCAGAGAAGAACAGCAGAGGCAGCTGAGAGCGGCGGTGGTCGGCAGAGCCCGGCTCATCCATCAGATGAATACGTTGCTGCAACGACCTGACACTCAACAACAGAAGCTGGGAGAGAGTGAAGAGCAGCACAACGGATCGGTCCTGTTCAAGACGCTGCTGGGGGAGCTGGGCGAACTGTACGTGCAAACGGACCGGATCCTGGGGGAGAAGGTGTTCAAGGTGACTTCCCCGCTGGTCTACAAGCCGACGAGGACTTACAGGCAAGGCGTCGAGTTTTTTGAGAACACTGATGCGACCGTGGTTCCGTTTGGCTTTGAGCAAACTTGCCGCGCCGTGTCGTTGCTCATGATGACAGATCCAACAGTTGCTCGGTGTGGGAAAGAAGTCCAAGAGCCTCCTAATACTGTCACGGTGAAGTACCAGATCAAGAGTCAGTTGAAACCAGGCGAGAGCTACAAGTTGATGGTGTATGCCGCGGTGCGAAGGTATCGAGAACCGGGGCGGATGGTGTTTGTGTGGCGAGCCCTTCAAGAAGGACTAAGCACTCTATCTGGATATCACGCGAACGAAACAGGTTGGCTCGTTCTGCGTCCACATCTTGGGGGCTGCGTCATGGAAAGTTACGTTCGCTTGGTGCCTGCAAGTGTTGGGGACGCTGCTAGATGCAAGGCGGCCTCTGATCGATTTGCCGAGGTGGTGCTTAAAACAGGTGAGGGCGAAGTGAACGACCTCATGGTTACACTTGAAAAGATGCTGCTGGGAGATACAAAGTAAGCTGTTAGGTGCACCTTTCACGAGTAGAGCAAACTATCGTTTCGAAAATAAAAGCATTAGATAGAAAAACAAAGTTATGGCGATCTGGACCAAAAACATGTTACTACTACTATATAGGTAAAAATGCTAAGCTTGGTTGCTGAAGCTCAGCGCCAAAGCGTCTTGGGATCTCATTACCAAAGGCACGATTCCCGCTATGTGGCCGAGCCTCTTTCAGCGTCTTCAGCAGACACGGGCAACGCGAGCGCGCGAGAGCACTGTAGACCGCGGGGGTCAAGCTGAGCACGTGCGACCGACTGCAGAGGGCTTCGTGGCGTCGACTTTGGAGGACAATGAGGCGCCGACAGCAGAGGCTGGCAACCAAATGTCGTCAACTACAGCGGCTGCTGCCTTCACGTCGGCAGGGTTAGAGCACGCTGGGACACCAAGCAGAGAGGCCGATGTCTCTGTGCTACGTACCTCTCCGGGGGCAGATTCGGACCAACCAGGAGCCCCCGCGCGCGTTTCGCACCGTTCGACGCCATTTCAACCTACAGAAGACGGCTCTGCTACCGAGGATATGTCTGAGCGCCTGGACAGCGATATTTCGGCCGCTGCAGCGGTTTGCTTGGGCGAGAACTCCAGTCGCAGCGTCGTTGAGACTACAGCGTTCGACTTGACGGGACAAGCCCCACCTCGCACTCGATATACAGGGCATACTTCCCGCTTTGTTGAAGTGGTGAATAAGAAGCCGCCTGCTGCCGTGAAGGATGCTATTGCTAGCTTCCCTGAAATGCCTGGGTTGAAACTGAAGCCACCGTCGGAAAAAGAGACTTCCTACATCTACAAATGGGGAGTCCGCGTTGAAGTTGTCGAGAACGGAAGCCCTGGGTGTCATTGGATATGCTTGGCAGACGAAACCTGCCGACGCCAAGGCACAAATTTCACGCTTTCCTGCAATCGGACCTCGAAACCAGCAAGTCACCTCGCGTCAGTCCACAACGTAGTATCGTTGAGGACGCAGACTCAACAAAATGAGAAGCGGAAGCGGGAAAATGAAATCGAGCGCCTGCGTTCATCGTCTTTATTCAAGAATAACCCGCGCCGATTTGGGCTGCTCGTGGAAGCACTGCGGATTATCAATAACAACCTTCCCTTTCGGTTTGGTGAGTACAAGGAGTCGCGAATCGTGGAGGCTCTACTCAAGAAAGAGAACGTACAGACTACTATCAACGCAGCGAAGGTGACACACGCAATTATCGAGCTGTATTCCTGCGCGAAATCTGAAATTGTGTGGATAGCAAGCTGGGGGCGCTTGGTAGCTTTGTGATTATGAGCGACTTCTGGACGTGCTCGGTTATTCACAAGAAGTTCATGGGCATTCGAGTGTACTTTGTCGACTCCAACTGGGAGTTTCGTTCTATACTTCTTGGAGTGAGAAGGTTCTCACCGAGTTACGGCGAGCGCGAGCACGGGATCCAAGGTCCATACAAAGCTTGGACACTCCAGCTTCTCGGTGATTTTGGCTTGACACCACGTAACATTTTTGGCGCAACGAGCGATGCCGGAGGAGACGTGAAGAATTTGCTGAGAAACAAATTGAGCTTAAAATGGGAGTGGTGCATGGCGCACATGGCTCACGCTGCGACCAAGGAAACTTGCGGAATGAACAATGATGCTGAGAGATCTCGCAATCCAAGTATGACCAGGTTAATTACTCGGATCAAGAAAACAATTGCTGACGTCCAGTCGGTTGAAAAGGCCGGAGATCTATTTGCCGCTCTCTGTCGGACGCAGACCAGCACGCCTACCACGCAACTACTCAGCTATACTGCAGGTCGGTTCCTAAGCACCGCAGGATCAATCCAACGAATACTGGAGAAGTGGAACGCTCTTGTCGATTGGTATGATGAACGTGGGAGGCTCGCAGCGCGCCAGAGAACAGCACCACCGGTGTTCCCATTGAAGCACTATCGAGAGGATCTAGTGCAAATAATGTCACTGTTGAAGCCGATTTCGTACATCAAGCGGATATGTCAAGCCGAGAGTCCCAATCAAGTTGAAGTGCTGATGGAGCTGTATCAGATACATTAGTTCTCGATGCCCCCTTTCAAGACTACCGATCGAGGCCTAAGTCTCTCAAATGGATCGCCGCCGATGATCTAACGGAGCTGGCAGCTCGAACGAGACGACTGCTGCGTGATGCGTTTGATTCCCGCTTCTTCTGTCGCTACACAAAAGAAGCCTACCTCGAAGATGGAGAGTTCATCTTTGAGTTGCAACAGAGACTGCATCCAGAGTATAAAAACCCAGAAAAATCCCTCAACGCAATAGTGACCCAGCTGTACAAGGAAAAAAAAACGAAGGACGATGTCATACCGTTGATGGTCAACCGTGTCAACGAGGCTATCACGACAAGGATGCGTGCGTTAGCGGAACAGGTCGCTGCAACTATGGACAATAGCTCGGTTCCGACTGCCGACTCTGTTGAAGATGACCCGGAGCCACCGCTAAGTGGGATTCGCGCGCGATTTGGAGCTCGCGCTACGTTTCGTCAAGTTCCGATCCAGCCGGATCGCGTCGGTCAAGAGCTTCGAAACTGGGAGCTCGATCAGTCTACGATGGGGCCGCTCGAAAATGTGCTTGATTTCTGGAAGCGAATGGAGCATAGCGGTTCCTACAGCATTTTACCCAGATTGGCCAAGATTTTGTACGCTTTACCTGCCTCCTCTGCCCAAATCGAGCGGGACTTCAGCGTATGTGGTGATATGGTGACTTCGCATCGCGGAAGCCTATCCAAGGAAAACGTCGACATGTGTGCTTTTCTGAATCGCAACGAAGAGTATGTCGACATTGCCCAATGCAAAGCGATACCAGATGACGAACTGGACGATCATCGCCCCGACTGTGTGAGCTACGGGTTGGATGCAACACCGCCGAACGATGTGCAAGATGAAATGATAGTTGAAATATTCTCTCAAGCAAGCGTCGAAGAGGAAGAAATGTCATAACCAGTGTCGCGTAGGCAATGTCGCCACAGGTACTTTGCATCAAGGCGAACTTTATAATCGATAATATACATATTTTGCCCAACATCGATTGCATATCTTCCATCTGCAACTACTCCAATACTCAAAGCCGCATTCACAGCCCCAATTCCGCTGCTCCGTCTTCAACTACGCCGGCCAAAGCTCCGTAAGCACCTTCGCCGACCCTCCGGCAACCCCGCCGGCACCTCCGCCGTGAGCTCCCCCAACACGAGTCCCTGCACCAACTCCGCCAGCAGCGCCACCATGTACACGTCCGCCGCCACCATCTCCAGAACCGAATTTGCTTGCATCTCCACATTGAGCAGCACCGCCGGTGAAGACACCACTGACGTCGACTATAGCAGCAGAAACTACACAGACTAACCCAAAACGTACACCGATATCGCCAGTGCCGCACACATTAAGGCTGCGCTGCTACAGTCCATCGCCGGCGCCACGAACAGCAACGACAGCAGCAACCCATCGCGCCCGCGACGTCCCGGCCCCAATAGCTAAACAACAACTGGAATATAAAACAAGTACGTTGATTATGCACTACGCAAGTATGTCAGTAGGAATCCGTGGGGTATGCAGGTAAAAATGTCCATCCAGTGCAAGACTAGTTATGCTTTTCGATAGGGGGCATCGTTAGCATTCCATAAACATATTGTTAGAAATGCGGATGAAATCTCATGAAACCCAAATACGCTTATCCTTACCAAAACTTCCACCGACTTTCGCTTCACCTTTAGGTGGTCATCCGTGCAGTGCAGTATCAAATCGACGTGCCGCTAGCTCTGAACGGCGCTTGACTTCTTTTTGGGCTTGGGCGATCGTCCGTTCAAGCTTGTCACTGCGTCGAGATAGTACTTTAGGCTTTCTTGGCATTGACTTGCTTTCGGCATTTCGAGATGAAACCGGTTGGACTGGAGGAGCGGTTGGGCTTGACGCAACGGTTAACGCGCGACGCAGCTCTGCTTGAACACGCGTTGCAATACGGTCTGTCTGCTCATCTTGGGCACGCTGTTGTTGCTTCGCTAGATCATTCAAGTGGCCAACAATAGCCGAAGCAATATCCTTTTCGCTGTCTGATAACTTGCCGACAGTCGAATCCCCTGTCCGCGGTGTCCGCGGTAGTGCAGGGGGAAATGCCGCCTTGTCCTCTAGTTCCTTCATCCGTGTCTTCAACTCTTCTACTTCGGCGTGAAAGCGTTCAGTGGTGCCCTCAAGTTTGTCCGCAACAGCTTGTGTCGCTTCAGCTTGACGGCGAGATTCGATGATTTTTTCCGCCTGTGCTTTTTGCAACATGGAGCTAAGTCGGTTTTCCATACGTGACTCCACGGCATCTGACTCAGCTTTAGCATACCGCTGTACCTGATCAAGCATGAGGTTGCTATGAACTTCATAGGTTGTCTTCATCTCGTTGCTTAACTTTGAATGAACTTGCTTCAGTAGGCTCGAGAGCCCGGCTCCTTCCTGGGCTCCTAGAAGGTGTGGTCTACTCCCTCTAGTGACTCGCCGAGCTAGAGCTCGATATTTTTTTACGCATATCTATTAATAAGCTTAGTCGAGTTCTGCAGCATGGGATGGAACTGTTCAATAGTCGTCGTATAAAACTCCAATATGTACACCAAAGCGCTTAGGAGCTTACCACGCACAAACTCCAGCCGCGGGGCCCGCTAACGACAGAGTTTGCTAGTCGTAGTTTTGCTAACTTCCAGCTTGATTTGTGGTTCAATAACCGCCGTCGGTCAAATCCAACTCGTCAAGGACCGCGTCAACTGGAACGGATGATTCATTCACACTCCGCACGTGAGTGCATAACAAACAAACAAACACTGTGTCCCAAACTACAGCGAGGATAACTTTTCAATATAATACGCCACTAACTGGAGCCATGGACCCGATTTATTAAGCTGTACACGACAGACAAGCACCTACTGCCTCCACGTTAAAGTTTTTATACGTGGTCAAGATTAAATATCGATACCTTGCAGCGTGTCATCCAGCAGCATCTTGTCCAAGGCAGCAGAAATCTCTTGCATATCTTCGCTAACGGAGTTTTGCAGCACCTGATGGAACTCCCCAGTAGCAGAATCACAGCGATCCGGAGCCTGGAATCTCATTGGGGCCTGACGCACACAAACTCTCACCAGAGTCGAGTCTTCCTCCGTAGCCGGCTGCAGACAAACCCACCCAGTCTCTTCCGACTGTATCCCTCGGAACACGCCTTCACCCTCGGACAGCGTCTTCCACACGAGAATTGTGCGTTTATTCCCCTGGAAGCGACGATGAACGTACCGCTGCAGCACAGAAACTGTCGCCCCATTAGCCAAAGTACGGAGCAAACGAAACCTGACGACCACCGTGTCATTCGGGTCTCCAACGCCGTAAAAATCTCGTCGATCTTGTTGTCTGTGGAACAATTTGGCCAGATTCCACATCGTTCGGTGCGTGTGCTCGTAGCCGTAAGGCTCCGTGAACTGGTTCAGATGCTGGAAGTACTGAACTTCTCCATTGAATTGGCTCCGATGGACTGATGTGGTTACCCCGTCACGGTCGAATTCACCGAGAACGTCGTCAATCTGGGTGTAGCACGCGTTCACCTTGTTCAGCAGAGTATGGTACACGCTCTCGTCGAAGGGAGCACCGGTTGGGCGTGGAGAAACACTCCAGGCGTTGCTTTGGGGCAACGTATTGGGAAGTTGTTCGCACAGTTTCTTGATGTACAGGGCTTGCATCTTGGCTGCGGTGAAGAGCCTCATCTGTTCGGTCTCGGATTGCACTCGCTGGTCACGCTGGAGCATTGCAATGTTTCTCCACGTTGAGTTGGCGAAGGTTTCAGTAGCACCGCCACTGACGTGCTGCAGCTCCTGTAGCTGTCGAGATAACTCATCCACCATCCTGCGTAGAGTATCGCGCTCGCTCTTGAGCCGTCGGTGGTACTGCCGCTTCCGGATCATCTCCTTCTCGCGCCGAGTCTTGCGCTTGGCTAGTTGCGTCTCGCGCTTGACTGGGTTGCTGGTAGGAGTCTCGGTCTTTACGACTTGTTGGGGGGCAAAGGCGTCGAGTACCAAAGACTCGAGTTCAGCGTCGGTTGTAGGGGCTCCGCTCTTCTCTTCGTCCCCGTGTATTGGTCGGAAGGGGGGGAACGGGGTCATTCCCCACAGCGTTGCGTCGGTGGACATCATGGTTGTGCGAGTGGACGCTTTGTTGAGCACTTTGCGCTGTGCAGTGGTGCTTCTTGAACGACAATGGGGAGTGGAAAGACTGGAGAATGACTCCAGCCTGGAGTCCAGCTGCCAGTTTCACAATCGCCCTGGCAACGCGGAAGACAGCTGCGGTTTGGAAGCAGTGATAAGGGCAACAGTCGAATATCACTCCGTGTTAAGCTGAAAATTTCGAGCGCTATTGGGCCAATTGGTTGTTGATTGAAGCGCTCAGTTGTGTCGCTACAGTAGCAATATTTATCTAATTAAGCCTAGGGATGTTGAGCTGGTCCAGGCATCGGCGAGGTATCGCGGACACGACGTGAGAAGTATACTGAAGTCCTTGTGAGTGCTCTCGCCAGTGCTGTGCTTCTTACATTACTTCACTCGGTTTTCGATTTCTCACGGTCACATGGTACTGCTGCCCAACAACATGAGCCCACTGCACTGCATTCGCCACCGATGAAAACTACCTTACCGGTATCTTGAAGGGCGGGTGTCCTGGCTCAACTTGGGCCCAGTACTTTACAGGGTAGTTGGCGACATGTTGAGCCCTGCGCATCGCCATTTGCGATGATGTCAATGACTCGTTTCACGGCTCGAACAAACCTGCACAGTCCACCAAAGGCCAGTCTGTGCGTGGCAAAGCGGCAAAGTCCCACACTGGGATCATCACCTTCGAGAGTAGAAGGTGCCACCTTCTACTCTCGAAAGAAGTGGCGGCAAGTTCATATACAACAAAGGGGAACCCTGGTTCACGGTAGATATACGAGCCAAATACATGAGGTTCTTTAGCCTATGTAGACTTAGTGCGCGACGTCAGCTGCACTTGTTTTTATCGTGGCGGTGATGATGCAGACACGTGAGGTCCTGCCTTCCAAGTGTCTAGTATTGCGTCGCCGATGGCACAACTTACCACCGGCCAAAACATCGAACGAGGCCTGTGCGCCTGTACGAAAACCAACAGACTTTTCATGGCGAAGTCTTGTCGATCAAAATCCGGCGGTTTAATCGAGCGTCCAGGGCTTATACCCTCCGGGCTTGTGGAAACACAATATATCTTGCTCTCTGCATCAGGATTTTTATTCAAGCTAGGACGTGTACTTCGCTTGTGCAAGTTGGTGATTGCGGCACGAGCAGGATATATATTCCAATGTTAGCGCTGCTAACTTACTTAGCTGCAACTAATATTATAGCATGGAGAGAGCGCGAAAAGTTGCACGGTGCAATTTGAAATAATATATAAACGTCACATCCTACTACCTCCCTTCATCACTGACAACTTGTCGTCGGCATCGTCTGTATATACGTTAGCCAACATATATGTGGACAATCATGATAATTCTTCAGCAACGTCGCGCGCTATGATTCGACTGCGGGCTTCTTCGACGCTGAACCACCACCGCGCGATGGGCCATCACGATGAGATGGAGTCCTCAGGTTGGAGTTGCCGGGCAGTCGTTCGCAGAGTTGCCCGATGTACACAGCCTGCATCTTTGCTGCGGCGAATAAACGAGTCTGCTCCTCCTCCGCTTTCTTTCGTTGATCACGCTGGTACTCGGCTAAACCACTCCACGATAACGAACTCTGGGGGCCTGAGCCGTGTTGTTGAGGACATTTGCTCTGCTGTAGCTCTCGAAGCTTCCTAGTTAACTCCTTCGCCGTTTGACGCAAGGAATCCCGCTCGATCTTGACGCGTTGATGATACTGGCGCTTGCGGATCGCCTCCTTCTCCTCCCGAATATTATGCTTCAGTGCTTGTCTTTGCGGCGTGATGGCGCTGAACGCCCGCGAGTCGGTGAATAGTAGTCGCCCTGTTGTTGTTGATAACTGGCTGGGGTGAGAGGGCCGGCCGCCCCTGCCTTCTATCGAGAGAGACCTCGCCAGAGGCACCGTAGTATTCGGGTCCAGCAGAGCTACCACCTCCTCGAAGAGCGCCGCGTCGGTCGGCATTTTTTGGCTAGGGGGATCGTTTTGAAGTGATAGGATTCAGCGACAAACGAGACTGAAGGCGCGGCGGTGGCGGTGCAGCTGACCATTCTCACCATCGCAGAGGGTATGTGCACGCTTACAGTGCAAAGCGTCAGAGTAAACACGCAGCAAAACACCTGGATCCTCCAAGATGGAGGCAGCGTCTGAACGATCCGTCGATCCTGCCGCTCCTTGCGGTCGCTTTACACAGGAGAAAGCAGCGCTGCAGTCATACATTAATAGTGAACTAAAGGACGCGCTGTCGTATACGGTAACTTCAAGCTCCTACACAAGGATAAATCAATAAGTAGGCCAAATCTGCCTCCAATCTGGGGTATTCTGACGCTTGCGGCCAAATCTGCTGGCTTAATAACTAGGGCTTCGCGAAGGCAGGGATAGGATTGGTTAACTCACCTTTGATCGCCATTGATGAACTCAATCCGCTCGCTCCACGGGCATCTCCTGCGCCTGCTTCGCAGCCGCAGAATCTGCCCGACAATGTATCGCCACTATGGTCACGACGTACAACCGATTTCAGAGCAAATCAATGACTAATCTAACTCGACGAATTTGCAAATGAACTGGACCAGCCTCCATCATTCTTGAGAAGTCTAAAACACTCGGTCAATAGACATCACTTACTGTAAATTGACCTAAAGACGTTACCGGTTCATCACCGGTGTCGATTGGAAGAGGGGATATCGCCCGAATTAATCCTGTTTGGGCTGGTCTATCAGCACTTCGTCGCTTCCTATCCCAGTACAAGCAACATAACCGCTGAATGGTCTGTGGTGCCGGATGGCCAGGCCTCGTGTTTCCTCCTTCTCCTCGAGTGGCAGAGCCGGTCACTGACTGAGTGCTGAACGACAGGAGCTTGCTTGAATCTTGATCTTGAAGCTGTCGTGTTGCTCATTGATTGCGATGGATGGGGATAAGCAGGGGGATAACATAGACGTGAGCCTGAATCGAGCTGACAGGTTTCCATGCCGACATCCGGTAATCTGCAGCAATTGACGTCTACCCGTAGGACAAGGAGGTTGGCTGCGCTCAGCGCGCCCGATGTAGGACATTGCACTCCTGGCCTGCTGCCAAGTGTACACGTAGTGCAATGGAGCGGACTGCAAATGGAGTTAACAGCGCTGGCATTTTCGTACCACTCTTTTCGTCTACACTGTACGGCTCATAATGCCATGTCAACATCCCCTCCAGCATCATTTTCGACAACACAAAGCAATGGTACAGTATGCCGTCTGCGTCTTTCTCAACGAAGCTTTGCATCGCGGGGATGGGTTTCACCCATTGAAGGCCTGGGCTTTCCAGTGTGGGCGGTTATTACCGCAGGAACGGAATCCCGGGCACTGTCCGCAGTGTGGCACACGTACGGTGTTTACACAGTCGTCGGGGTGAGTCAGGTTTGAGGCCTTCCACATCGCAAAAGCAACTCAGTTGACTTCTGGTGGTGTCTGCTTGCAGCTGAATGGCTGAGTGAACCGGTATACAGGAAGTAGCGTCACCCTCCGTCTGACTCAGTTGGTCACAGCAGCCAACAATGCATCGGAAGACTTGCATGAGCTCGACCGATACCTGCAGCAGCGCACAACTACCCGTTCTACCATTCTATCGTGTGAACTACTGTATGAAAGCTGGCGCATCCCTTTTCATTTCCCGCCTGTAATATTGGGAAAACGTCAAAAGGTGTATGAATTTGAAACGTTTTGTCAAAAGCGGTTAACTCGTGTCATTAGGTGTATGCTAGGTTGTCGGTAGGACAGTCTGTGTATGTGGCTCCAAGCGCACTAAGGTGCATGATAAAGCTGCATCAGCAACGAATGCGGTGACTGGTGTGTGGGCTTAGATCCCAATCCATAAAACCCGGGGTTAGGAAGGCTTCTACCTGATGCAACTAGCCCGGTTCGTGGTGTCCATGACTTTGATAGCGAATTGTACGTACAATGAACGTCGTTATCCATGTAGCCAGGCCTCAGCGTTGCCACAGTTCTACAATACCTACACTCTCCCCCGGTTGGGGGCTCTCACTAGAGCTCCTTCACCTCCAAAATTCAGATGCAAAACCTACCTAGTATAGCCATGCTATATACGCTTGCGGTTTGCGTTGGTAGTTCCTTGTAGCTACAATTGCGAAGTTGTCGAGTACAGTTGCTCTATATGCTATTATTAGTTGACCGTGTTCGCTACGAGCGTGTCGTTAATAAACTACTGTGCTTGGAAGCTCGATCCTGGGTCTGTATGACCCGACCTCGGGTCCTCGGCCGAAATACCGCGGCAACCAAAACGTGTGTCAGTAAGTGTATGATGAGACATGACGCCCACGACCACTACACCTATTGACAAACGTTTTCCCAACGCATACACCTTTTGGCGATTTCCCTGTAATATTAGATTATACGCCGATTTCGTGTTTGTGTGCCCTGCGATGTTGTCCACAAGTATCTTCCAGCTTCCTTGAGCGGAAGCAGTGTTGCTACTCCACATTTGCTAGGACTAGCCATGCCGCACTTAAAACTATCCACAATGACGCCAAGCGCTCCCCATCGGCTCCGCTGGTTGTCGTCCCTGTGTTGATCGTGGCTATGCCCCCAGTGCTCAAACCACTGCTGCTGCTGTTGCTGCTGCTTGAGTAGGAGGCGCTTGCACTTTTACCAGAGGAATTTGTCGTCGAAGTATCTCCACTATCATCCGGGTAGTCGTCGCTTCCAACCGATACGCTGCCGTCTCCAGTGTCAGTACTGCTGTCGCTGTTAACCAGCTCCTCCGTCAGTAGAATTCTACTCGGATCGTCGACTTCGCATACTACCAGTGGGTCAGGACACGTGATGGTTCCTGTGAAACCTGGTACTGACAGCGTCTCCTCCTTCTTGGTGCAGTTGACGCTCACGGTGTCGCTCGAATTACTACGCGGAAAGGTCAGCTCAACAACCGTCGAGGTAGAATCCCCTACGCATCGCATCGCGTAGCAGCCCGACTGTCTGGCTGGACTTATCCCCCAGCTCGTAGAATCCACACTCCGCAGTGACGTCGCGGTACACCTGCAGGTGGGGCAGTACGTCTCGCCGAACGCGTTGATACTGGTATCGCCGAGCTTGAGTAGATTCGTCGAGATGGTACAGTCTCCATTCGCGTATCCAACGTTCAATGGGCAGAAGTCTGCGAACATATTGACCCCTCCCTTCTTCGGGTCGTTCGGGAAGTACTGGTATTCTTCCGGGATTGTCTGCTCCTTGGTACTTAACGAGCATATCGAGCGTGACATTGCGTCCACCGAGCAGCCTCGGAAGTCACTGGAGCTGCAGAAGTGGTCTGCTGCTATGGGGACTTGGGTGGACGGATTCACGCACTTTTTGGTTGCGAAGCCGCATCCTTTCTTCCGGCCGAAGTGCATGATCTCGGACATCGAGGCGTTAACTCGATACCAGCCCGAATCAGCGAAGAACGCGAGCGTGAGGGCACTGAAGACGTTGCGGTAGCTGTCTACTGGCGTCATGTACTCGGGTTCAAAGAGGCGTTCTTCCCAGTGAGAGCCCAAGCAGCCTCCGTCCTGCGACTCGACCTCGGCGCCGTCCAGCCTCGAGCAGTTGAAATGGTCCTGCACAAACGCACGGACTCGCGGAGTCACCATCTTGGCTACAACGTGGCCTCGCTCGGTTGAATATGTGATCGTTGTGTCCGCAGGCTCCACGTAGTAGTCGATCTCCTTGCCGTTCGGACACGTGCCCACAGAAAATGTCGGCGGATTTCCCTGTTCGTCTCTTGGTGTCCGCGGGTTTCCGTCTTCGTCTCGCATCAGAGGGAAGAAGCGAGCGGAGAAGCCCAAAGCGTGAGTGAACTCGTGGAGTGCAGTGGACACCTGACGCTCGAACGCTGAGGCCGCGGTGCTGATCTGCAGCGGACAAAAGTTGACCGTACCGAACGTCGGTCGGTCGTACTGGTCTTGCTGACACGTCGACGCGTACGCGAGCGTGCTCCCGCTCTCGCAGTTGGCTGTGCTTTCAGCTCGCACGTAGATCATAAAGTCGGAGTTTGGGACGCCCGTTCCTGCTGGAGAAATGGTACACTCGTCGTTCGTGCAGCCATTTGACGTGCATTTGTCGCAGTACCTTACGGGCGCGAAGTGATCGTCCGGTATCGGCATTTCCAGGCAGTATTCCTTATCAGAGATGGAATGGCACACTGGCGGCGTGGTGGAGTATCTGCTGGTGCAGAATCGCTCGGCGAACAGGTTGCCGCTGACCGGAACGACTCGAAGAGCTCTGCTAACACGCTGGATAGCCTCGTCAACGACTTCGAATATCCGGGCGCGGGCGGCGTCTGTGAGGTTGTTTAGACTGGAATTGTCGTAGTATGGAGTCATGCGGATGGGTTGATAGATCGCATCGTCGAGTTGTCGGGTGGAACCTTGTACGATATCTTCACTGCGCAGACGGCGTTTCCGTTCACTCACTTGGAATGGGTGGTTGTCGTCGTAGTTCTGAGCTGCTGTCACGAATTTGTGGTCGAGCGAGTCGTGGATGCAGCTCTCCACCAATTGAACCAAACAGAAGACGAGAAACAACGCTACAGTGCATTTTAGTGGCGAGCAAAGCTGCATGATCCTGGTAGGTCTTGCACTTGGTCTCGGCAGCTATTCGCTGGTCGGAATATGAAGTGGAGTTCGGCCGAAGAGTGCATGGTGCCGACTCTGCTGCTTCAGACGTAGATCAACGTATTACACGGACGGAAAGGCTATCTTTGTGCGGATCACCGAGGTGCTCGTATCTAAACTGGGTAGTTGAAGCACTGGTTCCTAAAACTGTGCTTTTCACTCAACGGTGCAGGCAGGCAGACAGACAAACTAAGCTCTCCATCTTTAGTGCTCGTCGAGACGAAGTCTCCTTTTCAACTACCGACTGGACAAGCCTCGACACTCTTGATACGCACCTTGCGTGAATCAACCGACGAGATCTCGACCGCTTTATCATTTCCGACAACACTTATCCTGTATTGGATGTACGCCACAATGTGTGCAGTCCTCTCAAAGGATCAACAATTTCATCCAAGTAGCTCCTTGTATTGCGCCGACCCAATACGCTCGCTCCAAGTCTGCAACGATAGGATTGTACACAGTTCCGCAGAGTCTGCACACAACTATGTGCTGGATATTTTTCTTCACTGTATCAGGAGCATACATTCCTGACCAAAACTGCGACACAAAAAAGTGGCACAGGACTAAACATTTGCAATATAGCGGACCAATCCGCGCTCGCCTCACCTTCTCTTCCGGCCAGCCATGGACTACCACCTCCTGCACGACGTGAGCGGCTTCCTGTCGGCCCAAGGCGCTATTGCAGACCCCGGCCACAGCCTCAAGCTGGAAGAAGTGGACAGCCAGCAGCTACTGGCCGACACGGAGGCGCTGCTGCAGTCACTTCATAGCGCTACTTCGGTCCAGACCAAAGGCGCAAAGACACAAATATTGAGAAGCGAGACCAAAATAAAGTCCAAGCAAGACATCGCCAAAGAGAAGGCCGGCCAGCGTCGAGACGCCTACCGCAAGCGCCTTAAGGTGGAATGGGCAACTTTACGGCAACAAGACGTCGAATTGAGTCAAGAGTTGGCCAAATTGCAGCAACTCAAGAGGCAACAAGCAACTCAAAGTGCTCCAGAAGACTCATTAGCTGCTGGAGCATGGAGAGCAATCGCTATGAGGCAGTACGAGAGCAGAATGGAGGCTGAAGCTCTACAGAAGAGGCTCCGAGCTGCAGTTAACAGCCGAGCGGTGATGATCCAAGATTTGGAGACACTTTTGAGGAAAAGAGTGCGGGAAGTCGAAACTTTGACTTCCGTAGAAGACGTTCCAGAACTTTTCGAGAAGAAGGCGAGGCTCGGGACCAAAGACGCCATGCTCTACAATACCTACTTTGAAAATCTGGACGCCCTTTACGAGATGAGCGGCGAAGTTTTCCAACAAGTTGGAGCCACGCCGACGCCTGGCGGGATTTTGAGTGGAGAGCCGAAGAGGAAAATGGACGGCGACTCGGAGTACTTTGAGACCATGGGGGTGGGTAGAGTGCCCTTCAGCTTCCAGCGGACGTGTGACGCAGTGTGGGAATTGGCGTCTGTGCCGCATCGACAGGACGGACGAAAAGTGTATGACGGGCTGCCGGATCCGGAGAACTCGTTGGCGCTGCAGTTTTGCTCCCCGCTTCGAAGAAACAGCGGGGAAGAGTTCAATCTGCGGACGTATCATGTTTCGCGACGGTATATTGAGAAGGAGAGGATGGTGGTGGTCTGGCGAGCGCTTTCTGAGGCGGATGGAGAGTTCCCCGGATTGAACTCGGACGAGACGGGATGGTGTATCGTGCATGCACCGACAAATGGTGCGGACCCGTCGACGACGCTGGTGCAGGCTTGCATTCGCTTAGTGCCCATGCACTTTCAGGATGGAAACTCGGACAAGGAGGGGAAGATCGACCAGTTTATGGAACTTTTGGTCAAAACTGGCGTGGAAGACAATCAAGAGATCGAGCGCATGATGGAGAGACTCTTGCTGGACGACGCACTCGCTACGGACGGACTGGAAGTCGACGAGAACGGCGACTTGGCTTCGTTAAAATGGTAAAATAGGGAGCGTCGCTCCTAAAGTGAAGTATCAGGTGCTGCTATTCGTGATATTGTTGTTGCTTACTGTCCCCAGTTCCATTATTCCTTGCAGTTCGCGTTAATGCCATTGCATTTTGCCCCCAATTTGAAACTTTGGCAGCACAACAGATAAAAAAATGAAACAGAAAACAACGAGAGCAAGCGATCTACCACAGTAGCACTTCTTCAGTTCAAACATTCCGTACTGCCGAATCATCGAGTAGAAGTGCTTCCATCATGCGCGAGATCTCCGCTCCGTCATCTTCCCCCGACGTGACGACAAACATGGCGAATTGGTCGGCATGCGCCTTATCCTCGACATGGCTAGCAACGGACATCGGAATAAACCTCGCAAACGTTTCCATGACAGTCGGCATCGTTGGATTGCTTTGGTTCGGTCGAATGACGCACCATCCAAATTCATCCGAATGCATGCCCGAGAACTCGTCCTCGCCTTCAGTCATCGCTCGCCACACCATGACCGTCCTCCCAGCTTCGACGTATCTTCGAGTCACCAAGTGGATAAGCACGTCGACCGGCTCGCCGGAGTCTCGAAGGCACGGGATGCGCAGCTTCACCGCTATCGTGTTCTCGGGGTCTGTGACGCCTCGGTACTGCTCTCGGCCCGGTCGCTGATGGACTTGCACCATTGCCTGCCACATCGCGCTGCATGTTAGACTAAAGTCATGCGGCACGAGCAGCACGTCCAGGCTTTCGAGGTACTCCACGTCTCCATCGCGTTTCCGAATGGGTCCGACCTTATAAGACGCGCGGGGGGTTCCCTCCAGTCCCGCGTCTCGAAAAGCCTCGTCCGTCTGTGCGTAAACCGTGTCGATGTCTTGCAAATAGTCCTCAAAGCGCGCAATATCGTCCGCATTAAGCTGCCCCGGCGTCTCTACCGGTACTTCAAAGGGTTGCGGGGTATTCATCCCACATAGTTGCTGTCGCATCATCTCCCCCACCTCTTGAAGCACTTTTTGTCGACTAGCGACTGCACGTGCTGCTGCTCCTCCGCTACCAGTCGCCCCTCCATTTGCCTTGTGGCAACCCCCTTCCACACTGGGTTAAAGACGCTGTTCTCCTGCGCTGCCTTGGCCTTCTTCCTCGCTTGCAGCAGCTCGCTCAACTCGTCCGACAGCGTCTTCTCCTGCTCGCGCAGCGTCTGCCGCTCGTCCTTCAACTTGTTGCGGTACTTGAGTCTCCTCTTGGCCGCCTGCTTGTTCCGAAGCTCTCGTCGCTCATCTTCCAATGCCTTGTGTTGCTCTGCATCAGCGTTACCGGTAAGGACTCGCGGTACTTGAGTTGCACTCCTGGTGGGACCGTCACAGGAGGCGAGCAACGCCTCCATCTCCGCTAAAAGCTTGTCACTGTCCACTAGCAAGTCCGCTGCGTCGGTCGCAATACCGGTAGCGGTAGGGGCTTGCAACTCTGTGGGAGGCTGCAAAGTATTGAGGAAGCCCGTCAAGTCCGCCAAGAAGGAATCGTCATCCCCTCGGTCGTCTACCATTGAGTCGTACCAAGGTCTCACTCAGATTATTGGAGGGATTTGGAGACTTGCGGTAATGGGCTGGTTCCCAAAAGAGTGGGCGGGACCAAAATAATGTGATTTGGTCCTTTCGCATATGCACTGTTGTGATGAACGCGGACGAGGATTTCCTGGCTGGCCTCTTGGACGACTACGAGACGCTGGAGCCGTCGATCGAGCTGCAACATGAAGACACTGCACCAGATCTGATTCATATCGACCCTGGCGAGCTTCTAGCGGGGACCGACGTGTTGCTCGCTTCGATCGTAGATCCTGTGGAGCTCGTCGCCAGTTCTGAGTCTGAGTCTGGCACGCAAAAGGCCAAGGCGGCCAAGAGGAGACTCAAATACACAAACAAGATCAAAAATGAGAGGAAGACGCTGGAAGAAGAAGAACAACTATTGGAGGAGGAGCTGCGTCATTTGAAGCATACCAGGAAGAAGGTTAAGTCGCTGTGGGACAAGAGTTCGGCTGTGCCAGCATGGAAGGCCATCGCCACTCGGCAGATGGAGGGCCGTCTCGTGGCTGAAGAGCAGCAACGCAAGCTGAAGCATGCCGTGGAAACTCGAGCGAAGGTGATGGAGGAAATCGCAGCAGTGGTTAAAGAGAGATCGGATGCGCCCAAGAGAGATCAATTGGCGATTGAGCAGAAAAATGAGCTAAGCGCCGATGACGCTGTGCTTTTTGAGGAATTTTTGCACGATTTGGATGTAATTTACGCCCAAACGGACGAGGTTTTCCGAGCCTGTGGAGTTGAGGAGATGCCACAAATGTCGTACAGACAGGGGCCCGAGCGCAAATGCGATGGAGACACGGAGTGTATCGACAAACTGGACGTGCTTTTTGTGCCCTTCAGCTTTGAGCAGACGTGCAGTACGATGTGGCAGTCCATGCTTCACGTTTACCGACAGAGGAACAGATTTCAGTACGGCCACGTCGCTGATCCATACAACACAGTTGCAGTCAAGCAAGAGTTCGACAAGCCAGTGGACATGCTTGTTCACTGCGTTATGCGTCGATATATTGAGGCCGAGCGGATGGTCGTGGTGTGGCGGGCGCTGACTCAAGGAGAGGGAGAGTTGTTTGGAATGCACTCGGACGAGACGGGATGGTGTGTGGTGCGTCCAAACGACGAAGAGCTAGACGACACTTCGCTGATGCGGACTGTGATGCAGACATTTGTGCGCTTCGTTCCTATGAATGTGGCAAATAGATCGGCTGGTCACGTGGACGGGTTCCAGTTCACCAAACTGGTTGTGACGTCGGTGGAGGAGGACGCTGATGAAGTTGCACGCATGATGGATTCCCTCCTGCTTGATGGTACCAAGGACCAAGGCTAGACATCCATTGAAGAAACAATTCACATTGACCCGGATCAACAGGGCGTCTACTGTGAGTCGGATGTTGCAAGACGATACGATAACGTTTCTAGGCTCAAAAAGAGTGGACGGGACTAGAATAATGTGATTTGGTCCTTCACGTATGTGGACGAGGCATTCCTGGCTGGCCTCTTGGATGACTACGAGAGCCTCGAGCCATCCATCGGACTGCCACATGAAGACAGTGCGCCAGATCTGATTCTTACCGACAGTGACGAGCTTCTAGCGGAGACCGACGCGTTGCTCGCCTCCGTCGCCAGGTCCGAGTCTGGGGCTCAAAAGACCAAAGCAGCCAAGAGGAGACTCAAATATGAGACCAAAATTAAAAACGAGAGGAAGACGCTCCAAGAAGAAGAGAAGGCGCTGTTGGAGCAGCTGCAGGAGATGCAACGCACAAGGAAGAAAGTCAAGTCACTGGGAGACAAGAGCTCGGCTGTACCCTTGTGGAAAGCTATAGCTACGCGGCAGATGGAGGGTCGAGTTGTGGCCCAAGAGCAGCAAAAGAGGCTCAAGCGCGCCATTGAAAATCGCGTGAAGGTGATCGAGGAGATGCACGAAATGGCTCGAAAGAGCTCGGACGAGTCCGCAGGGAATGAATTGGCCGTTCAACTGAACGACGAGCTGACCCCCGACGACTCGGTGCTCTTAGAGGAGTTTCTACACGATTTGGGCGAGATTTACGCCAAAGCGGACGAAGTTTTCCGAGCCTGTGGAGTCGAGGATATGTCACACACGTCGTACAGACTGGGGCCCGAGCGGAAGCGAGATGGAGACACGGAGTATGTCAACAACCTGGACGTGCTGTTCGTGCCCTTCAGCTTCGAGCAGACGTGTAGTACGATGTGGCAGTCCATGGTCCGAGTGTATCGACAGAAAGACAGGTATCAATACACCCACGTCGCTGACCCGGAGAACACAATTGCAGTCAAGATTCGTCTGCGAACTGGACAGGAATCTGGAGAGCCTGTGGACATGATGGTCCACTTTGTTATGCGTCGATACATTGAGGCTGGGCGAATGGTCGTGGTGTGGCGGGCGCTGTCCCAAGGGGAAGGAGAGTTCTTTGGCATGTACTCGGACGAAACTGGATGGTGCGTGGTGCGGCCAACCGACGAAGAGCTAGACGAGAACTCTCTGATGCGCACAGTCATGCAGACCTTTGTGCGATTTATCCCGATGAACGTGGGGAATCGATCGGCTGGCCACCTGGACAGGTTCCACTTCACCAAGCTCGTCGTAACATCGGTGGAGGAGGGTGCCGACGAAGTTGCACGCTTGATGGATTCCCTCCTACTTAATGATGTCAAGGAGTGTTGAGTCGACAAGAAAGCTTGAAGTCTAGGTTGGATTCTGTATAAACAGCCAATTAGGTCGACAATCTACGAGCCCTGATAATAAAAATACACTTTTTGCCGAGCCGGAATGGGGAGCCAACAGCGAGCCTTCACTATGGGCTCCCCTCCCTCGGATTAAATGGAGAGGATCCCGAAGAACGCACCAGCCGGGCTCGCAATTCTAAGCAGAGCCCTGATTTTAAAGTTGACGGGCTCCCCTACCCCTGGGCTCGTAGAGGGCGTGGAGTAGACACCTCAAATATGTAGCGGTTGTACCATATATTTACGTACAGGCGTCCCCGGGCTAGTCCCGGCTGTATATTTTACTGTATCTCGCATAGGAAGTACAACAAGCTCTCAAGATTTGCGCGCTACTTCTGCAAACATATTGATTTAGATGAGTGTACAGCGATACCTACTGCGACAAGTGGCACGTTGCGGGAATACCTCCACCGTATTCTTGAGCTAAGCTTGTAGTAAGTCAGTACATACTCATTTATGTTCAGACCGCGTGCTTCTATAAGTACCACTGTGGCGAATAGGCCGGGGACGCCTGTACTCGACTTCTTCCACTTCTTTCGACTTCTTCTTCTGCAGCGGCATCTGCACTCAATGGTTGGTTCGGACTGCTTGGAAAAAGCGGCGTGCAACTTTCACTTGACGATTACGATTTTCCCGAAAATACCGTATGAAGTAATCACTCGAGTTGTCGTCGATCGTTGGTACGACAAGGGCAACTTGGCCGACAAACCACACCACAACTCCAGAGGTTGTGGCACTTTTCGCGATTCAACGAAGACAAACTCATATGGAAGGAGAGTCCCACCGAGTACGGCAGCGATTTACATGTTAGCTGCAGAAGAATTCCGAAGTGTATTATACTTAGGAAGCGGTTCGAATGATAGATAATACATGCCCGGCCAGGAAGTGCTGACAAGCTGCTCCAATGATAGAATGCCATTTCTTACTCGCAGCAATAACAAGCAAACGAATCCTAGGGTTGTGCAGGGGCAAGTGCCGCTAAACGCCAGTGTCCGAGAGCAGACTCGAGCTGAGTTGGCCGCCTGACTGCACGACGCCCAAAGCGCATCGGGGAAAGTAAACCGAGCTGGTTCCTCCGTACCCATGCGAAGACTTCCACGTGAGATAACAAGTGAACAGTGCCATGGCAGTCGCTCTGTACATGTACAGTATTCCAATCGAACGGAGCGAGCGCAATCAAGTTCAAAAGACCAGCCACGCCGCGTTCCGTGGCGGAAGGCGACACCTGAGGCTGTCCATTCTGTGGGGCTCAAGAGCAGGATGGTGAAGATTGTGGCAGCTCGGAGCTGTCGCTCCGCCTCAAAAGAACCACTCGGAATAAAGTTAAACCGACGATGGAAGCAGCCTTCCCCCAAGCACAGACAAGGTTCCTGGAACCCCAGAAGAGGCTCGTACAGAGCCCCAAGGCGCCGTCCGCCACCGACTCATCGTCTGAAGACTCCCACACCGAGGCCGACGCACGACCAACGCCACAACAAGCTCAAGCTCTAACCAACACCCGAAAAGAACGTGAAGCGATCCGGAAGAAAATTTACCACCAGCGACTCAAGAACGAGCGGGAATCCTTACGTCAAAGTGTCGTGGATCTGTCCAAGCAGCTCGAGGAGCTCAAGCACAGCGACAATTCCGGCCTCTTAGCAGCCAGGGACTCAATCTGGCGGAAGAATGCGCTGCAGCAGCGTCACGAGCTGCACAGAGCCCAAGCGGAGCAATCGCAGCTATTAACGGCAGCAAAGTCTCAGGCCGCGTACATCAAGACCATGTGCAAGCAACTGCCCGAGCTCAAAGACGAATCCAGTCCAGATCCTCAAATCAAAGTCATGCTACGAGGTCGGAACTACCCGCCCTTCGACGCTGCAATGTATCGCGGACACGTCCAGAGGGTTATCGAGAGTTACGCTCGAGTAGATGAAGTGTTTCAGGGGTTTTCAACTATGGAGGAGCGAGTGTTTAACTCCGTCAAGCGACGAGAATCCGATGGAGACGTGGAATATCTGCAGCATTTGAACAAATTCACGCAGCCTTTCAGCTTCGAGAAAACCCACAAGACTTTATGGGAAATATGTCAGTTAAAACATCGACAGCACGATCGGAACGAATACAAGGGGCTGTCGGACCCTAAGAACTCCATTGTGCTAAGGTTCCGATTGATCCCAGAGCTGACGACGGGCGAGCTGGCGTCCGTACTGCAGCGGTATGTTATGCGTCGGTACGAGGAGGAGAACCGAGTCGTGCTAGTGTGGAAAAACCACTCTGAAGGGGAAGGAGTGCTGAGCGGCATGCACTCAGATGAGACGGGATGGATTTATCTGCAACCGGGGTTGGAGGAGGACTCGACGGAGATTGGAGTGTGCATCCGCCAAGTTCCGATGCAGTTCAGCGTTTCGACTTCTGGCGACATCGCCCAAGAATTCCGCCGAGTTCTGCAGAACTATGTGCACGAGGACATGTTAGCGATAACTCGAGCGCTAGATCGAATGCTGCTGGAGGAGACGCTGAAAGATATCAACGTGTGATCACAAAAATAGATAAAATAGAGTCGAACGAAAGGCTTTTTATTAAAATGTTGTTGCTTCTTGATTATGATGTCCGACTGGGTTATTACTTGCAAGGTAGTAATACTTCAAGTAGGACAGAACGACGTCCACAGGGTGATGCTGTTAACACCCACTCGTACAGCTGCGTGATGAGCCCCGCTTTAGACGAAAAACATTGGTTCGACTCGCACTCATACTTTATTTTCCAAGCCCAATGGACAGTGCCAATATGGCTAGTGACGGCTTCTTCGAGGATGTGGCGGCGTGCTTTGGCACGAAAGCACATCAAGAACAGAGTCCGCAATCCGGTGAAGTTTTTGCTGTCTCGTCCGAATTGAGTACCAATATCACGAGTGTGTCAAGCTGCGGGACGCTGGGGGACACTATTAAAACACGGAAGGAGAAGGAGGCACTTCGGAAGAGGCAGTACCACCACCGACTTCGAGCCGAGCGCGACACACTACGGCGAGAGGTGGACGAATTAACTCTTCAGCTACAGCGATTAAAACAGACTCAAGCCGGAAGAAGCCTTGCGATTTACGAGCGTCACCAGCACGTCATAGCGGAGACTGAGCAAATTCTTCTCTTTGCGGCCGCGAGAGCCCAAGCTGCGCATATTGAGACGTATCATGGCCACCAATCGGCTGCCAGTGTGACCACGACCCCAGTAGATTCGATACTTCAAGCCCCTGCCCGCTCAAGCTTCGACCAGATTTTGTTTGTGGTCCACTTGAGGGGGTTAGAGTCGTGCTGCGCCCGAGTTGATCAAGTATTTCGCGAGCTGGAGATGATTAATCTGCCCGACGGAGTTACAACCACGCTGTATCGATGCCAAGACGGTGGGGGTGCGATGCAACACCTAAACAAGTTTGTCCAGCCGTACAACTACGAAGACACCCATACAGCGATATGGAAGCTGTCCAAGCTGCACCACCGACAGCAGGATCGAGAGATGTTCCTCGGTCTGATTGATGATGAAGAATTCAACGTGATCAGGTTCCGCCTGATCCGCACGTTAGCAGACGGGAGAAATGTTTCCGTGCTCCAACGGTACATCATCCGTCGACGTGTGGAGAAGAACCGCACGATGTTGGTCTGGAAAACCATCTCGGAGGGGGAAGGATACTTTTGTGGGTTGTATATGGACGAGTCGGGGTGGGTCTGTATTGAGCCTGCGACGGAAGAGGGCTCGACTTTGGTGAGGATTTGTGTCCGTCAAACTCCTATGCGCTTCAACTTTTGCCGCGTGCCTCCGTCGGTTATTGGCGAGTTCGCTCGAGTGATGCAGAGCTCAGTGGAAGAGGATATGCGGGAGATCTCGAGTTCTCTTGATAAACTGCAGCTGGACGCTACGTTGGAAGGCATCGACATTTAATCCCCCGTTTAAATATGAGGAATCGAAGTTTCGCTCGTAAGGCTTCGCACTGGCGCTGAATAAGGGGTACTACAGTATCATACATAATCCATTCATGAGCTTTGACGCTCGAGCTAGAGCGGGCAAGCGATAACAGTTTCTTAGTGCGTGAAAATTGCTATTTCCCTTGGAGTACATAAGGCAAAATGAATCAAAAACTTATTTTTTTAACCGGGTCGCGGTACCAATTAATGTCATCGTTCCTATAAAACCAGCACTAGCATCGTGGTTTAAGCGCCGCTGCTGAAAATCTTGTAAGTTCTTCAGGTGTACCGCCTTGGTTTCCTCGATCGCTGGGCGCTCAAGTGCGAGAGAAAAGTGCCTCTCCGCCTCGTTCAGCTCCCCACGCATCGCTTGACACACAGCCACATTATTGTGTACAGACGCGTTATCCGGGTTCTCTCTCAGAAATGAAAAATACCCGTCACAAGCGCGGTCATTGTTGCCAAGAGCAACGAGAAGATGCAGTCGATAAAGCTCCGACCTCAGTGTACCGCGTGGAGCGAATTCATATGCGAGAGTCCACAGATGTCGGCATTCGATGTTGCTTGGACCGCATCGCTTGACACGGAGTAGATACTCTGCACGCTGGCCGTAAATTTTCCAGTCGGCTGGGTCCGTCCTGTAAGCAAAAATTGAAATTGTAAGAAACAAACAGGCGCACATAATGGCGAGTAGAGATTAGATTCAAAACGTACCGAAGGGAATAGGCGTAGAGCGAATCCTCATTGCGCCAATCGCTCAAAAGATTCGTGGAAATCGAAAGCAGCGCCCCAGTTAGCAATAGCCATATCGCCCACCAGTACATTCTCCCATTGTGAATGGGCCGTGCATTCGTGACATCGGCATTCTTCCGCTGTTTGGACGTGTGACGGGAGCGGCTCGACACTTTCCGTTCTGGCGCATCACATGCTGGCGCTGCGAGTCGCTGATTCTCACTGGCACTATCACTTCCTCGGAGCAGCCAACGAGCAACTGCGTAGCCACCGTAGGGAACGGCAATAATTGTACTCAGGTAAGCGTAGCGATCCGCGCCCCCACTAATTATCCCGTGGCGAATCAGACCCGATACAGGCAGCAGCATAAATCCAAAGAAAACGAGCGCAAAAACGTGCTTTGAGGCAGCACGATGCCACATTTTCCACAATACCGAAGCCAACACTGCCAGCGTAGTCATGACCGGCAGCAAGCACTCTGGGTTTGTTAAACTCAAATCTCCTGGCCGGATCTGGTAGTGCGGACGCAGTTTTGAAGGCCAAAGCAGGCATCGCAGCAGCCAAATCGGCGACGCAAGAGCTTTCAGCACACGGTCAGTGAGCGACAGCGAGACCACGTCTGGGACGGAACCTCCAGAGTTCGAGATCGCAATAATAGAGACGAACGCGAGCAAAATCGCGACGGAGGGTAACCTTCTAACGGCGTAGGGAATCAGCTCCACTGCATTGAGTTTGCTCCGTTGAGGTGAACGTTGCAGACACACCCAGGCGTCAATCAGTATGAATCCCGTCGACAACATTAAGCTTGCACTTTTTGACAGCAACGCACACAGGTACAGCCCTGCAAAACACAACAAGAATAAAATTAATAGTCCTTTTGGTACCGTCTTCGAAATTTAGAGCTCCATATCCGAAGAAATGAGCGACTTTGTCGTAGCATCTCGTCCGAGCAGCACTTTCAGCACTACGCCCTTATCGTCCGCCAGACTATCGCCCATGCTCCCGCCGATAAGCTGCTCCAGGTTGTAGTAAATGTTCTGCAGGTGAACGAGTAGCGCCCAACTGCTGAATAGAGCCACGAGCGTATACGGCTGCGCACTGGGCCAGCCCACGACCTCGACGTGGATGGGGTGAACCATAAACACCACAGCACTCACGCAACACGCGTGGAAATGGAGGCCGCTCCTCCTCCTCCTCTTCTGTAGCTCCAGCCCCGCTCTACCTCTCGACCCCCGCAGCTCCGTCAGCACGTAGTCGACATCCAGCAGCCCCGCAGACGCCTTCGCCAAGACGAACCCAGCAGCAAAGTGCACCGCAACTGACACCATTCGAACCCACGCTACTTGGGGCGCCTGGTGCTAGTAGGCGGTCTCAGCAGCGACGAGTAGAGCTCCTGACGCCGCTGCCAGCGGTGGACAGACCACGCATCCAGCCCCACAGTCTTCACTGTAACATACTTGAGCACCCACCCCAGAGGCTCGTACACGTTGAGTCGGACCATTGTGAACATGGCGCAGAGCGTCCCCAGACTCCAGGGGCGTTGGAGGACGCGGTTATCCACGTAGTTGCTGTGGTCGTCCCAGTATGTAGAGTGTTGAATGAAGAGGCGCGCCACGCTCGCCTGTCTGCCAGTCGAGTTATTTTGCAACTGAAAGCAAACCCTCTCAAACATGTTATTATTGTTTTAGCAAGTACGAGAGAAGTTCAGATCGCCAGCTGTGGCCTGGATAAGAGCTGCCTGCCAACCATACCGTGCAGGTTCGGATGGCTCGGACATTCGGACAACCTTTAAAACTAAATGCTATTAAATGCTCCGTGAAGTGTGGTGCACATGAAATCTTTTGCAATCCTCCGTCATACAGCGGCTGTTTAGTGGACAACGGCTTGGGGACTGCGGCCAACAGCATCAGCTGCAGCAGCAGCAAGACGTCCGGGATGTCGGCGCCGTGCGGGACGGCGGGTCGTACTGCAGCTGGTCCTCGGGCGGGGTGGCGGCCGTCGAGGCCAGCAGCAGCAGCGGGCTGAGGAGGACGAGGAGGTGGTGGAGGTGGCGGCCAACAGCGGGGTCGACGACATGAGAGGGATGCCTACGGTGGACACCTACTGTGACACTCACTTCATGTAAGTAGATAACGAGATGGGTGAATGAATCTATGTATGATGTAACTATGTGTTGGGACCTAACACTGGATCGCGACTACAATTACGTTATGCTGGGATTGTTGTAGGGCTCAAGAACACGCACCGGTGCATCTTCAAGAGCATTGCCTTCCTGCTGAAGTCGCTGGTAATTCCTGATGCGGTCGTCTAGCTTGCCTTGAGCATACATCCGCTTCAAAACCTTAACAATTGTGCCATGCGACTTTGCTTTCACGTTCTCAGCCTCCAGGAAAGCAAGAACGTTTGCCTCGGCCTCCCGTCCTGAGCTCAGGATGCGTCCCTTTGCTGTGACCTCATCTCCGGTCACGTTGTATCCGGCTGGGAGAAAAACCCGCATAAAGGCCACGGCCACCTCGCACTCGTGATAGCGCCGCCGGTTTGGACGCGCGCTTGGCAACGGAGGCAGAAACCACTCGTACCACACAGTCGCGAGTGGCTTCGCACGCTAATGCGCACGAGTTGCCGCGCCGCTTGCAGTATCCGACAAAGCGCTGGACGAGCTCGACAGGCTACCAGCTGCTGTTGTCGACGGAGCGGTGGTTAGGTCCGATGGGTGCTCAAGCCGCTGCACCTGCTGGTTCAATGCCTTCACTTCGGCTGCTAGCCCTCCAAGGATCTGCGCCTGCTGCTCCAAGAGCAAGGTTTGCCTCCGCAAGAGTTCGTCGTCTTCAGCACGCCGTGGTGCCGGACTGCGTGGAGTGTCGTTCTTGGACGGCTGTAAGGTACGATGAATAGCCATTGACCATGCAGCAATTTCAGCCTCTGTCGCCTGTACCTGACTTAGTGCTTCTTGAACCCGTTTGATGTACAGTGACTCTGGCCTAAGCCGAAGCATGTCGGGGTAGTGGAGAATGGCGGTGGCGGTAAGTACGTCCACTACATCATCTCGCAAGCTGAGTCTCTCCGTGAACCCCTTCGCAGCCGAGAAAAACCGGTCTTGAAGTAGGCGAATTCGATGCAGAACCAGAGGATCAAAGTCGTCCAGTGTAGGTAGCCGCGGACTAGCTTTTAAACCCCATCCAGCTAACGACTTGCCGACGGTTTGATCTTCCTGCGTCGTGCCAACAATATAATTGAACGCTTTGCTCACAGCACTCATGCTCCAGCCTCCACGGTCTAGAATCCAAGGTGTGCTGATTTTGCTATCACTATTCGCGTTTTGAGCAGCTCCACGCCGAAATGAATGCGATGATAGCCCTGGCGTCAGGTTAGTACCTTCGGTTTGGCAGACACCACTCCACTTCTGCAGTACGCGATTAACATACGCGTGAATTCCGGGGACTGTCGCTTTGTTCGCAGGTGCTTTTGGGGTCGGCGACTCAGAGTTGGAGGTTGCTGGAGACCTGGTACGTGCATCAAGTAGTTCGCGGAGCGGCGTTTCGCCAATTTCAGTCGGCAGGAGCTCTTGTGTATCCCGAGGAAGCTGATCCATGAGAAACTCGCTTGGAGTCGACTGCATAATTGTAGCCAAAGCTAGTGCGTGAATTGGGCAAGACGAAAAATCGTTTGGGTCGTGAAAAATCGACGCTCCTTGATACGAGGCAGACTTCATGCGCTTAAAGGTGATAAATAGACACCCACCTGTGTACCACGATTAAAAATACACAAGCTCAAAACCAAATTAGGAAAAATAAAAAGACAAGTACTTACCAGGGTAAACAGCGACCTGGTTTTTCACGAGACACATAGTGTCTGAAGACCGACCCAACAAATACCAAAGAATGTTGAGAAGGGCTGCATCCTGGTAGTCCTGCACAGATACAGCCCCCTTCAATATCGCTAAGCTGAGCGAGCGCAGGTCGCTTTTCGTGCACGGTGGGGCCTGGTGCGTAAAGTCTGTGCCTCGCTTGGAGCAGTACTTGTCGAGGATTGACGCAATCTTTTGCAGCCGACGACCCGATACAGCACTTAAAGCTGGAAACAGCTCGAGTAGGTGGTTCTTGACGTTGCCAAAGTAGCTGGCGACCGAGTTCTTGGATAGCAGCGAGCTCTTCGAGCTTTCTTTAAATGCTAAATACACTGCAAATTTGTCGAGAACAATATAGAGAGTATCACCAGTTGAATCCCCACCTACAAACTTATAGATGGCGTTGACGGTGAAGCCCTCGGCGACCGCGAAGCGCTCGAAGGCGTTGAGAGCCGTCGAGCGAGCCCGCTGGGAGTTCCCAGGTATGAGCGCTTTCGTCGACATGACTCGTTTCTTGAGTGGTTATGCTGCCTCGTCTGTCTGGCGCCCTCAAAATTAATATGTGTCCGAATATTGACGATATTTTCAGAATATTTGACTTACTGACTTTAACTATAGAAATATCAAATATTTTCAGATGTTCGGACAAAATATGTCCGAATTGTCCGATTTGTTACTTACGGCACAGCATGAGATTTGAGGCACGCCGATTGCCTCACAAAGTATGAGAAAGTCTTCTGATAGGCCAAGCGCTAGTGTACTATTGTAATGCGAAATTCTAGATGTCCGAACGGACACGATATTCTACCATACATAGTGCGATGACGACACGAGGCCGAGGAGTGAGGAGTCGAGGACGCAGTCCGAAGACAAGCTCACTTCCTCTTTTGCCTCCAGGTACCGAGCACGGATCTAGAGTAGTAGGCCTAGGAATAGAGGATAACCAAAAGAGTAATACATTGTAGTGAGCTACCTACTCTGTGTAAACTGTTCATTTCAACATTTCAAGTACAATGAGCCAGCCCCAGGTTGACAAGTCGTCGGTCGACTCGCTGAAGTTCAACGGGAAGTCCCTGCACTTCGCTGCGTGGAAGAGCAAGTTGATCATCCACCTCAGGGCGCTGAGTGAGCAACGCGCGCTCGAGGAGCTGCAGCACAAGCGTGCAAAGCCGCTGACGCGCTTCGAGGATCTGCTCGAGAGCCAGCCGGAGCTGCCGCCACGCCCGGCCGCGGCGGACAAAGAGGCGACATGGTAGCACGATTTGCACGAGACGCTGCTGAATCAGCAGTCGTCGTACATCAAGCGGCTGCTGTGTAAAACGCTTCCGGGCGGTTTCAAGGGAATCGCGACCAAGCAAATGGACTAGCCAGTCCATGTGATTTGGCGGCTTGTTGAGAAGCAGTACAGCCTCAGCAACGCGGCAGGCGTCGTCGGGCTGGTACAGCAGTTCCTGGAGATGGTGAACGCCGACTTCAAGAGCGTTGGCCAGCTCTTATAAGACCTCAACAACGTGCGCAGCCAGGTCAACATGAACGCGCACGAGGCTCTGCACACGCACATGATCACGTCGAAGATGATGCTGGTCATGGTGTCGGTGTGCTTCCGAGGCACATGTGGGCCCCCTCCGTCAAGTTCACGGAGGAGAGCTTCACGCTGGAGAAGGTGAGCGAGAAGCTTGCCAACATATTTGGCAACAAGACCAAGAGCGAAATTATGGCGCTGGCTAGCGGCAGGGTGGTCAACCACGTCAAGTCGAACTCAGCCAATGGGATTTCACGACGCACCGTGGCCTTGGCATTGGCCTTGCCCTTTCCATTGCCCTTCATCTTGGGTGTAGGCTCGTGCACTTCCTTGCGAGCCTTGCGGCTTGGGTACGTCCACACGTTGCGGCGAAACACACCCGCAGCCCTGTCTGCGCGACGCGCGGGGCAGTCAAGCATCTTGTGTGGGCCAATGCCATCCCGATCGTTGTGCGCGCCTGCGCAGTAGTAGCACTTCATGTACCCGACGTTGTAGTGGGCGTCGTTGATCGGACCGTCTGCGGCCTTTCGCTTGCCTAGAACGGATCCCTTCGGATTTGTTGGATCCGTCTTGGCTGGGGTAGTCGTGGCGGTAGACGCGTGCGACCCGCAGCAAGATTCGCTGCCCGCGACCCCGGATGGGTACACGAGCCCGCCCCCAAGCAACTTTCAGCAGCCTGACACGCCGGGAAAGGGCGCTTCGCCGATGAGCGACGAAGACGAGCCAATGGAGAGCGTCGTCAACGCCGTGAAAGCTGACGCTTCGGGCACGGCTCCAGCCGCCGCTAAGCAATCGGACGACGACGTGGACATGGAAGGAGGGCAGCAATCCAGAGATTCCCGAGGCGACGAAGAGCTTCGCCGGCATGCTGACTGACCTCGAGAAAAAGGTGCGAAGTTTGTATCCATTTCTGTTAGACGATGATTCGTATCTAACCACAAATTCTTGGGTACTTGACTCAGGGTGCGGGTACGGACTAACCAGCGAGGCAGCGCGGTTTGTGCAGAAGGAGCCCTACAACCAGTACATGTTTACGTTCGCACAGGGCTCTAAGCATTCAAATATACATCTTGGCACGATAAAATTGTATTTGCATGGTCCACAAGGAATTAGACCTTTTCTGTTCGAAAATATTGCGTTAGCACCGGACGCTACCTCGAACATTCTGAGCGAGTTCTGGCTCAGGCGCGGTGGGTACCAGATATTTGGTTCCCTAACTGGCGAGTACAAATTTGTGTTATTTGCCAATGAATTAGTGTTTGTTGCAAAAGCAATTAACGGGGCATACTATATACAGAATAAAACACTGCAAGAGCGTCAACTGCTGTGTAACGCAGTGAAACAGGAGCCCTGTAAACCACTAGCTCGCCTAGGTACTGGGAGGTTAGAGCGCACACTGCAGGAGTGGCATGTGAAGCTGGGCCACCTTAATAAGGATGCATTAATTGCAATGTTAAACACAAAAGTGGTGGCTGGAATGCCAAAATTTTCCGCGCCAGGTCTAAGAAAGATCCCATTCTTTTGCACAACTTGTGCAGGGATGAAGAAGAGGAGAATGTCCTACCGGAATGCGAAGGGCACCAGAGATGAGAACCCAATCAGCACCATTCATATGGACACAGACGGTCCCATGAAGACCATAGGGGTGTATGGCAGCTGCGGGAAAATCAAATACTTCCTGAGTATCATTGACGACAACACGTCGTGGCGCTGGACCTACGTCCTAAGCAGTAAGAAAGAAGTCTTTGAGAAAGATGAGGAGCTACTTTTGCAGCTTGAGCGTGAGGGAAAGTTCACGATTCGTCGGATCCGGTCCGATGGAGGAACTGAGTTTGTGAATGCAGCCTTTAAAAGCTTCTGTAAAGGCAAAGACATCGTATTCCAGACATCCAACGCCTACAGCCCCGAAGAAAACGGAGCTGCAGAGCGAGACCACCAGAGCAAACCGGATAGAGTTCGTTGCGCGTTGAAGGACGCAGCTATGGAACACAGATGGTGGCCAGAGGCGCTCATGTACATGACTTATGCGCAGAATCGCACACCCATGATACGTTTGGGAAACAAGACACCGTATGAGATGGTGTATGGGGAGCCTCCCAACGTGAGCAAGCTACCTGTGTGGGGATGTGTGTGTTTTGCGCACGTTCCTGCTGCCCTAAGAAAGGACAAAAAGCTGTCTGCTCGCGCCGTAAAGTGCCGGTTTCTCGGAATATCTGAGGAAACGAAGGGTTATAGACTCTGGGACATGTATAACAACAAGCACATCTTATCGCGTGATGTGCTGTTTGATACGAACAATGTAGCCACCATGGTTCAGCGAGCTTTCGGTCAGGCCGAAGAGCCCCTCACAATTGAATCTGCCGCGCGCGAGCCACCCGCAGCAGAGGGAAACCAAACACTAGTCACCGAGTCTATGGAGACAGTGGGAGCTGAAGCACTTGCCGACGGGTCCACGGCAGTAGTGGGAGCTGAATCACGAGCACAGGGGTCTACTGAGGCAGTGGGAGCTGAAGCAGCTACTGAAAACAGTAACCCAGCAGTGGGAGCTCAAAAGAAACGCCAACGTGTGGGACTCGTCGATACGCCACAGAGGCGTGAATCCCGCCCACGTAGAGAGGCGAAGAAGCCGAAGAGATACGCGGACTATCAGTGCTTCCAGGCGATGCTAGATAAGAGCATTGCGCAGGACATACTAGAGCACAAAGTGCCGACACCACGGTCGCTCAAAGCAGCCTTAAGTGGACTTCATAGAGAGCAATGGAAACAAGCTCTGGAACTTGAGTATGACTCCTTGATCGAGAATGGGACGTGGAGACTCGTCAAACTGCCACCCGGACGTAAGGCTTTGCCCTGTCACTGGGTGCTAGTAGTAAAGTATAACGCCGACGGGGCTGTCGAGCGGTTCAAAGCACGCATCGTAGCACAGGGCAACCACCAGGAGTTTGGGGTAGACTGTGATGAGGTATACGCGCCCGTGGCACGATTTGAGTCGCTGCGCCTAGTGCTGGCGATAGGGACGATATTGGACTGTCATATCCACCAGATGGATGTCCATACGGCGTACTTGAACGGCACGATGGAAGGAGAGCAAAAGATCTACATGAGGCAACCTCACGGTTTTGCGAAGCGAGGCCAAGAGCACTTGGTCTGTGAACTTCTGAAGAGCATCTATGGCCTGAAACAAGCCCCGCGCATCTGGTGTAAAGTCGTACATACCTTTTTGACGTCGATGGGTTTTGCACGCTGCCACAAAGAGTTTTGCATGTACGTGCAAAAAGTGGGAGTAGATTGGATCATAGTCGTGGTCTATGTCGATGATCTGACGATCATGTCGCGGAACATGCGACTAATCGATGGGCTCAAAGCCGAGTTGTCAAAACGGTTCAAGATGAAAGACCTTGGCGACATTCACTACATCCTCAAGATAGAGGTAACTCGCAATAGGAACCAGCGTGTGATGATGATCTCACAGCGCAAGTACATTGCAGAGCTGATCACGAAGTACAAACTGGTCGATAGCTCGCCGGTGATGACACCGCAAGCACCTGGCCTCGTACTCGAGCCAGAGACGAACATGAGCGCAGAGCAGATTGCTGCGCAGCCTTACGACTACAGAGGCATTGTTGGATCACTCCAATATTTGGTCCGTGGCACACGACCGGACATCGCCAACGCGGTTAGAGAATTGAGCAAATTTCTGTCTTGTTACAACCGCACGCACTGGGAAGCGGCTAGGCGAGTACTCAAATACTTGAAAGGGACGTCAACGTACGGTCCGTTTCTCGATGGAAAAACGAGAGACGTGACTTACGAAGTGTACACTGACGCGAGCTTCGCGTGTCAACCTAAAGAACGTAAATCCGTAACAGGGTACGTAATCCAAATGGCCGGAGCCAGTGTGTCATGGTGTAGTAGCAAGCAGGGAGGCGTGTCGCTCTCTACTGCTGAAGCTGAACTCATCGCACTAAGTGAGGGAGCTAAAGAAAGTGAGTGGTTGTGGCACTTGCTGGGAAAAATGGGGTTTCCTCAAAAGGTACCAGTGCAAATATGGTGTGACAGCAACGCTGCCATCAGCATTGTGAAAAATCCTGGAAATCACAAAGCAAACAAACACATCGAGATCCGCTACCTGTTTACGAGGGACCTGGTTGAACTTGGCCGCCTCAAGATATCGTACTGCTCTGCAACAGAGATGACTGCGGATATTCTCACTAAAGCTCTCCCCACAAAACAATTCCTGAACTAAGAGAGAAACTACCAGTGCGAGATCTGAAACTTTACCCTACTACTTAGTGGGAGTGTTGAATGAAGAGGCGCGCCGAGCGCGCCCCGCTCGCAGAGTGGCAGCAGGCTTCGCCTGTCTGCCAGTCGAGTTATTTTGCAACTGAAAGCAAACCCTCTCAAACATGTTATTATTGTTTTAGCAAGTACGAGAGAAGTTCAGATCGCCAGCTGTGGTCTGGATAGTGCAGGCAGAGAGCTGCCCGCCAACCATACATAGTGCGATGACGACACGAGGCCGAGGAGTGAGGAGTCGAGGACGCAGTCCGAAGACGAGCTCACTTCCTCTTTTGCCTCCAGGTACCGAGCACGGATCTAGAGTAGTAGGCATAGGAATAGAGGATAACCAAAAGAGTAATACATTGTATACTCTGTGTAAACTGTTCATTTCAACATAGAGGATGTCCCAGTCGCCAGACTTCTTCGTATACAGCAACGGCCACGCGTAGATCAGCATGGCCGCGCTGCAGAAGACGGCAACGCATTGTCCTCGAGACAGTAGCATGGTGTGATACTGTGGGGCTCTGAAGGGTCCCTCCTCGAAAAGATTTTGGCTACTTCGATCATCGAAGTTCGATGTGATTGGTCGAGGTTTGAGATGATAGGGGTAGGGAGCCAAGGAAATGTATTTGTTTGTCCTGAGGAGAGGTCCGCCGAGGATACATGTAGTGTTTAGATAGCGGGCGGATTTCACCGTCGTTGTCTGTGGTACGTCTATTGGCATGGGGGATGAAGATGGAGGACGGGTATCACGCCCTTCAAAAACTTACAAAAATCAGGCTCCGCACCCAGCCAAACTCAGCAAAATGAATAATCTACTAGGCTTCGTGTTCTTACACAAAAATTCTACAGCATCGGGTGGGTCCGATTGGTTTACCGATCTCAGGTAATTCGGATCGGAACGACAGATTATTATTTTTTTCAACTCGAGAAACTAAGGTAGGGCTGGTCGCATGTGCGGAGGAACTGTCGGTCGCGCTTAGGATCGAGAGTGCGGAAAATCATGAGGGAGCCATCCGACCCGAGATCTATGCGCATCGACAGTATGAACGCTTGAAGACGCTCGTCCGAGTCTTCGCGGTCAACAGTGTGGACGAAAATGACTGCGTCTTCGCTTACTCGCTGCACGACGTGGAAGTGCATGGTTGCGTCGCGCGGACTAATGATCTTGGACAACTCTGGCTGGGATACGACTTCCCAGATACCCTGTGCCATCTTCTGCATCGAATGATAGGGGAAGACCTTGTCCAGCGAGAACATGAGCTTGTCTGAGTGGAAAATGTGTCGGTGCCTCCAACCGAACACGGTCGTTCCGATGGACGAGTGCAACTTGCTCTCTCGAAATGCCTTGAATTCTCCATAAGCCACGCCCGCAATGTTAGAGAGATATTCTTGCGTCAGTCGAATATTTAATAGCGTTGGGTTCGTCCGCTTGTGCTCCTGTTCTTGTTGCATTTTCTTGTTTTCGCGATTTTGAGCGTCAGCAAACTGGTTGAGCTGCTTCTCAGTAGCCAAGAAGCTGGCGTTGAGGCGAGCCAGCTCGGCATTCTCCTTAATTAATGCGCACTGCATCTGCGTCAGCTCCACGTACGCCTTGTTGTTGAAGCCCACATCGTGGCATGGTGGCGTTGGGCTTGCATCCCGCTGGTGGCACTTCGCAAGTAATTGTCTGTGCTGAAACTCCAAGGTGTCGACCTGGCGTTGGAGCGTGTCGAGCAAGGTCTAATAGGTGCAGGCGCAATAAAGATCAAGGCCCGATCACTTTTAGTGCAGTGTATCCAAGTAATGAAAAGGACCAAACCGTTAGTAAAGACGCTTGACGTGTACTCGGTACTTGGCACGATCTGCGGCACTCGTGAGGAACCCCAGATCATCCGCTTCATGTAGGTCGACGAAGTCCATTCCGACGGCGTTCTGAGTCCTACGGGACAAATGCACGAGTGGGTGAAGCGACTGCGTCGCGTAGATACTGTAGGTCAACGTGACGATGACCGACCTGATGAGCCGTGACCAGGAATGGGATAGGGAGATGCCAGATGGCGCGCTGCATGTGATCGTCGAGTGGATAGTCAGGAAAACAGTTTAGGCTCGGCTCGATTGCCGTGACCTGCTCAAGTTGCGTGCTCGGTGTGTGTGGGGGGGGGGGGGCAGTCGACAGACCGGAGTCACACGAGTACACAGTTCGAGAAAGTCCGGGTGCTCAGTCGAGAGGGCGAAACCACGAATGGATGAGTTGATTGGGTGCGAAGATACCCAAGTCAAAGTGACGATGATCGACCTGATCAGCAATGACCAAAAATGCGATAGTCAGAGCCAGCACTACATGTAGGGCTAGTGACCAATGGTCACTGATCATCGAGTGGATAGCCGGAAAGCAATTACATGTAGGCACGTGTTGCTGCTCCAGACTGGAAAATGTGTGACGAGGCTATTGTTCCCGACTGCATCCAGAACATCACCCAGAACATCCTGACAAGTATCCCGACAATCCCGACAGCATCCCCACTCGAATTCCCGACGAAGCTGGTAGGGTATACGCTCCGGTTAATTGTAGTGAGGGACGAACTGGCTTCTAAGCGAAGTGGAAACGAGAGCCACCATTTACTCCACCATTTACTCCACATTGTATTCTTATTGTGGTCTACGAGAAACCGACTGCGGTCGGTGGTCACTTGGGTTGCTGGCAGCGCGCCGGCGGTGTGCTTGTTGAATGACCAGGGTAGTGAGTGGTGGTTGAGGTCTGAGACCGTGATGCCTTTGACTATGATGAAGAGGAAAGAGAGTTCTGGTGAATGAGACCCGAGGGTTTCTCGGAACTTCTCCTGCATGCGTGCAGCCTCCTTCGTTGGCTGCGGCCAGTGTAGTCAAGAGTAGTCAACGGGGGGGTTATGGCTCGAGGTGCTTTCCCCTACAACAACACTTGAACAACAAGTTCACAATCTGTTTTCTCTCGAAAGACACAAGCCATTTAGTTGTTTTGCTTCCTACTTCGTGTTCTAAAGCTACTGTTCACCTCGACCCTGCGAGATCTGCGTAGGCGAAGTGCTACGAGTGCAACTAGGTTTCTCCTAGGTTATGAGCCCAAGGGGCTTCTGTGTGGATCCGAGAACTGAACGAGTAGCACGATGGAGTACGGAGCCCTTCAACAGCAAGGGCAAGCACCTCAGTTGCAACAGGTGCAGCAACAAGCTCAGCAGCAAGGCCAAGTGCCTCAGCCGCAGCAAGTTCAAGTACCTCAGCAGCAGCAAGCGGTGCGAAAGGTGGCTGCGGCTACTAAGGCGCCAAAGTATGATGAAAACGGGGGGTTTGACTTGTATCGGGCGCGGCTGGAGTCGTATCTAAGGCAGCGAGATTGTTGGAATGTTGTATTGGGGACTGAGGGTCCTGATGCTCAGAATGCTGAACGACAACGAATTTACGAGGAGCGGAACCTGTTTGCGCGAGATACGTTGCTGTTTGGCCTTCTCCCGAAGGATGCGAAGAAGATCTGTACACTCGTTCGAGTGACTGAGATGTGGACTGCTTTTGAGCGGGACAAAACACGACGAGACTTTGCAAATAGCATTTGCATTGGTGCTAAATTGTATGGAGCGAAGTATGCCAAAGGAATGAACATGGATAAGTATTTGGAGGATCTTGAGGACTATCGCCGGCAACTCGAGAACATGAACGATCCCATCACAGATGCTGATATGGCAAGTATCATACTGACGGGGGTGGAAGGAACCCATCGGAATGTGGTGCGGATGTTTAACCGAGACGTCAATCCTCCCGACTTGGAGCGTGTGCTCAATACTCTGCGGAGTGAAGCTGAAATGGATGAAGCTGAGGAAGATCAGAATGACAACTTCAAGAAGAAGAAGAAGAAGGGAGAAGGCAGTGGCCTGATCGGGTCGGTTAAGGGGAAACAACCTTGGCAAGGCAAGAAGAAGCATAAGGTCGGTCCTGGCAAGAAGGCTCGTAGTGGTGGCACGTGGAAGGAGACTCGTGAATGCCATTTCTGCCACAAGGTGGGTCATCTTCGAGCTAATTGTAAGAAGTGGCTTGCTGAGCAAACAGGGAAAGAAGCAGAAAAAGGATGACAGCGATGATGACGATGACAGCGAAGCCGGCGAGCGGTCGAAGAAGAATGGCTCGAAGAAGAAGAAGGGCCGAAAGATCGGCTTCGTGGGCCGGTGGACGAAGAACGTCGGGGCAATTGGAATGATGAGTAATAGCAGTGCGACTGCGACTCCACCTCAAATCCTGGCAACCTCGTCCGGTGACTATACTGACGAGTGGATGGACACCAAGACTGACGTGCATGTTTGCATCAATGAGGAGGTATTCCAGTGTGACTTGCGGGAAGATGACAAGTATTTCAACGACTGGAAAGGGAGGAAAGGCAGAGCTGACGGCATTGGCTTGGTGCAAGTTCGGGCAATGAATGTGTTGGACCCGAATGGATCGGGGTTTGTATTGTCGTTGGAGGAAACGCGTTTCTCCCCCAATGGCCCTACAAATCTGTTGAGTCAAGAACTTCTTGAGCTTGATGGTTGGATTCCTACTACTCCGTTCACTCGTGTTGTGGCGGAGAGGGTTACGTACTTTACGAACGACAAGTACGACGGAGTGAAGCTTGTTTTCAAGAAGCGACGTGGCCATTACTGGCTGGATGCCTCCACTGTTACCTCGGACGCTACTATCGGTGCAGTGGCGTCGGCACCAAAGGAAAACAAGTTGCTCATGTGGCACATGCGCTTTGCGCATCAGAATGTAGGAGCCATGAAGAAGATGGTTCGGATGAACATGGCGGAGGGCATGGAGACACTTACACTGGCGGACTTCAAAGGGCAGTTTCGCTGCATAGCTTGTCAGCGCGCTAAGCAGAAGCGGATGTCCTACAAGCGCCGAGAAGGAAAACGACAGAAGGAGTGCTATGCACGCCTAATGTCGGACGTGTGTCATGTGGGAGAGCTCACTCCAGGCGGGAACACTTACTTTCAGCTTATCCAAGATGAAGCGTCTCGCTACAAATGGTGTTACCTGTTGAGCCACAAAAGTGAAGCAGTGCAGAATGTGAAGGACTTGATTTTGCGTCTGGAAAGGGAACATCTCATCAGAGTCTTTTCGTGTGACCAAGCCAAGGAGTTTGTAAGCAAATCGCTGCGGGCGTTCCTTAAGCTCCATGGTATTGAGCTGCTCACTACCAATGCGTACACACCAGAGGAAAACTGTCTCGTCGAGACGTTGAACGGTACCCTGAACAGCAAGGTGCGAGCGGTCAATGAAGCAGCTGGATTGCCGTTCTGTCTATGGGGAGAAGTACTGCCGTACGTTGTGGACGTTGATAACATGAGTGCAACGAAGGCATTGAATGGCATGACCCCGCACGAGAAGTTGTTCGGAAGCAAGCCCGAAGTGAAGGACTTGCATATGTGTGGATCCGTTGTGTTTCATTACATCCCGAAGAAGAAACGCCACAGTAAACTGGACATGCGAGCTGATCCAGGGATATTTCTTGGGTATGCGAAGACGTCTCTCGGCTATCGCATTCTGGATCTGTGCGCAGGGAATCTAATTGAGCGACGAGATGTTGTTTTTCATGAGGATATGGCAGCAGACCCGAAGTATGTACGCGACTTGATTAATAAGCGCTACTTTGGGGAGCAGATCGATATGCCAGAGCACATTGACTTTGTGTCGCTGCCGGTCAGCCGTGTTCACTTACCATTGGACGAGTACGATGAGAGTTCCGAGGGGGGTGAATCTGTTGGCTCTGGCGAAAATGGTGATGACGATGAAGAGTTTTATGACACGGACGATGGTATGGCCGAAGCATTTGTCGATGAAGACGTCGATGACGACAGTAGTGATGATGATAGCAGTGGTGACAGTGACAGTGACAGTGACAGTGACAGCGACTTCAGTGGGAGTAACGCTGAAGCAATGGAAGTCGATGTCGCTGCTGATCATGAAGACAATACCGGTGACCAAGAAGTTGAAGATGACCACCCCGGGGATCAGGGCGTAACTTTAAGTGGTGGTCGTACGCCGGTGGTCAGATCCAGCGGGAGTTCTCGTGCTAGTGGGGGTTCTCGTGCTAGTGGGAGTTCGAGCGCTACTGGAAGTGCTGGACCAAGTCCTGCGACTGCACCAGCGGCTTCTGTGCGTAGATCGGGCCGTGTGCGTCGACCTAATAGCCGGTATGACTCTCGCACATTTGTGTTGGCACAGACGTTGATCCAGTGCATGATGATCGCTACTGTGTGCGACTTGTTGAACCCGACCTCTGTCCAAGAGGCACTTAACTCGAGTATGCTGCTCAGTGGAAGCGGGTAATGGATGCCGAGTACGAGTCGCATATGATCCACCAGACCTGGGTACTAGTTCCAAGACCACAGCCGACAAGAGACAAACCGGTGAACATTTTATCGTCGAAGTGGGTGTTGGCGCTAAAACGAAACGAAAAGGGAGAAGTTGAGCGGCACAAGGCAAGACTGGCAATCAAAGGGTATCGACAGAAGTACGGATTGGACTATCTGGAGACGTACTCTCCTGTCGTGCGTATTGAATCGGTGCCGCTTGTGTTGCTACCAGCGCTACTGTACGGATTGGACTGCAGACATGTATACTGTAATGGGCCTACTTTGGCCCACTACTTTAGCTTACACGTGTGCGCGTGTATGTGAGGAAGCGTAGCCTAGTTTAAATTAGAGTTAATTATACTCGGGCCTCCGAGTATATATTAATCTAAATAAACGATCGAAATAATGTTTTTGGGTTAAAATGAGAACTGCTATTTTTGTTTTATGTTTCTGACTTCCTCTAAATGTAATATTCTAAGATAGGAATCTGCCAACGGCTGGTTGGCAGAATTCCATTGCTATGCATGTCGCTCATTGGCTAAGAGATGCTGCTTTCAGCCAATAGGAATCCTAAGTCTCTATGGACCACCCGTCGTGGTGGTCGTAAAAGTATGTAGCCTTTGGTGTGTCTACACCAAGGTCGAGAAAGTCTTTCGAACCTCTAACAGTCGTCGTATCTGTTAGAGTTACAAGTGACTGTAGCCACTTGTGCGTGTAACCCTGTTACACCATCCCCCCCTCAAGGTTAGACGCGCCGAGCCACGGCACGTCAATCAGGAAATTGACCATTCGTCAATTCTTCACGTTGGGAGAAAGAAAACTCGAGCTCATTGCGGAATGAGCTCGCCGCAGAAGAAAACCGCCGCCGCAACAGAGGGTAAGCTCTCTGTTGCTCAGTACCATGAGCGCCAGCAGGCAAAGCGCGACGCGCTTGCTGCAAAGGCCGCGTCGGGGACAACCCAGTCGGAGATTGTCCTCGAAGGTTCTTCTGTAGTCAACGACGCCGTTGACTACGAAGACGACGACGTGGAAATGGAAGAGGGGGAGGCCTCTTCTAGCAAGCGCACGGAGTCTATCGACAGCGATAGTCTCGACCCGCATGCTGGGTCGAGACGCCCTCGTGAAGGAGACGACTCGGACGCTTCAAGCTCGAAGCGTTCGCGCGGCGAGAGCGAAACTCCGCTCTCCGCTGCTGGGGCTTTAAGCTCCCCGTGTGAGGTGGCGTCTTCAAGTTCTCCGCGCGCTGCTCAGGCAGCGCGCGATCCGTGGATGCCGTCTGCGTCGGAGATCGCAGGCCGAGTGGGCAACACTGTGCCTCCAAACGAAATTCCGCTGTACGTATGCAGCGGTATCCACGACGATGTTGTTGCGGAGGAGCAGTACTTTCATCCGTTAACAAATCAAAGGCGCGATTATTACATCGGGCTCTTCCACGAGTTCCGATACTTCTCCAGCAAGAAGACCTATTCTCGCAGCAAAGTGCCTGAGTGGCAGGCACTTTGTCAAAGTTGGAATGCTTTTGTTGAGAACTTCAACAAGAAACCGGCTGCTTATCGCGAGCGGGTTAAGCATGCCCGTGAGCGCTTCGAGACATTCTCGACGCGTGGGCGGCTGGAGCAGCTCCACAGATCCTCTGGGACGCTAGTATTCCGTGCTCTGTGCCCGAAGGCCATCAGTGCACGTTGTGTCTTCCGGGTGCGGTGCGCTTGAGCGACCGCGACCTAAACGGGTACACGACTATTCGTGTACCTGCGAGTCTCAAGGATCTCCGTGCCAAGTTCTTGGCACGCGAGGAACGCGACGATCGTGGGACTTCGGGCGCTGTAGGTGACCACAGCGCTCGCACTACCTTCGCGTCGGCAGTGCGTGATGAGCTTCGTACGCCCTCACCATTTCCGGAACGTCCTGCAGCAGGACGTCCCGCGGCTCCCATGTATCTTGGTGGGGCGGAAACCCTCTCCAACGAATACGATAACGAACCGGCTGCCGGTTCGTTTTCAGGATACTATAGTATACAATACGCTCAACAATCCAGCGTTTTGAGCCGCGGGCGTCGCGGATCGGAGGCGGCAGTGGTGGGAACACGCCCCGGGTATGGTCAACTTAGGGTTAACCTTGGCCCGACGCTCGAGGAGCGGGTCGCTGCTGTGGAACAGCATCAGAGCCGGGAGTTCGCCGCTCTGAAGCAGGAGGTGGCGATCCTGAGGGCTCAAGTCGCTCAGGGTTCGCAGACCGCGTCGGACATCTCTGTCGACGTGGGAGGTCGCGTCGAACGCTTGGCCCAGCGCGTTCACGCGCTGGAGCAGAGGTTCGCTCCCGCTGGGGCTTCCGCTTCGGGCCAGCCGAGCTAGGTGGCTCGTGCTGCCGGTATGGCTTCAGCCGCCCGACGTAAAAGGTCGGATGGAGGCGCATGCTAGATGGAATATCTAGCGTGTAGGCGTTGCCATGCCGTGTCAACACCGTGAACGGCCCGATGAAGCGCGGAGCGAGCTTGCTCGCCCCGAAGTCGGGAACTGCATGTTTAGGCAGGTTTTGAGTTGCTAACAAAACCAATGAACCCTTCTTGAATTCATTAGTGTTGCCTCTACCAACATTGTCTGCGTTCAGCTTCTGTCGGTCGACAGAAGCTGCGATAGCGTCTTGGCCAAATCGAATGATGGCTTGTCTGCGCTGCACGAAGTTGATTGCGTTCGAGCTGAACGAGTTCAGCTCGTTTCTAGCAGTAGACCCGGCCTCTGCGTTCGTCTTCGCGGTGTCTGTGCCCTGCACAGACACGTTCTTCTTCTTCTTCTTGCTCTTGCCGACGTCTGTGCAGCGCACAGACGCGTGCTTCTTCTTCTTCTTCTTGTGCGTAGTCGCGGCTGACACTGTGCAAGTGTCAGCGGCCTTCTGTGGCTGCTGCGTTGCAGTCGTAGATCCTCCCCCGCTTAAGGAAGGAGCCGCCATCCCGAGTAGACTCGGGAGGCGTGGGTGCCTGATGGCGTTCATGTAGAACGGCGTATGCCCGGTCGAGGCATGCACTGAGTTGTTGATGGCGAACTCCGCCATCGGCAGGCACTCGCTCCAGTGTTAAAAGGAGTGAGCGTAGCTCTTAAGCACGTCTACGAGCATGCGGTTCACGCGCTCGGTCTGCCCGTCCGTCTGCGGATGGTCCGCAGTCTACATCGAAAGTTGACTCCCAAGAAGTGTAAATACTTCTTGCCAAAGGTGTGCAGTGAAGGGCGGGTCTCGATCCGACACAATTTCGATCGGCATGCCATGGTGTTTGAACACCATGTCAACGAACAGATGCGCCGTCTGTTTCGCAGTCACTTCATCGGGTACCGCAGCAAGATGTACCATCTTGCTGAAGCGGTCAACAAAGACCCCAACGCCCGTGTTCCCCTGGCTGTCCGGGGGAAGACCGAACACGAAGTCCAACGACATGGACTGCCAACACTCCCGTGGAGTTGGTAGTGACTGCAAGGGAGCCTGCGCGAAAGGCGCAGGCTTCACACGTTGACAAATCTCGCAAGCACGGACGTACTTGCGCACCCATTTGTACTGGTGGGCCCAGTAGAAGTCTCGCGTGAGAAGAAGGTATGTCTTCTCACGGCCCGGATGCCCCGCAGTCGGTGCATCGTGATACTTGTACATGATCCTGAGTCGCAGGTCATGGTCATTGGGCACGACAACACGGTCCGCGTTGTCGTCGACTGCACTGTAGAGTAATAACCCGTCGTGCACCCGATAACGGTGTGCACGAGCACGAAGATGCTTCGGCAGCTTCTGACGGGCTTTGTCAGAAGGCGCTGAGCCGTAGGCCAGCAAGAGCTTCGCGTCCGCGTCGTGCGCGTACGCGACCTTCACGTCGTCAAACAGTGACGACGTCGGGGTGCTCGATGGCATGGCGTCAATCGCATTGACGTCGGCATCAGTCGTGGCGTAGTCAGGTCGACGCGAGAGCGCGTCGGCCACCACATTGAGTCTTCCGGGTTTGTACTCAACCCAGAAGTAATACTCTGCGAATAATGAGAGCCATCTCGCCATCCGTTGCGAGATGTGCGGCGACTTCACAGCCGTCCGCAGCGACGCGTGGTCCGTGTAGACCACGAACGGTTTGCTTCCGAGTAGATACACTCGGAACTTCGCGAGTGCGTACTTCACGGTAAGGAGTTCCTTGTCATACACCGGGTGGTTGCGCTCAGCTGGCTTCAATTGACGCGATTGGTAGTAGACGACACGATCACGATCCTCGTGATCGTGCTGTATTAACGCGCATCCGATTGCGAAGTCAGATGCGTCGCACACAACGTGGAACGGGCGATCTTGGTCGGCCACCGCCAAGATCGGCGCCTCAGTCAAGCCCTGCTTGACTGCATCGAAGGCCTGCTGACACTCAGCAGTCCAAACCCACTCGGCGTCCTTTTTCAGGAGCTGTGACAGCGGGCGTATCGTGCCCGCGTAGTCCTTCACGTACTTGCACAAGTACGTGACCAAGCCAAGGAACTGGCGCAGTTCCTTGACGTTCGACGGCGTCGGCCACTCATTGATCACTCTGACCTTCTCAGGGTCATGGCGGACACCGTTTTTTCCAACGAGACACCCGAGCACGGGTATCTCGCTCGCCCCGAAGATGCACTTCTTCAGGTTCGCATAGCGCTTGTGCTTGCGCATGAGCGCAAGCAGCTTCCGGAGATGCACCTTGTGCATCTCAACATCGCTCATCCCGTCCGCAGCCCGGCTGTGGACGAACACATCGTCGAAGTAGCTCGGTGCGAAGTCGCGCACCGAGCGCAATAAGTGCGTCACGCACCTGTTGAAGGTCGCAGGGGCGTTCTTCAGACCGTGCGGCATCACTAGCCACTCCCAGAGCATGCCGCTCGGCGTGCCCACAGCCGTGAGAGGGATATCGCTCTCACGCATGAGGATCTGATAGAACCCATCGCGCAGATCAAGAGCACTGTAGATAGTGCTCCTGGCCATCGAATCGATGATGACATCTTTTCGCGGTATCGGTGTCTATGCCGGTATCGTCGCATCGTTCAACTTGTTGTATGCATGAACGATGCGCCAGCCGCCCTGTGGCTTCTTGACACAGAACGTTGGAGCACTGTGCGGGGATTTCGATTCCCGCACTTGTCCAGCTTTGCGACGACTCTCAAAGAAGTCGTCGATCGCCTTGACCTGCTCTCGCGGCAGTGACCACTGCCGCGTGGCACAGTACTTCGTGCCCGGCACGAGATCAATCTCGTGCTGTATGCCCTTGTCCAGCGGAAAATCCGCAGGGATCTCTTCAGGAAGCACGTCCGCGTACTCCCGTAAGATCTCGTAGTAGGGACTCTTTTTTTGCCCCCGGTCTTCGAACCGCTGCGAGGCTTGCTGCCAGGACCCGTGAGATCCAGAATTTCAGGACGACTGGACGACCTAGACCCTGAGGACGGAGGCATTCACGTGCTCTTCTCTGGGTACGGGGGCACCACAGCCTTGCGCTTGTCCATGGCCGTGACGTTGACGACCGTGTCCCAGGATTCAGGAGGCTTCGAGCCCTTGATGCAGAACTTGAAGGGGTCGTGGAGACGCTCCCAATTGCCCGTGAATTCAGTGTGTTCCTGCAGGAAGTCAGAGAACTTCCAGGGATCCACAGCAGCAGACTCGAGTCGCGATTTCAGGATCCGCACCTGAGCCTCAGAGTCCGCCAGGCGCGCCTTGAGCTGCGCCTTCTCGGATTCCAGGGAATCAATCTCGTCCTGGTATCGCGCCTTCTGCCCCTGCAATGCAGCCTTCTGCTCGTCCCCGGCGGAATCCGCCTTGCTGAGGACCTCTTGGACCTCCAGAAACCAGTAGTCGCACGTGAATTTCCAGGAGCGCTTCAACTCCTTGTACTTGCGCCGCGTGTCGACCGTGTCTTGGACAGCGGAGCACCCTGTTGGGAATCGGCCAGGGAACGCATGTGCCTATAGGCTTCAAGAACGCGACGCAGTTAACCAGTCATCTTGAACACGCGTTCAGCGAGCCTTGTGCTGTTGAAATGACGCAGGAGTGAAGCCATCTCGCGTCGAATACCGATGAAATTCAGGGTGTTGTCCAGCTCGAATGCCGAAAGAGGCGAACGACGTGGACATAGGACATCGATCCCAGCGTCGGCGCCACAGACTTCCTTCAACCCCTGAAGATACTCGTCGGAGAGCTCCTAGAATCTGACCAGCGTAGTCGCGCCGCCGTAGCCTTCCGTGGCAAACGCGCCCGCGCGAATGTCGTTCACGACCCCAGGGACTCCCACGAGATACGCGTTGGTCTTGTGATTCGGCGGAGCCGGCAGCTTCCAGTGCGGTGGGCGTTCAGGGACCAAGAAGCTAGGGAGGTCGACCTCCTCTTGCCGAAGCACGCCCGCGAAGATGAGCCCCTTGATGTCCTCCAGCGTGGCGTGGCGTGGCGTCTTGAACTCAGGGGCGCCCTCCATGTTCACATCCGAAGCCGCGCCTGCGTCTGGAGCCTTGGACTCTGAGTTCGCGTCACCAGTTTCCTGGGTTGCAGCGTCAGCCGAGGCGTTACTATCGGCCTCGCGCATGTCCGCGTCAGAGGTCTTGCCGTGGCCGCTGGAGAAAGAGACGCACAGAGAGCACCGAGAAGTGATTTATCCGGGATGAATCCAGAGCCTGATCGCAGATGGGCCCAACTGGCTGGAAGTGTGAATCCTGGGAGTGCACACCCAGAATTTCAGAGAACACTCCGTCCAGCCGCGGACGTTCCCTTACGATGAGTGCCTAAAGTCTGGCGGAAAGTGTCTCTGGCGAATGTATCCCAGAACACAACTCATCTTGCTGTGGCTCAGAGTGCCCCAGAGGATCAAATTACCCTGAGAATCAACCCACTACCACCATGATCATGCGCAGGAGGCCGCTAAACCCGCTAAAAGTGTGGCTTTATGGAGATACACGCGAGCCTGCAATGTAGCAGACTTGTTACCTAGAGTGCCGCACGGAAACCCAGAGTGCCGCACGATGACACAGAGTTCACCACCCTGAGTGCAGGTGACCCAGAGTTCCAAGATGATTCTCTGGGTTTGGACCATAAATCCAGACTCTCTAGACTGAACTTAAGTGTTTCCCAAGCCAACACCCAAGCATGCCCGAGTAGCAGCCCTCCGACAAGCCCAGCGGTGCCACCCAAAGCCGCACCCGTGCCAGCGCCCATACCACCACCTCCTCCTCCTCCGCCGTCTCTGCTTTGGCCGTAGTATCGGCCATAGGCCGGCGTGGCCGCAGCGTAGCCCGGCTCGGTCGGCGCGCTAGGATACGTCGTCGATGCAGTCCCGTAGGGCGGGCTGGAGGCGCCGCCCGTGACGGGGGTCGCGACTGGGATGGCCATGTCCGCGCCTCCTCCTTGGTATTTCGACTGCTTGGACGCCATGAAGCAGCAGCCGCAGCAACAGAGCAGCAGCGCCAGCGACCCGAGCAGCCACCAGAGCCACGTTAGATCGTAGCCGCCGTCGCGGGACGGGTCCGAGCTGACCGCGTACCCGCAGTTGCAGGCGTAGTTGGAGACCTTGCAGACGGCGTCGTCCGGGCAGCAGCACGGGCGTCGGTTGGTCTCGCGGTCCAGCCAGTTACCGCAGAATTGGCCGGGCTCGCCGCGGTACGCTCGGGAGCAGTCCCCCGTGGACGCGCACACCTCGCAGCCCGACTTGGTGCCGCTGCTCTGCGCCAAGGAGACCGCAGCCAGCAGCGCTGCGGCCAGCAGCAACACGAGGCGATGCATTGCTCAGCACAAAATAGCCAAAGGGGGCCGAAGTCTTCATCGTTCTCGATCACTTTTCGCAGCATAACGAGAGACCCCCGTCCCAGGCATTTGGTAGCCTAACAGCACGTTGAAAGGCGGCAATTGACTCACTTACAAGCTAACAATCCTAGTCATCGTGATGCAGCTTTGAGGTGCTGGTGGCAATGCAGCAATGAGGCGCATGGGACCAACTAATTGTCCACTGCTGTGGCGGGACCGGTGGACAGTAGGGAGAGCGCCGGAAGCGCGCCAAGGCAGGTTGAATTTGCTGGCGACGGAGACAGCCCATGAGGCCACCGAGGTTTGAATTTTTGCGCGGAAGAGAGCCCGCGGCCCGGAGGCTTCGCGCCATTTTCCTGGCCAATTTGAACGGGGCGATGGGCCCAGATCAGGCGTCGCCCCCTCGAGCTGCGGACGCGGCGGGCCCCGGGACATGAAGGCGGCGGTGCTGTACCTCAGTGGCGGGCCTCGACGGCGGGCGGCCAGCGGCGCTCCTGGCGGCTTTGCCCGGCGAAAGATCGGGCCCGAAGCTTGCTTAGCTTGTCAGGGCGCCGAGAGGCTCAAGACGAGTGCAACCGCGCGACCGATTCGACACTCGGGCGGCGAGCGAGGATATTTTAGCGAGCAGCAAGCCCAGCCTGGCTGCCGCCGGCGGGCCCTGCCTGTGCTCGGCGGCGATGGCGCAGGTTGCCCGCCGCCGCCGGCCGGATGACCCGAGGCGGGCTGGCGGGCTCGCTCTCTGGCTGGAATTTTGGTGAAGCACTTCCACGCAAACAGACAGCTCGCTTGAGGCGTGCGTGCGCAACAGAAAGGGGCTCCGGGCGCCGGACTCCGGGGCTCCGACCGACGAGCGGCGGCGGCGACGGTGGTGGTGATGGCGATGACCAAAGGCGCTGGCAAGCCTCAGGCAGCGGCAGCGCACGCCATTGCCTGCTCTCTAGGGGCAAGATCTCGTTGAAGTGGTTGCGGTCAGTCAAGCGAGGGGAAACCCGCTGGCCGCTGGGACACGCGGGCCACTGGAGCAAGGCGGTTGAAGCGGAGCCTGCGCTGGCAGGCATCGACCGGAGACGGAGCCCTCTCATCCGCCTTCGTCTCCGTCTCGCTGCTGCTGCGGGCGTCCATGCGCCCAGGCTGTGATGGCTTGTTGTTGTGCGGGAGACGAGGCCGGGCAGCAGCAGTCCGCGCTGCGCTGGACGAGCAGGGCAGAGCTCGCAGAGTCTGCGCCGGCAGACTGCCGGCGGCAGTGCCGCCGCTGCAGCTGCAGAGTTGCAGGCGAGTTGCCATCTATCAGACCGCCGCGGATCATCTGAGCCTACCACACGTATCGCAGCGTGGGCCCTCTTCTGAGCTGAGCCTCGGGACGGAGGCTCCATGCTGCTTTGCCTGCCTGCGCCACAGAAGCTGACAGCCTTGATGCAGGGCAGGCCTCTGTCCTACCGGGCGACTGCGCCAGCTGGGCACTGGTGCCTGTTCACGACGTTTCGACTGAAGTTGAAGTTGGTGGTCCGACTATGTCACCGAATGACGTGACGACAGGTGCAGCAATCGTTCCGTACACTACCCATCCGATGATTACTCGGTCGCGGGCTCGTCACATTGAAGAGACCAATGATCCTGAGGAACCCGGAGCTCGCAAGAAGCAAGTCGTTGCGCCATCCGAGATCAGGACGAAGCGTCAGAAGGTGGACCAAGGTCGCGCCAAGTCGGACGACAACCAGCTTGCCATCCACGGAGGTACGCTGATGACTGCAACGGAGGAGGTGCCAAGGTCGTATCAAGAGGCGATTACGAGTGAGGATCGTGTCCAACGGAAGGCAGCGATTGCAAGTGTGCTCAAGTCGCTGATGACGAACAAGACATGGAAGTTGGTGCCCAAGTCCAAACACCAGCGCGCGATTGGCTGCCGCTGGGTGTTCGCGTTGAAGCGCGATGAGACGGGGAGAGTCGTTCGGTACAACGCTCGTCTAGGGGTACTCGCAGCGACATGGGATCGACTATGAGGAGACCAACTCGCCGGTGGTGTACCTGAACTCTATCCGTGCGAAACTCGCGAAGTGCTGCGCCGACGGAATGGAGATTGACCAGTGTGACATCGACACTGCTTTGCTGTGAAGAGGAGATCTACATGGTGTTGCCTGAAGGACTTCGAGGACTCCTTGATTTGGCTGGAGCTCAAGGTGAAGATGACGTCGTCTGCCTGCTACTACAGAGTTTGTATGGACTCAAGCAAGCGTCTCGCGTATGGAACGGGACGATCGACGCGCATCTCAAGAGCATGGGATTTCAAGCTGCCGATGCCGACCCGTGTGTCTACACGAGGTGTGATGATGACGATGAGTGCATTGTGTGTCTCTACGTCGACGACATGCCGATTGCATCTCGCCAGCGGACTATCATTGACTCGGTCAAGGCAGGCATCGCGGACAAGTTTCGCATCAAGGACCTCGAACGCGCTCGATTCATCCTTGGCATTGAGATTGACTACGACATGGAGGCTAAGACGCTGGGCATCTGCCAACGGGCGTACACCGCGTCGATCATCAAGAAGTTTGGGCAGGAGAATGCGAAGCCGTGTCTGACTCCACTCGACCCAAGTGTGCAGTTGACCAAGGCGGACGAACCCCAAACCGAGGAGGACAAGGCCAAGATGGAGTCAAAGCCGTATCGCTCTCTTGCGGGAAGTCTCATGTACCTGGCGTGTGGAACTCGACCGGACATTTCAGCTACAGTGACCAAGCTGAGCCGTTTTCTGGAGAACCCCGGTGAGAAGCACTGGGATGCTGGTATCCGTGCGGTACGGTACCTGTTGAAGACCAAGAATCTCGGAATCGTCTACGATGGATTGCTTAGCACGGAGCTCGTCGCGTATTGGGACGCCGACTGGGCTGGTAACCGCGACGACAGACGCTCTGTAAGCGGAATGATGTTGATGATGTGTGGTGCTCCCGTGGTTTGGCGCTCGACTTTCCAGAAGACAGTCGCGCTGAGTTCGACTGAAGCGGAGTACATGGCTCTCAGAATGTGTGAAGGAGGTGACTTCTGCTCAAGGATTTGGGCGCGGAGCAGGATGGATCTACGGTGATCTACGAGGACAACCAAGGTGCCATGGCGTTGGCGAAGAATGTCGGCTACCAAGCTCGCACCAAGCACATCGACATCCGCTACCACTTCATCCGCGAGAAGATCACGAGTGGCATTGTGGAACTGGACTACATTGAGTCCAAGAACCAGCTCGCTGATTTCCTGACCAAGGGGCTCTCGACGAAGACTCTTCGCTATCTGCTCGAGCGCAGTAACATCACTGAGATGCTTGGGTAGACAGCGAATTGAGTGGGGGTGTTGCGATTGTACACTTTGCAGTCTAGTTGTGGGTCTCCGCATCGAGGCACGTGCTTGCTGTGAAGTTGTTGCCGATGGTAGGCAATTGTGGTACACGTAGTGGAATAATGGGATCTGATTGTCGGAGCCCCAAGATTTGGCACTTCTGATTGGCTGAGAGAAAGGCTAGTTGAAGTTACCTTTCTGGATACGATCTGCAACATTTACTTTTTGATCCCCAGCCTCTAATACTTAGAAGTAGGAAGTGTGCGTTGGTACGATTCATGTTTAAGCATAGGAGACTAGGATATGAGAGTTAGTTTGGCCTAACTCATTCTAAATCACTTTCGGATTTCCTTCCTAACCAACACTCGACTACCAAGCCTCGCCCGCATAATCTCAAGTCTGAAGACAACCTAGAGGCTGTAGCTCAAGTTTGATATGCTAACCTGAACGTCTTCACCGCCCTGAATCCCCAAAAAATAATCTCCGGCATTTGATACACTTTGTTTGGCCTTAAAAGCGTTGGATTGTCTCCTTGACGCAAGTACGAGCTGACCGCATTCAATCTCCTAAAGAAACGATAGTTGAGTTGCTGCGAGGGAAACATCAAGAGTAGCAGAACGACAATTCAGTTGCGAATAAAGTATATCTGCAAAGCATCAAGAATTATTGCGATTCCAGTCAGTATCAGCGGCAAATGCAACTTGAACAAGGTTTTATTTAGTCGCCTGCGAGCTAACAACACGATTATCAGCTCGGCTGTGCCAAAATGACAAAACAGATCTTTGCGGTAAGCTGCGCCCGTTGCAGTATCAATGTCTCTCACTCTACCTTCACGTGCAGACGGTGTCGGGTGCGGTGATGCACTGTAGACTCAGCTGGAGCGCCTTGGAGCTTCAGATATGCCACTGGCGGGCTGGTCGACGACTGTGGCAGGTTCAAAACCGGTCGCAAGGGAGATTGCGCCAAGCTGGTTAACCCCACTTAGATTTGTCCTAGGAGATAGGACCAAATCGTGTTTTGGTGTGAGACACACCGGCCGTTTTTGTCCTAGGGAGCCCGAAAAAGGACCAAAATGACTTGATATTTGTATGGGGTGTTTTTGACCCCCCAAAGGTGTGTCTTATAAGGCGCATCGGGCAGGGAAATCGGCGCTAAAGATAGCTCCAGCTGAGACCATACTGAAATCAAGTCAAAATTGTCCTAGGCTAGGACAAATCGGCAAAATTCGATGTTACAAGAGACAAGTTTTCAACGGCTTATATCTCGAGAAGGACGATGGAGGACGCTAAACCGATAAGACCACCAGGACAGCTAGGACGGGGGATTGTGCCCATGTAGTCACATGATCCTATTTGTTTCTAGTTATACGGAGCGAGGCGCCTAACTTTTGGTCCCTCCATTTGTCCTACGGACTGGGCTAAGTGAGGTTAAGCGGCAGTCATGCGAGCTAGCAGCAAGATTGGAAGCTCAGGGACAGCAGCGCGTACTTCGATTAGCAATTGATCGGGGTGCGGCAGCAGTCCAGCGACCTTAGGAACTGCTCGATAGACAAAAGTGCGTCAACAGACCACAAAAGCGCGGAGGAATGGCGCTACAGTGGAGGGGTCGGCCATTTCCAGCCGGGCATCAAATTTATTGTTTAACCGGATTGCAGGCATTCAGCATGTATTGCTGCGACAGTTCTCACATTGTTTTAAAAGCCTCGTCGAATATGCCCACTAAGCAAGCTTACCATGAATTCTATCTGCATCTAGCAAACTGTTGCTGTCGATGAAATTGCCTATAATAACGTTAGATCGATTTTAGTAGATAACCCAGATAGTGAGTTGTACTGCATCCAACTAAAAGCGGGATAATATTTATCGTACCCCCCCCCCCACCAGGCCGGCAAGCCCACCGAACGATTGAAAGGTACACTTCACTATCCTCCAAAGCACTGTGACCCCTACCTCACCTTCTATTGAATTCATGAATCGCCACGGCATACTTCTTCTGCAACTTCGCTCTATACATCGGCACTAACCAAAGCTTGCTGCAGCTACGAAGCTCGTTGGCCTGCTGCCACCATGAAGGAAGGACACGGACGGCTTTATACTCGTCGTCCACAAAAGCAAGATGAAGGTTTGGTTCGTACCATATCCAGGTGCTTTATTTAAATTGTTGATACCTAGGTCCAAAACGCTCGCTTCAGCGCCAGACGATCGACGAGCCCCAATACTGCATTCGACACTCCCAACGTGCTCAAGGGCGAGTTTGGAAGCTCGACATCTTCGTATCTTTCGTCTTCTTTCGGCATCGTTGCAGGAATAACTTCTCCACCAAGGTTCAGCAGCTAAGCATTATACAGTACAAGCGCCGATTTTATCATAGACACGATCCAAGCACCACTTGTTTGGCTGCAAATTGCAGTTGCAGTGCGAGCTGCTCAAGTCGCTGCACCTTTCGCCAAAGCATTACGCCGAGCCCGCCCAAAAGGCGCTTTCAGATCGCGGTAGCGGCGTGATCCTCCGTCTGCGGGCGGCATGTTTTTGATCGCGCCGCTGTCCCAACTTGATTCACGCGGGTGCACGGCAACTCTCCCACGATCAGCTTGCACTGCGAGCCGCAGCACTCCGCCCGCCGGAGCCGTTGCCGCATGAATCTCACTCGTAGGAAGGCCTCGGTCTTCTTCCAATATTTGAGAGCAGTTACTCGACACCTTCCTCTGGTTAGCCGCGTCGGAGCAAATTTCATACTGCCAGCTCCAGCTCCGATTCAATGTCGATCTCCTTTGCCGGCGCCAAGTGGCGGTGGTTGCAGTGCATGATGCGCACTGTGCATCTCATACATATACCTCGTGATAATCGATGATCATACATTACAAGTCCTTCTTATCTTGATATCTAACATTTAATGGCGAATGTTAAGGTTGATGAAAACCATACAAGTGTGTTTCTGATTCCAATTTTGCCAGTCAGGAATAGATGAAATCATGAATATACGATATAACAGGCCCGTTGCATGCTGCAGAGACATGCGAACTTCAACTATGAATCAATGCCGGGCTCACCATTCCTTCATCTACCTCGCAGCGCGTAGGTGCAGCAAGATCTGCTCTGCTACAACATAATAGCCATGACAGTTCTCCCCAGCAATACCCCCGGCACCGAAGAGATCCCTCCATTGGCAGAGCTGCGCAGGCTCAAGTCCCAGGCGCAAAATGGCGAGCGTCGGGGTCAGCTCCGCCGCGAGCAGCGTGAGGCTGCCAAGAAGGCAGACAACAAGGACAAGCAGCCGGACCCAGAGCCAAAACAGTCGGAGAAGAGCAAGTCCAAGCGCAAGACCAAGCGCGGCTTCTTCAAGTGGCTGTTCGAGCCGGCGGTGGCCACGAGCCGCAAGGTGGCGCCCCCGCCGCCGCCGCGAGTGCGCGTCAAGATCCCCATTGTCTACCGGAACGGCGAGCACAAGGGCGTTCTTGTTGGAGGCCTGCGGGTGCCCTTCTCCCGCTCCATGCAGTCCAACCGCCGAGCGCTGCTGCTGGCCCAGGACGACGTGAGCTGTGGCATCCCGGAGGACACGGAGCTGGTGCTCGACTTCCCTGACAGACTGGAGTCGGAAGCGTACGAGGCCGAGCAGCAGAGGAAACAGGAAGAGAAGAAGAGGCTGAAGCAGGAGAAGCTGGCGAGAGAGCTGGCCAAGTGAGTGAGTGAGTTAGTGCTCTTGGATATTTAAACTCAACTGAGAAGTGTGAGTTCTGGATCGTGCAGTCAGAAATCTCCAGCGAAAGTTCCACCACCACCACCACCACCACCACCTCCACCATCAAAGCCGCCACCTCCTCCGTCGAAGCCTCCAGCATCACCGTCATGTCCACCGTGATCGGCGAGCGAGTGCCCGAGTAGCAGCCCTCCGACAAGCCCAGCGGTGCCACCCAAAGCCGCACCCGTGCCAGCGCCCATACCACCACCTCCTCCTCCTCCGCCGTCTCTGCTTTGGCCGTAGTATCGGCCATAGGCCGGCGTGGCCGCAGCGTAGCCCGGCTCGGTCGGCGCGCTAGGATACGTCGTCGATGCAGTCCCGTAGGGCGGGCTGGAGGCGCCGCCCGTGACGGGGGTCGCGACTGGGATGGCCATGTCCGCGCCTCCTCCTTGGTATTTCGACTGCTTGGACGCCATGAAGCAGCAGCCGCAGCAACAGAGCAGCAGCGCCAGCGACCCGAGCAGCCACCAGAGCCACGTTAGATCGTAGCCGCCGTCGCGGGACGGGTCCGAGCTGACCGCGTACCCGCAGTTGCAGGCGTAGTTGGAGACCTTGCAGACGGCGTCGTCCGGGCAGCAGCACGGGCGTCGGTTGGTCTCGCGGTCCAGCCAGTTACCGCAGAATTGGCCGGGCTCGCCGCGGTACGCTCGGGAGCAGTCCCCCGTGGACGCGCACACCTCGCAGCCCGACTTGGTGCCGCTGCTCTGCGCCAAGGAGACCGCAGCCAGCAGCGCTGCGGCCAGCAGCAACACGAGGCGATGCATTGCTCAGCACAAAATAGCCAAAGGGGGCCGAAGTCTTCATCGTTCTCCATCACTTTTCGCAGCATAACGAGAGACCCCCGTCCCAGGCATTTGGTAGCCTAACAGCACGTTGAAAGGCGGCAATTGACTCACTTACAAGCTAACAATCCTAGTCATCGTGATGCAGCTTTGAGGTGCTGGTGGCAATGCAGCAATGAGGCGCATGGGGCCAACTAATTGTCCACTGCTGTGGCGGGACCGGTGGACAGTAGGGAGAGCGCCGGAAGCGCGCCAAGGCAGGTTGAATTTGCTGGCGACGGAGACAGCCCATGAGGCCACCGAGGTTTGAATTTTTGCGCGGAAGAGAGCCCGCGGCCCGGAGGCTTCGCGCCATTTTCCTGGCCAATTTGAACGGGGCGATGGGCCCAGATCAGGCGTCGCCCCCTCGAGCTGCGGACGCGGCGGGCCCCGGGACATGAAGGCGGCGGTGCTGTACCTCAGTGGCGGGCCTCGACGGCGGGCGGCCAGCGGCGCTCCTGGCGGCTTTGCCCGGCGAAAGATCGGGCCCGAAGCTTGCTTAGCTTGTCAGGGCGCCGAGAGGCTCAAGACGAGTGCAACCGCGCGACCGATTCGACACTCGGGCGGCGAGCGAGGATATTTTAGCGAGCAGCAAGCCCAGCCTGGCTGCCGCCGGCGGGCCCTGCCTGTGCTCGGCGGCGATGGCGCAGGTTGCCCGCCGCCGCCGGCCGGATGACCCGAGGCGGGCTGGCGGGCTCGCTCTCTGGCTGGAATTTTGGTGAAGCACTTCCACGCAAACAGACAGCTCGCTTGAGGCGTGCGTGCGCAACAGAAAGGGGCTCCGGGCGCCGGACTCCGGGGCTCCGACCGACGAGCGGCGGCGGCGACGGTGGTGGTGATGGCGATGACCAAAGGCGCTGGCAAGCCTCAGGCAGCGGCAGCGCACGCCATTGCCTGCTCTCTAGGGGCAAGATCTCGTTGAAGTGGTTGCGGTCAGTCAAGCGAGGGGAAACCCGCTGGCCGCTGGGACACGCGGGCCACTGGAGCAAGGCGGTTGAAGCGGAGCCTGCGCTGGCAGGCATCGACCGGAGACGGAGCCCTCTCATCCGCCTTCGTCTCCGTCTCGCTGCTGCTGCGGGCGTCCATGCGCCCAGGCTGTGATGGCTTGTTGTTGTGCGGGAGACGAGGCCGGGCAGCAGCAGTCCGCGCTGCGCTGGACGAGCAGGGCAGAGCTCGCAGAGTCTGCGCCGGCAGACTGCCGGCGGCAGTGCCGCCGCTGCAGCTGCAGAGTTGCAGGCGAGTTGCCATCTATCAGACCGCCGCGGATCATCTGAGCCTACCACACGTATCGCAGCGTGGGCCCTCTTCTGAGCTGAGCCTCGGGACGGAGGCTCCATGCTGCTTTGCCTGCCTGCGCCACAGAAGCTGACAGCAGGCCTCTGTCCTGCCGGGCGACTGCGCCTCCATGCCCGCTAGATCTGCTGGGCGGCTCTTGCTGCTGATACCGCAAAAAACACCCCAATGCAAATCGTGTTTATTTTATCATGGCCATACTTTGGCCCAGTCTGGCAGCTGGGCGGGGACGGAGGTCACCCACGCCAAATCTCCAAAGTTCCACGAGTGCTCTAGGAAACGGAACGGCCTGAAGGCTGCACGAAATATCATTAAGTGAAGTTGGTCTCGTTGGAAAGCTAAAGGGCAAGGCTAGCTCTCCGATGAGCCCAGGCTTGCCTATAGTTAAGGGAGAGCCAGGTTCGGTAGGGGCGATTTTGTGAAATCCTGGAAATCGCTTTCACCTGCCCCCCTCCTCCGGCTGGTAACTCTAACCCGCATTGAGACACATAGATAACCATACAACTCACACAGTTCGTGATACCGCAAAACACACTTAGCGCTACAGTCTTGCGGTATCAGCAGAACTTCTCCTGCTGGGCGCGCCGCGGTCCATTAGGCGAGCCGGCTCGGACTCATCGCTCCGCCCTGATCATCCGCACGCACGCCACCGCTCCTATACGATGGGGCGATGACCGGCACTGGATTGTTTGATTGTGGCCGGCGCGCGCAGCCGGGCCCGCCGCGCGACAGAATGTGCCACATAGGAGACTGTGAGTCAAACAAGCAGCGTTCGCTCGCTCGCTCGATCTTCTAGCAGCCTCGGTAGCATTGCGAGCGTCCCAAATGCTGAACATCTTGGCCTTCGATGGAGGTGGCGGGCCGATTCGGAGGGAGGGCGAGCTCACACAGCCGAGTACGAGTTCTATTTGATCGTTACTGCGCATTGCAGCGGCCGCAGAGCCACGCCGCTGTAAAGTCTATTGGAAAATGCCGGTCCCAAAAGATCGGGGGTTGCCGCCGCGCGCGCTTCTTGACTATTATCGGTTGATTACAGGATCCATACGACAGCCTCTCGGATGAGCGCGCCGTGCAGGGCTTTCCGTTCCCAAGACGCGCCGCGACATCTTAGCCGCTTGCTTGACTAGGAGCCAACCTGCTGGCAGATGCCATTTTGCTTGCTTTCTACGGGATCGCGCCGCAGGAATTGCAGTGAGTCTCTGCGTCGAGGTCTTTGTGGGGCCCGGAAGCTCACAAGATAACTTTGCGCGCTGGTGACGGCGGGCCAGCAGCTCGCTACTGGGATCTTGGCACAGACAGCCTACCCACACGTTGTGGCAGTTGAAGCAATCTCAGTGTGCGCCTTCTGGCAGTCGGAGGAGAGAGTGGGAGCGCGAGGTACCTACTGATTCAGAGAACGGGCCGCGTGCCAGAGCCGGGCTTCGATGGTGTGCCCGAGACGGGCACGGGCCCCGGTCCGCCTCGTCTGTCTCTAACGGAGTGCCTGTCGGCGCGGCCGAACGACAGCCGCTGCGGCCGCGGGGTTGTCATTCCGCAAGTTGCTGGCAACTCGACACACAGCCCTCCCCGGTCGTGGCATTGCACTGTGCACTGCCCACCGCATTACAGCAGTCCATCAGGCCCGTTAAACCCAGCCAGCCCAGCCAGCCACAGAGAGCAATGAGCGCCGAGACGCGGAGCCCCAGCGCGTCGCCCAGCAGCGACGACAGCGCGTCCCCCAACGCCAACAGCAGCAGCAGCAAGAACGCGACGGCCGACGGCAAGCCCAAGAAGTGCCGCTTCAACGACTGCGACAACCTCGCGGTGGACGGCACGAGCAAGTGCGCGTTCCACAAGAACCGGCGCCAGTGCTGCGTCGAGAACTGCACCAACCAGGTCTACGCGCGCAAGCTGTGCGTGCGCCACGGCGGCAAGAAGCAGTGCCAGGCCGACAACTGCGAGGCGCACGCGCGCGGCGGCGGCTTCTGCCTGCAGCACGGCGGCTTCGTGGTCAAGCGCTTCTGCATCGTCGAGGGCTGCTCCAAGCAGGCCCACGCGCGCCAGAAGTGCGTGCGCCACGGCGGCGGCCGCCGGTGCAAGGTGGACGGCTGCATGCAGCACGCGCGCGCCGGCGGCCTGTGCAACCGCCACTCGCACGGCCACGAGTGCCGCGTGGAAGGCTGCAACAAGACGGCGCAGCACTCGGGCTCCATCTGCTTCCGCCACGCCATGGAGCTGCGCGCGCACGGCGAGGAGGTGCCCGAGCTCAACATCTCCAAGGGCGGTCGCCTCAGCAGCAAGAAGCGCCAGCAGCAGCAGCGCGAGCAGCAGATGAAGCAGGAGCAGTTCCACCACCAGCAGATCCAGCAGCAGATCCACCAGCCACAGCCGCACATGCCGCAGCACCACCCGCACATGCAGCAGCACATGCCGCACGGGCACCACCAGCCTCACCAGCAGCAGCCGCAGCACGCGGCGCCGCCCCACCCGCTCACCATCCAGGTGCCGCAGAGCCAGCCCATGGGCCCGCCCCCGCAGCAGCAGCAGCAGCAGCCGTCCTCGGCCTCCAACCCCTTCGGCCTGCCGCTCAAGATCAACGTGCCCACGACCATGCCCAAGTTCAGCCTGCGCACGCCGCTCGGCAACAGCTTCCCGACGCCGCGCAGCCACGAGTTCAGCCTGCTCATGGGCCTCCCGTCCCCGCAGATCGACAACTCGCAGCTGCCCAGCGTGCTGGCCATGACCAACTCGGGCGCCAACGCCACGTCCAGCGGCCAGCGCACGCCCGGCATCGACAGCTTCCTGTCGAGCGGCCCGCCCAGCGTTTCGCGCGGCGGCAGCAACTACCTGTCGCTCGGACTGTTCCCCACGCCGCGGCTCGCGGACCGCACGCCCGGCGGCTCGGACGACGCCATGATGAGCGACTACATCAAGCTCATGGGCCCGGACACGCCCATGGCCTTCCACCCGAACGGCCAGTTCGGCTCGGCCCCGCTGCTCGAGAACATCGGCACCAACGTGTTCGACCAGAACAGCCAGAACCACCAGAACAGCGCCAACGGCGGCCGCAACCACATGGCCGCCATGGCCGCGGCCGCCGCCGTGCACGGCAACAGCAACGGCCAGCAGCGCATGAAGATGGACTTCCTGTCCCCGCGTGGCCTGGCGGCGCACAACTTCCAGAGCACCGGCTTCCCCACGTCCACGACGAGCGAGGGCATGAGCGCGGCGTCCTCGGGCGACTACGCGGCCCAGTTCTTCGCGGACAACAAGAACGACAAGGCGCGCGGCCCCATGAAGACGTCGAGCGTCTCGGTGGCCACGACGCCCACCCCCAAGCCCACGGGCGTGACCGCCGCGTAGGCTTGGAAGGACTCTCATCAATGTGTGATCAAGTGAGTGAGTGAGTGCTCGTGGAGTGAATTCATCTCCACGAACGCGCGTGTATGAATGAGCCCGACGGCTCTCCTCGGTCAAGTCAAGTGTCGACCAAGGACCTTGTGGCGTGTGTCAACTACCACCCAACCAACAGACTGCAGTGCGAATTGCAATCGGCAGAGAGAATTGCCTCCGACTCGACGGCGCATGCGGCGCCCTGAACCCCCTCGAGCGGTCGAAGCTCTTGCCATCCAGCCCCCTGATAGAAGCGCGTCCGCCGATTCCACGGACGCGCACAAAGTTTTGGCCCTACAGATAAAGTACGGATGAAAAAGTAAAGTAAAAGCTTGACGATTTTGCAGCTACAGAGTCCCGGTCTGGTCTGGTGTCGTGGTGGTGGTGGTGGTGGTGGTGGTGGTGGTGCTTCCTCCTGGTATGGGCCGGTGTCACGGAGCGGTGAGCGAAGGTATCTTCAGTTGAGGTTTTCGCCATGTCGACGGGGTGTAGAGGTCCTGGATGGATCTCTGATCTTTTCACACAACGGAACGACTGTCAACGCAGAGAGCCTCGTCACCTTCGTCCGGTTGAGATGGACACGAATGGGATCAACTGGCGAGAGCACGATTGTCGGATGAGTCTTCTTGAGGTCAACTGCGACGCGGTGATTGATTGACCTGACCGTCGTCAACCCGTTGGTTGGGACGCGGTGTCGTTGTTAAAAGTCGGCGAGCCGAGTTCTCTCTGGAAGCGATGCGCTTGGGCGGCGTGACGACGTTGCTGGTGTCTGTGCTGGCGCTGACCCTGACTCTGACGCTGACCTTCGGCTTGAGCCCCGGGGATATCGGCGATGTCACGACGCCGCCATCGGGTTGCGCGTTGTGTGCGAGCTCTGGTGACTGCTCTCACGCGTTTCGAGACGGCCCGGGCCAGTTCTGCGGTGTCTGGATGGACTGCTCGAGCCATGAGCTGCGGTGCTGCTGTCCGCTGAACGCGGTGTGCAAGTGTCCCCAGCCGACTACGTCTGCACGTGCGCGTATGTGGGCGCGATGCCGCCGTACCACAGCGAGAGCGACCTGATGAACCGCGTGCTGTGGATGTGGTGGGTCCTGGGCATGCTCGTGGTGGTCGCGGTGTGCGGGGGCTGCGGCTACTTTGCTGTCAGGTGCTTGGTAAGCAGCAGCAGCAGCAGCAGCGACGAGGGCTGCACGTTCGTCCCACCGGCGATGACGGTGCCACTGGTCTCGCCGACCCGTGAAGCTTTGTACGGCAGCACTGGACAATCGCCTACGGTGGCTTTCGCTCCAGAGGCCGAGAAAGCTGAAGCTGGTGCAGCTACAGGTGCTGCCGCTGCTGGGGTCTTAAGCAGCGTGACTCTCGCCAGCCACGACGCTCCGGCCGATGATCTCGATGTCGCTGGCGACGGGTTCAATGGAGGTCTGGGCAGTCTTGAGAAGGTGGAGGAGGAGCACGACGAAGATGAAGAGGACGAAGAGGAGGCCGCGCTCTTGACAGTGCCTGGGGCGGATCAGCAACGAAAACCATATAAAATCGGCAGAATGAAGAGTGAACGAAGGAGCTTGAATTGAACTGAAGGAGTCTGTTGCTGCAAGGAATACGAGTCGGTGGCTCACTTGCGGCTGCCTGAGCGCTGTTGACGCTCGAGTGCCGCAGTGACGAGTCGACTGAACTCGCTCTTGAACACGTTGGGCGTGTCAAAGGTAGTTGCAACGATGCGAAGGTGACTTGGCAGACGCGACTTGGACGCCAGAGGGATGGCGCTGTTGTTGCTACCTGTCGAGTGCTCAAACACAAGACACTGCGACGCATCTAAGCCGGCGTTTTGGATGAACCACTCGTACCTGGGGGGGGGGGGGCGTAGAATGACGAGGGTGAGTGAGTGCCAACAGCATTCACCACTGCAAATATGGTACGAACCAGAGCATCGCCTCGCTCTCGTGGACATGCGACTCTGGGTTGTAGACGAGCACGACGCCGTCCGTGTCCTTCATGACGGCGGGCCAGCAAGCTTCATAGCTGCAGCAACCTCAACAACTTCAGTAAAAGTGGTGGAAAGATTGAGCCGAGGGATGAAGTGCGGACGTACTTCTGGTCGCCCGATATGTCCCAGAGCTCGATGTTAGCCTTGCCCTTCTCGATCTCGAGGATCCGCACACCGACAGTCGGTTGGTAGCGTTCTTGTCCGCCGAGTCGGTCCGAGTGCTCGGCGAGGAAGTTGGCGATCTAGGAACACGGAGGTGAGGTGGGGTGACGTTCACAGCAGAGTATTACATGTAGTTGCACGCGTACGGTGGACTTGCCGGCCTCCTTGGGACCGACGATGAGGATCTTGAGCGGTGCCATGGCCAAAACTTGGATTGCGAGCCGACGCGACGCTTTGAAGAGCACGTTCGTGTTCCTTGGCTAATTTATGCCAACTTTTCATCCCCACCGAAAGATTCGTACAACACCTTGGGTCCTAAACCAAGGTGCAAGCAACTTCATCCTAGACGTGCACAACCCAGCCCAGAGGCAACTCCGAGCAAAGACGCAGGCGTGAAAAAGAAAAACAGCCTGCAAATTATCTTATACAGAGACCGACCGAATCGAGCCTGAACCTAGTTCCTCCACGCACGCCGGTGGTCGACTCGCCCTCCAATAAACTACGCCTCACGCACCACATCCGCCTCCGCTTTTCTCGCCTCGTTCATCTTTCAATCGCCCCCCCCCCCAGGTCCCCCGTTGATTTCGCTCATTGTCTCTCCTCTTCCCTCCTTGCTCACCGCGTCTATTTCAACGGACCCAGCCAGTCCGCTGCAACCGCAGCAATGCGTACAGACCAGTCTCACCGACTCAATCCGTGTCCCTCCTCCTCAACCCAGTCGTCGAAACTCCAACCCGTGTGCCTCTGGGTATACCCGCAGAGGAAAAAGAGTGCCGACTGAAACAAACCGACCTGTTTTCCACTCCAGTTTCTAACTCCACCTCATCATTTTGGCAGTACCCTTTCCCTCCCTGGGTGTGCACCGTAGGTACCCAAACCGGTACTGTAGCTCCACAATTACGTAAAGCTGAGCAACTCACGCAGCAGCTGCTCGTCCTCCTTCTTGACGAAGCGGCCCTTGACACGCAGCCGCGAGTCGGCAAAGTTCTTGCGCACGTCGTACTTGACCTCTTTCCGCCATACGCGCTTCTGCCGCTTGTCCAAAAACTTCTCGATGCGTTTCCGTCTGGAATCGGGCGAGTACGCGCCCACGAAGTTCTGCTTCTGGCCGTCCTTGCCCTTCGTGGCATCAATTCCCCCAAAGGTGCGGGCAGCAGTAGCTCCAGCTGAGCCCGGGATTCCAATGGGGCGAGACGTCGACAGACTCGACGCGGCAGCAGCTGCAGCTGAAGTGATGGAGGAGCTGGTCGTGGTACTGGGCTTGGCGGCGTCATTCTTGCTCTCCGTCTTGGGCTCCGTCTTAACCTGATTCTCTAAAAAGTCTTCGGCGAAGCTGAATCCGGCGGGTGGAGTGATGCCGAGACCCATCGACGGCAACGAATTGGGCAGAGACGCACCCAGAGACGAGCTGTAGAACTCCCCGTCTAGAATATCACGGGCAGATACGTCTGCAAAAGAAGAGTCGAAGCCCAGTTCGTCCCATTCATCCAGAGACTGGTTCCGAGCGCCAGATTGGAACTGGTTAGAGAATGCATGGCAACACGTTAGAGTTTTTTTGTTTAAGTGAGGAAAAGTGAGTATGCAACACAACAACAAAAACTTTACCTCATCTTTCGGAGTGTCGCCCAGTGACCCAACGTTGAGGAAGCCGAGATCCAGGTCGTCCAGCAGGTCAATACTCGACGACTTGCGGTTCAACGCGCCGCTATCCAGCATGGCTTCCAGTGTCGTCGGATCACCGGCGTCGAATTTCTCTAACGCTTTCTGCAAAGCTTCATCTCCGCTGATTATAAGATCCTACAGCACCAAAATGCAACGGTTAACACTATCATAACCTGGACAGAGAGTGCTAACCTATGCATAAAAAAACTTACCTTAAGCACCCCCTTCTGATACCTGTCGATGTATCCTCGCTCCTCCAGGTCCGACGCACTTAACAGCCGGCTGGAGATGCTGCCGCTGCGCCCGCGCTTCGTCATGGGCATGGTCAGACTGCCGGGCGAGAAGGCCGGCGGCGTGTGCGAGATCATGCCCAGGAAGTCGTCAGCGCCCCAGCCGATGGAGTCTTTGCGCGGGATGCTCCCAGCGCTGCCGGGGATAGACACGGAGGCTGAGAGAGAGGACAGGCCGTCCTTCTCCTTCTTGATTGACACGGGCAACGTGGGCGGCAAATTCGACTTGGAGAAGCTCATTTGAGTTTCGTTATGTGTTGTGTGTCTCTAAACGACGGCAAATGACTAGAGGTGAGTACCTTAAACTTTAGAGAGAGAGGAAGTTGCAGCAAAACTTACGTTGTGTGTTTGATGGGTTCTTTTCCTTTTCCTTGCCCCTGGTGTGTTTGAAGCGACAGGGGCGCGCTTGCCGTCACTCCTGCAATGAGTTGCAACGAGTGTTGGTTAGACACACACGCCGACGGCAACAACGTTCACGGTGCTAAACGCTCGCTTACCTCTCTCGTTAGGGGGTAGGCAACTGAGCGCGCGGGCGGGCGCAGTCGCTTTACTGCCAAAGCAGCAACACAGTGCGTCCTTCGGGCCGAAATTCAGTTTCGTTTTGGCTCCCCGGTGACGGAGCTCCTTGACTCAACCCATGCCACAAGGAAGCGCGGATTGGCTGACCCGTTTACCACAAACAGGCCGACCCGCTTTGGGGACGAGGAGAAAACATGAGGATAAGGCTATAAAACGGGCCGGGCTGATCTACTTCTGGCAAAACCTGTATCGTTCTCACTGACCAATCAGGTTCGATTACATGTTGCCACAAATAAACTTATTCGCGGCAAGCCGAAAGTGTACTTTATGGGGTGAAGCTGCCCGCATGTTCTCTAACCTAGGGCACGGTGTGCAATTGCCGCCTCGCACTCGCCTCCAGAAGCAACGCGTAACTTCTTCCAGCTCCATCTATCACTGCGCTATGATAGCATGCTACCGGCAAACTGCAGAACTTAAATAAAAACACGTCCAGTACTGCCGCTTCAGCCGTCCTCGACGCGTGTTAAACCACGTGCCAGCAGCTTGATAGATCGAGACGAAGGTGCCAGCCAGCTGATCCCTGCATCTCCACCATCTCAACGAGAAAAATTACGGCCCTTACACTTTGCCGCGCAGATGGCTGGGAGATTCGAGACACCATGTGAAACAGCGTCGAGACTATCCGGAACGGATGCTCTCAATTACTGACTGTACTAAGTTTTCCTTTTTTGTTGAGCTTTCCGTTTGTTGCTCAGCAAGAAACGGCAACATCAAAGCTTGTATCTGCCGTACTTCGCTCTTTGCAATGCAAGCCCGCGATCGGCAGCAGGAAGCTCCTGCTTCAGCTTCAGGATCCTCGATGTGTGTGTGTGTGACATGCAGGAGCATTATCAGGCGAGATGCCCTCTCCAGCTGCTGCCAGCCAGTCGTTCGGTCTCCCGAGACCATCTGGCAGCCAATAATATCGCTAAGAAAGTGCGCAGCAGCACCAACCTGTCAAATTTGATATGGCTACACGAGTTGCAGTCCAGGTGCATCCTGCACTTCAGGTTCTTCTTGTTTATCTTATCGTCTTGGCACCGTACTGCACCTGCTGGAGTGCTACATGTAGTCTTCCACGGCCTTCATGACGTACGCGCCTACCAGGAACCCGTTGGATGTAACCCCGGCAATGAGCTCGCGGCGGATGCTGGCGGCGTCCTCGCCCGTGTCCATCCACGGCCGGTGCACTCGCTGCCCGCTGAAGGCCACGACGGCGGCCAGGCTCTGCTTCAGCGGCTGGTAGAAGGTTTCGCACAGGTCCTGGCACTCGAGCGCGAGCGCGTTGAAGATGTCGTCGTTTTTCCGCTCCAGGCCGCTCGCCATGCCCTCGAACGGCACCACGGGGAACTTGTCGTGCTCGCAGATGTGCGCCAGGATATCGTCGGTTGTGCTCTCGGCCGCGTTGGCATCGGGGTACGAGTCTTCCAGGAACATGTCGGCCTTGAGCTCGCTGCGGCGCTCGTGCATCTCGTCGTCGTCCAGACCTTCAGCGCGCCACTGCACTTGCTTGGCCTTCAGCACGCGCGAGAACTCGTCCATCAGCGACTTGGCCTCCCGCCGGTACTCGCGCACAGCCTTCTTGGCCGCGTCGCAGAAATTGCACTTCTTCTTGGCGTCGCGCTTGCCCACGCTGATGCTCTCCCAGTGCATCCCCAGCTCCGACACGTGCACGTACTCCGTCGCGGGCGCTGCAAAGTCGTCCCCCAGGCGATCCCACATGGAATTCAGCGCCACGCGCGCGTCCTCCATAGTCCATTCTTCCGTCACCTCTTTATCTGCTCGAGCTGGCAACGTCACCACCACTGGCCGCGCGCGACAGAACTCCCCAAACGGAGTGGCGACGTACGCGCGACTGTAGAACGGCTTGAGACGCGTTTCCAGTCTGCCGACCAGCGACAAAACCTGCGCAGCTTGGCCGCGCGAGTAGTCCAAAGGCGACTTGTCTTCCATCAATCGACTGTTGATCTCGCGCTTCCAGGCGACGTGGCTGTGGTCCCTGCACTCCGACCAGAAGCCCGACTCTTCTCCATTCCCAGCACTTGAGCCTTGTTGTCTCTCCAGTGATAGATCCATCCAGTCCCCATTGCACCCGTGCAACAAGTGCACCCCGACACTGCAATTGCTCAACGCCATGACACCCAGAGCCCGATCATGTCGAAGCATCCGACACGTCCCCAGCAGCTGCACCATGTCCTTCACGCCCAGGAACCACAACGCGCCGGCCGTCAGCGCCGCGTAGAGCTGCTCACTGTAGTCAGAGCCATGTGCGGCGTCCCCCGTACTGGAACTGCGCTGCCGCTTGGTCTCCGCTCGGGTCCTTGGGCCTGCCATGGTCTGGGTCTCCCCTACAGTCTCCAATACGATAAAATAGATGGCCGTTTTCTGGGAACTGTGTCTCAGAAAGACCCAGAAAATGCAACAGAAAACTGCAACAACACTAAACACTTCAATATGTAATGTACATCACGTGCGACTCGGTTCGGGGGCTTCTCCTAGACAGCCATGGGCACGATCCGGCTGGCAGCTCGACGATCTTCTTCAATGAGGAGGTTCTGCAGCATTTGGTGGTCCCTGCGCACTTTACCACTGAGCGAGCTGAGGATGTAGTCGCGCGTGTGCACCACGTCCTCGTTCGACGAAAAGTTCTCCGAGCCCTCGGCGTAGAGCTGGTAGCACGTGCGCGCGACCGAGGCGTGAGCGGGGTCGGATTGCGACCGCGAGATGATGATCCAGCAGCGGTCGCGGAACTTGAGCCCCATGTGCGGCAGCGTCAGGATGTTGTGCTTGATCACCACGACGCGGTCGGACTCCTCGAACTTGCGCATGAACTGGAAGCCGTCGATCTTGAGCACGCCCGACGGATTGTGCAGTGCCACCAAAAAGTTCTTCTCCAAAGAGTCTGGCTTGCGTCCGCGGATCTGTAGCGAATAGAACACCCAAGTCAATAGCTAGCCTTCTAGGTGAGCAACACACAAGATCCCAGCATAAATCCCCGACGTACGAAGCTGTAGATGCGTTCGGGGTCCTGGCTTTTGACGTTGAGGTCCTTCCAGAGCACATCCGCAGCAATGCGCAGTGGACACGACACGGGCGTCGTAGTGACGATCTCGATGCAGTTGCCGTTCGTGTCTCCGCTGCATTTCACCCTCGTGTTGCACGAAATAGTGGCCGGTAGGTCCGGTGGGAACACCGAGTCTGAAGCCAAGTAGAGACTCTCGACACTCTTCTCCAGCTGCGAGATGATGGTCATGGTCTGGTCCTCCACGGAGCTTTCAATGGCCTTGTTCTCTTCGTCCTCAAACACGAACTCCTTGCCCTGTCGGTAATAAAACCCACCCACCCAGTTAATAAAACCCACTAAAATAATAATCACACAAATACTCCACCCACATAAAGCAGCGAGCGCCGCTGCACCAAGTGTCGGAAGGCTGCGTTGACTTTGTCCTGGTTGGCCCAGATCTCCTTGAGCTTCCTGTTCGTGCGCTCGGCCTTTCGTCGTCGCTGGAATTCACCCACCGCTGTTTTAAACCACTCGCGGCTGTCGTCCTCCTCGTTCTGGGTTTTTGAGCTTTTCTCCTTCTCCGCGCGGGTTTTCTGTCTCTGTTGGCGACGCTGCAGCAGCAGCTTCACTTGCTCCTCCAGCTCCAGCGCCTGGTCCCTCAGCGCGCGCAGCTCCGCCTTCTTGCGCTGCTGCAGCTGGGTGGAATAGCACTGCGAATCACCCACTCGACGTTGGGTTTTATTCGATTTCGAGGCTTTTCGCTGTGCTGCTGGGCTGCAACCGCTGTTTTTTTCAGCCGCGCGCGCCTGGCGCGGTTTGCCGTCGCTGTCGCACTCGTCGATGAAGGCCAGTGCCTCCGCCAGCATGGCGTCCATGCCCTCCTCACTCTCCAGGAAGCTCATTCTGGTCGATGTTGACGTTCGGTAATTTTTTGGAATGACAATGGAGGTCGAGGATTGGCTGGAGAGTAAGAAAGTAATCGACGATTGGTGGAAAAGAACATCTATTACTGTTGCGCAAATCTCTCACTGAACTTTGTCGAGGAAGTCGACTACTGTAACATGTAAAGTGAGGTTCACTTCTTACTACTGGTATTATTAAACTTGAAGTAATATACTTTAGTAGTTAGTGATCGTCCTCGTGTTCCTTTTTTTGCTGGGGGGATACAGTACTGCGGTAGCATCTCCACTTGCTCTTCCTTATGCTGGTCCGTGCAGCTCAGACTTCTTGCACTGCTGCCCATGGGTGTGTAGCGAGTACGTGACAGTGTGTCCAGAAGGCCCATGCTGAAGGAGTGCACGAGCGCAGCTGGCTCACACTACGAGGCGAGCAGCGAAGGACGGGGGTTACAGACGGAAAGATCGCCAACAGCGAGTGCGAGGCGCGATCTTGCGCGGAGGGGCACCGAAGCAACGCACGAGCGGCTCACAGCAGCCGAGCGAACCGATGGCTGAGGGCGTCCGAGGCTAGCGACGGGCTGTTCGCGGGCGAGGGCTCACTTGGCAATCTGCCAGACAGCGAACACTAGCAACAGCCACAGACAGCAACAGACAGCAACAGCAGAACAGTAGAGCAGCAGCAACTGCCGACAGTACAGGACGAGCTACGAACAGACAGGACAAGTCAGACGGATTGACCGGAGGCTTGCTGGTGACGTGGAGCGCACCTGTAAAGTCGTGCAGTGTAGCAGCAGAGGTCGAGGTTGCAGTGCCGACTTGAAGTGGCCGCGATTGACGAACAAGTGAATAAATAGGGACTCTTAGCGGGGTTCCGGCTGCTGAGTGTGGCCAGTTCGTGTCATTGTCTTTCTGTATCCACGGACCTTGCCCGCAGCAGCACTGTAGCGAGCTTGCGGACCCACCGACGAGCAGGTGTCCCGAGGCTCGCTACAGGTGGGATAGCACTATGAACCACTTTACTTTTATTTCCCCGATTGGAGCTTCCCCGCCTTGCTATCGACGATGAGGGTCTGCACCTCCGCAAAAAAACTCTGCACCTGAGCACCAAGTTACTGTAAAGCAAGAGCGGAAGCACGACTATAGTACACATGCACACTGCTCACGCGTAATCTGGGTAGACAGTGCTTGTTTATACTGAAACCTAAGCCAGCCGGAAAGGTGTAAGATACTACTCGTGATGGGGCGGAATGCTATTGTAACGAGTCTGCTAACGCCAGCTCGCCAGCGGGCCGCAGCTCACAGTGCTGTCGCTGCGTGTTGTGCCTAGGTCCACTGTCCGTCGTAGGGAACTTCAACACGTGCAGGCCGCTTCAAGCAGCCGGACTCTCGTCCTATTTATTAATCTCAATACAGTGTCGTTCACTCGTTCGTTCGTGTCGTTCAACTCGTACACTATGCTAAGCTCTGACACAGGTCGCATCAACCTCACCCCGTGTACTCGTACGTTAACAGTCTGTTGGCGAGTACCGACACTCGGATCAGCACTAACCTCACCCCGTACTCGTCCACGTTAACAGTCTGTTGGTCAGTCCAACACAGTGCCGTCCCTCCGCACACTGCACTCGCTGCCCTCTTCCACCTCGCTCGCTGCTCGCTTCCCCGAGCTGGTAGTTGTCGTGCGGCTCTCTCTCTCTCCGAGCCCGCCGATTCCGTTGCCGCCCACTTCTCTCTGAGCCTGCAAATTCTGTTGTCCGCTGCCACTCACTCAGTCGCTCGTCGCTTTGGGTCCAGACCGACCCTTCGGTCCCCACGATCTTCGCTCTGAGCCGTCCATTCGCCACCTTTGCAGCCTTGGTGCGCCTCCTCGCAGCCAAGATCGCGTTTGTGCGGCCCACCATGCTCACCACCTGGATCCAGCGACCCTCCGGCGTGAACCCGGTCGCCCTCCGCTTCCAGATGCCTTTCGTCATGCTCAACCCATCGTCCGTCATGGACACCGTGCTGCCATCGCTGCTCGGCGTCCGCTGTCACCATGCTGTGAGCACCCTTTGCCAGTGCCCTGTTACACGTCTTCTCCACCCGCAGAGTCTTCCACGAATCTGCCGGCTTGAAGGATGCGATCGTACTGTTTGACCGACACCCAGCACCTTTCGTCGTTTGACACAATTCCGTCAGTACGCCGTTGCTCACGGGCTGCAGCTCGTACTCAAGGATGTAGCGTCCAGCCTTGTTTTTGCGTCTGCGTCATCGTAGCTCCACCATGAGCTCGTCCGACTGATCGGGTTTGCTCGCACCCGCCACTGTTCGTGCAGTTCGTTTCGTGCCGCGGACCGCAGCTGCTGTACCTGAAGGAGCCGTCGTTGCTCCCACAGCTTCTCCTGCCGCCGTGCCATCTTCATCGCGTAGGAACGCGCCTTCATATTCCAACTGCGCCTCCAGGTCTGCCGCCACCTCCCGAAGTAGCGTAGCTGTGTAGCGATACGTAACTAAAAATGACACATGCGCCAAAAACTGCTCACACTCCGCTTTTGTCCTCTCGTTGGATCAGATAATTGTCATAATCAGCCGACTCGACAATCCGCATTGGTCCTGCCCATTGATGAACGAATTTGGATGCTTTCGGCCCACGCACATCCAGACGCGATCTCCAGGTTCAAAAGTTCGTTTCTGCTTCACCCGTCTATTGTAGTATCGTGCCTGACGCCGCTGTTCTCGTTCTCGAGCCTGTTCAGCACATCACTGACTGCTCTTCAAGGCGGTCAGCAGCCGCTGATGGTACACCAGCTTTCGCCACACTGGTATGTCTTAGCTCATTGGGGCTACGCAGTCGACGCTCCATCATCAGTTCATTCGGGGATAGCTTCACAGTCGAATGCTGACCCGAGTTGTATGCGTACACTGCACAGTCCACCCACAAGTCCCAGCCGTCCTGCTCGTCTGCATTCATGTACGTAAGAGACGCAGTCCTTCCACGTACGATGAAAGCGCTCCACAAGACCGACCATTTGGGGCCTGTACGGGACCGGATTCGTTTGTTGTGTTTGCAGCATCACCACAAGCTGCTCAATCGCTCGTCCAGTTAGCTCAGGTGCACCATCCGTCAGTACCTCTCTAAACGGTCCGAACCGTAACACTACTTGCCGCGTCAGGAATTCCGCTACATCCTCCGCCGTGTGCCGGTGCACTGTCGCCGCCACTGCATAGCGTGTGACGTATTCCACCGCCGCAATAACATACCGCTGTCCACCATCCGCCATGGGTAAAGGGCCCACCACGTCCAACGCCCGTCTATCTCCAACGTCACCGCCCCTCATGCTCCGTAGTGGAGGGACCACCTCGTGTGGTCGAGCCTTGCGGCTGCCACACTCTTGGCATCCTGCCACCCATCGCTTGACTTCGCGTTGTAGATTTGGCCACCAGTAAAGCTGCGCAATCTTGCATGAGTGTGAGTAGCTCCATGTCGTCTGGAAATGGAATGGCGTTGAGTTGTTGGAAGAACTTCACCCTCGCTACCCCCAATGATGAAGCATAGATGTTCACCAGCAAAACGGGTTTCCCCTTGAGTTCACCTGCAATCATCACCCTGTGTTCATTCCAGTACTCTTCTCCCCATGGCCGCTGGTTCGTCATTGCTCCGTACGGGTTTATTAGGATGGCTACCCCTGCGCTCCTGCCGCCCCCAGATGCCCAAAAAGAAAGCTTAGACGCCATCGTATACCTGAACCCCCACATCGCTGCATACTTCGTAGCTGCGGTGGCGTGTTCATATCTTGTAGACACACCATGTCTCTCTGTCCTCGCTCGTAGTTTTCTTTGAGCCCTTGTAGTCGTTCACCAAAGTTCTTAAGGTGAGACACCAATTCTCTCACGTTGGTTGACGTTACACCAATTGTCATATCGTGTTTGTGCTGACGCACTCCTCCTTTCCTCCCGGCTCTCCTCAATCTCCGTCCCTACTGCACGAAAGCTGTTTTGTTTGCTTTTTCATGCTCTTCTCTTGTTTTGCGATTGTAGTAGCTATGCAGTGTCCACTGATTCTTCGATACCTTCTCAGTCCGCGCACTGCTTTTGTTGCAGCAGGGCAGTCGGCAGAAGAGCCGACTTGCCGGTTACAGAGAAGAATAGGCAAATGAGAGACAAAAGTCTGAACACCTGTTTAAGCTGTTAGCAAGTTCTAGGGGAGTTCAGCTCTGAACTCTTATCTATGGACTTAGGGCAGAGAGAGCCTGTCCACCAATTTGTGCGATGAGGATATGAAGCAGAGGAATGGTAGCCGCCCGAGGACGAAGTCCGAGGACGAGCTCACTTCCTCTTTGACCGCTCTGCTTGGATTCAGCGTTCGTTTTGCTAGTGTTGATCATCATGGACTAGATCACCGTTGACCCAATCTGCACCGCTGTTGCTTTGCGTCGCCTACTACATCGGCGCAGGTCCCTTCCCGTGAAGCCTCACTGGGAGACTCCTGCGAAGTGGCTGTCATGCCTTTGACTGCTGGTACATTCACCTTCTCTTCATGTGCCGCTGTTTGATGCACTGTAGCGGTTTTGGTCGTGCTGAGCGGATCGAGATCGTCATCTATTTCTGCGTTCTCTGGTGTCGGCTCGCTAGCACCTCGTTCTTTTCGGCAAAGTTTGGCTGCCCTCCTTAGCGTCTTGAGCTCCTTAGTTGCCGCTCTTGCCAGCTTTAGACGATCGTGCGGTTCAGCATCCAACTGCTGCTGTGCGGAATTAGATTGCGCTCTCTAGCCAGGTCCACCTTGTTATTTGCGTAACATGCGTAGCGTTCGTTGTCGTAGGTTATGGCTTGGAAGTGGTTCGTCGTGTCCTGCCACCTCAAGATCATAACGGGTGGGAGAATTCCAGCCCCCACTAAATCTTGCATTAGCTCGATGGCTTCATGAGTTGCGACCGCTTGGACGGATCCTGTTTCCACGATGTCTTCATCTTGGTGATGCTCGTCGAAATATGCATACGCTTGCATCCTGGCCATACCACTGGTCTGTACGTCGAGAACGTAGATCGTCTCACGAGCATGCATCGCCATCGCCTTAATATGAGCCGACCTGACCCAGTACTGTAGTGGGACCTGTGTTTTGACTGACTTCTGTCTCTGAGCAACATAGTGGTTGGCCAACGCGCATAATTGCTCCTGAATGGGAGCTGTCTGGTCACCCTGACAGCCACTCGCGCTGATCTCCACCATCACTTCCTTCGGATGCAATTGAGCTTCGTCTGCCAAGTTTGCTATCATTCCATTTAAGACTTGCTTCTTCAGTTCATTGGCATTATCCACCACTTCCGATGTTGGCGCCTTCATACTCTCCGCAACATTGTGAAGGGCTGCATAGCATGCCAGCCAGCTACACTGTCCCGTGGCCGCCACGTCAACGATTTGTCCGCCCAGTATGGCCAGCCAGGTGTCCAACAAAGCTCCATCATCCATAGGCGGGTTCACTTTGGTAATTTGACAATCGTCTTCGTCCCCAGACTCAGTCGCGTCTGGCTGCGCGTTGGCTGCCCGCACCTTACTTTCGGTTAGGCCGATGCTGGGGGGCCCAATGCCCTGGTTCATCGTTGCGATCGGGGTCTCGTTGCCGTCTCCCTTGGCGGGTGTGGTCTGTAGGTATTGGTGGATAAAGCGCTGCTCTTTGTCCGCCGTTCTGCGTTCTCCAGTCATGGTCGTGACCAGCGATAGAGGCCTTGTTCCCCGCGCCCCTTTCATAGTTTTTGCTGCATTTGAGATGACATCATTACAGTTACGCTCTTCTTCCCATTCAATTGGTGTTTTGCGTTTCGGTGAGTGCGAGGCACCTCGCCGCTTCAGATCCACCGCTGACTCTCCAGTACGTTTGGCCTTGCCAGTCAACTTAGCTCGACGTGTTGCACCGATCTTCGTCTTTGCGTCTCCATCATTCGCCATCTTTTTCTTGCTGCGGCGCCCTATCAAGAGTGCTCCACTGGCGACTTTTTTGGTCGGCGATCTCCCTCTCGCTGGTGCACGGGGTTTGTTCTTGGTTTGCCTTGGTCCGAGCGTCTGGCGTTCCTATTTCGAACTCGACCGTCTGAACGGGGCTTGGTTCGATGTCCATTGGCTCTGCTTGGTCTTGTTCATCAATTACCTTTGTACTTGCCGTGAGTTTCTGGTTCACGCCTGCTGCTACTTTCTTTTGGATGACACTATCGCTCTCGTTTTGAGTGCTGTGAGTGCCACCCCGACCAACATTCGGATCCTTTGAAGTCTCAAGCGCACAGTGTTGTCCCCATTCCTTTGGTAGTACTGGCCGTTCCTCAGCAGGCTTTTTCACAATTCTTGTAGGAGAAATCGCCCGATTTGGGGGCGACTCCAAAAACGGCTTCGCGACTTGTGTATGGTACCGGCGGAGGCGCTAACAAAGTTGCGGAAGAGAACCAAAGATGAGGACAAGGCGCATCTGATGATCCTAAACCACGAAATCGAGGTGCCCGCTCCACCATACTTCCTGGTCCAATCCATGACAGCCAGTGAACTTTCTTGCTTCACGGACATTTTCCTCGCCATAGAGTACCCACTTTATGCGCACCTTGCCCCAGGACAGCGCTTCGGCGAGCACATGACTAAACAAGCCATTATGGCCCAAATCTACGTTGGTGCAGAGGCTGCGGCCGCCCAAAAGCAAGAAATCGCTGATTTTAAGCAATCGATATCAAGAATCACGCTGGACATGACGGCAAAAGTCATATCGGCAACTTTCAAGGGGAGATTATCTGCGGCGCGCTGGGTCAACTGGAAGTTACCATTAGCATCCAAGCTACTCACTCTAGTAGACGAACAACAGCGAGAGGCAGCGCGGACCACGAATGCGATCGTCAAGCTCGATTACTACACATTCAGCATCACGATCCGTCGAGGAGTGACAACGTCCCAAGCCATGTACTGGATCCTAGCAACGGAGATGAATTTGGATGTTCACTCGATGACCCACCCGGTGACTGAAAGCACCGGTCTGAACGACAAGCAATGGACAGTGATGATCAAAGGATCCTGTCCAGCTTGGCTGTGTAACACTGGCGTCATCGCAAGCGAGGATATGGAGGTGGTGGTGCACCACCACGAGATACACATCAATTGGCCATGTAAGACACACCCGACCAAGTACTGCAAAGTTCCGCAGGAAGGCACCGACAGATGCCGGCGTGAGCACACTCGCCGAATCAGCACACTGCTATCCAAGAAGACCGGTGGTTATCGGAAGTCGGGGGCAGTCCATTCATCGGAGTCGCGCCGGCTTTGCCGCGCAGAATCTGGTCGAAGCTCTTCTCCATCATGTTCGGAGTGCTCGTTTGCATCTACTCGCACGATATACAACATTACCGAGTCAGTAGCGAGTCCTTAATCATTTGGCAATATATGCGCGGTACTCACATAGCGGTAGGACTTGTCTGGGTACGTTTTCAGTGTCGTCAGCTCTTTCCACAGCGACGAGCACGCAACTTACATCGAGCACGGCAGCGGGGCGCTCGAGACAATCTCCACTACTTGTCCAAGCTGCTTATCCACCCTCCGCTTCATTTCACAGCTAATCGTCGAGATACGTGCCTCCTTCTCAAACAGGACTCTGGATCCGAGGTACATCTCCGACGCCGTCTTCTCCAGCTCCGCCATGATCACCGAGCTGTTGTCCACTGCGTCCAGAGGACTCTGCGCCATCTGGAACAGAAACTCCATCCCCTGCATCAAAAGTCACAGTACCATCAACATCAGTCAGTCCCCTCTCTCTATAAAGCCCCAATAACCCTCTCCATCCCACCCACCTCCAGCGCCGATCTCTTCATCACGACGCTCCTCAACGCGTCGTCGACCTTGGTCTGGTTCACCAGCAGCGCCTTGAGCCTCCTGTTTGTGTACTCCGACCTCTGCCGCCTCTGCAACTCGATCGTCGCCAGCTGCATCCACTTGAACTCCGCCTTGTTCTTGAGCTGCGACGCGTGAGCGCCGACCCCGACCGCCCTTGTGTGTTTAAGTTGCTCCACCTTGGCTTCCAGCCGCAGCACCTCCTCCCTCAGTTGCTGCATCTCCGCCTTCTTGCGGTGCAGCAACCTGGTCGAATAACCCGCGGGGTTCTTCGATCGGCGCTTGCGCTTGGGCTTCTGCAGTCTGTTAGACTCGGCGGACTTGTTCGAGTCCATGGGATCCGAGGAGACATCCGACCTCCGAAGTGGAATTCGGGTCGTCGGGGACGGGTGACGCGGCGCTGTCGCTGCCGCTTGTGCTTCCCTCGTAGGCGTCAATGATGTGAGGTACCAGCGGTACCAGCGCCACCAAGCAGTGCTCCGCAGCGCGGAAAGACGGCACGCGGTCGCAGGCGAAGCTCGCCAGCACAGAAACCGCTGCGACTGTGGGATGTCGCTACCTCTCGTTGCCCCGCGCGGCAGCGGTTAGCAACTGACAGACGCAGCACATTAGCAGCTTCAGCAGCAGCAACAGCACCTACCAGCATAGCAAAGCATAGGTCGGTTAGGAAACTCCTTCAACACGAGCAAGGGTCCCAAGGCGGCGGCGCCGAGCTGCTGCGCAGCTCGGCACTCACTTCCGCATTCTCCAGCAGGAGCACAACCAGCTCCGCCGCCTTGGTTGTTCCCGCCACGGCATTCTGCCAAGGCAACCTCAGTCTCCTACCTTCCGTTCGTCTTCTGCCCGCACCTTCGTGCTGAGACCAACTCTGCTACGCCTACAGCTCTGCAGACAGCAAGTACACGACTTTCAGCACCTCTCAAATGAAGGCCAAGGCCTCGGCCACTGTGGCCAGGTCGTCGGCTTCGGGCTCGAGCAACGGGGTAGTCATAAGCTTAGTTGCGCTGAGGTTGAGGAATGACACATGGGAAGGAGATGACGATGCAGGTAGCGTCTGATTGGTTGAAACGCAAATGATTATGCAGTTCAAATGTTGATGCTGTATCAAAAGTGGGTGGGCCGAGATATAAAGTGGGTGGATTGTCGGGAATGCGACGAGGAGGGAGCATTGCATGACCGGCCTTCCCGATCGATTTGTGCTCTCCTTCTCTTGGTCGCGAAAAACTCACCACACAGGTTTGTCTCTGCTGACGCGGATGAGTGCGTTGGTGACGAATATGGGTAGTCGCAGTATGTTGTCTCGGTGTGGAATTGGCTATTCATTCATGTATTTATTTATTCATTTATCTTTCTATACGCGCTCAGCGGCGAGCTTTAGAGCGGCGCTGAGCTGCAGCTGGTTGTCCATGATCCTCCGCAGCGCTCGGTTCGTCTCCTCGGCCTTCTGCCGCTCCCTGTATTCAGCCACGGCCAGCTCTTGCCAATCGCACGCCTTGTTCTCTGTCACGCGGACCAGGCCGGTCCGCGCCTTGAGCTTTTCTGCGTACGCCTCGAGGTCTCGCACGTGCTCTCGGAGGAACTGTAACTCGGCCCTCTTGCGGCGCTGCAGCCCCGTGGAGGAGCTCCAGCCCGTGCGGACCCGCTTCCGCTTTGGCTTGGCCGGTACGGCTGAACTTGAGTTGGTGGTTGAGGGGGTGGCTTGGTCGACTGTAGTTGGCGATCCGTGCTCCGAGCTCTTGCTCTCAATCGAGCATAACGTTATGGGCTCACAGCAGCCACTGACGCTCTTGATGGACTCGCAGTCGATGCTAATGCTATCCGAGAACACGTCGGGGCTCACCCAGCAGTCGATGAACTCAAAGAGCTCCTCCAGCGTTGCCAGTTGCTCGTCTTCTCGCAGTGAGGAGGGGTTCATCCTTGCAGGAAGCTTGCAATTTCTCAAATGAGGCCTCCACCCGACATTTTTCGTGGTACCGCGAGTCGCAGGAACAGTCTCATCACCACTGGCTATGCATTGGTCCAGTGTGCGTCAGCCTCACCAGACCAAGCTTCAAGGTGTAGGTACGGAGCCCCGCGGACGATGCATTTTATTGCGTGCAAAATAGATTTTTGTGCGATCGTTCCGCGGCGGAACTTCCGCCCCACGAGGAATTAAATAATACAAGTAGATTGGGGCTATTTGTCCAAACGTAAGTAGGTAGATCATGGGGACTACTTATAAGTAGATCAGACCATCAGCGCACAGCGAGGGAAGCGAGCCCACGCCTGCGGTTTGTCAGCCCGTGAGCTTGCTTCATCTTGCATCCAAGAGAGCAAGGAATGTAACCAACGACCATCGGGATACATGTTGCACTCGAGCCTTGTCTCATTGCGGTCAAATCAAGCTTTACTACAGTACTGTAATGCTGTACGTACTCAACAACAATTGACGAAATCACTCGAAATCACTCATAAACTTGATTAAGAAGAAAAATAGACTTGCCTAGGCAGCTAGGCAGGATGAAGGCCTTACGTTCATATATCGTCGTCTGGTGTCGCTAAAAAGGAGTTGTTGGTAGAAATGGCGCTCTCTTCGAAGACGTTCTTCAGCGCGTCGTGGATTTGGAGCTGGTTGTTCATAATGGTCTTGAGCAAGCGGTTGATCTCCTCGGCCTGCGCTCGTTTCAGGAGCTCCGCCATAGCGAGGTCCTGCCCCGTAGACGAAGCGTCCGCGTCGATACCCGCAGTAGGAGGCGTCTTCAGCTGCTCCAGATACGTCTCGAGGTGGAGCACGTGCTGCCGCAGGAACTGCAGCTCCGCTCGCTTGCGTCGCTGCAGACCCGTGGACGAGCTCCAGCCCGTGCGTTTCCTCCGCCGCTTGGAGGGTTTCTTCTGTTTGCAGGACTCGTCTGAGCCCAGGGGGTAGCAGTCTCCACTGCCTGATCCATCGACTGCCACAGGGGACGCGCCGCCAGTGTCTTCGCCGAGGAAGCAGTCTTCGATGTCGGAGCATTGGCCCGAGCACTCGATGAAGGCGATGAGCTCGTCCAGCGTCGCCAGTTTCTCCTCCTCCTCGAGCAAGAAGTTCATGTTGTAGGTCACTTGCTATCTCCAAGGGCAATTCGAAAGTAAGGATCGTGCCTCGGATCCGCAGGCTGGCAGCCGCCATACCAGAATGCGCCGTGGTGCCTGTGCACAACGTAAGCTCGCGATCCAACCGGCGGGACAGCGGGCAACTGGTTTGCGTCTACACCTCCGACCCAGACACGAACAGCTTCCGCGTATCCTCACTGGTCGAAAGGCCGAGATTGCCAAACAATATTTGCTCGATTGACGAAGAGATGCACCGCCGATGTATGCGCTGATGCGAGAAAAATACAGTTCACATACCATTTGCAACTAATAACCTGTTAGAAGTGTTGTATGATATGTATTTATTTAGTAGGGGTAGTCCTTTTAAGCCAAAGAACTCACGCGAATCGTCTTATCGTATTTCCTTGAGATAATGCATACCCTCTATGAATTAGAAAAGTCATTTGTCGGTGGTACCTGTTGAGGTATTTTGCGATCATCTAGAGATCCTAACGCGGTGCGTGTAATACTGCACGTAGCCATCAGGCCATGTACTGTACAGTATTCGTGCCTGGCTCACGTCGTTGGGGGAATCCTCTGTAATCTCTTGTTGCCACCAGTCAGTTGGATACGAATTGAGGCAATCAGGTCGCAATTAATACGAGCAGGCTGAAGGCACAAAGGGCCCAGTCAAGTCAGCAAATCACCCAGAACTTCGCTGGCTGGTGCTGCGGGTGGCACGCACCCTACAGCGCCGCAACTTGCACCTTGCTATATCCTGGCACTTTGCTATACTAGTATTCTAGTACGTTGGAGCCTGCTAAAATTGCTTGCTGCTAGGCAATTGCTACTGATTATGGAGATGCACATCATGAGCTTATGGTTCATAAACTTCAACGGGACTAGAGGTGCAGCTAATGCTAGCGCACGTGGGTATGCTGGACAAAGCCATGGAATACAAGTACACGTATCCGCCGGATACTATCTGGTGCTTGCGGCTGTTTTCTTGGCTCGCGTGCGCGTGGCGCGCCGAACTAGTCGACGCTGGCTCGCGTTTTAGTGATGGAGACACCGAAACGTATACATACATATTACCCGTTTCCAGTCATTGCAATGAGTACACGTCTTGTATTCTAATCACGAACAAACAAGTACATTAGGAAATCATTCAATAGTAGACACCGAAACAGAGTGTCCAGCCATGCATGTCCCGCAAAATCGAGCAAGAATCCAAGTGTACATGTATCATTAAAATGTCGCTATTGGCGCGCTTATCGAAAAGCTGCGTCAGCGGAGGGCATGTGGATCCGTTCGGCTTCCAGTACGAATTCTCCTTGCAGTCGCTGAAGACACGCCCGCAGTCGCTGGCTCAAAGTCCCCATCACCACGTCTTCTGCTTCTTGGAGCTCATCTTTCGTCCCGGTGAAGTCGTTCGTGTATTCAGCATGGAGCTGAAGCATTGTGCGGACAACTGAGCTTGGCCGTGGTTCACCGTCTAAACGGGTGATAATAGTCCAGCGTTGAAGGCGAAATTGAACGCCACCCGTAGCCAGTAGCAGGCGACTGACCTCGACGAGAACCAACCGGTTCGGCTCCTCGATCTTGCGCACGAATGTAAACCCATTGAGCTCTGCCGCACCCGCGTCGCTCTGCAGTCGCCACACGAAGCTCTTTTCCACGGGAGCTGCCATGCGCTGGCGAAGCTGCAAAAACAAACAAGCAGCGCGCAATGTTGAATTTGAAGTTAGCAATTGCGCATCAAGACAGCAACTTCAGATTGACTTACGAAGTGGTACGACTTGTCGTTGTAGTGGCGAACAGTGAGGTATTCTCGCCAGAACATCTCGCTTGCCTCCTGCACCGAGCACGGCATTGCCGTCGTCATGGCGATCTCGACCACCCTGCCGCGCGTTTGGTCTTGCTTGACTTGTAGGCTGTTGTCAGTGAAGAGGCCCTCATTGTGCTGAAACACCGCTTCAGAATCGAGATACAGCCCTTCAGCCATCTTCTCCAGCCCGTCTATGACAGCATAAGAGCATTCTGGTTCAGGTGACGGGCGTTGATCGGATGGGGAAGGCTGTCTTCCGAGGACAGACTCGAAGTTCTGTGCAGTAAATCGGCAGGCGAAGGTAAGTCAGCAGTAGGAACTTGGAGGTAGAATTGCCGCAGGTTAATACTTACTCCAAGTGAAGTCTGTGTCTGGAAAACGCCTCGCAGCGCCGTATTCATCTTCATCTGCTCCAGGAGCACATATCGCAACTTCTGGTTCATTATCTCCGACTTGAGCCGCTCTTGGTATTCCGTGGCAGCAATTGCATACCATGAAATTGGCACTACACCACTTTGAAGCGAGGTATCCACCAAGCTCACCGAAGCACTTGATCGAGCATGAACTCGCTGTAGTTGCTCCAACTCCCTCTGTAATTCGTGGCTTTGAGCCCGCAGTGCCAAGATCTCCGCCTTCTTGCGACGCTGCAGTCGTGTAGAAGCGCCTGGGGCTTTCTTCCTGCTCCTTTTCACAGCTTTCTTCGCCTCCGGTTGTTTATCGGGTAAGAAACTTGCCTTCTCTAGTACATCGTCAAGCGAGTCGAGCAGCATGGATTCCACGTCATCGTTGCTGAAAGGCGAGCTGTCATTCTCGCTCTCACTCGTAGTGACGTCACCGAGGCTGCGGCTGCTGTCGGCATCCCACGCGTCGATGAACGTCACCAACTCCTCCAGCGACGAGA